AACCGCTATCCCTCCGGATGGGGATAGGGCTTGGTGGTGAGCTTTTTGTTTTTTTTTCTCTTGGGCGTTGTTTTCAACTTTCGGGATAGATAGATATGGGCTAATTTCTTAGTGGTTCACTGCAATTTTCCGATGATAGAGGATGAATTGTCAATGTTATAATTGATGCTTTTTATTTGCGATGACATCCAACGATGGCTTTTATACCTTAAGATGAGTTCAGTCATCGCTTAACGATCACCTCGAACCTTGACGATTTGTCTACACCAACGAGGCTTAAAGTACATATGGTATGTACCATAAGTCGTAAGTGTCAATCAACATCACCAAAGTGGAAAATGCCTCGCCCTCTAAAAAGGCTTCTTAAACTTCTCCCCCAACTTCCCCTTACTCTTCCTCCCAAACTTCTCCAACTTATCAATCTTCAACTTCCGGCCCCCCTTCCCATTAATAATCGTCACCGGATTGCACACACTAATCCCCTTGCAAAAGATCGTAAACCCGACCGCCTCCTGGCCCTCACCACCTTGGTTCTGCGGCTTGAACTGCCCCTGGCGTTGGTAATCTTTGAAGTCGGACGCCTCCTCATGATGTTGCTCGCCCTTGGGCTGCTGGTGCTCCTGTTGCTGTTCATGTTTATCCCCCTCGGGGAACATATCAGCCTTGTTGATGATAACCGCATTAGCCGGACGTCCGTTCTTGTCTTCCTCCTCCTCTTCGTGTCCGTGATCCTCATGCGCGAGCGCTTTGGAAGTGGGCACGCGCTGGAACCCGGATGACTCATTACTGCTGGTAGCAGAGTCAGCGGACTGCTTCACCCGTGCGAGATGCTCAGTCAGCAGTTCCAGCAGACGCTGCAGGTTGGCGTTGTCTGCGTCGGAGGGTGAGGACTCCGAGGCGACGCGGTTGACGGTGTCGCCGATGGTGATGTAGACTGAGCGCTCATCGTTTTCTGGAGTCTCGTCTGGAGTCTCGTCTGAGGACTCGTCGAGAGTACTAGGGATGATGGTGGTGGGTGTGTCTAGGGGCTCGGCGGTGGTGTCGAGATTGTCGCCGATGGTGATGGAGGTGCTGCTGGTGACGGCATCGGTGAGAGGAGTGGGAGCTGCGTGGGCACGCAGGCCCAGGAGGAAGGCCACGGTGAGGATTGTGGCGTGCATTGTGGCGGTTGGGTTTGGAGGTCTCATTTGTGTTGGTTTTGAGTTTTTTGACTGGGTTGTTGTCTTTTGGATGGAAGATGAAGAGGAGATGAGGTTTTGATATTGGTGAGACTGTCCCTGGAGCTGAGAGAAGAGAGGAGAGCGGGAAGGGTTCCATTTATATGTTACGGTCAGTTGACTGCCCAGTTGGCTGGAAACCTTTCGGTGACGGCTTTCGGTGACGAACTGTTATTCCCTACAGGCTAGGTTGTCGAAAACCCGAGTTGTGTAGGGTTTCATGCACGACGTTTCGAACCTCGAACTGAAGGTCCGGGTTAGAAAGGTTCGGGTAGGTTCTATGTTTATGCAGCCGGCCATGCACGAGACTGCAGTCCATTGCCCGGTGTTGCAAGGCCGAACCTAACGAATGTCTGCCCGATAGAACCCGAATTTGTTTTGTATTTTCCAGCCTGAATTAATGCGCGCTTCTAGAAGAAGGGAAACCTAAGAGAAAAGCGTCAGTATATGCGCCTCGGTTGTGAGTGGACTTACACACCTCACAACCTAGTTTCCATTGCTAGAACCTACGCACACTGCTATATTTCCTGAACCTTACCACAATATTGAAGAAGGTTTCTCCCATCTAGGTCAACTCTCGAGAATATATAAATATGAGCTGCCCTCCCTCCCCCCCCAGTATCAGACCTTCCATTCTCATATTCATCCATCATACACACACTCTTTCACACTCACCCAAACACACAAACACACACACACACACACACGCACAATCTCACACTCTCACTTCGTCACAATGCATTTCGCTACTGTGACCTTTGCCATGGCGTCGGTTGGCATTGCCACCGTCGCCGTTGCTTCCAACTTGGAGTAAGTATTATCCTCCCTTATACTCTTCATCCCTACCATCGTCATCATTGCCGTCATCGTCTCCCTCTCCCTCTCCCACATCCGTCTTTCAGAATCATCATAACGGTGATCATGATCATCACATCGGTCGTCGTCGTCATCATCACCCATCACACCTTCATCAACCCAACCATCCCAACCATCCCACTCCCTACTAACCACCACACACAGCAACACATCCAACAACACAAACCTCACACCAGTGCCAACAGTGGACGCTGAGGTCGACTCGTACGATGACGACTACGAGCCCGAGTTCGCCGAGGCCACCCCGGCCCCAGAACCCGCCACAGAGTTCGACCTGCCCGACACTCTCATTACCGTCGTCCTCTCAGGCGAGGGTACCGATAGCACCAACTTCCAAACCCTCGTCATCACCCCCGTGACCCACACCGTGGGTGCTGCCGAGGGCGAGTCTCTCGCCGCCGAGGCCACCGGTCATCCTCTTCACCGCCGTGATGAGGAAGACGGCTACGAGTTCGACTATGCCGAGGAAGACGGCGACGCCGAAACAACCTTCCACTTCTTCGCGCCCAGCGAACATAGCTATCACCATCAACACCCCACCGCCTCCGTCTCTTCCACCGAGGAGTCCGAGGAGTCCGAGGAACCCCTCATCACCCCGGCCCCATCGCACCCCGTCCTCGTCGCCCGCGACCGTGACTGGCGCGCCGACCGAGACAGCGCCATCTCCCGGGGCCGCGCCGCCCGAGACCGCGGGCGTCAACAAGGCCGTAACGGCCGCGATCGGGGCCGCGAAAACGGCCGTGCTGCCAACGAGCGTGCGGCTGCGAACCGTGCTGAGGACCGCGCTCGGCGTCAGGGGGAGTACTACGATAACCGGTACGACAACTACTATAACGACAACGACGGCGTGGCCACCAGCACCGTAACCGTCACCACCCGCCGGCCTAACCCCGCCATGCGCGCCGCTCGCGCCGCTATGCGTGCTGCGCGCATGAATATGCGCATGAACCGCAAGATTAATGGGTATAAGAACCGGATGATGGTGCGTCGGGATTGGCAGCAGGATCTGGCGTCGGCTAAGTCGTTGGCTTCGTCGTATCGGAGTGTGGTTACCGCTGGTGGTGCTTCCTCTTCGATAACCACCATCACGACTACCACGCCGGTTGTTACCAAGGTGGATAACACCGCTGCTACTGTTACATCCACGTTGACGAGTACGCTGGTGATTAGCACGGCTACGGGTTCCGGACAGGATCCTAAGGCTACGCAGAATTCGGAGGACGCTAAGGTTAGCGGGGCTGATGTTCAGTCGGGGCGGTTTGCGCGGATTGTTGTGATTGTGGCTATTGGGTGTGTTGTTGCTTGTGGGTTTCTGATGTAGACATCCATCCGTTAATTGTATGGGAAGTCTTCATTTCTTTTTCTTGTTGAATAGTTAGATCGGGTCAGGGTCATCATCGATTGGGGTGTTAGCGATAATAAGACCGGGTTGAATGTATGCATATAATGCAGAGAGCACATCAAACAAACACATAGGCATGAGATATTGTAAATGAGAATACAATGCTTTTGGTGTACCGAGATCTAAATCGTGTTAGATGCCTTATGTGGTTGATACGTATGTATGTAACAATTCCCAACCATGACGTACCGTACTATTTTATACACCCCTATCAATACACACCCACACCAACATCTCAACATGTCAATTTTTCACTCTTTACTCTTCCCCCCCAAAAAACCCAAATGATAAACCCCCAACTGCTCCTCCGTCACCCCCCCCGGACTCCTCACCGTCAAATCCTCCCCCTTCATCGACTTCGGAAAAGCAATCACATCCCTCACCGACTCCGTATAAGTTAACACCGCCACCAACCGATCAAACCCCAACGCAAACCCAGCATGCGGCGGACACCCGGCCCTCAACGCCTCCAACAAATGCGCAAACTGCCCCACCCCGGCATCCGTCATCTGCAAGATCTCCCGCATGACGTACTCCTGCATCTTGGCTACGTGGATACGTCGGCTGCCGCCGCCGAGCTCGACGCCGTTGACGACCAGATCGTAGTGGTCTGCCCGGGCACGGAGGGGGTCGGTGGCTAGGAGCTCGACGTCGGCGTCGGTGAGGGGGGCGGTGAAAGGGTGGTGGGTGGAGGAAAACCCGGCGTGGCCGCCCTGGCCGGGGTCGGTGTCGGTGTCGGTTTCGTTGGTGGGGGTGAAAAGGGGGAAGTTGGTGACCCAGAGGAATTGGAAGGTGAGGTCGCGGGGGAGGAGGCCTTTGGATACGGCTGCTTGGTATAGCAGTGTGCGGAGCGTGCCGAGGGCGGTGGAGGAGGCGCCTTGGAAGGGTTTGTTGGGGCGGGCTTGGAAGACGAGGACATCGCCGTCTTCGAGGGTGGGGGATTCGGGGTCGGCGGCGCCGCTTTCGAGAGCGGAGGCGCCGTCGAAGCCGAGGGGGGAGAGGCCGCGGAGGGGCTTGGAGGAGTTGACTATGAGTGCGACGGGGGCACCGTCGGGGTTTTGGGAGAGGGCTGGGGGGAGGGTTTTCATTAGGTCGTCGATGAAGGCGGTGGATGTGGGGAGTGGTGATTCCCCGGATACGGGGCTGGGGCGGAACCGGAAGACTTCGACGATGGGTTTATCCAGGTGGGTGATCATGGATATGAAAGACTCAGGTAGGAGGTGGTCGACGCGGTTTAACTGCTGTTGTTAGAGTCGTGCAAGTCGTTGGTATTGGTCTGGACAGGTACCTACCTCGAACGGAATTCTCAAATCTGGCTTGTCAATGCCAAACCTCGTCATGACCGTTTCGTACGATAAGCGAGGGAATGGCGGCATAACGTAACGAGAAGCGGTGCCAGATTCCTCTGAATGGGCCGAGTTCTATCAGACAGACGTTAGAACAGCGGCTGGCTCAATTGCGAAGGGGTTGACATACCAAGCTCTTGGGCGCGAGATGGATCTCGCCGTCTTGGTCCACGACACGGAAGTCCGAGTTAAGGACCGTAGCCAGATCAGCAACGAGAGACTCAACAGTCTGCATCACATCCTCGCCGGTAGCAAACGACATTTCCAAGTCCAACTGCGTAAACTCCGGCTGCCGATCCGCCCTCAAATCCTCATCCCGAAAACACCTCGCAAACTGATAGTACCCCCTTATCCCACTCGCCATAAGCATCTGCTTGTACTGCTGCGGGCTCTGCGGCAGCGCATACGCCAACCCAGGCCGCCTGGTAGGCACCAAGAACTCCCTCGCCCCTTCAGGCGTCGACTTGAACAGGATAGGCGTTTCCACCTCTGTGAAGGCCAGATCGTTCAGCGACTTCCTCAGCTGGAACGCGATCTGCGGTCGGACGAGTAGCCGCGTCCGGAGGGGGTCGGAGAATCGGATCTGGAGGTGGCGAGAGGAGGGGGGAAATTGCACGCCTTTGGACACGATGATGTCTTTGGGGAAGAGGTTGAGGGGCTGGATGCTGGTTAGGTCGATGTCGATGCGGAATACACCGGTTGGGAAGTTTCCTGGACGCGAGCGGGTGGTTGGTGAGGTTTCAGTAGGTTGGGGGTTGTTGCTGTGTAGACGGGCAACGGTGCCTGTTACGGAGACGGGGCTGTATAGAGGAATGCCCCTGAGGGCCTGGTTTGTCTTGTGCGCCGGGCTCTCAGGCTCTTGGAAGCTCGAAGTGATTTGGACAGCTGGGCCATTGTCGATTTGGATATCGGCAAAGGCGAGTTTGGACGATTTTATCCGTTTCCTCGCCAGGAATCCATGGACCGTCACGAGCTGTCCTTCCTTGAAGTCGCCTGCCCTGGATGGTTTTGGAAAATCATCTTGATTCAGGTCAACTTTGGTTTCTTGAGTCTGCTACAAGAATAGAGTGCCTACTATATCTAGCCCATTCTTCCCGCAGTTGTCGCCCAATAACCTTCTGCTTGAACCCTTCACTTGTGGTTTCCGTTGCTTTAGATGGCCGAGCACCGCTGTATGACAAGGGTCTGGAGTAATTTTGGGTTCCGTTGATGAGAGTTCGCTGCGGCCGCAAAAAGCTCCGCAAGTGTACCAACTCGGCTCGCCCAAGGGTCCTCAAGCTCCCTTGAGAAACACGGAGTAAAGCCATTCGTTTCGCAAAAGTCGTCTTCGGGGGTCGCTCACACCAAGCTTCAAAACATCATGGTAGAAGTCGTGGTGAAGTGAAGCCCTGGCCGGTACTTTCCTCTTGGACCCGCTTTTTTCCGGTTCATGTTTGGCCCGAGCACCATGGAGAGTGGACCCATCGCTGGAGCATCGACCATCAAAAACATTTTGCGCTCGGAAGATTTTGAACTTTTCTCTCTTCTTTCTCCATCCCTTCCATTCAAAACAATGTGAGTGCCACCACGACCCGCCGGCCAGCGATCCTAATTTTCGATCGGATAGAAGCTAACGATTTTGCAGATGATGAAAGCCCAGGTGTTCATATGATGAAACTGCCTCCTTTTGGAACTTCCAAACTCTCCCCTCACGGGGCTTAAGTGGTTTGGCTGTGATAGAAGGATGGAAGCATGAAATAAGCGTTCGGCACACCGACCTTGTTATCATCGGACGCGATCACGGCATCTCTGATTTCCATGAATGGGAAGGACTTTGTGTAGACGGCCAAGTGGTCGTCTCGCGCGCAGCGCGGGTGTTGTGTGAGGACGGTGGATGCTTGAGCAACAATGCATAGATGCGTGCCTTCAAGCGGAGGCCGCTGTTACCTCTACCTGTCCACCACATACCCCGCCCCGAACGCGCTATTATCGGATTGAAAACGAGTTAAGCGTGTGTGACTGGATATTCCAGCTCTGCGGCGTACACGGCGAAGTGGAAGGCCATAGGATAGCCAATGGCCGCTCTCCTTCCATTGCTCCTCATTTCTTGCGGATAATACTATCAATATACCACATACATTACACGGGCACCGAGATCCCCGCCTTTGAAACCCGTGAAACCCGTTCTCATGTCCTGGAAAGCAGACGCATCCTCAAGTTTGATAAGAAGACCAGACATCTCTCGCAATGTGCAATTCTGCGTTTGCGAGACTCCCCACTGTGTGACCCCACCAGGCCTCCCTAAGGTTGCCAAGGCCCGACGCTCCGTCAGTCCGTCTGAACTTTGCCAAGGATTCCCGGTTCAACCCCTGCTCAGGCCTTGTGCGGACTGGAACCGTATTCTGGCGACTCCAGTGCCTTTCGCATTTGGCCCGACGACCTGACTGCACCACTCGCCCGAGAACCTATCAGCGCTCCAGTTCCCCGACCGCCGCGCGAACTCCTTTGGCTGTGTTCTCTTTCCCCTTAGCGCAAAGTGTACGCCGCAGTCCGCTGCCCGATCGTGACCTCATCCCCACGGCTGCCTCTTTTCCCCTTTTCCCTCTCTGCGCCCGCTGAGCAAGGTCCGCCCCGATCCCCATTCACCGGAGCCCGCTGCCGAATGCCCAAGGGGGGGTACATTATCGTATCCACCAGCGACAACGGGTCGCTCGACAAAGCAAACTTCTAGAAATCCCCCGAGTGCCCGAGTGCCCGAGAGTTGTTGTCCCCCTCAGCCGTGCCCAAGCCTCCGTTGCCAGAAACAACCCCGCGTGGCTTTTTTTTTGCTTTGCCAACCAGACAGACCCAGCCAGCCATGGCGAGCTCGTTCGAGAAATCGGTGAAGGGCGCGACTAAAGTGAAGGTATGATGATACTACTGCATGGCTACCCTCGTTGGCCGTTTTTTCTTCTTGGCCGACGGCTGTATCTCGTTATTGCCTGCTCGTCGAATTATCATGTTGGACCGCTAACCGACACCGCTTTGCTTCCCGATAAAGGCCGCGCCCCCAAAAACAAAATACATCGAGCATATCCTCGTCGCGACACACGCCGGCGAGGCCGGTGTTGGAGAAGTGTTCCGCGCGCTGCAACACCGTCTCCGCGATTCAACATGGACTATCGTCTTCAAGAGTTTAATCACGGTCCACCTGATGATCAGGGAGGGCTCGCCGGACGTGACGTTGGGTTATCTCTCGAAGCATAGGAATATGCTGGCCGTGAGCGTGTTTTCCGATGGTGAGTATTGGATTCTTGTTCCCGTGTGATCATGCCCCAGATACGTTGGTTGCAGCTGCTAACCATCAATGTGCAGCGCAAACCCAGGGCCGAAATATCCGTCACTACTCGAATTACCTCTCCGAACGGTCGCGCGCCTACCGAGAAACGAAGGTTGATTGGGTGCGGAATAAGGAGCCTCGGTTGGAGAAGCTGAGCGTGGAGAAGGGCTTGTTGCGGGAGACCGAGACGGTCCAGCACCAACTCACCGCACTGCTCAAGTGTGACGTGATGGAGAATGAGCCAGAAAACGAGATTACAATCACGGTCTTTCGACTGCTCGTTTTGGACTTGCTATCCCTCTTCCAGGCCTTGAACCAGGCCTTGATCAACATTCTTGGTGAGTCTTGTTGGAGGACGCCTGTCTATCCCCTATACTTCTCGACTGACCGGTGACCTAGGGCACTTCTTTGAATTGTCTAAAACCGATGCCGAGAGGGCCATGGTGATCTACCGAACGTTTACGAGACAGACCGATTACGTTGTGCAATACCTTAGCGTTGCCAGGCAATACGAGCACCACACGAGGGTCGAGGTCCCGAAGCTAAAGCATGCTCCCGTCAACCTTGGCCGGCAACTTGACGAATACCTGAAGGATCCGGACTTCGATGTCCATAGGAGGCAGTATTTGGCGGAGCAAGAAGCCAAGAAGGCAAAGAGCGGCTCCTCAGGGGCAGGGAAGGCGATCAAATTCGACTTGAACAAATCGACTGCAAGCACCAGCACGAGCGAACGGGCACCGCCAGCACCTGCTAAAGTAGAACCACCGAAGGGCCCCGATGGCGATCTGATCGACTTCTTCGAGTCCATCGAGCTGAAGCAGACCCCAATGGCCGTCCAGTCGCCACCTCAGCCAGAGCAGCAGCCCCAGCAGCAGCCACAACAACAGCCACAAGCGCAGGTGCAGATGGGCATGTCGCCCTGGGGCCCGACGCCGTTCCAGCCCCAGCAACAATTGCCTCAACTGCAGACCGGGTTTGCTCCCCAACAACCTAATGGCTTCCAAGCCAGTGCTCCGTTTCAACCACAGGCCCAGACCGCATTTTCTCCGACGCAACAGACTCCTCAGCAGATGCAACCGGCCTTCACCGGTGCCGGATACGGTGGATTCTCTCCCCAGCAACAGACCGGTTTCCAACCCAGCTCCCTGCCTCCGATCCCGCAGAACAATGTTGCCAGCTTCCAGAATCCCGTGCCGACCGGCTTCCAAGGCGGCCTCCAAGCCCCACAGACGACTAACCCCTTCCGCCAGTCCATGCTCATGAACCAGCAGACCGGTTCTCCGTTTGCGCCCGCAACCGGGGCGTCAAATCCTCAGCAGCAGCAACGCCCAGCCACAAGCCAATCTACCAACCCGTTCGCCCGCTCCTCCCCCCAAGCCACGCAACCCTTCGGCACCCCAACTTCTAACTCCCCCTTCCAGCTCGCTCAGCAGCCTCAACAACAGCCCCAGCAACAACAACAACCTTTCCAGCAGCCCCAACAACCGCAGCAGCAACAGCAACAACCCACCCCACCGCCCTTACAACAACCCCTCCAAACCGGCACCAACCCCTTCGCCAAAAACTTCGCCACCGCCGCCCCGCCAACCCAGCAGCAGCAGCGACCCGTCACGGCCGGCGGGATCCTGTCGCAACCGACGGGTAGCACCAACCCGTTCCGACAGGGCGCCTTTGTTAACCACACGACGGGCCTTGGGTGGCAGCATAACCAACAGGCGATTGGGGGTGGGCTGGATCAGGTTGAGACTGTGCCTGTGTTTCCTAGGCCGGCGCAGCAGACGCCTTGGCAGCAGTGAGATTTGGGGGTGGATTGCTGGCGTGAGGGTGAGTGGTGGTTAGGGATCAGAGAGGACAAACATACGTAGTCGGGGAAAGAGAAACGTATCCCGTTGTTACTGAGGTTATGTTCTCAGTGTTCATTCGTTTGGCAGCATATAGCGTGGCGTTTGTTACGGTCGGCTTGTTCTTTTTTTTTCTTTGTTTTTTCTCATTCTTGTCTCTATTTTCCCTTCTTTTATTAACATATTAACACTTTTTTTCGCGTCTTTTGATGCAGTATGTTATGGCCTTCTTCAACGTCTCGTTGTTTTATTTAGGCGGCGGCGGATGGTCAGGCACTTTACTTCGTGTTTTCGCTATCTCTTGTCCCTTAGGAAGCTAAGTTTGGAGTGGGCAGTCCTGCAATTTAAGATAGTTTTTATTCCTTTTTCGTGTCTCCTGTTATTTTAGTAACCGAGATTCCCCCAATTCCCCTGACTTTCATTGGTGTAGATGGAATCTAGACTTGGGACACAGACAAGAGGATAAGAGGGCCACAATGACATGATTTGGTTAGGTAGTATGTTCCTTGAGGGATTCGCCGTCAATGTATTATCAGTCTTTTGAAGAGACTTGTTACCGCTCCATGTTTGCTATTTGAGAAAACGTCCCTTTCTAGGCGCTCGCCATCTGTTTTGGATGTAGTTGCCAAACCAACCCATCGCCTTGTTTTGCTGATACGCCTCCCTAGCTTAAACCAAGGAGAATAATCTCTGCCCTTGTCTCCTAAACCCGTGCTTTGAAATCCTTGACACCCAAACGCCTGACGCTATGCATGAATAGGGATCCCAGAAAACAATTCCACGTCCATTTTACCCTAATCCAGCTCCATCCGATCCCCCACAGCCGCAATCCCCGCGCTCATACCAACAACCTCGCTCGCAGACAGTCCAATACCCACCTCCTTCTCATCCTCAATAAACACCCCCAGCCCAGCAAACGCCTCAAACATAGCCCGCGCCGTGTACTCCCCGAAATCATACCCACCCGTAATATGCGCCTGATCCTTCTTGTACTTGTCAATAGCCGGGTGCCGCAGCCCATCATGCACCTTATACCGGCCCGGCGCAAAATCCAGCCCCCCAAACGGATCATACGGCCCCTCCGGCGCAGGCGCTTTCTTCTTCTCCTTCAACCCACGAATCGAAAGCCGGCCGACATCTGACGCCCCAGTGGCCCCCGTGGCACCCGTAATAGCAGCAGCAGCTGAGTGAACGGCCGCTTCAACCGCCCGGTTAGCCGCTGCCTGACCGCGGCGCTTGAGCTGGACCCGTTGAGCCCCAACCGCAGCACCAGCAGCACCAACCCCGCCCTGCGCCAAACTATCCAACTCCGCCTCCCGATTCCGCACCCGCTCCCGCTTCTCCTCCTCCGCCTCCCGCAACGCCTCCACCCGTCTCTGCCGCGCCGCCTCCCGCTCCGCCGCCAACCTTCGCCGCGACTGCTCATCCGCCTCCTTCCCCGCGCGCCGATTCCGCTCAATATCCGCGCGGTGTTCCGCCTCCCACTGCTGCAGCGTCGCCTCCGCCGCGCGACGCTGCGCATCAGTCCCCGAGACCAAGTCAAAGGTCAAATCCTCGACCATCTGGAGGTAATTGTTGTAATCGCGCAGGGTCTCAAAGTCGTCCTCGGCTTGGTTAAAGACGGCGGCGACGCGGCGGCGGATGTCGACTTCGCGCTCGACCGAGAGGTCGCCGAAGAAGGCGGCGCGGAAGCCTTTGCGGCGGAGGGTGCGGTGGCAGCCGGCGTAGGGACATTGGTTGGGGCCGTCGTTGAAGAGCCGGTTGACGCAGCTGGAGCACATCGAGTGGTAGCATTCGGGGTTGATGAGGAATTCCATGTCTTTGTTGAGGTAGCGGATGGTTTTGCAGATGGGGCACATGTCTTCGGTGCTGATTGTCGGGAGGCCGCCGCCGCTGGTACCCGCGCCGGCGGCGGCGGTGGATGCGCCTGGCTTTCGTGACATTTTAGCTGTCGAGGCAAAATGTTTCAATGTTGTGGTTGTCGATGTCGATAGACCGCTAAGAGACGGGAGATATGGTTTCTTGTGGTTGCCAGAAATGTCGCCTTGCCACGCGGAAATGTCGATGAGATTGAGTGACTCCTTCGCTGCCGAAAAAGAGATCGGTGATGTCGATTAATAATAGCAAAGTTCCTCCTTCGACCCCAGCCGCGGCTCAACCTTGGTTGCAAATGGGATGGATGGAATGGATGGAAGATGGTGGATGACGGCCCAAGGCTGGGGATAAAATCCCACAGTGGGTTTAGCTGGGCCGAGCTGATCCCTGTCAGGCCTGCAAGGCTACGACACGCGGGCGCGCTGCGGGGTGGAATCGTGCCCCACCATGAGCCCTGCAGGCGATCAAGCTCCTGTCACGTTCTATGGACTTCGATAGCTTCTTTGCAAGAAACCTCCAACTTTCTCCTATCAAACAAACGGAACACAGGTTTAAAGAGGGGTTCACGGATCTATTAGGTCTCTAAACATGGCTGACAACGGTGTGTCACTTCCTATCCGTTCTTCTCCCGCTCACCCGAGCTGCGCAGAACATATCGATACAAACGTAGGCCAAAAAACGTCAAGACCTCGCTGCTAACTCGTCATCTCACCCAAAAACAGAAAAGACTCCCGCAGAAGAGGCCGCCGCGCGCGCCAAGGAGCAGGCCGAGCAGGACGCTCTTCCGTACAAATGGACCCAAACGATCGGCGACCTCGACATCACCATCGAAGTGCCCGGCAACCTCAAGGGGCGTGACCTTGTCATCGACCTCAAGAAGGACACGATCTCGGCGGGTATTAAGGGGCAAGATCCCATTCTCAAGGTACATACCCCAACCCTCCAGGTTCTGACCTAACCCAACCAACTATTCCCAAACCCCCTACTAACATGACCCCCTTCCCACAAAACAGGGCACCCTCCCCCACACAATCCGCGTCGACGACAGCACCTGGACCCTCACCACCGCGCCCAACAACACCAAGCAAATCGAGATCCACTTAGACAAAGTCAACAAAATGGAGTGGTGGCCGCACGTAGTGACCGACGCGCCGCGGATCGACGTGAGCAAGATTGTGCCCGAGAACAGCAAGCTGTCGGAACTGGACGGCGAGACGCGCGGGATGGTGGAGAAGATGATGTTTGACCAGCGGCAGAAGGAACAAGGGCTGCCGACTAGCGATGAGCAGAAAAAGATGGATATTCTGAAGAAGTTTCAGGAGCAGCATCCGGAGATGGACTTTAGTAACGCTAAGATTAATTAAGTTGTGGTTTTTTTATTGTCTTCTGTCATGTCAATATCTGCGGGCGGTTGTTCGGGATTTGATGATTCTGAACTAAATCCAACCAGCTGTCTACCCAGGTTTGATCATGATTTGGGCGGTTATCGAGTCTTAACTCCTTTCTACACCTACCACAGCAATACCAAGTCACCACCAAACCAGAGAAAACAAAAGAGAAATGTGATGGGTGAAACGAACCGCCAGGACCACGGGGTATGTTTGTTGCCAAGGGTCCGGCATCAGAGAGCCCATCCGTTTTTGTTCTAGGAACTGCCAGTAATGAGAATGCAGATGACAGCTGCAGACCATCAATTGTCAGGTTGATCGAGCGTTCCGAGGTTTGACCTGTGTAAGTATGATCAGTCTTGAGTACCACCGACTTGGTGGTGCTGGCCGGTGTCTAAGTCAGGAGTTGAAGTAAACGATGGACAAGGTAAGAAACTGGTCAGTCACGGGAGTAAAGGATGGATGAACGGGGCAAGGCACGGAGGAAAAAACGGGAATGCTGACACAGTTCGATTCACATCGACTATGGTACAGCGAGCCTCTTCTACCTCGTAGGGACCCAGACTCATTGCAACTTCGCCAGCCGCGCAGCCTTAAACTTGCTCATGCGCTTCGGCCCGCCCAACTCCTCGTCCAGCGGTACCCGGCCCGACTCACTGTCAAGAACCGTAGCCTCTTGTTGAGCAAATCCTCCCTGCTTCTGGATCAGCTGGTTGCGTAGCCGGTTGTACTCGACCGAGGCTGCCTGGTACAGCATCGCATCATCCATGTCGTCGGGCTCCGCGGGCTCGGCCGCGCTGGCCCGCTCGACCACGGTATTGGCCAGTGTCGTATCTTCTGGCGGTGCTGGTTCAGGTACGCTGCGTGTGCTGGACGCACCGAACGTCGCTAGTAACTGTTGCGGCCCGGGAGGAAACGAAGCGGAGGAAGATGAAGCACCGGCCCGCTCCTTCTTGAACCGTGATACCCGCTTCGGCGGCTCTTCTGGGTCCTTAAGGGTCTCTTCTTCTTCCTCTGTCGTGGTTACCTTCTCCACGATGTCGCCGACCTCGGCGATCTTGCGCTCTTTGGATTTTACCTCCGGCGCCGGCTGAGGTACCGTCTCGGGAGCAATATCCAGCGTAGACGCAAAACTGACGCTTTTCTTCCCCTTGGACGCGGCTGGCGCTGTTGACGCCTCAGCGGCCGACGAACTCGGCTCAGCAACCACGGCTATCCGGCCAATGCCTTCGTCCTGTTTCTTGGATTCCGTCTCTTTCGCGCCAACGGTAAACGCGGACTGAACCCCCAGCCGCTTCTCCAGCTCCTGCATGCGCTTGACATAGTCCGAGGTGACGACCTTGCGCGTAGACCGGCCCAAGTCGTCCTCGGCGTCATCGTCCGTGTCTTCGTCCTCGAAGCCCTCGTCATCGGACCCAAGCCAATCCATGTCGTCGTCATCACCGGAGTAGTCCTCCTCCAGCTGTAGCTCAGCCACTACGGGTCCGATCTCCGACATGCCGTACTCCAACATCTCGCGCCGCAGCTGATTCTCCTCGGCCGACTCGTTGTCCGGGATAACTGCCGTCGACAAATCCATCGCCTCCTGCTCACGCGCTTTCTGCATAAGCCGCTCCAGGTTCTGTGCCGCCACCGACGGTGCAGTCTCCGCTTCCTCATCACCAGTCTTGGTGTCCTCCGCAAACGACACCGACTTTTTGCGGGGAGCCGGCTCATCAGCCGCAGGTGCTGCGGCTGCAGCCCCGCTAGAAGGTCCGGCAATAGAACTCGTCTGCTCTTTCTTCTCCCCTACCCCCAACGCTGCCAAACCTTTCATCAGCTCCCCGCCTCCCTCCTCTTCTTCCAGTATCTCCTCCGGTAAATCCCCCTCCCGGATCCCCGCCTTCCCCAGCGCCTCCACAATCCCCGGCCCTACCTCCGCACCCCCCTGCAGCCGAAAACCCACCACATTCCCCTCCTCATCCAACTCCTCAATAATATCCGTCAACGGCAACCCACTCTCCTCATCAACCCCACCCCCCGGTTGCGCAACCGTAATCGCCCCTTCCAACCTCCTCTCCTCCACCTCCAGCAACTTTTCCACCGACCCAATATTCTGCTCCACATACTCCATCCGCCTAGCCAGCGTCGCCACAATCTTATCGACGGTTCGCAAATCATCCCCTTTGCCCATGATCTCGTACAGTTCCTTTTGTGTGAGTAAAGGGCTGTCAAAGTCGCGGCGGAGACGGCGGAGTTGTTCAAGGGGAACGGGGTCGCGCGGGAGTTGCTCGATGTCTTCTTTGAGGGAGGAGTATTCGAGGTACCATTGTTGCCAGTGGGTGAGGGAGGCGCGGAGTTTGTTGACTTTGTCTTCGAGCAGTTGCACGTGGCGGTCGAGGTCGGAGAGGTGGTCTTTTGTGGCTGGTGGGGGTTGTTGTTGGGATGCCATGGTGGGTGGTTGGATGAAAAGCGAGGAAAGCTTAAGGGCGAGAGAATGTGGTTGATGGAAGTCAAGGGAAAGAATGGAGTGGAAGTTTTTTGGGTGTGAATCTTTTGCTTGGGATTGGAGACCAAAGGCTCATGCACGAGATTATGTAATAGGGACAGTGCGAGCAACCAAGAAATGGTTGAAGACTTATACTGTCCGGTATGGGCTCCGTCAATGACGACCGAAACACTACCATTACCATACAGGTAGGTGTTCTGCTCCTGGAAAGAACTTCCCCTCAACCCCAGAACCTAGGAATGGGGAGGAAATATATCCAATCGGAAGAATTATAGTACAATATAAACTCAAAGATCCTGCGCTTGCCTCGCTATGCAAAAATATCCTGTTTCCGCACTTGGTAAAGGCCAGGCCAGGTTGCTCGGGCCTCTACCAAATGGGCGCTCAGAAACGAAATCGCTACCAAATCAGATGTGAATCAGGTTGAAAGGGAATGGAAGAGGAAAATATGTGAAAAGATAATGATAGAACGGAGCTCCGAGATGGTCATATATCGGTGTCTGTTATAGGCCGGGAATTTGTCGGCTGGTCTCATGCGTCAATGCATGAACCACATGCAAGCGGAGAGCGGCTCTTTATACACAGCCGACCACGCATAATCCGGCACGGGCCGCGTTTTCCCCGAGCACGAGTTATTAAAGAGTTCTTGGTCCCGCAGCATTATCCGAAACCCGCAACTTCGCCATGGCAGTCGTCGTCCAAGCCGTCCCGTTCGAACTAGCTTCCGCTCTAATAAGCGGGCCGCGGCCGAACACGTTTGCCGTCCAGGAACTCCTGGCTCTTAGGTTCATAATAAGGGTTGTTGCTGTTTTGCTCGACCCGTCTCTGCTCAAACGTGGCGCGCTCCTCCTCGTCAAGGGCAAACGCCTTCTTGAGCCAGCCAAACGCGCTGCGCTTCTTTTTCACTGACTTGCTCGTCTTGCCCGTCATGCCGGTAGCACTGCTCATCATGCTCATCCCCATCGCCGAGGGCGTGTGTCGGGGAGGGGGCGGGAAGCGGTGCGGATCCACGGTCCCGGCGGTATGGGGTCGCTGCTGCAGCGGCGAGTACGGGCTCGCTTGTACGGGGCGGAAGAATTGGCGTTCGGAGTGTGGCGAGGGAATCATCCCTGGGTGGGCAAAAGGAGGCGAGAAGTCGACCATGGACGAGTTAATGGACGCCATAGAGTGGACCGGGGGGCGCTCCATGTCAGATGCGTATGCGGAGTCGGGGGCTTGGGAGAGTCGGGGCGCGGTCTGTAGTGGTCGGTGCAGAGCACCACCATGTGGAGGAGGGACCTGGATTGATTCCAGGGGACCAGTTTTTAGGGACAGGCGCTGTCTAAGGGACGCCCTCGGCGTTGGCACCGCGGCCGGTTGTTGAGGGATCGTCAGTTGTGGTGGTTGGGGCGGGTGATCGAGCCCCAGCATCGGCCTGGAATCCGGCCGTTGGCTCATCCTGCTGCTGTTCCTAATCATACTAGTCCGGGCTCCGATCTCGACGATCTTCAGTTGATGCGCCTGAGGCTTGGTGGGTTGGATCGTGACTTGGGCTGCCGACTCAACCGAGGACGTCGAAGAGGCCAAAGAGGCTTGCCTTGGTCGCAGGGTTTCCTGTTTCGATTTGGGCCGCTCCGCGACACGAGGTGAGGGTTGGGGGGTCGCCTGGGGCGTGTAAGTTTTGGGTTGCAAGATGTACAATGTCTCCTCTTGCGTATTTTCTCCTTCCTTCACTTCCTCTTCCAGACTGCCCTCAGGCTGCTTGGACACCTCAAGTTTGGGCAAATCCAAGAGTACCGATGGTCGCTTCGAAACACGGCGCGGATTTCGAGCGGGAGGCGATGTTGGTATTTGCTGTATGTGTTGTCCATGTACAATGGGTGATTCCGGGGGCGAATTCTCGGGTGGCGGGGATCTTGAAGTGACGATCAAAGGCGACAATGGCGCCGAGAGTCCATCTCCGCTCGGCAACTCATGAACACTGTCCTTCCTGACAGATAGGTTTGCTTCGGTCACATCAATGGAGAGATCTACCGTTTTGAGGGTGCTCAGTCGTAACGAGAGCCGCGGGGGCGAGGTTGTGATCTTGGGGAGCGGTGAAGTTGGGGGAGTGGTAACGGACGACGTATCCGATAGCCGAGGGCTGTGCTTTGGCGAATGCGGTTGGAGGCTAAGCTATTGGAGGAGTCAGTGCCAGTTCTCATTACTTACCCTTCACGTCGAGTGTGGGTGATGTGAACATACCCGAGTTTTGCGGCTCACTTCTGCCGCCCTTCGCTCCATCTCGGACACCATGTCAGTTAGCCTGACCATAAGGGTGTTCAAGCTGCCGGCTTTAGCTTGCAAATCCATGAACGCATTAAACCACCCGTCTGTGTTCCCCTTCATGGCGTCGAAAATGTCGATCACATCGGGGCGATCCCGACGCCAGTTTCCATGCTGCTGCTCAGCCAAGTAAATGGTGAAGTCCCTAGTGGCCCCCAGACCCTCGGACAAATCACGGGTCGTCTGGTCGAGCGCAGCCTGAGTGCGAGCCAAGATATGCTCGATCTTTTGGTTCCCTTCTAGGATCTGCGTTCGGAATTGGCGGTCCTCCAGCATCTTCTCAAAAACACCAATGTTGTCCATGGGCAGCTTGAGGTGCTTGATGCGATCCTCCATATCCCTCGTGGCCAGCTCGATATCCTCCACCGTGGTCTCCAAGAACTCATCCACCTCGTCAATATGGCCCTGTAGGATGGATACGACTAGTGTCTGGCTGTTCGCCATGCCATGGAGGAGCAGATACACACCAAATGATATCTGGGCAATCAGCCTGCAGAGCTCATGTTCCTTCTGGCCCGGCCGCCCACGCCAGAGGGCCGTTGGGGGCGGGTCGGAGCTGGCCTGGTCCAAAAGTTCCTCCCGTCTTGCCTTGGCATCGCCAGTGCGCAGCTTTGGTTTGTTTTCAGCGTCCGCCCCAGTGGCTTCTACGAGTGATTCCGCAAAAGCATGCTGCATAGACGGAATGGGATGTTGAGGGGCGGGTGCTCGTGGCGGCTCTTCCACCTTGGGCCGGGTATCAAGCTCGAGCCCGATGCCCGCCCGCATCTCAATCTCATCGTCATCGGGCAACAGCACAATGGGAAGGTCCGAAAAGGCCACCTGTGGTGCCTGTGAGAAATCCATGGCGGAGGATCTCGTGGGGTGACGTATTTCCGGGGTCACAGAGAAGGAGGACCGCAAGGTCCCGAGAGATCGGCTCCTGTAATTCGTCGCCGATCGTGACGGCGATCGGCAGGAGCTATCGTTCGTCCAAGGCGGCGCGGCGGTTTGCGGGTGGGACCGTCAGCCTTGTGCCTCCTGCGAGAACCCGGTTGTGTTGTGGAGAGAGAGACCCAGTCAAGACCCAAAGTTGATTCAAGTGATAAGTACCCAAGAGTGAACAAGTCGTCGGGTTCGGAATACACGCCTATGCGCTGGCGGAAGCTTCAGGTGATTGAACGGAGCGCCTGTCACGGAGAGGCCCTAGGATACAACATAATGGTGACGGAGCCCAAAGCCCAAAGCCCAGCGCTGTCGGTGCTGGATGCAAGGGAACGCCCGATATGGCTCAATGTTTAGTTAGGTAAGCTCGTCGTCCTCCGTCTTTCGTCAGGCGCTAGGAACAAGGTCCCACAGGATAGTGAGTAGGTCAAGCAACTGCTTCTCCGGCGTTGGTGAGTCTTGCGCGGGGTATGAGTTGTGTCCGGGGACCTGCGTCAAAAAGGTCGCACCAAGCCGGTTCGCAAGTGTCGATGGTCCGAGTCAAGAGCGGGTACTGTAGGACCGAGTCGTCGGGTACGCAGGCAGGTGAGATGGGACGAAGAAAAGGCCAGGCGGGATGAAATTCAAAGTTGGGCGGAAGGTATTTACAACGGGAATGGGGGAGAAAGGGCAAGATAAAAACGAGGGAACTTGGCAGTGAAGACTGCACCACGGACAGCTTCTCGCTTGTCAAGGGGAAGAAGAAGTGGGATAGGACGATCGGGATCAAAAGAGGAACTTAGCGGCGGGAAGGAGCAACAAAATCAGAGATGCGCTCCACCGGAAACTATTGGGCTGGTTCCTGGTATGGAGACCGGGAAGTGCCTTGCACACCTTTGCACACACACCCCACGGAGCGAACGGGCCAGACGCTGGTTAAGGGTGAAGGATTGGGGAAGGGGGTGTCCCAAAATGAATTGAGGTGTGCTGGACACCTGGAGGCGCCCGCAACCTGGCGTCCATGTGCCCGCAGTGCAGATGGAAAGGGGGGTCAGGCACGTTGGCAAGGTAAGGTAGCGTCGGAGTCGGGGCACGCCAATATTTGCTGCCCGGGCTGGGAACAACACAACCAGGAAAGGCTGCAGAGGGCCAGAAAAGGGGCTCGTTCCTTTTGTGAACGGCAAAGATTCGAACGGGCCAAGAGCTCACCATCCAATTTCTGAACCAATCCACAGGCCAACCGAGAAAACGGGCCTACCTTGCCGATTGCGTGCCACGCCCCCGGAGGCCGGGGCCCAAAAGCACTGACTCCCGGTCCCACCTGCACTTGCCTGCTGGACGCAAAAATCGGATTGATACTCGCCAATGCGTCCAATAGTTAGGTACCTACTTCGTAGCGAGTTATTACCAGACATCGACTCATATCGCTCGACTGTGCAAACGTGGAAAGTACTGCGGACGACAAGCTGGTGGCCATGGGCAAGAGCAACCAACCTATGCAGCGGAGCCGCCAGTATCCGGAAATTCCGCGGCGTTTGCTCCCCCGATCACGATGCCTGCCACAAACCACCCGCAAATGCCGATGCATCAGCCGCCATACCCATGGGACCCGATGGCGTTTTGGTTGTTTTCGTTGTTGGACGCAACGCTGCCGCCAACAACGGGCGTTGGCCGCGCGAGACGAACAGGCGCCTTCTGCAGAAACCCTGTGTTTGGCCCTGCACGCGCTGGGGTTCTGGGGCGTGAAGATCCAGATGCGGACAGATGGCGCCCGTCGACCCCTGCATTGGGGGGTCCAGAATTTGACGGGACAGTTTACGCGGGGAGCCTCGCACGGTCCACGAAATGTCTGGATGCCCCGAACGCCCGGCGTTTGCGCCTTCCCGGTCTCTTGGGACCAAACAACATTAACGAGGGCAAACACTCACATTTCCCGAAAGCGAAATCCTTTATACCATATGTACAAATTCCGCATCTAGAAGTTTTCACATCCCGCTTCTATTTCCCCAATTCACTTCCCGAAGGTTGCGTTTGTGGTGGGGACGTTATGTCCGTCAAATAATTAAACCCACGCAACATTCAATCGCTCCCACCAAAATCACTCCCCCTTTCCTGTTTTAGCGTTACAGCGCTTCTCAACACCAACACCCCCGAAAGGTCTAGGCGAACAAGCAACAATCAACAAACGGCCCGGGCTGGTTCGACTGAAGCAGGACACGACAACTTGCATGCGTTCGTTTGTCTGGCGACCGCTTCCTTCCTTCCCCAAGTCTCCGTCGGGCTCCGGAGGTCATCTTTGCCAGAGCGATTCGGTGGGTGCCTTCCTCTGACGATTGGCTATCGTACGCTGTGGCAGTCAGAATCCCAATCCCATCAGCCGCCACAATGGGCCACGAATGCCCAAATTGGAGAACCCGCTGGAGGTGCTCGACATTAGACGCGTGTCGCCGTGCTAGTATGACAAGTCGCCCCGAGGCACACCGATTTGATGAATCTGCCGGAGAAGTCACCGTCGCGATACTCGTAGCCCGTCGCTCTTGTCCCCCACTTCCACATTTGCACCGTTGGCCAGGTACTTCCCCTGTCGGGTTAATAACACCCCGAGTTGAGGTTTGAACAGGACAGGGAAAATTCGACGGTAACGAAAGGAAGTGTCAGTGCCGGAGCTTCGCCTGCCGGATTGGGGCTTATGCCGCGGCCTAGTCGAGGCGCAGGCAGGCCCCAACATCAGGATCGCCAAGACTGGGGTCAAATCGGTTTTCCTGAACTCATCTCACGCGACGAATTCCTCGCGCTTCTCGAAAAGCTTCTTTTCTCAACAATCGAGTTGAGAGCGGGTCTATTCGATCTTCGACCCCTCCCTGCTATCACAGTGTCCGCGTCGCCCATCAATTAAGTTTCGGCTCTTGACCCAGGCTCAAAGACAAGCCCAAACTGTGATCGGCCCAGTCAGTTATGGCGGGCCGGCAGGCATTCCGGTTCGGGACCGACCTCTGGGACCCGACCCACCGGTTCGAGACGTCCTGGCTGCTATCGCCGTGGGCGCTCTTCTTTTGCAGAGCCCTTATCGTGAGTTACCGCGCGTCCCTCCCGTCATAATTTTGTGACAGCCAGACAAGACGGGACCAACTCTCGGCGAGGAAATGAACTGATCTCCACCCGCGAGGCCTCCTATAATCAAGGCACTCCCCGTGTGTGGACTTCACTCCATGAGAGACAAAGAAAACGTAGATCACGCACCTTACCATCGCTGGTACTGACTCGCCGGCGCGACCCGCCCCTCCTAACAGGCTCTCTACATCTTCACAACCATCCTCTTTGTCCTCGCCTGGCAGTGCGCCCACGCCGGCTGCGCGGCCTCCCAGGCCTCCTTCAGCTACTTCACCAACCTCACCTACTGGGGCCTCGGCTTCTACTTCCTCGCGGCCGCCACCCACACCTTCACCTACGCCCGCTCCCCAACCGGCCACGCCCTCCTCGACCGCTTCCCCCGCCCGCTCCAGGCCCTACACTCCGCCTTCTACACCACGATCATCGTCTACCCCTTCATCGTCACCATCGTCTTCTGGGGCCGCCTCTTCTCGGGTCACTGGTGGCCCGAGGTGTTCACCGGATGGAGCAACGTCTCCCAGCACGCGCTCAACAGCGTGTTTGCGCTGTTTGAGCTGCTCGTCCCGCGTACGCAGCCGCCGCCCGCCGTGCACATGCTCTGGCTGATCCTGCTCCTGGCGCTGTATCTCGCCGTCGCGTACATCACCAAGGCCGCCAAGGACTTTTATCCGTACGACTTCCTGGACCCGAGCTCGCAGGGCGCGCTGGTGGCGGCGTATGTGTTTGGGATTGCGGTCGGGTGTCTGGTTGTGTTTGGCGTGGCCTGGGGCGTGATTTGGCTGCGGGGGTATGTGACCGAGACGAAGCTGGGGAAGCAGGGGAAGTTTTCGAGGGGGGATAGGGAGCGCGGCGGGCATGGCGGTGGAGTTGGAGACGTGGAGATGGTTAAGCCGTCTTCGTCGTAATACTTGTTTGTCAACAAAAGGGGGGGTCTGTGTAATGTGGGATGATGTGCATGTGCATTGTACGAGCAAGTCGAGGCTGGGAAGGGTTACGAATGTTATGGTGCGTGTATACGCCGCACGTGGGAAGTGGAAGGATATTGGATATACCCGCAGTTATTGCATAAGATTGAAAACTAGAACAACAGTTCCGTATGAAGTCAAATCTTTTTTAAGAAGATGCGGCGGGAGTTGTAGCACATGTACTACAGACGGTCGTATCGACCGGCGACAGCCGAGATCCATCCCACAAGAACATAACCGACCACCGCCCACCCTAGCCTGGTGGTACATACATTATCACATTGATATCCCATCATCTGGTCAACAGGTAGACAGGCAGGCAGCCCACATTTATTGCCCACGCTCCAATTCGTCCACCGGCAGCGAAGGGGCGTCCGTCTCACTACTATTACAATCAATCGTCTATTACATATGCTAAACGTATGGTATGGTATGTGTAGGTATATGCATGCATGCTACAAGTCACACAACCCCCTCACCTAACCTTAATTTCCCACGCTAAGAAGCTGACACTTCAGCACTTCAAATTGATACCCCGTCTCAGCTCCGTCTGCCGTATCTCAAACATCACCTGGATACCTACAAACAGCGCCGAGCATGCCGTGAAGAGAAATACAAGACCTACATAGAAAAGCGTTAGCGAAAACACAGACAGGAGTGGTGAAGCGGAAAGGAAGAGAGAGTGTGAGAAACCTACCAGAATAATCCCTAAAGATCCCCCGCACAATACTCTCCAGCCCATCCAACCCAACCGCAAACCCGACCAAATTCGCCGAAACCATCATCAACACGTTCCCCACCCCGCCCACACAGCACAACATGCGATACGCCGTCGGCCTCCCCTCCCACTTCCTTCGCGGAAACAACCTCGTCGCCGCAATCTCCGGCAAGAAAAACACCACGATCAACCAGCCCCAAATCAGCAGATTAAGCTTGATATCATGCCACAACGCGACAAACGTGAACACGACGAGGTAGGTGAGCACAGTGCGGGTGGCGTCGCGCGCGGTGCGGAAGCTGGAGCCGCCCAGGGGGATGTAGATGTACCGCAGCAGCCAGCGGTAGTAACTGCGGTGCCAGCCGCGCCAGAAGGAGAGGGTGCTGTAGTTGTCGCTGACGCAGCGGAGCATGTTCTCGGGCGGGTCGACGCCGTCGGCGAGGGACCAGAGGCGGAAGAAACGCCAGGGGAGCAGGAGCTTGAGCCAGATGATGTGGAGGTTGAAGTAGGAGAGGAGGGAGAGCTGCGCGGGGGTGTAGGAGGACCAGTCCGGGCGGGACTTGGAGATGGCGCCGACGTAGTCGTAGTGTAGGACGAGTTCCATGGCGAGCAGGACGAGGGCGAAGCGGATGGCGTATTTGATAGTGCGTGAGGTGGAGATGGTGGGCGGTTGGTAGCGCTGCTGCGAGATGTAGTCGTTGAAGGTGATGATGGGCCCCGTGAGGTAGAGTGGGGCGTAGATGGCGTAGGCGAGGTAGTTGCGAAAGGAGAAGTCGTGGGGCTGGGAGGGCGTGGCGATGCGGTCACGTTCAGAGAGGTTGGCAGGGTCAAGTTGTTTCTTCTTGCCGGCGTTAGTGACCACATACAAGGAGTCGGACAAGCCACGGCATGAAAATAGGGAAGAAATGAAGTACATACCTCGACGGGACTGGCGCTTCGCCGGTCGATACTCCAATAGTAGTCCAGGTTGTAGCTCACCAGCCGAAGCACGGTGATGTTGAACAGGATCTCCCAGCGCCGAATCAAACCCCCACGACGGTCCATCCACTGACCTAGCGCAACTAGAGCGGGAGTATATGTCCCCAGGGTCTCCGCCTTAGTCCCCGTCAGGTACAGCGCCATCTCACGGAACTTGTATCCGTTGCTCAACTCGTTGGCAAACAAGATGCAAATATTAAAGGTCCAGGTCACGACTGGGATGTACCGTTTTGGCACCGTCGTCACCAGCCGGTAGTTGATGGCCAGAATGGTCAAGATCTTGACGGCCGAGAACCCGTGCAGGACGACCAAGAAAAAGACAGCAAAGACTGAGTCGTATGATGCGCGTTGACGCAGCCTTGCTTCGGCCGCCTCAGGGGCGGTCGCCCGCGAGTTCTTGAGCGCTTGAGGGATGGGGTACACGGCGTTCCAGACGCGGCGCAACAGCGGGTGGAAGATCAACAAGAGGGCCATATAGGGTAGGTTGATGCGGAAGGTGTAGTATTGCGAGTCTGAGACATCCTAGGCCAAGTTAGCGGATATTCCCTATATATTTTGCGCCCTCTCTGTCCATACCCCGCCAGGCTGTTTCTCTGTTGTAGTGGGTAAAGCAGGGCTAGCTTACGATCTTGCGTCCCGGAATCCACCCCTTCACGAGCCGGTTCTCAAACTTTTTGTACCTCGGATCCGTTGCTATGCCATGTCAGCCACATTCTTGTCTTGGTTTCCAGATCTTCCCCCTTCTCCGCACCTATCACATCCCAACTTCCCTCCAAGAGAACGGGAAGAACCTACGCCTCGACACATCGTACGCGACCCAAAACATATACGGCACCACGACAATGAACACCAAATAATACAAATAAAACTCCGGCGTCTTCCACTTCGGCGCCTCTGCACGCTTGCTGTTGCCGCTGGTTGCCCCGCGATCCCCCCCATCGTCCTCGCGCTTATCGTGTGCGGTCACGGCCCGGTATGGTACGGAGGAGGGCGTCGTGAAGCGTGTGTCTAGTGTGTCGAGGTCGTAGAGGCTGCGGAGGAACCCCAGCGGGCCACTTCCGCCCTCACGGGAGGCCATTATCGTCGCGGTGTAGGTAGCTCGGTTGATCGGGCCCTGCTGGGAAACTGGGTTTCGAGAAAGCAATTGGGTCGATCAGGCCTTGGAAGTATGCGCCGTGTGTCCTAGAACATGCTGGGCTGGGTTGAACGTCCCGACGTGAAGTATAAAGAGACAGCGACGGCGTCTGAGAACGGGCAATATGCTATTCCCCGTTTCCGCTCCGGTTCCTCTAATATTCTTTCCAGCACTTCCTATCCCTCCAATTATAATCCTCCTCTTTCGTGTTCTCCTCCCCACAACAAGCTGTCTACCGATTGCTAGGTTTCCGCGTATCCTATGTAATCGCAGTGACCGGGATCGAAGATCGACACGTCTTCGGGCTATGAAGAGAAGGTCCCACGTTCGAGGCGCAGCCGTGGGAATGAAACCAGGACTCGAACAAATTCCAAGCTTGGTCTCGTATCGGGGATTGCGCCGGGCCGGCGAGTGGGTTATTGTGAGGATGAGGTGACGAGTTCACCTCCGAGTGAGAACGGAAGGATTCTTGTTTGTGCGGCTGTACTTCGGGTGGTTGTTCTCTTGGGAGTTTCTTTCCCCCTGTCGGGACGTGCTTTCAAGGTTGTCGATAAATTGAGACGGGGAGCCGCGTTCCAGATTGACAGCTGTTCGAGCTCCGTGCTTTCAAGGGTCCACCACTTTCACACGTGCGGCCCGAGGCGCAGCGTGGACCCGCCGCCGGTTGGCCGCAGCTGACACAGGCTTTCAACGCCAAGGCCTCGCTGAAAGTGCCCCTGAACCCCTTTTTCCACTGCCTCGGGATGGCCCCAACTACGTAGTGTACTTTGAATTGAACGAGAGAAACGTCGCGATTTCGGAGGAGGGGAAAATACAATAAAAAATTAAAATAAAACAAACGCAATTACTAGACGTCTAATAGATTCGTAAACTCATTTATCAGAAATCTAACCAAGATATGATCCGCTCCCGCTTGCCAACAATACCAAGTCCATTGCCCAACAGATACTATGCCCCCTGAACACCATAACTCTTCACCCGACTAAAGAAAAAAGGCTTATTATGCCGCATCGTAAACTCCGCCCAGTCGTCCGTCAACGTGTTATAACTGTAAAACCCCTTCCAGTCCATCTTATTGTTCCTCGAGCCCCTCGACCGCCCGGCATGGCCCAGCGACAAATCCAACCGGTAGATGTACTTACTCACACCTTCCGTCTCAATCGCCACATCTCCTTCACCAAGTTCCCCCCAAGCCCCAGCCGGTCTTGCCGGCAATTTACTAAGGCTATTATTCCCTCCATCCGCGTTACGGGCCAACTTCCACCGCCCGCGCAACGCCGGCTGCACCACCGCGCTCGGCAAATGAGCGTTGGCCCCGCCCGCGTGTAGCGCCGCTGCCTCGCGGGTGAGGTGGTGGACGACATCGGCCGGCTCGGCGGTGGTGAGCAGACTGAGGCAGGACCCGTCGCGGAAGAAGCGCAGGTAGCGGTAGTACGTGACGATGTGCACGGGCGAGCCCCAAGTGACTTGGTTCGAGGACGACTGGCCGGAGCGCATGTAGTTCACCGTGCAGATGTAGCAGCCGTTGAAGCGGATGCGGGGACGCTGGCGGAACATGCGCTGCCAGGATTGGGCGTAGAGGGTGTCGTAGGAGGCGAGGGTTGTGGTGGTCTTTTCGGAGGTGTGATGAGCCGATCGCTCGGCGAGGGTGAGCGGGGGGATCGGGAGGACGGGTTCGGTTAGTTCCGAGGAATCTTCGTTTCCGGGCACGGCAGCCGCCAACTCAGCGGCCGCGGCCACGGCGGCTTCTTCGGCTTCGGTAGCCTCGCGGAGTAGATCCTCCTCGGTAATGGGGCCCCATGATACCTGCTTTTGCCAGTGGTAATGCATCGCGCCAAAGCCGAATTCGCTTCCCAAGCAGATCCGTCGCCAGATGCGGTCCTCCGTAGACACGAGGTAGGCCAAGCGCTTGCAAACTTGTGCGAGCCGCATATAATCGCCGACATCGAGAAGCGCGACGTCACGGAGGATGTGCACCAGGATTTCTTCCGGGAGGGCAGCGAGCGGGCACGGTGGGGGTGGTGTGCCCTCGATCTCTGGGGGTGCTGGGGTGATGGACATGACTGAGAAACTGGCGATCAGGTCATGCATGGATAGGGGTTGCTCGCTCGAGGAAGCAGTGGTCGCAGATGCTAACGTAGGTGCCGAATCTTTCGAGGCATCCTTTGCCGAGGCTGCCGGCGCTGTCGTCGACGCAGGCTTGGGTGGTGGCCTAGGAAAGTGCTTGTTCCTGTACTTTTGATGAACCGCATCGTCCAGCTAGAGTCCTGTCAGTCCTGTGTCTCGTCGCCGAAATCAAACCATCTGGCATAACGCACCCGAAAGGCCTTCCTGTACAGCTTCAAACTATCCCCCAGGTTTCCCACAGCCTCCTTCTCCACCGCTCGCTCATAGTGCTCGAGAGCCGACACAGGTTCCCTCTTCTCCAACCCCTCTCTCAGCGATGATGCGTCCTCCACGGCAGTCGCTGGCTCATCAAATGGCCGGGGCGAGACATACTCCTCGTCCTCGTCCTGAACCGCGGGTTTATGAGAAGATTGTGGCGGCTTCCGGTGAGCCGGGTCAGGCTTGATGGTGGTCCCGACCGATGCTGATGGTCCAGCCGTTTTCTGCTGGTGATGCTGCGGGCGGGATGGGCCCGGCCCGGCTTGCTTGGCCCGTACTTCGGCTTTCCATTGCTCCCGAAAGGACTCGAGGTCCGGGTTGGATTCTTGGGGTTCCATGGGCACGATGCTAAGCGGTGTAGCTTGAAGATAAGGTAGAAAAAAAGATGAAATAAGAGGAAACCAAGGTGCTTTAATATGTGATATAAAAGGGATTAAATCATCAAATTCACGACCACTTCTCAAGGAACATCAACCGACACTGGAACTCTTTGCGAGATGGTGGGATGAAAACGGCCGGAAGTGGCTCACCGGCATGTTCAAGGGTTCAAGGGATCAATTGTGTCATCCGGGGACCGGCGAACCGATTGCGATAAGTCCGGATCGAATTGCGACGGCAGCGGGGTGCCTTTTGCGGGATGCAACCCTGATCCACGTGTCTGGCCAATTGAAATGCACTGGATCCAATTCCCCAGGATCCACTTCTTCTTTCTTCAACAACCATCAAAACTGCCAAGATGGACACTTCAAGATTGAGGTCGATGCTGGTTGGACATCGGGCAATGTCGTGGGTCTAGTCTCAAGCGATCCTGCGAGGGGTTATCCTCCCTACACGGATGGCCCTAACGGGTAAACCGTCTGGAGTCAACGAGCCCCCCAGACTTTAAACAAACAAATTAGGTTGACACGACAACATCATCAAGCTTCAATCTCATTCGCACTAACGTACAGTACTATGCTAGTGTACAGTAACCCTTGCTACACATCTGTTGAAACCGAATCCCAACGCCCTGCCCCCCTCGCAACACCCTACCAGTCAAAGGAGCTCTTAACCGACTCACGCGCAGCAAGCTTAGCCACCCACTCGTTCACCAGCGGGTACTCGCTCTCCTGGTATCCGCCGCCCTCGCCGCCAAAGATATGTTTGGCGACCTTCTGCCACGGGTAGAAGGCAAAATCCGCATACGAAAGCTTGTTGCCGACCAACCAGGGCCCATCAAACCCGTCCTTGCCGCCATGCTCCTCCTTCTGCCTCGCCAGGTGACCTTCCACCACGCTCACAACGCGGTTGATCTCCTTCACATACCGCTCGATCGCGCTCGGCAGCTGCTCCCCGTGGTACTTGGTGAACCAGACGGCCTGGCCGTAGTACGGGCCCTGGCCGGTCGTCTGGTAGTAGAGCCACTGCTTGGCGAGGAAGGACTCGTTCGAGCCGGCAGGGAAGCTGAGCTTGTTCTCCGTGTCGTACTTCTCGATCAGGTACTCGAGGATGGCGCCCGACTCCCACAGGGTAAGGTCCGTGTTGGGGTCCTCGATGGCGGGGATGCGGCCGTTCGGGTTGACGGCGAGGTATTTGGCAGTCTTGACGTCCGCGAAGGGGATGTCCTCGATCTCGTGCGGGATGCCCAGCTCCTTGAGGATGATGGCCACCTTGGGCGGGTTGGGGCCGCCCTTGCCCCACACCTTGATGGGCTTTAGGTTGCTTTGAGCCGACATGGTGAGTTTGTTGTTTTTGCTGGTGGTTGGAGTGTCTGGTTCAGTTGAGTCGTCGTGTTTGGATGCTGGAGGCTGTCGTTGGGATTTGGTGGCAACAGAGGCAGGGGAGCACGACGGTACTTATAACCCGCCCATCTCTCGAGTGTTCCTTCCAATTCTTGTCAAACGTCTCCCCATCACCTTCCATGTATCTCCACACTCATCATCCGTTGTGCAACTCATCCAAGCTTCCACGAAGTTTCAATGCAGGACTCCAGGAGCCCTGAGGGTCACATTTCTAAGCCTTCACCTATGCTTAGCAAGCATATTACACATCTTTCGGTTTCGTAATTTCGATCCGAGTGATTTTCAGAGATCGATGCTGTCCCGGAGTTGCGTCCGGGACGGTGGATCCAACATCGGGCAAATCGATGTCCGTCCTTGAACTCTTGGCTTACAAATGTCGCCGAGCGCGCGCTTCCTTCAGTCCCACTCCTCGTTTCGAATCAAGTACACTAGTTAAACTTTGGGCGACCGGTTAACAAGATTCTAGATAGCCAGAATATATCCGGGGAGAAATCCCCTCAGACGATCAATGTCGAAGTGGGCTCGAAGTTGGGAACTAGTCGCAACCATGACCAAACCATCTTTGAGCACGCTTCAGAAAAGGGGAAGCAGGAGCAAGAACAAGTCCGTGGTCTAGAATTGGACTTCCCATCTGCGTCGTCCCCGTGGTAAGCCACAACACATTCTCGTTCTAAATTCGCCGACCTTTCACGAGGCTCTGAGCAATACGGTGCCGGACTCGGAATACGCAGTTACATCAAAAAATTGTGGGGAAAAGCCTCGACCAAGGTGCTGCGGTGAGAAGTTAATCTGAACAGCGCGGGATGCGACCAAAAGTGTGTGGCCAATCGGCTGCACCCTAGCGGTCCTCTCTTGCGTCTTCCTCTCGTTGTTGATGCAAGATATCAGAGGAGGCACTTAGTCCCGAGACAGCGGGTATCAATCGAACGGTGGGCTCTCGCGGTGGGTGAATCTTCCCAATTATAATTGAATATAGTGGAGGTCGCTCGGTTGTTTCTCGAATGCGAGCTGTTATTTGGTCTTGAGTCCTGCAGGAAAAAAATTGGAAAGGTTAAAAGTTATGCAGGAGGTCAAATCTCGCCCAGAGTTTGGAGAGAAAACCCTGGTGAGCAAGTTCTAAGGCAATCAATCGATAGGCACTCGGCCACCTCTCTATACCCCTAGAGCTACCTACATAGGTATGTAGGTAGTTAATCACGGAAATATTTTTATAAACCGGCCCGGTACAAATACTTCCACGCACAAGCCCCAAGGCTCTGTCGAAGACCTCGCCAACGGCACACAGAGATATGGTTGACAAGACTTGGCGCTCTTACACACCGTCGAGTTTTGTCCTCTGTACCTTGCCGAATGCGGAATCATCTTCGTTCAACGACTCGTACGTAATTACCCTCTAGACATCCCACTATGTTATAAATCTTTCCCTTTTCTCTTCTCTTCTCTTTATTTTAATCACATTATCCCCGCCAGGGATCAAAAAGTAAGGGAAGGGAAGGGTAAGTGAACTGTGCCCGCGTGGTTGAGTTAGGAGCTCCAAAATGGTCCCATGGACTATTAACATGGACGTGTGTCAGCTGGCGCACTCGATCGTGCATGTGGTTAAGGAACATTGCCCGCAATATCAAGTTAACCGTTAATTAGTAACTAGGCCTCTGATTTTTTGCATTCGCAGATTGAAGCGGTCAGAGAATAACGCTAACCGTTTGGCCGTTGCATAACTATTTAACTAGCGTCTTGTTGCAACCGTTTTGGGCTGTTAGACTGCCATTTATTGGTTCCCCGGGCAGGTCGTCTCACATGGCTTCCATGACTTTCCGGCTCTGAACAACGGGCGAGATGGCCTTTGTCATTATATCCAAGGATGCCGTGATATACGCCGGTTGGCAAAGTAAACAACATATTCCCGACTCGGTATTACCCATGTAAATATGGTCGTCTGCTGTGTCTCCGAGCCTCCGACGGAGACAAGAGTCAATAAAGATGGAAGCCGACTCGAAGTTTCGCGGCTCTGTTCCGTGCCGAGGGTAAAAAATGGGCTGATGAACGGTGCGGGGCATCACAACCAGAGGCCAGCCACTGGCGGGGCTTCGTCGCTCGCCTCGAGCACCCGACCCTGGCAGCACCTGATGTCACCACCTGAGCGCGCCGGGGGTTGCCGCTTTGCATTCCCACTTTCTCGATGCTTTTGCGCGAACACAATTAATCGATCGCTGCCATTGCGGTTTGCGGAGCGCGACGGCGGTTTTTAAACTTTCCCTCGCGATGTTTTAAAGGAACTCCGAAAGTCCTTTAATCCCGTCGATTTCCGCATCGCCATATCCCGAGGCGCATTTAGCTCGGCTCTCTTAGCTCCAGGATCGCCGTGGCATCGCCCTCATTTTTTAAAGTTAACTAACTCTCATCCCCGCCCGCTCGGTCGTTTCTCTGAGACAAGGGGACAGATCTCGTAAAACATCACCAAGCCCGAGCGGCGCGACTATTCTTACCCCATTTTATTCCCTTGCCTCCTGTTCATCAGCGTCAGCTGCTTTGCGCCGCTGCGCCCGCCCTGCCAAGGCGGGATCAGACTCGGACCCAGAATAGATGACAAGGCGGCAACTTTTCACTTCCAACATCTGACCTGGATCTGCGCCGCAAACAAAAACGACTTCATCCCTTCCGACAACTCGAAAACCTTCAAACCGACACCCGGATTTCTATCGTTTAGGACGCTACACTAGGCTTGCGCGACCGACCGACTGACCCGATTCGATTCGATTCGATCCCTCTCCGAAACCGCGAGCGCAGATACAAAGAGACTTCAACAAGCGGGCTTCTGGCCCATTCTCGCCCGCCATGGCGTGGTCCAAATCGACGCGCATCAAAGTGATGCTTGCACTTGACACCCTCTTCTTCCTCCTCGAATTGGGTGTTGGCTTCGCTGTCCACTCGCTAGCGCTGATGGCTGATGCCTTTCATATGGTAAGCACCCACGCTTCGTCCCGGCGTTTCTGATACCATTTGGCTAACGGGAGTCCGGATCACAGCTTAACGATATCATCTCTTTGCTTGTGGGGCTATGGGCGGTATCGGTGGCGAGGAAAGCGACTACGGATAAATTCTCGTATGGGGTGAGTATTCCACAAGAGCTGGCTGCATGGGTGTCGTAATGATTGGACATGTGTGCTGACGTTGGGGTGTTACAGTGGCTCCGGGCTGAAATCCTCGGTGCCTTTTTCAACGCTGTTTTCCTGATCGCCCTCTGCGTATCTATCGTCCTTGAAGCTCTCACACGATTCCTCGACCCGCCGGAGATTGGGAACGCACAGCTCATCCTCATAGTAGGCTGCTTGGGGCTGGCATCCAACTTGGTCGGCTTTGTTGTTTTGGGGGGACATGGGCATTCGCATGGGCCAGGAGAACATAGTCACGAACACGAGCATTCGCATGCCCATGGGGACGAGAGAGCTGCCGAGGAGGGTCGAGCTGGCCAGCCGGCGGACCATGAGATTGTGGGGGATGAGGCTAGTCCCGACCTCTTCCCGGAGGCGGCTGTGGCCAGGTTCAGGGTTTCGACAGAAGGGTCGCCGAGGAATAGCAGGACTGGGTATGGCGGTGACGATGGGGCGGCGGTGTCTGGGTCTGGACACAGAGATCGACGCACGCGGGGAAGCAACCGGAACGGGCGGGTCACGAGCATTGGCGACATGAGCATTCACCCCGCGAGTTTCCGACAAGATATCATTGCCGCTTGCCGGCCCCAGCCGGATGATGCCTCGAGCAGTGAAGACGAAACCGCCGTGGTCGACGAGACGGATCCCCGGGAGGACACACCCTTGCTCCAGAAGGCCGCGGGAGAGTCGCAGGCAAGCTACAGCACCTCGAAATCACCTTTGAAACGGTCCCGCCGGGGTTCAGGAATTCACCACTCGCACAACCACAACAAGCCTCGGGACGCGAGCAAGAAGCACGGCCACAGCCATGCCGACATGGGGATGAACGCGATGGTGCTGCATGTGCTTGGCGACGCACTCGGCAACGTCGGCGTGATCGTGACAGCGCTCATCATCTGGCTGACCGACTGGCCGGGGCGGTTCTACGCCGACCCCGCCGTCTCACTGCTCATCACCCTCATCATCCTCCGCTCTTGCATCCCCCTCACAATCGCGGCGTCTAAAGTCCTCTTGCAAGCAACACCCGAACACATCGACCTCAACGACGTGCGCGAGGACATCCAGGCGCTCCCCGGCGTGATCAGCTGTCACCACGTACACATCTGGCAGCTATCCGACACCCAGGTCGTCGCATCCATGCACATTCAGATCGCCTTCCCCATCTCGGAGGCCAACGGCGAGAAGTACATGGAACTATCCATGATGGCACGCAAGTGCCTGCACGCCTACGGAATCCACAGCGCCACCATTCAGCCCGAGTACTGCCTCGACCCGGCGCATGGCCACAGTGTGAACGAAAACTTTGACAACAACAACTACGGCCACAGCCACAGCCATGGCCACGAGCATGACGACGGCGGTCTGCGCCTAGACGGGGCGTCAGCAGCGGCAGCCCCAGCAGCAGCGGGATCGAGGTGTGGGAGCGTTGCGGGCGGTGATGCGTGCTTACTAGCTTGTGTAGACGACTGTGTGGGGCAGGGGTGCTGCTTGCCGAGCACGTCTTCGCGGCCGGAGAGTAGCCACTCGGCGGAGGCACACGATGGGCATGGGCATGGACATGGACACGAGCATTAATCTATGGGCTGGGTCTAGGATGGTATAGGCTCGATTCGTCTTGGCTGGACATGTGATGTCTTGGTTCCCGCTGTAGTTGTACTAAAATTGTGTGATTTTCCCCCGGCGTTTTAGAGGAATGGGAATTGGAATTCGGGAGGGTGGGTTGCGTGGGTTGGGTTGCGTGTTGCTCGCGAGGGCCGTTTTGGTTTTGTATTTTTTCCCTGGGGGGATGAAAAGATTTGGCATCTTACTTTCTGGGTTCAGCGTCCTTGATTTTTGGTGAGGGGATGATTCATAATGTTGAGGCGGTGCTGGAAGTACACCCCAGGATGTTCCGGTTGCGCACGACAGTGCTTCCTGTCGGTATCTCGCTGGGTCCGAGGTTGTTGGTTATAAGTGAGAAAACAGTCCGGCATATGGACGATTTTGGTCGCCAACACGAATTCGAGCAGGACATATTCGGCATTTCGGCACTCCTCAACTTCTCGTTCTCCAACTCGAAATAGACACCAACCGACTTCCACGTCTGACCTGCTTCGGAAGGTCCTGTTGATCCGGTAATCCGGTGAATCACTTTAAATGCTCCATGTTCAGCGTTCTTCGGTTTCGCTACCCCACAACCGGGCAGATATCACGCCTCTCACACCTGCTTGCGCCAACCATGGAATTACACGCACAGTATTATCTAAGGTAAATGTAATAAAAATAGAACTCGAAGGTTTTGGAGGAGGCTTGCTCTAATGGGAGAAGAGGGGATGGATATATATAGACTTATCGAGAACATCAAATGAATCGATAGTTTCCAGCTCTTGGTGTCACCTGCTTCACTCTCTTTGGGCTTTAGAGGAATAATGCGGGGTTGAAAATGCACAGCTCTTTTGCCACGGGCAGATCAACCCGTTTGTCGCTCGTCTTATTTTTTTCAGGGAGCGCAGTGTCATGGGTCATGTACACGTATGTACATTACTAGAAGTATGACAATGGCTGTTGTTTTCTTTCGTCATGGTTTTGGTCCCGAAAGTTTGGAGAACCGTGCGGACCGCTCAAGATGGGATGAAGGGCCGCTTCGTTCCATTCCGCCCCGCAAGGAGTTCGTCTGAACTCAGACCACCCGAAGAGGAACCTAGATACAAACGCTCGGTCGTTCCTTCCCTTCAACAACGTGGGAGCCCAAAGGGGTCGTTTCACAGTCCAATGGGGAAACGCCCTAACCAATAATTTACCCCTCTGTCCTCCTCCCCTCACTGCATGTGTTTCCAATCTCAGCACAGCATCGCGGAAACGCTTCATCAAGATCGACCTTCTAACCTCCGAAACCCCACAGGGCCGTGAGCGCGCGCCGTGTTTCATCCCCGATGGGCGCTCGGGCAATACAACCACAACCCACCACACACCACCAACGTTACAGCGCATCAACCCTGTGAGAGGGCATTCTGAGCGTATGAGATGGCGCGTGCGTGCCACCAGGCTGCAGGCAGCAGCATTCGATGTGCCGTCATTCGACAAGGGAGGGGTCCTCGTTCCCCGATTTCACACAATTGATGGAGATGCGGCGATGGACCAAAATGGCCACCACCCACCATGGCCAGCGCCATCGACCACATCGCCAATGCGCATTATGTACACTACCCTTTTTTTTCGTCCCATGTTTTCCATGTGGTGGCGCTAGGTCATGCACAGCCTTGTCGTGCAGCGTAATTATACCGGCCAGCGGTCCGAGAGGTTTCCCAGCATGACAGACAGGTAGAGACTCAGCACCTTGGCTCGCATTGCGCGTTCGGTATCCGCTCGTTTTGACTGTAATCTTGTTACCACAAACAGAAGGGTTCCGGATGACGGATCACGCTCCTACGCGGATAAGACGGACGTGATGGATGGATACAAATCCCCATATTTTTTTTCAACAACGGGTCAGCCAATGTCATCAATGCATGCGCGGGCATAGTAAGCGGCGGCCCAACCAACAACACTGCAGACGACGAAATGCGAGATATTTCATCCGGACCGCATTTTCCCAGATTACCTACCTATCCGCCTCCAAGCTGAGGTGGCCCGACGGCCTGTGGGCCGGGCCAGGCCAAGTCAGACCGGGCTTTGTCGGGAGGCTGGAAATTGAGGAGAGAGAGATTCGAAAAAGAGAAGAGGGAAGTGATAGAGAAACGGAAGGTGGGAAGCGCATGAAAAATAAAAACAGAAAGAAGGCCGAGATCAAACGCACATGGAGGTAACTATTTCCGCACCCCTGTAAGTTTGCTGTTGTTGGCTCCTCTGCAGGGGTGAGAGAGATACCTGCAAGTTGTTCCCTCATTGTCGTTTTGTTACCAACGAAATCTCACAAACTCCCGGAGCTCACACAGCCTCGAGGGGTCTCCTTCCAAGACCTCCCAAGACGGGACCAGAACCACCGAGGATAGCTGCGATGCATACCCAAGTCAAACACGCCACCAACCATGGTCGGACGCACAGGGTCTCGGCAGCAAGCCACGACCCCTCGAGGTAGCGAAGTCGGTAGGGTCATGAACTCGGCTCGCATGGGCCGCCGAGGCTCGGACAACAGAGACTGTGACAACGGCAAGCGATGGCTTCAAGGCTGTACGGACGTAGAATAACGACCTCGTTGCCGCTGTGGAGAGTGTCTGGACCAACAAACACTTCCAACAGCAGCAATATGCAAAGCCCTTGGCTGCAACCTTCCTCTCAGCCCCCTGGCCCCGCCGGGACCTTCCACCCGGCCACTTCTCGCCCCCAAGAAATGTAACGGGCCGATGCGATCGCCCGCCTGCATCTGCCCGGTGCCTCGTTCTGGAGAGGAGGCCAAAGAATATTAAAGAGTTCCTGGTGTCTTCCCCATGCGCAGCTGTGCTGCGTCTATCAACATATTGCCCTTGAAGGCACAACCACCGCAGAACCAAACAGGTGGTGGTTGACTGTTTTCGACGACGTCCGCATATGACGGGCATCAAGTAACGGGTTGTCGACATACAGTCCGCAGTACAACAATTTCCACGCTTACAGGATTACTTGCAGCAAGCAGCAAGCACTTCTACGGATAGTCCATAGTAGGACGACCACCCACCAAAGAGCGACAAGGTCAAGGGACGGGGCGATCTTCTCGATGGGGGAGTTTGCTGACCCTAGCTCCCTAGCTCCTTGACATCAGTTTGCTGATCCAATCGATATCCACCCCACCCTCCAAAAGTCCCTCTCGGAGCTATTCTTATTACTTCCCATCCTTCCCGCCTGGGGTTTTGAAAGGGTTCCGCTTTTTTGTTCTGTTCTGTTTTCTTTGGCTTTTGGGGTTGTCGCGTTCTGTTGGAGGTTCTTGAAGTTCCGTTTTCATTATCGAATCTGCGCTTGAGGCCGGCTTTACTTCTTTCACTTTCCGTCGATCGGACTGAGTGAGTGATTGGGTACCGTGGAACGTGTCGTGGACGGGACAAACCGACCCTAGTCAGGTATCGATCTCTGTTTCTAAGTGAGACATCTCTTCACTTCAGCAGATTCGAGGCTTGATTGTTAGCATCGCACGGAACGACAATAAATCGAAAAGACTAGTGAAACGGTGGGAATGTTGTCCACATTCGCATCCGCCACATTCTTCCCACACCCCGGATCTTCAACGAGTACGGCCACCCTTTACCATGTCTGGTCCCGGCCCCGGACCCGGTTCCGCCCCGGGTGACCGGTTCTACCAAAGAGGAAGCAACAACAACAGCAACACCAATTATCCAAGCCACCCAACCTACCCGAACTACCCCAACAGCAGCCTCAACAGCATCCATAGCAACAACACCAGCCTCTACCCGCAGCCCCTCAACCTCAATGCCATCCCCGCGCGCAAACCCGTCGGCGGGATCGCCATGACCATTCGAAGCGGCAGTAGCAGCATCCATACCAACAACAGTGGCGCGGCCTACCACCATGTCTCCCCGCCCGAATCGACCTATTCAGGCCGCCCGGGACGCGCCAACAGCACTAGCCAGAGCCAGAGCCGTGTTCCACATCGCATGGGCACGTTTAGCAGCGGGGGACGGTTTACGGTGTCACCCGCCAGCTCAATACATGAGGATCATGACGACGACGATGATGATGGTAATGACGGGGAGAAGGATGTCGAGAAGAGCGGTTACGGTGGGAGTAGCACCGGTGCCGGTGCTAGCGCGGGTGGTGATGGAGCGGGAAGAGGGGGGTTTTTGCCGTCTCCAACACGGCATCACATGCAAGGAATGCATTGGAGAGGGAGTAGTGCTGGTAGTGGCAATGGTAGGGGGGGTGGTTGGGCGGCACAAAGCGTGCAAGCGCAGGCACAGACGCGGGCACAGCAAGTGCCGGCGCAAGTTGGTGTGCGGCACGGGCGACAGGGGCAAGGGCAAGGGCAAATACCGGGGCCAGTACCGTCTGCTCTGGTACCAGGGCCGGGGCTCATTCAGCCGACGACAGTTATACCATCCGGACGCCCCGGACCCGAACCTCAACCTCAATCCGGGCCCGGACTCGGACCGGGACCGGGACCGGCGCTCGTAAGCGGGAACACGGCCAACGCCATAACGGGCTCAATATGGCAATCACAGCCCGACGAGACGGACATCCCCCACCCCGCGCCAGCGCAATGGCGAGGCAGCCGTGATCTGCAAGAACTCAACGATGCGCGCGCGCGAGAGACAGAGTCCGGCCGATGGCCCGTTCGGACATCCTATGGCCCGGCGCCGTTGCCAGCAGCGCCCTCCGCAGTACCGGCTGAAGGGATAACCGCCGTCCCAGCGCCAGCTGCGCTTTCACAGCCAGCCACGCGACCGCAAAAATACTCACCACCACCCGCCATCCCGGCCTCGATTCTACCCACGTTGACCCCCTGGGATTCCCCAATTGAGCCAACGACCCAAGCCACCTACAACCTCCCACCTCATAGCGCCAGCGCCCTCCGTAATGAGCCAGTCGTAAGCCCAACCGCGACGACAACCACAACCGCAGCCGCAGTCGCCGCAGCCCTACCTCCGCTACCGCCCTCAGCAACCGCATCCGTAACCTCCCCTTGGCAACAACAAACACCTAGGAGTAGCCAACCCCACTCCAGCTATCAAACCGCCTCGGTAGGGCCACCACCTGCCTCAGCACCAGCATCAGCACCAGCACGGGAATCAGCAACAACCACGACGGCAGTCCCTGCAATCCGTCCCGTGACGTCCCAACAACCCACTACCACTACCGCCACCACTGCTACCAGCGGCCCCTTCATGCACTACGAAGACATCGATTACTTCGCACCTGCGGCCGACTTTTCTTCCGACGAGCTCCAAGAAGAGGAGCCGACTCAGAATGAAAACCAATACAACCAGTACCAAAACCAGGACCAAAACCAGACTCAGAACCCGTACGAGACCCAGCACCAGAACCAAAACCAGAACCGACAACGCCTAAGCCATCAACAACAACAACAAACACACCACCACCACCGCCCCCCAGCCCTGCCACCCAAAGACGAATCCCAAATCGATCCAATCATCCCCATGGGCATATCCGCAACCGACACCTTCCCCCCTATCCCCGCAGGTTTCCCGGACCGAGGCGAAGCACGGCGTTCTTGGGATCGACAGCGCAAACAGCGGAAAGCGAAAAGAGCTCAGGCACAAGCACAAACTCACACCATGGCGGTGGTGGGTAGTGGTGGTGGTGCCGGTTATCCGGGTCCAGGGGGAGGTGATGAGGGAGAGGAAGAAGATATGGGTGGGAAGAGGAAATGGCACGAGGGGATAATGGGACGGGTACGAGGGATTAATTTCGGAGGAGCAGCAGCAGCAAAGGAGCAACAATTAACACCACCGCCATCACAACAACAACTTCAACCACAACCACTACAACAACCACGACCACGACCACTATCACCATTCCAACAAGAACTAGCAGAGGAAGAAAAACAACCGGGAACAAGGCTCGGAAGCAACTTCACCCGCAAATGCGGCTCCTTCTGGCGCTACTGCTACCACTGGCTCCCCGAAATCGCAGGCTGCATCATCGCCATCATATGCCTCGCCGTAATAGCCGCGGTGCTCAAAGCCTACGACGGCCGAGGGCTGGCCGACTGGCCGCTCACCGTGTCGCTCAACACGGTGATAGCTTTCCTGGTCGCCATCTGCGAGGTCGCGTTGGCCGTGCCTCTCACCGAAGGGCTGTCACAGCTGAAGTGGAACTCGTTCGCCCGAGGCGAGCGGCCGTTGGCTGATTTTGGTGTGTTTGAGGACGCGAAACGTGGGCCAGTTGGGAGTGCCATGTTGCTTTGTAGGAGAAAGGGAAGGTGTGTGAAATACCCTTCTCCCCTTTTCCCTTATTTACCTACCCTTGGTGTTGTAATATTGTGCGCCCGCGGGCGGGCGCGTGTGTGTGTGACAAGTTGTTGTGATGACTCGAAATGCTGATCGACTGGTGACAGGGCGCTCGGCATGTCTGCGGCCACGGCTCTCCTGACTGGCTTCCTTGTCTCCCCGCTGACGCAAGGCGCCGTGACCTATCGTATCCGAAATGTCGAGGCTGGCAGCGGCACCGCCGCCATTGCTAGGAGCGAATCATACTCGCATCCTACGCCGTATGGTATGTTGATCTTCCCTCCCGTGTCATTTTTCCTCCCCCCTTCCCAACTGCACCACAGCTTCTGACTCGACGCCCACCTACCTACCAGAGACCCTTGACGCCCGAGAGAAGCGAGCAATCCAGTCAGGTATCTACCACGCGGTTGACACCGAAGTCCCACCTTTGCAGCCGTTGTGCAGCTCGGGTGACTGCCAATGGGCGAGTTTCAGCTCGCTGGCCGTGTGTGCCGCGGTCGCCGACGTATCCGACAGACTCGCCGTATCCCACCAGACCGAGGCGAGGAGCCTGGGCGTGTCGCTAGGAAAGGCAAACAACAGCCCCATTCATGCGGCCCGCCTCCCGAACGACCTGTTTCTGGTTGGCAGCCACAGTAGTTGCAACCTGAATATCTCCTGGCCGGCCTCCGCTTCGTCCTTGAAGGGTATCAGGGACAACACAGGCAGTGCCGGCGGGGGTACCTTCCTTCCTGTGAAGACCAGCCTCGCGTTCCCAGACCAGGATGCCAAACTGTCGAGCGCCATCGCAAATTTCTTTGTCGTATACACCAACCAGACTGCTGCGTCCACCCCGGCCTTGCAGACAACGGCGTTTGGTGCTGCAGAGGTCCTCCTCCACTTCTGTGTCAACACCTACGAGGCCTCAACTTCCAGGGGGGTGTCTACGAGCAAAGTGGTCCACTCGTCGGCTCTCGCGGCAGAAGATGTGTCGGGAAGCTCACCCGTCAGCGCCAGAGATACGTCTTCGGACGTTGATCGTGTCGTTTTACGGTCAGCCAGCACCTCAACGACGTACTCTGTAAACCGGGAAGATGTCAGGCTACTCAACGCCTATATCAAGTCCCTGTTTTCGGGGGTATATTCGCAGCAGCATGGGAAAGCGATTGGTGGCGAAAGCGCCACGAGTGAGGCGCTGGGCCTCGCCATGTTCCGGCGTGGAACTACAATGAACGATGTCGAGATGCGGACCGCAGTTTCAAACCTGACCAACAATGTGGCGATCAGCCTGACTAACACGCAAGTAGATTTCCTTGGACTTACCGTTGTTTTTCAGCTTTCCCCGTTCACTAAGCCACAACCCAAGTGGCTTGATCGGTCCCCCCTTTCCCCTATTCCCTGTTTTCCAAGTTTTCTTTTTTTCCTTCCTTCTTCGTTCCAAGGTTTCTCTTATTTCGGCCCAACACCCGCTGCCTTATATTGCCACCTGTCGGTTGGGAAATATCGCGGTGATTCTGGAAGCCTAGGTTTCACAGCCGCAAAAAGGTAACCGCCGGCATTAAGCTAACATTGGCTTGACTCCAGAATACGTGCCATGGGCTCAGCCTCCGAAAGCGGCGCCGTTTTTACAACGGAGAGCTACGTCCACATTCAGTGGGCCTGGCTGACGTTCCTCGCCATTCAGGTAGCCCTTGGGGTCAGTTTTCTGCTGGGCATAATGGTCCAGACAGCTGTCTGGAATGTCAAGATCCTCAAGGGATCATCCACAGCCGCGTTGTTTGCTATTCCCGCGGATAAAAAAGCATACCTAGAGGAACACGAAAACATGTCCCTTGATATGGACTGGGGGAGTAGAGGGTCTCAAAAATTGAAGACCATCACCTGCAGGTTTCGCCCACAAGAAAGGGGTTGGAGCTTGGAGGCGGACAAGAGGGAGGATGGGTAGCCCCTGATCACAATTGAGACACGGACTGCACCTCGTCAATATACCGTGAGTCAACATACCGTGACGGCCCCCAAATTTCGCCGTCGTGAGCTCAAAACGGTGCAAAACCGCTCGTCAACCTGACCGCTCTCGGCCTGTCTTGATTCGGCTGAGCCCGTGATTTCCCGAGGCTCTGATATTCTCCTGCACAAACGTCGAGTGTATGCAAAACTCACCTCGGCGGTTGGCCAAGTAGAAAGTCGACGCGGCAGCACTCCGCTTGCGGCACCCGATAGGACCTCAATGCTTTTAACCCTGTTAGTACTTTGCAGGTGCATGACTGCTCGCATGCTGCAATGCTCTGATTATCTGACCCTCCGCGCGGGAAAAGACAAGAGAGAATTTCTGATCGTGACCCCGAGAAACCGCGCACCCACGGCACACGACCAATCCGAAAACATATCAGCCTGTCTTGACCGGCCCCCGAACACTACATGGTCATCAGCGCGCCTCAGAGCATTGACGACGCCGGCGTGTGTAACCAGGCACCAGAGTCAAGTCGCTCCGAGCGTTTCTCGACCGCAAAAAGGAAAATGCGATTTTGGGTTTCGTCTGGCATCATTGGCTGGCTTCGGCATCCCAAGCGATTGCGACATGGCAGCGGTTGCGGATGTCGTCTCTTGCGTGTTTCGCCAAAGAGTCCAAGGCAGGGCGGGACTTGGGGAAACACAATGTAACGGCGGGATGAAGCTGCTTTGTGGTCACTTCCATTCTCCGCTGCCCTCGTCTCTGCCCGTGTTTCCCCCCGGGCCGCCCCGCGGGCGTGTCGTGGGCGTTTGTCGCTTGCGTGTAGGATTCTCTCTGGTTAAGATCGGCCTGTGGTGTCTGTCAGCGTGATATTGATCCGCGAGGTTGGTCGGAGTGGAGAGGAAAGAAGCAATAGTCAGACCCCAAACGTCACGCTGGAATGATTGGGCCGTTCTGGTGGGTTTGGTTGTACAGGTAGCAATGCATGAAGGAAAACGCAAGACGAGGGGAGCCGAGGGGGGGCCACTGAGAGGAGGCATTGAACGTGGGGAAAAGTGCAGTTGTGGACGGCTTTTGTGGTGGCTACTCGCTCCTTCCCTTGCAGGTCAGTTGCTGCCCTGTGTGGACTCGAACCGCTGGCCCCCCCTTTCCCGCTGTCTCTGCATCCGCATCGTTCCTGCCCGAGCCTTCAAAGTCCGTGGGACATCTCGCCGTTCCTGTCCAATATCGCCCAATCAGGCAGATTGCCAACGGGCTGATGTGCTTTGATAGGGCGGGCGAGTGTCTGTTCCAAACGCCTGTCCCTTTCCTATTCGACACCTGCAGACGCAACCTCCTCGCCCGTCGTATCTAAGTTCACGCATGGCCGTGGGGTAGCGCCGTGAATCGCAAACATCGGCCCTGCAGCGATTCTGCTTTACAAAGACGGGCAGCGAAGCGCTACGTGTCGGTGGGCTAGGCTGTTTTCAAGGTACCGGTCGAGTGATAGCCAGCAGTTTGATGAATCTCCATTCTTTCTATCTCCCCTCTTCTCCCGGTTGGAGCCAATCCGGGCATTTGTTATACCCACCTAGCGCGGGGAGTGTCGACGAGCTCGAGGGAGGTGGTCAGAGTTGCATGAGGTCACATTCTCCTCTCAAATTGGGGGAAGAGATGTTCTTGACCACGCCGTGCAGTGGCCGCGTCGGGCCTGAGCAGGACAGTCTAGTGTGCCTTAATGCAGTATCCGTATCCCCAAGTCTTCCTTTTCGTTTTGGCGTGCCGATATTGAGTAAGGCCCCGCCTAACGAATATGCTATGTCCAGTTCGAGTATGGAGAGCCAAGTGTCTTGCGCGGCCCTGGCATGTTGATCATCGGGAACCTAACACACGCATTCCGATATCTCAGATCCAACGCGGTGATGAACAGCCTTGGCATTCCGTGTGCAGTTTGGGGTCGGGGGACCCTTCGCCCAAGTCTCAGACCGAAGACCTCCGACCCTGCGGTGGGAAAACGGGTTGTGGAGCCGGCGACGAACCCCCCGAAGTTTCGTGAACCACCAATCGGGTCGCTCACTCGCGGTGAGGCTGGCCCCTGCCGCCAGCCTCGGTCGGCATTGAAGACCAGATCAGCCACCGCCGATTGGCTGCTGCCGGCGAGTTTGCTTTACGTAAAGCCACAATCTGCCCTGAGCTTTCTCTTCAACACTTCGAAATCCACGCTGCTGTCACATGACCTCAGAAAACGGGGGTTAGGGTCGAAGTTGGGGAAGTTGCGGACCAGGGTCTGCGTGGGGGGTTCTGAGACAGCTGGCGAACATCCCCTGAGTGGCCCATCATGTAAAATACCGCGAATTCATCCACAAGTGTTGCGGCTGTTGGCTGGACGCAGGGCACGATGCTTCTTCTTGACCCCAGTTCGCCTAAAAAATATTGAGCAGCTGGCCCTTCATGAATTGGGCTTTGGGCACTGCTAGGAATTGTATTCTGTGCATCGCCCACACTCCCCCCGGTTGTGGTAACCGGCCCCCTCTCATCGATATCATGGAGAGGACAAGAATGAAACGGGTAAGACGACGACAGAATCCAGGGCTGCTGCCGCGCAAGAATTGAGGTGATGAGGAAGGAAGTCGAATGGGTGAAGGATGGGGGTGTGTGGTTCAACATGGTGGTGGAACTCCACTGGTCGGTCTGCGCGGTGAAGGGCAATGGCAGGGTCCACGTGGTTCTCGTTGGGCATTCTCCCCCCCCAGGGACAAATGAACTTATTGGGCTTGTCTGAATTGAGCCTCCAACCGAGAGCATACCGCGGGTGGGATTTAATTCTGGAAGGGATAGAAAAAGAACCACCCAGCCGCAACGTGCCGGAGTCGGGGGGCTCAGGTTACAGCGCTGCGAGCGAGGAAGGAACCGTGGAGCTCATCTACGCTCGGCTGCCCGCATCTCATGCTCGTTCCTGCCAGCCAAGCAGTAACAGCCCGAGAACTCCTTCCTCACCTCGCTCGTCTACCGCGCTAAACAGCAAAAACCTTTCTGTTTGGCACTTATCCCCGTCCCGTTCCTCGTTGGGTGGGCTCCTCAGGCATTGACCCTTCATTGTACACCACACCAACACTATTATCGTGTGCTTCACACCCCGCATCGTCCGCAGTTTGCACCGTTACCTCTCTCATTATCACCTTGTATCAGCATTGTTCCTGTACTTTTACCGGCCCGTTTTTACCCCCGGCTTTCCCACAGCCCAGACCTGCCTACCTGCTCCCAACGGCCGGCTCACCTTACTCACCAGTCGAACATTAATCCTCCGGACTCGGCCTTTCGGTCAAATCAGCTGCGGAGCGGCTCCCGGCGTGCCACCTCATCGAGCTCAATCCTCCGTCGACAGCGTGTCTGTGCGAGGACCCGCCCAGTTGACGCACCTCGGGATTTCTCGCTCGTGTGAACCCTCACTTATTTTATTCTACCAACACTTGTCCCTTGCCGGCGGGTCTGGCATCTCTCTGAAACGTCTTCGGCCGGTTTTCTCCCCCAGTTGCGACAGTGGATATCCCGCAGAGTCCGCCGCACGGCCAACTCGCACATCCAGGCTACGGAGTCTTGTCCCTAGTTGTTGTTAGACAACAGGGCGGGCTGAGAAGGAGAGAAGCCGGGCTCTACTTTCCGTTACGTTGTTATCGACATGGGATTTTCATCCGGGGCTCTCAACGACCTCGTCTAAGTGCCTGCACCCTAGGATGCATCCGGCCTCCAACCCGGCCGAGGCGCCGCCGCCTAGCAATAATGATGGCCCGCGCCCCGCGTCACACTTACCGGGCAGCCCCGAAAATCACCTCGCCTCAAATGCCCCCTCCGATGGGCATCTCCTTCACCCGGACACGAACTCCCCACCCGCACGGAAAGACACCTCCTCGTCGATTTCGACCGCTGTAACTGGCTTGACTTCGGCAACCGTTGGCACAGATGACACTCCAGGGACGCCCTACAGCAGCGTCGCTTCATCGCCCACCACCTTTGCCTCAACCCAGGCGGTTTTCTCCGCAAGGGACGGGACTAATGTGGCCCCGCAACGACGTGCGAGCCGGCGTCGGACCGGCCCCTTGACGGCTGTCCAGCGTGAGCGTGCCCACCTGATTAGGAAAATGGGAGCTTGCCCTGACTGCCGGCGGAGGAGAGTCGCGGTAAGTACTCGTTCATCCTTGTATCACAACCTAGCGAACGCTGCCTAGCTCACACGAGCATCCAGTGCCACCCGAACCATCACAACATGACCTGGGAAGACGCCGCAAAAAGGTTCAGATCACACGAGCCATCTACCCAGGCCCTATCACCCATATCGGGACCCCCAATAAGCCCTGCGCAACTTAATTCTAGGGGGTCATTCTCTCAGGACGCTAGAGAGATGGACCTTGACATTTCGCCAACGCAACAGCACGTCCAACCGGCCTTGAGCAGAACCCCGCTTCCGTCTGGGCCACGGCCAGACAAGCATACGCATTTGCCGCCCCTCCCTGGCTTCGAGAGCTTCAGGACGGACCTACAAGGGAGCGCCGACAGGATTTTGGGAAGCCCTTTCCGTAGTCGATACGGTAGCGTTTCCGTGCTCTTAGTCCGGTGGCAGGACGATGACGACCTTGAAGCCCAGGACGCTCTTAACGAACTCGCCAAGACATTCCACGACATCTACCACTATACGGTGTACACCAAATCCATCCCATCTAGGACAGAAGACTCCAGGACCCCGTGGCTATGGCTAACACAGGCGGTCACGGAGTTTGTGGGGGATCACAATCAGCGCGACTGTCTGAAAATATTCTACTACAGTGGATATAGCTACTTGGATGGTGGCCGAGAGCCGGTACTTGCTAGGTAAATGGTTTTGTTGTTTTTTACTCCGTGCCCCGGCATGTCTTGCGCCTAAATGCTTACCCCATCGCTAGCTCTAAGCATGCCGACCCAGCCTCGGTCATCCGATGGAGCAGTATCCAGCAGTTCTTCGAGAACACTCGTTCTGACGCGTTACTTCTTATGGACTGCGCATACTACCCCACACACGCAAAATCTCGGGGGTTGGGTATGTTGGAGTTGATTGCTGCGTGCGCCGGCGAAGACCACGTTGAACTTCTCGGTAGAAGTGCTTTCACTCGCGCTTTGGCAACGCAGCTACGGAAGAGAATCGGCCAGCCATTCAAGGAGCCGTTTTCTGCGGCCGAGCTCCACGCCAAGCTGGTGTCGTTATATCCCGAGATAGCGCAAGAACGTCACCCAGAGAGGGAAGTCGTCACGAGGTTTCCCATGCCGTTGAGCATGCAGGTTTCCGGTAGCAAGACGCTACCGTCTATCTTGCTCGCGCCGCTGCGACACGACGCACCCACCAACACATCTAGTGGGACACACATCAGTATTACGTTTCGGTTGACGGATGACTCGTTCGACATGGACGCCTGGGCCGAGTGGTTCCGTACAATGCCCGGAGGAATCAGGGAGGCGAGGGTGGAAGGCCCTTATCGCGATACGTTACGGTAACAGCAGTGGGCGTAGCTCTGCTGTGAGATGGGCGGCGGCATTTGGGCTTTAGCCTATGCCCTTTGTCGCCTACTCGGGAGGCTGACGGACGCAAAATGCCCACGACGTTCTCAGACCCGCCACGGTCAAGTTTACTTTGTTTGTGCTTCTTCTTGTTTGATATGTTGCAGCGTTTTTGTTGTCTCTTTCTGAGAGTTATGGAAGGGTTTCATGATGATGAAGTTTTGTATGTTCTAATAGAGTCAATGGCTGGGGGTTGTTTGCTTGGTTTCTCAGCCGTCATATTTTGGCGGGCTTGGGAAAAGTGTTCAGACGAGTGTCGGGGGATCAAAAAGGAGAAGGAGGAGGCATGTTGTGATACAAGAAGCTTCCTGGGTGACCAGTGGTCATACGCAAGGCTATCAGGCCAGGTCGCCCTGTCTTTCTAAGGGGGTTGGTTTATTTTGTTTTGGATTGATGTGCGATATGAAGAGGGCGCAGCCGCAGCCGATGCTAGGTTCCATTGCGATTTCACGAAGCATATCAGGCTAGGCCCCGGGAGGAGCTGGGAACAAGAATCAACAAAACAAAAAGCCAAAGTTCATCATCCTAATCTGTCTAGTGGTATCATCGATCCTACACATGCTCAAATCTACACCATGATACACGCAGCGCCAGTCAGACTGGGCTGGTCGAATACGAAGAAGAAAAAACAAAAAATGAGACCACCTCAACAAAACACCTGTTGCTCCCGGTTTCTCCTAAGACCCACCGATCCCTCGTTATACCAAAACGCCCGCGGCAACCAGCGCAATGACCAACGCCCACCCAGACCTCCCCATAACGCGCACACCAGCCGATTCACCACTGCCCTCATCCCCGATCTTGAACGTAGGATTATACTCATCACCGCCGCCGCCACCCACGACATTCGCGTTCGCCCCGGCGGTCTTACCGTCCCAGCAGTACTTCTCGAAGCACGACTTGCAGGCCTGGGGCACTTGGGTTTTGGTACGGGTCCAGCTGCGGCTGAGCACGGCGCAGGCGACACAGGTGGTCCAGCGGTCGTCGAGGGTGCCGTTGCCCTGGGTCGCGGCCTCATAGCCGTTGCGGATGATGGCGTTGCGCTGGTCGAGCGGGTAGGATGGGGTGAAGGTGGTCACGTTGGACATGGTGATATAGGGGGCGTTGGGGATGTAGATGAGCAAGGGGGGCACGGTGGAACCGCCCGAGGTGGAAAAGTTGCCGGCGTCGCAGCCGAAAAAGGTCGGGCGGTTGTTGAGCCCCTGGGCGATGAAGGTGCGGTCGTCGGGGACCGGGGGGAAGAGCGTGCCGTTGGCGATGGCGCCCGCGGTGCGGTCGAAGCTGGCGCGCAGAGCGGTACCGTTGGGCCAGGCGTAGTTGGTGTCGGCGGAGGAATCGACGGCGAAGATGGCGTCGACGGCGCGGAAGGGCTGAATCAGCGGGTGCAGGGGGATGTTTTGCAGGTCCATGCCGCCGTCGACGAGGTCGAGCTCCTCCGTCTCAGCGGACGGGTTGGTGCCCTTGTTCCAGCCGAAGAAGGGGTTGGGCACCCACTGGGCGATGTCGTTCTTGGAGGCGTCGAGGCCGTCGAGCACCGCGGTCCCTGCGTCGATCAGGAAGTCGGGCACGCCCTCGACCGAGGAGATGTTTTGGAGCAGGAAGGCGTTGAAGAGCGAGCTGCTGGTGCCGAAGATGTAGCTTAGCGAGTCGAAACCGCGGACGCACTTGCCGTTGCTGGGGATGACACCGCCGGAGAAGTTGGAGGCCAGGTACCGCGTCGGGGCGAAGCCGTACGTGGTGGGATCCCACGAGCCCATCTCGAACGGGTTGAACTCGAACACCGTCGCGTTGAGCGAGATGATCTTCTCGTCAGGTGCCCGGCCGTCGGCGACGAGGATGGGGAACGGCGCGCGGCCGTTGGAGAAATCGTCGTCGTCAGCGATGCTGGAGAAGGTGTACGACGGACCCCCCTCGGGCGCATCGATCAGCTGCCAGGCCAAAGCACGGCCCCAGTAGTCGGTGATGGACGTCTGGAACCCTGCGTCGTCCTTGTCGCTGACCTGCTGGGCCACCTTGGCCCAGTACCTAGCTGAGTCCAAGATGCCGGGCAGGTCCGGACCGATAAAAATGGAGTTATCAAACCGCCACAGGCTGCTGTCCTTATTCCCATTGCGCAACGTCTCGATCGAGCTGAAGTTGTTCGCGTAGATACTGCTCACCAACCAACCACCACCCGACAAGCCCGCCAGATAGGTACTGGCCTGCAACAACCCACCAATCCCCCCCTCATCCGTCGACCCAGCCGTACGACTATCAGCAGCAGCCACGAATCCAGCACCATTCATCAACGCGCGGTAACCACCTCCCGAAACGGCGATACCGATGTTAGGCAGGTCCTTGACCCCCGGGGCGACTTTGTTGATGTACGCTTCGGCGTCGAATCCGTCGATGTTGGCGCGCTTGAGGAAATCGATCAGGGGGTCTACTGTCTGGGGGCGCCGCTTGGCGAGCCAGTCGGTTTCGCTCTTGGAGAGCCCGCTGGCTTTGCGGATGGTGGGTTTTTCTTGTGGGCAGGGGACTGTGGCGGGGGCGTAGCCGTTGGGGGCGTCGGGGCGCGCGCGGATCGAGAGGCCGTTGTTTTCTGATGGGACGAGGTTTCGTGGTGGTGTCCCGGCGGTTGAGGCGGATGTGGAGTGGGGGAAGAGAGCAGCTGCCAGCGGCAGGAGAGTGTGGAGATGCATCGTGGGTGGTTGTAGTTGTAGGTTGTAGTTGTGATGTTATGGTAGTCGAAACTCGGTAAACGGTGGGAACCTGGAAAGAGGCCCCGTGTTCATGGGTGAGAAAGAGAGAATAAGAAGCTTTTCTTGAAAATGTCCGGCTGCTGCAGTTCCGAGTCGTGTCCCGAGATAAAGCCTACTTGTTGATCACCAGGCCCAAAGATTCCAAAGGCCCCCTTTGTTGGGTATGAGGCGGGCGATGCCAGTTGGCGTGGCGTCGATTCGGGAATCAAGTTTCGAAACTTGAGTGAAAGAAAGAGTGTGGAGTGGAAGGAGAGGAGGGAAAATGTATTAAACCACTCCAGATTGCAAAGTAACCCCGGGTTGAAAAACAAAACCCAAATCAAGAAAGAAGAATCTTGGGTGTAAAGTATGTATGTAATATTGGTGGTGACCGACCAAAAGCCGAGGACGGGAAGCGGGTGTAGCAGGTTTTGGTTTTGGTTTGTGTACTCCGTAAACGAAACCAAAATGTAAATCGAATCTAACCTGCCTGGCCACTGCAGACCAGATCGGATCAGATCAGAAACAAACAGCAGCAACAAAGATGTTGTGGAGGTGGCTGGTTGGCTGGTCTGGGGCTGGTCTGGGGCTGGGCTGTGTGGGTTTGTTTATATGCGACCGATGGTGGTTGATGTTGTGTCACGAGAGGCGGAGAGAGGGAGGGTGTACGTGTAAGGCAGAATAGAGAATAAAATAGTGAGTGAGTGTATCGTAGACCAATAAAAATAGTTAGTATTAGGTGAGAAGAATTAAGCTTATTCTCTTGGCCGAGAGAGAGAGTGTGCGAGGTAACTAGTTCTCGGACTGAGAATTGTGGTGGTGTGTTTGTAGTTATGGAATTATGAGGCGGTGGTTGAGACGGGAGGTCGCCGGTTTTACGTTTCAGGGCAGGCAGCACAACACAACGCCCGCCGCCCACCCGCCGCGCCGAGAGCGCAGGGTCCAGTGTGGACTGGACGACGTTGGGAAGCAGTGAAGGTGGGATGGGCGGCCGCCGGGCGCCCCGGATGACCCGGTCGGGCCGGGACTGGGGAAACGAGAGCAAAGATGGAAGTTTGGAAACTGCCTACCCGGATAGGCCGCTTTGGTTGGTGGGGTGCTGCTGCTGACGGGGGGTGGGTTGTTTGGGCTTGGTTGTTTGCTCGTGTGCCGCTTTCGCGATGGGTTTTCGGCATTGCGAAGCCGGGTGCTGTCTCGTCTCGTCCCTTTTTTTTCCTGCTTCTTCGTCTTTTTCCAATTCAGTATCCCCTTCTCTCTTGCCGTTGTTCTTCCAAGGAGAACCCAGCAACGGGAATCTGCTACCGAGCCACCCGTATCCAAGGGTTCCCACCCTGCTGGATAACTTCTAAATCGGGAAATTCTTTCTCATTTTGCCTCCCTGACGGGACGAGGGGACCGAGGGGGACCTCTGACGCGTGCGCACATCATCAGGGCCGAGCAATGGACATTCGGAGTTTCATGCGGCATGTAACCAGCCCCACAAGGCCGAAGTGAGTGGGGCCCTGCCAAGATCGGTTCAAAAGTTTTGTCCTGGGCTAGGGGTGCGATCATCAGCAGTTGAGATCGGAGAGAACCAGGACTTGGGAAGAAGTGACGTTGAAAAGGGAGGGGGAGGTTACGTCGGGTACGATGATCGGACTGAACATACATACACGTACATACAGACGGGCTCATTATCGATTTGCCCGCGCCGCAACGTTTCGCGCTGTTTACCACAAAATGGACGATGCAGAAAAATAAAATAAAATAAAATAAACCGAGGCACGCGAAGATCTGCACCACCCAAGTGGATTGGCACACGACTCAAAGGCTTGGCAGGGACTGGGCATGGAACAGCGGGCAGCGCGGGAACGAGAAGCGCAATTTGGAAACTGCATTGCATGGGGAAACCAGGGGGGGAAGAGAGACAGGGGGGTCACCTTCCCGTGCAACCGTGAATCCCCCACCAAGCGCCGGACTGTTCTCCAATGGATGCGGAAAGAAAAAGCACAACTTCGGTCTTCTCCAGGTCTCACGTCATGCGACTTTTTTCCGTGTTCATCGTTTAAGCAGCGGTGGCATGGGGACGCGAATTCTCGGGGCTGTGGAACAGTCCGAACTGCAGCTGAACTCGGAGCTGAACAAAATAATAACCAGTTAACGGTGATTTGGGGATGTGACTGCGGCTGGCAAGTCATTCAATGTCAGCGGCCGTCGAAATTTTGGGCTTCTTATTCGTTGTTCGGGTTCTGACAAGCGGATGATGGGCTGACTGGTACGTTAACTTTGACGTTCATCCCACCATTCATTCGGTCTGAAAAATCCGAGTACACCTTCGTGATACGCTAGTTATCGGACTAGGAAACAAAACAGCCTTATGATGATGCGGCCAACATCTCGGTCGGCCGCAATTGTCCACCTCGGGCTGTCACAGGATTTGCATCAGTCCCGCCTGGCCACCACTTTCCTGGCCAAGCTTGGGACTGCTAAACGATAACATTCGTTTATTCATTCTGGTTCGTTTAGCCTCTGTTGACATGAGATGTAATACCCCTCCCTTCAAACTGGGAATCGAGAATGCCAGTTTTGCATTTTCTCAACACACCGTCCTTGTAGTGCACACTACGCTACACTAGCGTACTAACCTTATTCAAACTGTGCATTCATCACACGGACAGCGCGAAACGCAGGGTCCAAATTAAACTAGTGAGACCTTCAACGTCGTCTCGACAAGGGGTTGAAGAATTCACCGCCACGTTATCGTGTATTTACCCTTTTGGGATACAAGTCGACAGGAGCTACGCGACAACGACACACGACGTTGATCTACAACATCACGCGAATCACACGGTAACGTATCTTGTGTGGTGATACGTCCTCTTCGAGGTAAAAACATGCAGACGACGCCATCAGGGTGAAGAAAACACCGAAACACGAGGTTTCACACAGCTGTCTGCAATTTCGGTTGTCTGTTCGAGCGGCCGCTGGAGAGTTGCACCCAACGCCTGTTTTGATTGATAGTTTGATCCGGATGATCGCGAACTTTTCTTTCTAGATGGTGCATGCGGGGAGATATATCCGATCCAAAAATGAACAAAAAAGGAAACGAAAACTAATTACTGATCCAGGGTCGCCAGCCTGATGCTGACTGCCCTCCGGTGAGCCTCGAGCTCCTCGACCTTGGCAAGCTGCATCACCGCCTCGCCCACATTCCGAAGGCCCTCTGCCGTCAGGTTCGAGCTCGTGATGTGCTTGACAAAGGACGCCAAGTTGACGCCCGAGTATTGCTTGGCGTAGCCATATGTTGCTAGATCACAAGCCGTTAGTATTAACTCGGAAAGAAAGGGGGGGAGGGGAGAGAGAGATGGGTGAGAAGGGGAACTGACGAAGCGAGTGGTTCACACCAGCCGAGTAATCCCCCACGCTCTCCGGCGTCCACTCCCCAATAAACACACTCCCCGCATTCATCACCTTCTCCACGACAGCCTCCGCATCCCGCAACTGGAGAATCAAGTGCTCCGGCGCATACTTGTTACTAATCTCCATCGCCTCATCGACCGTCTTAACCCGCACCGTAAGCGAGTGGGCGATCGACCCCCGCACAATATCCACGCGCGGCAGCGCCACGGCCTGGTTGTGCACTTCCTCCTCGATAGCCGCCAGCTGGGCATCGGTCAGGTCGACGGCGATGAGCACCACCTGGCTGTCGACGCCGTGCTCGGCCTGCGAGAGCAGGTCGGACGCGACAAACGCCGGGTTGGCGTCCTTGTCGGCGACCACGAGCACTTCGGAGGGCCCCGCCGGCATGTCGATGCTGACGCCGGCGTTGGTGTCGTTGCTGACGTACATTTTGGCGGCCGTGACGAACTGGTTGCCGGGCCCGAGAATCTTGTCGACTTTGGTGATGCTCTCGGTGCCGTAGGCCATGGCGGCCACGGCCTGGGCGCCGCCTGCGAGAACGATGGATTCGGCGCCGACTTTGTGGGCGGCGTAGACGATCTCGGGCGTGATGGTGCCGTCGGCGCGAGGCGGGGAGGCGAGGACGATCTTTTGGCACCCGGCTACCATCGCGGGGACGCCTAGCATGAGGGCTGTGCTGGGGAGGACCGCGGTGCCGCCGGGGACGTATAGGCCGACGGCTTCGATTGGGCGGGAGAAGCGGCTGCAGACGACGCCTGGCATGGTCTCGACTTGAAGGGGTTTCTCTTCCTTTTGGGCCGCGTGGAACTTGCGGATGTTTTCGAAGGATACGTCGATCGCCTTGATGGTCTCGGCGGGCAATTGCATGAGCGAGGGGTGGAAGGGGGCTTTGAGAACGGGGGAGGTGAGGGATGTCGCTTTCTCGAACTTGTGGGTGTAGGCGAGGACGCCCTTGTCGCCGTTCTTGCGGACATCATCGATAATCGGGGTGACGATTTTCAGGATGGCGTCCGACGATTTCTGTGATGGCCGTCTCAGGGCTTCGTCGAGCTGTGCTGTTGACGTAGTAGCCATGTCGTACACCTTCATCGTGACCCGGTCCGACGCAGCCGCCTCCTCCTTGGGCGCTTCCTTCACCGGAACCACCGGCTCGTTTGTAGCGGCAACCTTGATACCTTCTTTCTCTGCCCACTTGCCCTTGGCGTCCCCTGTCCTCCGCTTGACCTTGAAGCTCTTGGCATCAAGGCTCTTTTCAATATCCGCCAGCGTCACACCGGCACCCACAGCCTTGGTCAGGGCAAAGTAGATAAGATCCGCAGCCTCAAAGGCCACTTCCTCGGGCGTCTTCGCATCACAAAGCTCCTCAGCCTCCTCCATAATCTTGGCACGCAGCAACTTCTCATCCGAGAAGAGACGGGCCGTGTACGAGCCCGCGGGCGCCGACTGTTTCCTCGACAAGAGCGTCTTCTCCAGTTTGGAAATGCCCTTCAGATCCCCAAAGCACCCCGACTGATCCAAGTGACAGAAGCGCCCCTTTTGCCGGACCACAAACTTGAGCGCGTCATTGTCGCAATCCAGGGATACCCGGACGAGTTCTTGTGTGTCCCCCGACGTCGCGCCCTTGTACCACAATCCGCGCTTCCGGCTCTGGTAAACGCCCGTCTGGGTCTTGATCGCCTCGCCCACGCTCTCCTCGCTGCTGTACACCAGCCCCAGCGCCGTGTTCAGCTCGTCGACCACCACGGTGGGGATCAGACCATCTGGGCGGTCCGACTTCCAGGTGGAAGCTAGGATCTTGGACACCGCAAGCTTGCCTGGTTGTGTGGTGCTGCTGAGGCCCGTAGATGGAAGGATGGGTACGGCTTTGTACTCTGCCGCGAGCTTGACGAACGCTTCCAGGTCGGCCCCCGCAGCGGGCTTGACAAACAACGGCTCGATCTTCTTGGCCTTGAGCTGCTCGACGCCTGGCGAGGCTAGGTCCAGCCCAGAGACCAGCAGGCCGTGCTGGGTCCCAGCCGACGCCACATCCGCGATCTTGTCCCCAGCCAGAACGGCAGCGACCCGCGATCCAAACTCGGCGAAGTCAGGCAGCTGGTCGGGCCGCACAAAGACCTTGCGCGCACCGCCGTCGAGCAGGGTGATGATGTCCTCGCGGGACTCGAGGCGGGTCACGTCGAAGAAGGGCTGGAACTCGGTGTTGTGGCGTCCTAGGAAGCGCAGCACTTTCTCAAGGGTCGGGGGCGCGACTTCGAAGAAGACGCAGCCGAGACTGGACACTTCCTCGCGGTTGAGCCCTTCCTTTTCGCCGCCGAGGCCGGGGGGCACATTGACGCCGACGAGGAAGGGGAGCGGGAGGGTTGTCTCCATGGCGGGCTCGTGGTCGGGTCGGGTGTTTTTGACCGGGTTTTTTATTATTATTTCTTTGTTATTTCACTTGTAAACCCCTTGAAGCTTCGTCGCAAAATTTGGGGGAGTCATCACAAAGTTTCGAGGGTGGCCCTCCTGTATCGGCACCCACTGAAGGTGGGGTCTATCTGCCCCTCCATGGCTCTGCCGTGTGCCCCTCCAAGTTGGAATTGGTGAATGAATTGCTTTTCCTTTCCAAGCAACGGACAGGGGTGTGATTGGGTGTGCATTGTTCAGCTCCATAAAAGACTGGGAGGTGCGACCCCCAATCGCTAAGGAACGTGGATGGTTACCACATACTGCGCAGGAATTACTGACTAGAAATTTCAGTATCTAACAGCCAATGCATACTATTTAGAGAGAGAGGGGTGGGAGGTACCAATTCTTTGTTATGAATGTTTATTCCTCTGCACGAGTTTACCTTGAGGTGACTTACTCTATTGAGATACAGGGTTAGGGTCGTAAAAATGAACAATGGCCCGTGCGCCTATTCAGGCTCATTGTGCATTGTGGCAGGCAAAGCTATTGTGGCGCCTGCACCTATTGTCGGCTTAGCGCGACTGCGCGTGCTCGGCCAGCATCAGCCATCTCGGCCTTGAACTTTGTTCAACCTCCTGATTCATCACATTGTATCAACCTTTTTAGAGATCCTGACTCCCATCCCACAGTTAACAAAGAACCAGGAAAACTTCCAAAGCTATCCATCTTTCCTAGCCGATTCCTCTCCTAGACCATTGGAAGCACCTCGCTTGATTCCATTCCTCAATCCCTCATCATCACATCGCGACAAACGCTTTTCACCCTTCACATAGCTTCAAGCAAAAAACCATCATGTCCAACGCCGGCGCCGCCGCGCCCCAGATCAACGGCGCTCCGCCCTCCTCTAGCGACACACAGCAGCCCTCCCAGTCGCAATCCGCCTCGACACCCGCTCCCGGCCCGAGCCAGAGCCAAAACCAAAACCAGACGCAAACTCAACAACAAACACAACAACAGCAATCCCAATCCCAATCCCAATCCCAACCGCAACAACCCCAACAACAACCCCACGCCCACGTCCAATCCCTCGCCGGCGTCGGCACCAACCCCGCCCACAACAACAACAACCCCTCCAACCCCTCCACCACCGCCCCGCGCCCCCGCGACGCCCGCACAATCGAACTCCTCCTCACCGCCCAAGGCGTGACCTCCTTCGAGCAGCGCGTGCCCCTCCTCCTGCTGGACTTCGCCTACCGCCACACGGCCTCCATCCTCTCCGACGCGCTGCACCTATCCGCTGACCCGTATACTTCCCACGCCGGCGCAAGACCGTCGGCTGCGTCGGGCGCTGCGCCTGTTAATGTGGGCGATGCGGCGGTTAGTAGTAATGCGGTGCAGTTGGCAATTGCGAGTCGGTTGGGGTTTCAGTTTCGCGGGGGGGGTGGAGGGGGCACGGGGGGGGTTGGGAGCGGTGCTGGAGTGAGCGCAGGTGCTGGATCGGGACCCGGGAGTGGAGGGCCTGGAGTGGGAGGGGCTGGTGGTGGTGTGGGCGGTGGTGGTGGTGCGAGTAAGGAATGGATGTTGGAGTTGGCGCGGGAGAGGAACAAGATTGCGCTGCCGAGGGTGATGCCTAGCGAGTGGGGGGTGCGATTGCCTGGGGAGAGGTTTGTGTTGAGTGGTGTGCCGTGGGGATTGAAGAATGTGTGGGAGGGCCAGGAAGGGATGGATGCGAGTAGTGAGGAGGAGGATGAGGAGGACGAGGGGGATGTGATGATGCTGGATAGTGGTGCTGGGGCGGGTGGGAATAAGGATGGTGATGATGCTATGGATGTTGAGGGTGAGGATGAGGTTGAAGGCGGGACGATTGGGGATGTCTTTGGGGATGATGGGTTGGAGGATGAGGAGATGGCTGAGGCGTGAGTGCCTGCCTGATTATCTGCCTGTCTGTAAATCAGTATCAAGCCTTACCAAGCAATGGGAGGCTATTAAAAAGGGAGGGACGGCAGGAAGAACTCGGTAATCTTTTGAGTTAGGAGTTAAGGGTAGATTGCACAGTACAGTACAATCAGGCATAAGGCGCCATGGCGTTTATCGAGACATTATCAGCCATGCAAGTTTGATGGTCAGGAACTAACAGTACTTGACCAAGAGTGACCACAACGGGAGACTTGACAAGCACGACAAAAGATAGCGAAGATGACAACCAAAGAGACGTACGCCTTCAAGTAATATTGCCCCTAATGCTACGGAAACCATAAGGCCGCTACGCCGCGCTATGCAAAATGTAAAAAACAACAACTGACCCCTCTCCCAAGTCAAACAATCGGTCTACGGTCTATGGCCCTCAAAGGAGGAAAAGGAATACCGCTCCTTCGTAACCATCCGTCAACTCGCTCCCGTCGTTCGTATCCCACCTTCCTTTTGTGTCCTGCAAAGCTCTTCCGAACATCTTCCCGACATCCCAACAGCTGACGATGGTATATGTTCGAGTCTCCTCCCAATGAGCACATTACTTTCACTTCTTGTCCATCCTCAAGTTCTTCACCCCCGTGATCAGCTCAGCATCCACATCGTGGACCCCAGCGCCGCCGTTCGGCGATTTCCGGCCGGGAATGGGCAGTTTCACTTCAACGTCCTCATCAATCTCCACGTCCCCCTCTTCATGCCCTTTGGCACCCTCTTCCACATACAACTCCTCTTCGACAGCGTGCCCGTCGTCGTCGGCGGCGTATTCGTCCTCTATCGTCGAGCTCATCATCCGCTCCTCATCGTAACTCTCGCCCAGGGCGCTGCCTTCGCCGTACTCGTCCACCGAGTTGCGCGAGAAATAGCTCTCCCCCAGACCCTCGCCGACTTCTTCCTCGTCTCCCTCCTCGGCATACTCTTCATACTCATCCTCTTCGGGGCCGTGGGCATCGATATCGTCATCGTCATCCACCTCGTCATCATCGTCTTCATGCTCGCTATCACTCGCGGAAAACTCATCTAGCTCCAGCGGCGTGTCCCGCCAAAAGGTGAAGTCAGTATACTCCTCCCCGCCGCCCTTGACGAGCGTCCCGACGGGCGGGAAGTAGTGATCGACGACCTCGCTCATGTTGACGTAGCTGAGTTTCATGCGGTTGAGGCTGAGCAGGTCGAGCGAGACCTCGGCGTTGGAGTTGATGGTGAAGATGCGGGTGCGCGGCACGTCGACGGTGCGATATGAGATCTGGTCGGTGAACCGGTTGCCGAACCCGGCCGAGAAGGGCGTGCGGTCCGGCCCGTACAGGCTGCGGATGTCGCGGAGGGTTGACATTTTGAAGATGTGCGGCTTGCGTAGATAGATCTCGCGGCGTAAGGCGGCCATTGTTCGGTCGGGCGAGAGGATTGTTGGTCCTCGTGGGAGGCGGTAACCGTCCTGGACGATGCCCGCGAGGTACGTCCGTGTGCTGTCGGCCTGCCCGACGGACCGGCTGGTTAGGTACATGATGTTGTAGCCGTTGGCCACGATGTCGTTGTACAGCTTGGCCACACCTGCGTGGGTCCAGTCTCGTCCGATCATGTTGAGCACATGGCCGAGAGCGTCGGATTTGGTGATGGTCCCGTCGATGTCTGAGATCACCACGGGCGTTTCGTGCTTCCACAGGTACATGTAGGCCTGGCAGGTGGCCCTGTTCACCGTGAAGCTCATCGAGTTCTCACCCGGTTTCAGATCTAAGGCTTTGAGCTGGTCGCTAGTCAGCCGGAGCGTCTTGGCGTAGTTTCTGTTAGGATCGCCTGCGGGCGCGGCTCCGGGCGAGCTGGGAGGGGTCTGCAGGGTCATCTGTCCGACATCCGACTCGGTCCTCCGGTGGTGGCCCGGCGTGGTGGGCGACGCTGTCGCATCGCTGCTGTCGCTCTGGTAACCGGGGTCGGATGCGGCATCGATAGACAGGCCCGGCGGCCCGCGCATTGTCGACTCCATCGCCCTCGCCATGGCTTCGCTCTTGGCCTCTTCGCTGCTGTAGATCCAGAGGTTCCCCCGCTCATCGACGCCAAACAGAGCGCCAATATCGTAGTTGCCATCTAGCTCCTCCGAGAGCACCTTGCGAGCGAGTATTTCTGCTCGGATGGCATCCTCGTCGCTGTTCTTGAAACTCGTCATGTCGAGCATGAGGTCTCCGGTTCCGGTGATGTGTGTTGGGATGCCCACGGCAGCTAGCTCCTTGGACAGGTTGTTAGCCCGCTGTAGAGCTTCCTCCGGGGCGAGGGCAGGGGGGCTCATGGACTGTTCGGGCAACAAGGGGTTATCATCGTCACTCGAACTGTGGTCACTCGACAGCTTCCGCCCGGCTCGTCGGAGGATGTCATCGCTGTAGGGGCGCCGGGGAGAATTCTCGACAGAGGGAGCGCCTTTGGAGAGCTCTGGGGATGTCGAGCGAGGTGTAAGCAGGCCTAATTCTCGTTAGCGGAAATGGTTCTTCCCCTGTTGTTCCTAAACAAAAAAGACGAAGCTGCGTACCGTCTCGGCCCATAGGCTGCAGAACCGTCGGGGGTGGCCGTGTGAAGCTCGCCGAACGAGACTTTCCCACGGGGTCGTTGAGGTCCAGGGATTCAGGCTCTTGTAATGGCGGTTGCCCACTCTGCTGAGGATCGAGAGGTGGGCTAGAGGCGGGCGACACTAACGGCGAGGTCTGCAGGCTCTTTGGGATGGTATCGCTGGTCTCAAACACAAAGAAAGCCTCCCCGCCCTCTCCGAGTTTCATCGAGTACGGCTGCTTCACCCCATTGACTTTGAACTCGACCTTCTTCTCGTACGGGCGCAACAGCGAGAACTTGCCGAATCGCACGTGGAATGGAGAACACGACAGGCTGCCGTCATCTTGCTCGACCACAATCACATCGATGGCCCCGCTGAGGGTGGCCGGGTTGATCGAGTTCCATGCTGTCGACACCGAGTCGCTCAAATTCCGGACGTATTGCATGGCGGGCTAAGGATGGCCAATGACCGGGAAGAGGTGGATGGATGGTAGGAATTGATGATTTCGCTGTTCGCCGTTCGCTGTGCGCTTTTCTCAAAACATGAAGCGGTGGCCTTGCGGCCCAGGGGTAGGAAGAGAGTTTATCTCTTTTGATTTTGTTTTTTTACCGCTTGTTTGTGCAGGGAGAGAGAATAAAAAACCCCGGGGTTTGTGCAAGCCGAGGTGCGAGGTCGGTATTATGGGGTCCTAGAGATCTTTAATCGTCCGTCGCCACACGCCGAGCCGCCGCGGTTCAGGATTCGGGGGCGCAGCGCTTGAATGGATGCCGGCAGGCAGGCTGCTGTCGTTGGGTAGGGTCGCAAGTCCTCGGAGGAAAAGCCAAAAAGATGTAAACACAGGTACAAATAGGTGTAGCCCGACCGGCGGTCGTCGGAGGTTGAGGGGCAAATAATCGAACGCGGCGCTCTCCCGTCGTCTTACAGATGAGAAGTTGGGACCGAGAGGGGGGGTTCGGCAAAGCAACGAACTAATCGCAAACGAGAATCGCGGGGCGGATTGGGCAGCCGGCATCGAGTTAATGCACCGAATTGCATGTGCGTGGGCTGGACCGTTGGACGGGAGGACGCAGCAGAAAGTAACCCGTAAGATAAAAAGGCCCCAACAAAACTAACTATGCGGGGACCCTCCGTCCTTTAACAAATCGTCGCTCCGGACGCGCAAGACGAGAAACCCGAAACTGCGCAACCACAACGTTGCAGAAGCAGGCCAGGCTTCTGACTCTTTGGAAGGAAGCAGGGCGTTGAGCACCTGAGAGCCCCGGGGCAGCATCACGAGGACTCAACAAACGCCGAGATTCCCACCAGTCATCCGCGCTTGACTGGGGCTCCGAGGCGCTGCCAAGCACAGGCGCGGTACTTCCCGCCCACCAATCTCACACCACCAGTTCGCTGGCGGTCTGCTATGGGCCTTGGTACCTGCAAGTTTCAACCTGCCAGACCCTGGGCATTTGAGACCCTTGAAGGTTGAAAGGAATGTCTGGGGTTCCCCTCGCTGATGTCATGGACGCTCAACTTCCCAATTGCGTCTGACAGCCTTGGACTCTTAATGATGAGGGATGACGGGACGAGGGGAGCGAGCGAGACATTGGTTTTCGTTTAGGAATAATTGTCCGAAGGTAATGGCATTGGTACAGAGTGCGAATAGTGGACAGCTTCTGCAGATATCGGAGGCATGTTTCGGATTCCGGCCGATGGCGGTCCGTTGACTTGCTGTTTTTTGGGTCCTCTTGGGAACCCCCCGTTCCCGTCGCTCGGCATTGGGGATCAACGGCGGGCGGGCGGACAGGCGGGCAAATTCAGCATTGGCCCGCCAAATTGAGGCTGGCTTGGTTGGGGAAACAAGGGTCTTCTTGGGGCGTTCTCGGCGACTGTTGGCGGCACATGACCAGACTGGCCGCTAAAACCGTTGGCTTGCACTAACGAGACGGGACTCTCTCGGCCGGAGGAATAGACGGCGCGGGGAGCCGAGAAAAGAAAAGGATTCCGGGGATTGGGGCGTCTTAGTGATGAAAAGCTGAACTTCAGCTGCCGGGCTGGCGGGCGGCCCGAAGTTGGCGGGTTTGTTTCGGAGTCTCATTTTGGACCGCACCTCAGAAGCTAGGTTTGTTGAGGCTTGAAAGTTTAAAAAGGTAACATGCCTTCATATGGGGTTTATCTGGGTAATGTTTTCAATTCCATGGTTTTGAACTTGTCTCTTTTAATTCTTACTTGGGCTGAATCTTTAGATAGAGTATCCGTAATAAGAACAGCATTCTTACCGCCTTGTGGTCCTCTTACCCACGGGCAACCGTCATCCAGAGCGAAAGATCGGCAGTCAGCAGCCCGGACCACCGGTAAATTGCACAAAAGACCTGTTGGTAAAAAGAACAATCAAGAACAAACAAACAACGTGGAGGATGTGGGGAGAGAAGGATGCAAGCTCTGCCACAAGACGCCTACCACCCGAAATGTTTTACGTGTGTGATGCGTAACTATTAGTAGACACTCCATACTAGGAATGATGACAGGAGCGAAGTTGGTTGCAAGTGAGAATTGATAGTGGAGACTCGATTGACAGTTCCCAATGAACGAGTCTTGCGGCACTGAATTGTCGAGCCAAAGGTTGCCTGATGTCCCTTTCTGCGCGCTGCCCAGAAGACGCGCAAGCGTTTGTGCCATTGATCGAGTTGACTGCTCCCAGATAACCACGAGATACGAGAAACATGCGATTGACCCATTTTCTCTCTGTTCAGTCTGGGGTTCTCCTCTGTACATAGCGTAGGCTGAAGTGAAACTGACCATGCTGTGTTGCACGTGTTCCCAAAGCTTGATGGCTTCTCCCACTGAGCCTAGGCCCGGGAAGGCAGGTGCGATGGCTGCCCGCCGAACAAACGCACCAGCCCGCTGAAACCACGGCACCTGCTCACGCCCTGGGCCACAAGCTCGGCAGTGATCTCCACCGTCCGATGCAGCCCCCCAGCCCTTCTGGCCACTGAGCGTCCAGCACCTCACTCTGGGCGCCCATGCCGCGATGGAGCCAGCTTCAGATCTTGCTTGTCTGGCGTGTCAGCCAAAATGCGAGGGCGAAAAAAGAGACAGAAAGAGAGGATGGAGTCCACGTCTCCAGTTTTCGCGATAGGACCCAATGAAGCATCCATGGTCCATGGAGCAGCAGCAGTTGGAGCGGGCCCGGACCAAGCGAATCTCGGCCTGCAAGGGAAGCATCAGTGACATCTCAGTTTTTTTTTCCCTTTTCTGATGTTTCTGCTGCGACTCCAATGCTCGCGACCCCCACTCACACCTACCACTTCGACTCCCACCACACCCACTCCCACGACTCCCGCCCTCCAAGCTTGTGCTGCTGCCCTTGCGCACCATCAACACCACGAGTAGTCCAACAGCGGCGACACCCGGAGCAGCACAGGTGGCAGCCCACAACAACCACAGCAGCCGCAGCAGCAACAGCAGCAGCATTCGCCGCCGTTGCCGGTTGTTGCGCGTGCGCCCTACCCAACACCGCTGCCATCTAACTAATTCTCCCCCGGGAGGCCATCGCTGCTGGCCCTCTCTCGACGACTTCCAGTCCCCCCCCGACGACCCTAGCGCCATGTCATGGCTCTCCTGGACGTCGCTGGTGCCCACGTTTCTCATCCTCTCCGCTAGCCTCGCCTGGTGGTTCACCGAGCCCAAGACCGCCCGCATCAACCTCATTGCTGCGGCCGGCGCTGCGCTCTTTTGCTGGGCCGTCGCCCCCGAGCTGTGCCGCGATCTCTCGTACTCGCTCTTCGCCCTCTCTGTCGACACACTTGCCGCCCTTCGCCTCGATCTTGTCCTGCTGAGGAATGCAAAGATGTTGGTTACGGGAGTTGCTGTTGTGTGGTACGTGGTCTTCCCTGCGGTTGTCTTTTTTTTCTTGGGGGGAGATGGAGAGGGTGTTGTTTGGGTTTGTTATCTATTGGATTGTTTGGTTTTTTTTTTTTTTCTTGTGTGTGTGTGTGGCCTTGTGCCGAGGAGAATTCTCGTTGCGACCGCCCCCAAACGTCGCACAGTCGCGCATTTGCAAACATAAACCGCCCTGCGCAAACGTGGCCAGTTATGCTTACGGTGTCATTTCTACAGGCTGGTCCGACGAGCGTGGCAGACGCTTTGGAAACCCGTCCCCGAGCTGATCAACATTCTGGGTGTCGATGTGCCCGATCCGCCCGACGTGTCGCTTGCGGAGATCCGGACCGACGCTGCTACTGTCAACTGGACGCGCGCGCCCGCAAACCGATCCGTACAAAAGTTTTTGATCCAAGTCAATGGGGTGGTTGGTGAGTTGGGACCAGGGCACAAACCGGCCTTATCGTCGTCTTCCAGATGGACAGCATAATTAACCGCAAAATACAGTGGGCGATGTGGCCGCGAATCAGGAGCCCGCCATTGTGGTTAGCGGCCTCAAGCCGGACCACTTTTACAACGTGCGCGTCATCGCCGTCGGCTCCAACAACTTCCAGGCTGGCAGTCGAGTTATTCGACTGAGGACTTTCGGCCGCGATGGACGTCCGCAGCTGGGGAACGCCCGACTGCCCTCCAATTTTGTGCCCGAAGAGCCCCGAGGTTCCGCACCAAACGATGCTGCCGACGAATCCGGTGGCCCGCGCAGCCCATTTCCGGCGCTGGAGGTACCCGCTGTCCAGGAGCCCCCCGCGTCGCCGGCGCGGGATGTCGGTTCGACGGCTGGTCAGGGGCCACGGCGGAACACGGTGACACGACGACACTCGCCGTCCACCGCGAGCATGGAGCAACCGATACGGGAGGACACCACCAATGCAGATCCGAAACAATCTCTACCAGTGTTGACGGAAAAGTTCGAGAGGATCCGGCAGGAAACGGAGGACGTACTGGCATTGATTGCCAAGGAGGAGTGCGAGAACAAGTTATTGATGGAAGAGTTGGAAGCCGAGAAGCGGGAAAAGAGAAAGGAGCAGAAAAAGAAGGAAGAACAGACGGAACGGCTGAAGAAGGATGTCCACGCGACCGATCGAGCGATGCGTAACGCCATGCAGCGCAAGGCCCAGAAGGAAAAGGCGCTCAAGGAGAAACAGAACGAGCGCAACAAATTTCACGATAACATTGGGAAATGGGCCAAGGGCGTGGAGGACTTGCGCAAGGAACGAGAGAATTTTAACCGGCAGATGGCCGAGTTAGAGGTCGAGCGGGACAAGAAAGTGGAAGAGTCACAGGAAGAAAACGGTGATTTACAGGCCGAGTGCTCTCGATTAGAGGCGGAATTGAAGGAGAGGAGGGAGCAGGTGAAGGACCTGGAAGAGGCCCGGAAACAGCTTCCGGGCGGGGACGAGGACGGTGAATGGCGTGAGAAGATTGTTGAAGAGCGGCGAGAGTGGTACCGATCTGGCACGGGTCGGGACCTACAGGAGACGTCCAATCTGGAGACTAAGCGCGGCAGAGCCTTGGACGAGCAGATTCGAGCACTCAGCATCCAGGTGCAACACATCCCGCAGACCAATTTCGGTCTTTACAACCACCCGAATCCGTCTGGAATGGAGTTTGATCACACAGCGACCGGGCACATGGGCCGACGGGCCCGGGCGGGTACTTCAATATCAAACGTCCAGATCCCCACGACGCTCGGCCCTTTCCCCCAGATCGACCAGACCATCGCAGCACCGCCGGGCTATGCCAGCTCGCGGTCCGCGGGCGCGCCACCCGGGTTTGCGCCGGGACCTTTCATCGACCATTCCGCCAACATGGGCCGCTCGGACGAGTCGAGCAATAGGACGGCCCCGCTCAGCCCGTCGGCTGCCGCACTTCTGCCGTCTAACCTCATGGCAGATATCGACGACGATGACCCGAGCCCGGTCTCCCGGTTTGCGCCCGAGTACTTTCCTCCGCACCGGGCCTCGCCCGAAGACGCGCCGTTGTCACCTGCGTCGTCCGGGAAATCCTACAGCATCTTTACGAGCCCCCACGGCTCGTCGAGCAACCTCCCCTTTCCCCCCTTCCAGAATGACATGTCCGACCGGATGTCGCTCAATGCGGCCGCCACGGCGCCTTCCCCCGTCTCCACAGAACCCCCGCCTAATAAGCTGAGCGGTTTCTTTCCCTTCCAACGGTCCCGGCATGCGAAAGCAGGCGAGCACGATACCCTTCAGGGCCTACCCTTTGGCAGCCTCAAGTCAGGGCAAAGCCACTCCTTCCCGAGGCAAGAGGACGACCTGGACGGGCTGGTCAACAAGAGACGCAGCTGGGGCGTGTTCAACCGCAACTCGGTGGGACACGAGATGGAGGCCCACGCGCCGCACTCTCGCATGTTTTCTCGAAGCCTCAATCCGTTCTCTAGCTCTCACCGGGGCCCGCCCGGCGGTGCGTTCCCAGAAAGGGACAAAAGCAGCCCGCGGCCGGAGAGTATCGCGTCTGCTGAACTGCCCCGGCCCTCGACTGACTCGGGGTCGATCTGGGGCCTGCAGCCAGGCGACGTCGCAACGCTGGGGAAACCCAGCCGTCTGTGGTCGCCCGATGCGTGGTCCAGGAATGCGTCTAGGCGCCAGTCCATGCATGGGTCACCGTCGGCGCTGAAGACAACGCTCGCGTCTGCGGACGATGAGATTCTCGGCGAGGAAATGCTGCCGAATGTTAACGAAGTAGGCGTCATTGGCAGCCGACCGCCGATGCACTCCTCTCAAGTCCCGAAGCTGAACCCGAATGCGCCGGCTTTTAACATCGCCGCGCTCTTCAAATCCAAGCCGGATAAGGAAAAGGAGAAGGAGAAGAAGGACAAGGCGAAGCCGGGGAAGGATGCCAAGGACAAATCGTCGAAGAACAAGGAGGCATCCGGTACCACGCCCGAAGGGCTACAGATCCCAACAGTCGAACTCGAGTCCCCCTCCGAGTCACGACTATCGCGCGACGGCTACTCAGTCCACACGCAAACATCAGTCTCCGAATCGCGCGACTCGCTCTCGCTTGACCAATCCTTCTCCAACACCCCTTCAGAACCCGCCAGCGCGGGCCTATCAAGCAGCTTCAAAGACGACAATGTCGTGCGCAAGCTGTTCCGCAAGGGCAGCTCCAGCAAGTTCAGCATTGCCGGTAGGCTCGGCGGTAAAGAGTCAGGCCTCTTTAAGAAAGGTCCCAGCAGCACGGCCAGCGGCGGCGCGGCGTCGGATAAAGGCACCTCCATGGAGCAGCGCTCGAGTATCGGCGATTTCGAAGATATCGCTGCGGACGAGGCGCTCCATCACCTAGCGGGCCCGGCGGCGTTTTTGGGCCGCGGCTGCGATAGCATTACTAGCAGTCCTGGTCTCCCGCCGGCGGGTGGCATGGGCGTGGGCGTGACGACCCCGACGACGGCTACGGGCATGTCGACGACGACGGCTGCCAATGCGAATACTACAGGCTCGACTAAGGGCGGCAAGGAGGGCAAGACAGCGGCGCGATGGCTGAGCAACTTTGGTAAGAAGGGCAAGAAGGAGAAGGAGAGTCTGGATTTGGACCGGGCGCAGTTTGCTGAGCAGGCGGGGGAGATTGCGGAGGATGGACACCAGCACAGGATTTAGGGCCTGAAAGGGCCAAGGAATGGAAGGGAGGTTGAGGGAGGAGTAGGCTAAGGAGGTAGGAGGTCGAGGGTTAGTACGGACGGGGGGGCAAGGAAACAAGAAGATGCCAATCATGTCCAGAGTGTAAAACCTTGCATAGCGTTGCTTTATGTGAATATTACCCTGGAGACAGTGTTTGCTATGTTTCTTGCATTGTTAAAGTGTGTCGTACGTGGATTTATTGTAATGACATGTATTACGTGCAGTTGGACGTACAGTGTTGATCACAGTGTGTAGAATCGGTTTTGTGAACATTCGACACTGTGTCCCGAGCCAATGGTCCAGAGCTGCAATGCCGCATCCGCAACCTCCAATCCCAACTTTCAGACGGACCATCACCACCCCGGCACAACAACCCCACGACTACCTCACACACAGCGCTGCTTCTTACGCTGTCCCCGGGCTCCCTCGAAATCCTCATACCGAATCGAACCCACCTCGTCTCTAAAACAGTATTTCAAGCGTCAAATAAAGCACAGCCCAGATCGAGCAGTCCACAAAGCAGTTGCATGGCCGCGATGGCCACAGAAACAGGAGGAGCCGGTGGTGGTGGTGGTGGGAGGAGTGACCCAGCAGCAGCAGCAACAGCCCCGCGGCTGCCCATGCCATCGCGCAACCCACTACCGCTGTCGGCGTCGCAGGAGGCCCAAGTGCGCGATGTGTTTTACGAGCGGGTGCGGAGTAAATGCGGGCCGGAGATCAAAGGTACGTCTATACATGGCTACCCTCTCTACCATATACCTCCACTGACTTTCGCCGGTTTAGCCTTCGCAGACTGTGCCCTCCACCGCACCTTCACCGCCCCTTTCGCCTGCCGCGCGCCCCACCGCATCATGAACAGCTGCATGAAGACGCACGCCACACAAGAAGAGCACGACGCCGCGCGCGAGGAGTGGTTCGCCCTGCGGATGCAGCGGGCGAAAGAAAGGGAGCGGAAGGCGCTGCGGAAGGCGGAGCAGGAGGCCTTTTTGCGGGAGTGGTGGGGCTTGCCGGAGAAGGATCGGGAGCAGGCGAAGAGGGAGTGGGAGAAGTTGAAGAGGGGGGAGAGGATTGGGGGGGGGTATGATCGTGTTTCTTCTGGTGGTGGTGCTGCTGCTGGTGGTGCTGCGGGGGGGAGTTTAGAGGGTGGGAAAGGGGGGGATGGGGGGAGGTGACAGTCATGAGTGACGGGAGGTGGTGGTGAACTCATGGCCTTAGGTTGGGTAGCTACACTGGGACAAGATGTACCGGCAAGGCTGGCTGTATGAGGGTAATCGCAGAACAGGCGCTCAGCTGGGAGGGTGCAGGTAACTGTATATGTATGATGTACGAAGATCAAGACCAAAAAGTCAAAACGAAGAGCAGAAGGCTCGATATTTCAACTCGCCCCTAATCATCACACCCGACCATGGTATGTTTGTTCTACACCGAGACACTATAGTTTAGCCGCCTCCTGAATCCCCCTCTCCACCCCCTCAACAACCGCTTCCGCAACCCCCCACGACAGCTCATACCCTCTCCCCCCCAGTCCATAGGCATGCATCACAAACCCAGCCCCAGGCACAACCTCACCCTCAATACGCGGCCCACCAATCCTCGTTGGCCGCCTCCCAACAATATCCCTCACCACCGTCAACTCCGTCTTCTTTTCCTTCTTCTCTCTTCCCTGGCCCTCATCCTGGTTATCACCCTCCAAAATCCCCGGATACGTCTCCACAAACCGTTTCAACAACCCCCTCCTCACCGCCTCCGACGGCCGCGTATCCCAGTTATTCAATTCCTTGGTGCCGCCCACAATCGTGCCGCCGTCAAACCCGCGCGGAACGCAGAACGTCCAGGACCCGTCGGCGTTTTGCCGTGTGACGGTGGCGTCGCAGGACTCGGCGACGAGACAGGTCTGGCCGCGGGTTATGGTCATGGAGGGGTCCGGGACCAGGCCGGTGCCTGAGGCGTTGATTACTGCTGCGATGGTGGGTATCTCTGTCTCTGTTTCGCCGCGGGAGGACGTAGGATAGGAAGACGGGGGGATTGGTGAGGAAGAAGAAGGCGCCCCAAAACTCCCCGCCAACTCCCTCGCACTCAAATAAAACGCCTCCTCCGGCCTTCGCAGCTCCCGATTCAACAGCCTCCCACCGCGGTTCACAAACCGCCGTAGCAGAAAGGAACAATACACCATGGGATTCACACACCACGTGTCGTACTCACATCCCCAGGTCACTCGGCCGTCGGAGGGGAAAGTGTCTGTAGCCGGATCGAGGAGGCGGAAGCCAGGGAGGTTGAGAGCGTTGGGGTTTTCGGCGGTGGACATAGCGTGGTGTTCGGGGCCGGGGCGCTCGATGTATTCGATGCCTTTGAGGAAGGTGATGCCAGCTGTGTTGGGGTGGGTGCTGTACAGGTGGGACATGTGGGCGTAGGTGCGGAGGGAGAAGGCATCTATAGTCATAGGGGACTCAGTAACGGAAATAGGTAGGTATTTGGGGTTGGAAACATACGCTCTCGTTTGAGATGGGCTGGGAGGGTTGGGTGTGGTGGGACCCAGCGGTTGTCTGGGTTCTCATGTTAGTTGTTTTCCGTCTTTTTCCTCGTTTTCCTTTTTCCACCTTTTTTTACATCGATAAGGAAGTGATGAGAGAATACACACGGGCTCCGCCCCACGGGGACGTGTAGTTGATCTTGGCCACAGGGTCCATCGCCTCAAAGGCGCCAGGAAAGTCCCGGGCAACAATGGTCACCGCATGGCCGGCCTTTTGAAGGAGGAGGGCGCTGCTGAGACCGATGACGCCGGCTCTGTGGTGGATGTTAGCGGGCGATTCCGTGTGGGAGAGAAGAGACTCGGCGAAACTTACCCGACGACGACGACGTGTTGCGGCATTGCACAAAGGTGAGTTGGTAATTTTTGTTTTTGGGTTATTTGCGAAAAATGGACAACCGGTTAACAGAAACGAAAAGGAGTAAAGCTCAGCCTCGGGTCATGAAGTCCCTTTCACCCGTTGAGGGGTAGATCAGCTAAAAATACAGTTTAAATCCAAAATCAAGCGAGGGTATTTCCCCATGCTTCGGGGCGAGCAAACCAAAAATGGCGCTAAAAGAAGAGTCCACCGGTTTGTCGTGTTACCTCTCCAGCAGCTTCCTTTCTCAGAAATGTCACGATACGATCCATACGACCTTCACCCCCGCATCAGCTTCCCACGCGGTCTTCCGTTCCCGAAGCCGGGCCTGAAAAAGTGAGACCCACTCGGCCCCGCATTGACCGGCCGGGATATACCCCTGTCTTCCGGGCTTCCGCCGGAATTGCGACCGGAGCCGATACCGATTGTCAACTTCATTCGCAGTGTTTTAGGGCGTGTAAGTCAAGTGACGTTTGTTTCGAAAGAATGGTAGCTTGAGGAAATTCGAGCTAGGCAATCGCAACTAATACACGGTAAGAGCAGCAAGGAACAGAAAATACCTAGGGAGAAACCCAATCAGCGGTTGCCGCTCACATTCCGTGCAGCAAAAGCGTGTCTACCTAGCTGCAGTAGCCTGCGCGCTGGCACATCCATTGACCCATCCTTCATTCTCTCTCACGGGTCATGAAAATACTCCCTCTCGGATCCGACCACCCTGGCTCATACAGAGCTGACCCTTCGTATTCTCTTTCTTTCTTCAAAGGGACCACGATCGCCCAACCCAAGTGCTTTCTGACAAACCACCTCGACCCACAGCTTGAGGTCCACGGTTGCAGGCCGACATGGACGGAGCCAAGAGTTCAACCCCAGCCAGCCAGCTGCCCAGGAATCGAGTGCTAAAGTGCTGCTCGGCCTGGAAAAAGCGCTGTGGAAGGATCCGGAGGCCGACCTAATCGGGATTTTATCCTCTTCATATCCCCAGCAGCTCAAGTCGTTCAAGGAAGCAGGTGGGAGTTGCTCAATATACTAAACACACGCTTGCCTTCCTGGGCCCTGACTTACTAGTCATATAACTTGTACTTCATAGACTCCCGACCCAGTACAACTCCGCTCCCGCTCCCTCACTATGACATCCGCTCCAAGCTTCGTACCACCGATACAGCAACCATCGTGCGCCAGTTATCTCCCGAGCTCCAGGATCTTCTCGGACACGACGATGAACAACTCTCCGAGGCAGTCATCAAACTATTAGACAAAAGCGAAGTACTCTACAAAAGCGTATGGGCGGCTTCTTGCATGGTCTTCCGTGTCAGCGATGGAATCGTCGCCAAAGTCACCGTCGAGGAGCACCTCACAGCCGAGTACCGGACCCTCCCCTACCTGCAGGAACACTTGCCGCACTTTCCAGCGCCACGCTTGCATGGCGTGATCCGCATCCGACAGTACGGTCTGCTGTTCACCTCTTTCGTCTCGGGCCTCGACTTGGAGAAAGCGTGGCCCCAACTCGATGACGTCCAGAAACGGTCCGTCAGCGCCCAGCTGGATAAGCTCCTCGTCGAGCTGAGGTCCCTTCCCTTTCCACCAAACACGCCGCTTGGGGGGCTAGAGGGGCTAGGGTGCAAAGATGCAAGACGGGGTATACGCATCAGTTCCAAGCCGATCTTGGATGTCAGTCAGTTCGACGATTTCATCTTTGCTGGCTCCAAATGGGCCTCGCCCATGTACACTCAGTTCCTGCGATCTTTGGTGCCCACATCCCCGACGAAAGTTGTTTTCACCCATGGAGACATCCGGCCGGCCAATATCATGGTGCGCCAGGATGAGGAAGGCTCTTGGACCGTTGTTGCAATTATTGATTGGGAGTCGAGTGGCTTTTATCCCGAGCATTGGGAATGCGTCAAGATGACCAACAACCTAACCCCTAGGGATGAGGATGACTGGTATTTGTGGCTGCCGGAGTCTTTTTCGCCACGGCGGTTCCCAGTTCGGTGGCTGATAGACAGTATTTGGGATCGTAATATGGAAAATAGCTATATGGGGATCTTTTTTATTGCATGTGTGGAATCCTTCAGGACATCGAATATCATTTCTTAGTCCGATATCCAGGACATTCGCAGCTGCGACGGGGTTGTAAGCCAATTCTAGGTCCCTACACAAGTCCGGCCCTGGTATCACGAAAACCGGTGCCGGATCAATGGTTGTACTCGCGAAGCGACGTGGTAGTGAGCGGCTCCCTCGTGGCAAGCCGTGCCGCTGGGCTACGCCATTCGATGTCAAGAAGCATGTAAAGAAATCTCAAAGCTCAATGGGTGACATGGAATCGCCATAGTCATCAATGAAGACGCCGCGATACGCTCAAGGGAACCCAACATCGGAGGCTTCTTACTACTCGTCCTAACAGCTTGCTCGTGCTCGCGCGCGCGGTCTGTATCTCGGCCGAGCAATGAATAAGGAGCGTTTCAACGGCGGTCACCTCGTCGATCTTCTCCATGCGTAGCCACGGGAGCGGTCTGTAATCGCGCTTAAGTGGTTTCGAGAAACAACTTGCTCGACTCGACGAGTTCGCGAGACGCCAGTTGTCGTGGCCTGAAATCTGTACGGGATTTTGGAGCATCACGACACGCGCCGTTGACGGAGGTGACGCGGGAAGAGACGGAAAGAGGCTAGTCCCAACATGGGTGCTGTTGCACAATGGAAGCAAAAGTGCCGCTCGAAGCTCGCCCGACCTCTTCCAGACTCTCGCCGCTTGCGCTTGACTTGATGGTTATCGCTTCCTCCTCGGGAAGAAAGGCGATGAGAAAAAGCGCAAGGAAAGCGATCAAGAGCCGGTCGGCGTCAAGCTGCAAGGTGATCTGGGCACTGATTGGTGGGCGGCAGGAGATGTCGCAAGGGTCAAGAACAGGGGTTCAACAGGGGCACCTTCCCCAACCCGTCGATTTCAGCGCCTAACTCGTCCCCCCTCCCGCGACTCTTTCGGCCTTCGACTTGTGCAACCCCCGGCCACCTTCACTTCTGCCCACTCACAGCGCTCTCTCGGTTACGTTGGGAGCATGCTCGGCGCTTAACTCTACCGAATCTCACCTGCAGTCGGGACGACGACCATCCATCGCGCGCTGCACGGTAGGGAAGGAGCGGGCCACGATAGGCCGCCGGGGGTTCCTCCCCACCCTTTTCCCGGGACGCACTTGCCCGCCGAGAGACGACGTGCCTCTGTTCATCGTCAAATCGTACCACAAACGGGACCCTGAGAAGCGTTGACCACTCGCCCACACCACATCCATCCGATGCACCTTGACACCAGCCCACTCTTTACTCCCGCTTTCTTAGTCCATACACAGGACATGATGGCATCCACGCGGAACAGGGACAGGGGGGCTCCAATGTGCGGGCGCTCGCGTTCCTTGGCTCGGACTGCCTTGTGTGTGTGTGTGTGTGTGTGTCCTGAGTATGGATGCGGGGAGGGAGGTAGGTAGTAGGCGGCCAAGACCAAAAAGAGCTGAAGCGCCTTGAATAAAATGAATTGGCCCCCGTCGTCGCCCGGTTCTGCCGGGCTGGTTCCTATACCCTATACATACCATTATCCAAGTGCCGTTGTCGCTGCTGGCGTCGAACCGGCAGACCACATCCACGACCTTGCTAGGCTTTCACACTTTGTTCTTGTCTGGACCACAATGCTTCAATAGAAGGCAGGTTTCATCACCATACCGCCGGAGTTTACACCCGAGTGATCGACCTGGTTTCACGGTTGGTACAGTACAGTACCGGGCCCGGAACAAACAGGAAAGCGAACAACAGGTAGTGCAGGCGACAGCAGCGCTAGTCGCATCAGATCACAGACACGGCAAAAACGAGGAGCCGGACTCGACATGGCATCACCACCATCCGGGGGGTTCTCCCTCTTCCCGAACCCCAACGCTGCGCCGAGAGCACAGTCTAGATCCCAGAGCCGGCCACGCGCTGGCACACCTCAGGAAGGACGGACGAGGTCCTCAACCGAGGCCACTCCTCCACGGACCGGCCGCCGGAACTCATCGGCAAGAGAAGGCAGGCAGAGGAATCCCTCCAACAACCCCTGGCAACATGCTCTCGACGGAGCCCCACGGCAACCCGCCGCGGCCGTCGAATATGTTGCTGGTCCACCCACCGTGCCAGCGGCGGCTGTAGTGGCACCCGCAGCGGTTGAGCCTACTGTGGAAACCTGTTATTCACAGCCGGTGACCGACGCGCCGCAGCGATGCGAGACCGCCTTCTCCGAAGCCCAGACTCTTGTCCGCAGCTCGAGCCAGAGATCCCGGAGTTCTATTGCCAAACCGCCAATAGCCTACACCACTATGGGGCCGTCCTCAACTTCGGCTTCGGCTTCGGCTTCGGCTTCAGCTTCGCAGTCGAGGCAACCCGCCGGAGAGCAGACGGCCATCCGGTCCATCTTCCCCCAGTACAATCCCGAGGTACCGCTGGCCCAACAGGACTACTATCCGACCCAGGCGAGCCCGACGCACATCCCCCAGTCTGTTATCAGCCGGCCGCTCTATTCGCCACGAAGTGCTGCTGCGGCAGCGGCCGAGACTGCTTCCTCATCGAATGCGCCTGGAGGAGGTTCCCGGGCTGGAGGTGCTCAACAACCGGCCAACTCAGGTGCTGTCCGTTGGCCTCCGGCCATGGGGCAACGAAACCACCAGGAACTCCTAGAACCCCCAGCGGTCAACACCACCGAGGAGCTGCGCGGGCTGTGGAAGGTGACTAACGGGTGGAAGGCCACCTCGTTCGACTCGCGCAACTACTGCCTCAAGATGACCACTTCTCCGGATTTACCACCTTCCTACACCCTGTCTTCCTCGACTGGCCAGCCCTTCTACTGCCTGCGCGTCGACCCGACCTCCTCCTCGGCTCTGGTCACCCTTTCGCGTTACGACCCAAACAGGCCCTTCAAGCCTGCCCCTAACACTTCCTCGTCTTCCGCGGCCAACGCATCCGGCGCAGGGGGGGCGCTCTCAGTCAGCCCAAACAGCGGCACCTCGTCCCCATCACCGCGCGCCTCGTCGTCGTTGTCCCGCTACTCGAACTACCCGGCCGTCATCACGACAGCCGCCTACACCCCGAGCACCACAGCGCCGAAGTACCAAAAGAACTGGCAAGAAGTCCTATCCACCCACCTCTCGCCTATCCTCCCAACCTCCTCCTCCCCACCCAACCCATCCAACAACGACAACACCACCACCGACCCCAACCCCCAAGACGACCCCAACAACGGCCTAATCGCCCAACTCTGGCCCGCCGCCGCAGCCCGCCTCGTAGCCGACCGCGCCAACGACCTCACCACCGTCGCCCTCGCCCAAGCCGAATCCGCCCGCCTCGTCTGGGACGCCGATTCCGCCAACTACTTCCTCTGCCACCCGGCTCTGGCCGTACCCTTCTGTGTCGCCATTGACCGCCACCCGGCTCTGTCGCGCACCGAGTATGCCCTTGAGCACTTGGAGTCGCCTACGTTGCTGGCGCGTCTGGTGCGGGATGGGACTGGCCAGGGGTGGGTGGAGGTTGATACGGGGGTTGCGGGGAAGGTGGAGGCGGTGTATTTGGTGGATGCGGCTGTTGCTGCGTTGGTTATGGTGGCGCATTTGGATGGGAAGAAACATGGGAGTGCAGGGGGTGGTGGTGGTGGTATCTCACTAGGCGGGGGTGGTGCGGAGATGTTTGATCCGCCGCCGGGCGGGAGTATCTACTCCGTCGGTGGCGCCGGTGGGAATGGAGATGGGCGGAGTAAGAGCCAGAGTAGTTGGCGGGGGATAAGCCGGGCGAGTCGAAGGGGAGAGGAGGAGAAGAAGAAGAAGCAAAAGAAGCAGAGCAAGAAGGACAAGAAGAACGGGAGAAAGATGGAGCCGTTTGAGCTGGACTTGGAGAGCCAGGACAGTGACCTTGGGAAGGACTCGGAGAAGGATAAGGTGCCGGGGGTGCTGCGGGCGTTGGTCAAGTTGATCACTGTCACGTTCAAGTGCTTTGTGTGGTGTGCTACGATCGTGTTTAAGGCGCTTATTGGGATCTTGTCGGTGTTGACTAAGTGTTGTGGTTTGGGGAAGTTGTAGGGGGGGAAAGGGAAGACGTACATGTATGTGTAAATCATGATGAGAAGATGGGACATGTTGGGTATGACGAGACGAATCGGTTTTGGGGGAGGGAGGGGTTTTGTTTGCTTGTTATTTCTTCTTCTTTTTTATCACTTTCATTTTTATTAGATACCTCTTTTCGGGCCATGATATTTTTGGCGTTGGGGTATCGATCGATTTGCTGCTCCGCCTGTCAAGTCCTCCTCCAAAGTAACTGACTGTGACAACCGCCCGCGTGATGGAAAACAAAACAAGAAACAACCCCAGAGACGGGCTAAAACAGAACTCCGGAGTACACCGCCCGCTCACTACCTCTTCCGTTCCCGTACCTTGATCCTCCGCCCGCTCTTAGTAACCCCACCCGACGTCGCCGTCTTCGCCATCTTAGCCTGTTGTATTTCCAGCTCATACTCCGCCTCCTTGAGCGTCTTGAGCTTTTTCCTCGCTAATTGTAACCGCCGGCCAAGCTTCTCTAAGTTCTGTGCTTTTTTTGCTGCTGCTGCCGCATTTTGGTCGTCCGCATGCTCAATCCCACCCATCCCTTCGTCTTCGTCCCCCGCTGCTGCTGTCCGATCCAGCGCCTGCTCCCTCTCGTCTGCCCCGTCGAAGAACACAATCTTCTTCGGTTTTTGCGCGCTCGAGTTCGATCGTCGTCTCGAACCCATCCCGTCCTCCTCATCATCATCCTCATCCTCCTCCTCATCACCCCCACCACCGGTACCAACGGCATCAACATCCCCCCCAGCCAAAACATACCTCTCCTCCAACCCCCTGACCTCCTTCCCCGCCACATTCCGCATCGTCCTCACATACCCCAAATCCTGCGTCTTCAACAACCGCACCGTATCAACATCCATCGACCGGTTCCCCCTGTCCCCCTCAACATGACCCGTGAAGCCTCCCTTGCCCCGCGTGAGGGCCGAGGAGCCGGGCCCCCGGCGCGAGAGCATGCCGAAGTAGAATTCATCTTCGTTGCGGTCGGCGGCTTTTTGGCGCAGGGATTTGAGCACGGCTTTTTTTTGGGCGTAGTCTTTGGCCCGCTTTTGGTAGTCTTTTTTTTTCTCGAGGATGCCGAGGCGTTCGCGCTCGTGGGGCTGGGCGCGCTCGCGGTGGGAGCGGCGTTGGACGCTGTTTGGGGAGGGGGGTTAGTGGTTATGTGCGGATGGGAAGGAGGAGGGGGATGGGATGTACGTACCTGTTTCGGAGGGACGACATGATTGATGTTTTGGGTGGGCGCAACTCAATTGACTGAGTTCGTCGCACTTGATGGGGTCTACCGACGATATCTTGGTGGTTTGGAGTTTGTTGCTTGGCCCAAATTTTTGGGCGGTTCGGTCAGCGATAAGCGATTGATAAGAGGGACACCCTAGCAGCAGGCCCCACTTGAAGAGAGACTCCGGGGTACCCCTGCCACCTGCACTCCTGCACAACTTGGTCCTGCATTTCCATTTCAAGTGCCGACACTACAATGTTCCTCCTCAACTTCCAGAACGACACTACGAGTAACCGTCTAGATACAGATAACTACCTAATAAAAACTAACCGCGGAAGCAGTCCGCCCAAGTCCCTGGTTTGTCCGTGGAAGTTTTGTACGAGCACGAACCTTGTTTCTTGTTTCACAAGGTATTTTCGCCCAGGCGAAATTACGAGTCCCGTCATTTCCTCCACAGGAACACAGCCTCTGGACCGACCCGTCGATCGACGGAAGCGAGTGTCCACAAGAACGCCGCAGATGTCAGGGAAAGCTTCCGTTTGGGGGCCGCTCAAAACATTCCCCTGAAGCATGCTGCCAAGCGATCTCGATGTAGCGAAAACAGGTTTTCCAAGGCGCAAGCCTCATTCCACTTTCAAACCCCTTTCAAAACTCGATGAAGACGTTGGCCGAGACGTTAAACTCGTGTACGCAGACTGAGGACTGATAAACACTGAAAAGACATACAGGACTTGTAACACTCGGAAGCTTTGAACTTCAAATTGCTTTGTTTACAGGTGACAACCAAACCACTACGCTTAGGCCTATCTTCGTGCTTTTTCGTCCGTCCTTTCTAAGGCCTCGCCTCGTCAACTTACCATTAATTACCCACACATCAACACATCTCACCCCCTTATGATCGACCTGCGAGTAGAGGCCAGTGACAAGTCGTGGTTGTCATGAGCGCCCGCAAGTTTCAACGACTCGCTCTTGTAGCAGCCATATTCCTCGCCAGCTACGCGTTCCTCACCCGGACCGACCTTGTTTATGTATACCAAGGTCAGACATGGCGGGCATTGAAGTACGTCCCGAGTAGTTTCGACTGGAGCAGTCGGGCATGGACACACCCCATGGACGACGAGGCCAACATGGTCGGCCTTCCGGAAGGGAACCCTCAACAACTACCCCGGATCCAACACCAGTTCTCCCCCGACGAGCTCACGCGGTCGCATAACGAGACCCAACGGAAACGGCGAGACGCCGTGATACACGCCGCCAGGAGGTCGTGGCGAGCATACCGCGAGCACGCCTGGGGCCGCGACGAGGTCTCGCCGCAGACGCTGGTTGGGGTAGACCCCTTCGCCGGGTGGGGGGCCACGCTGGTGGATTCGCTCGACACGCTATGGATCATGGGCATGAAGAGGGACTTTGCGGACGCAGTCCAGCATGTCGCCACCATCGACTGGGACAACGCAACAGACTGGCACTGCAGCCTGTTCGAGACCAACATCCGGTACCTAGGCGGCCTGCTGTCGGCCTTTGACCTGAGCGGCGAACACGTGCTTCTCGACAAGGCCGTCGAGCTGGGCGACATGCTCTACGCCGGCTTCGACACCCCGAACCACATGCCCGCCAACCGCTTCCACTTCCAGTCAGCCAAGGAAGGCCGGCTGGAACCCAGCGGCCACGAAGCCTCCGCCGCGGTCGGGTCGCTCTCGCTCGAATTCACCCGCCTGTCGCAGCTGTCGGGCGATCCCAAGTACTACCGCGCCATCGACGGCGTCAAGCGGGAACTGGTGCGCACCCAGAACGAGACCAGCTTGCCGGGCATGTGGCCCATCTTTATCGACCTGCAGAACCGCTTCTTCGCACCGGGGACATCCTTCTCCCTCGGTGCCTCCGCCGACTCTGCCTACGAGTACCTGTCCAAGATGCACGCCCTGCTCGGGGGGCGAGATCCGGCGTACGGGCAGCTGCACACCAAAGCTATGGACACCGCGGCCCGGCACATCCTCTTCCGCCCTATGCTGCCCCCTTCGGAGGATTCCGAGCCCACAAAGGCCGCTTCTCCTCCTGATGTGCTCTTCCCCGGCACTGTGCTCTCCAACGGCCGCATCGTCGAGTTGACGCCAGAGGTCCAGCACCTCGGCTGTTTCGCCGGTGGCATGTTTGCCCTGGGTGGCCGGCTGTTCGGAAACGAAGAACACGTCGGCATCGGTGAACAGCTGGCCCGTGGCTGTGCCTGGGCCTACTCCGCCTTTCCCACGGGTGTCATGCCCGAGCTTGCTGAGATGATTCCGTGCGAGAGCAAGGACAAAGGCAAAGCCGACGGCCAAACCGAAAAACAAAACGACAGACCCCCACCACCCTGCGCATGGAACGAAACCCTCTGGCTCGAAAAACTCGCCCGCGCCGGTTCCGACCCCGACTCCGACTCCGCCCAACCATCCCCACGCGGCTTCGCAGCGCTACGCAGTCCCGAATACCTCCTCCGACCAGAGGCGATCGAAAGCGTGTTTGTGCTGTACCGAATCACGGGGCGGACTGAGTGGCTAGATGCGGCGTGGGAGATGTTTGAGTCGATCCGGAAGGCGACGCGGACGAAACATGCGTATTCGGCGATTGAGGATGTGAGGGCTACGGGGGTGACGGGGAAGAGGGATTCTATGGAGGTGGGTTTTCTCTCTCTCTTTCGTTTTCTTGTTCCTTTCCCTTGCTTTGATTCCCTTGTTTTGATGGGGGCTTTTGTGGACAACCTAGCTAACGCCGTGAACAGAGCTTCTGGATCGCCGAGACGCTCAAGTATTTCTATCTCATCTTCTCTGGGCCGGAGCTTATTAGTTTGGATGATTATGTGTTTAATACCGAGGCCCATCCTTTTCGACTGCCGAAGCCAGGCCAGAGTGAGGAGGTCAACTGATATAATACTGCGTGTGTATAAGTAGGTAAGGCGGTAGATAGCATGGGAGGTCATCACATGCATAAATAAACGGGTAGGCATAAAGGCGTTGATATACATTTTGGATTGCGGGCATCTTTAGGGGGGAATATATCTCCCAGATTCTAAACAAATAAATTGACATTTTCCAACGTCCCGTCATGATGTCAACCCCGTACTATACACCAAATCTTCTACTCCTCCTCATCCTCCTTCCCCCCCTGCTGAAACACCACCTCCTCACACAACTGCAAACACTTCCTCACCGGCAACCCAATCACATTATCCACGCTCCCCTCCACCCTATCCACCAACACCAACCCGCCCACCCCTTGCAACGCATACCCCCCGGCCTTATCCGCCCCCTCCCTCGTCTTCACATAACTCTGAATAACATCATCCGGCAACCCCTCCGACTCCGCCGCAAAAAAAACCTTGGTATCCTCCACATGCGACGCAATCTCATACCCCGGGTGCGTCGCATCCACTTTCGGCGCCAGCACACACACCCCCGTCAACACCCTATGATGCGTCGTATCCCGCAAATGCGTCAGCATCCGCACATGGTCTGCCTCCGACCGCGGCTTCTCCAGGATCTGCCCGGTCCGTGTCGCAATCACCGTGTCTGCGGCGATCACCACCGCCGGGTCCTCCTTGTCGCGGGGGTTCGGGTTGGGGTTGGGCACGTCCTTTTTGCTTTCGTGCTCCGCGACTTCCTCCTGGCGGGCTAGCGCCGCCTGGTAGACAGCCAGGGCCTTGCGCTGCGCAGTGGCGGCGACGTATTCTTCGGGGGTGTGTTGGGCTTTGTCGAGGTCTTCGGGGTCGGTGGAGGGGCGGATGTCGAGGTTGGTGAGGCCAATTTGGGCGAGGAGGGCTTTGCGGCGTGGGGAGGCGCTGGCGAGGATTACGCGTTTGGAGCGTAGGTAGGTGAGGATGGGGAGTTCCAAGGGGAAGGGGCCTTTTTTGATGGGCGCGCTTTGCCGGAGGGGGATGCCGTGGGCGCGGGCGGCGGTGATGTAATCGGGAGGGGGTTCGGAGGGGTTGGTGAGACTGTCCATGGTGTTGAAGTTATGCGGGAACTTGGGCTTGGTGAGGATGGTGAGTGGGCGGGTTAAGAGGGTGGTGGTTCGTTGGAGCGGGTTCATACGATGGTGGTTGGAAATACTATGTCAGGAGAGAAAAGGGAAGTGGGGGAAGAAAGTTGTCTTCGGGAATTCGAGCTCCTGTGTTGTGTGAAGTAAGGCGAAAGTGGGGGTTAGCGAGGAGCTGAAGCTTGCTTGCAAGGAATGGAAACCGTTGAACCCCACTTTCCCCAAATGGACTGACCCCTGCGTCATCTCGAGGCCAGCAAGGTGCTCAGGTGTTCACAGGTGACAGTTCGCAGCTCAGGTGGGCTTCTAGAATCATTTCAACTGCCATTCGTTTTCACGTTTCCTCGTAACGGTATGATACATAGTACAATAAGTACACCGGACATGAAATTTATGTCAGGTCAGGTAACCATCAACCCAAAAACCCAAGTCCGAGGTCATTGATACCTCTTCACCAAAGACAGCATATACTCCCGCGCCGCCTCAGGCGTCATATCCATCCTCTTAAGCCTCTTAAGCTCCGCCTCACTATCCCCCGGCTTAGCCAGAGCCATAGCATTAACACCCACCGTTTTGTTCTCCGCATCCTGCGGCCCCACGACAACAATCACCCCATACCCCTTAGCCACAGCCTCGCGCACCCTCAACCCCACGCTCCGGTCGCTATCATCAAAGTCAACCGCTAGACCGGTAGGCGCCGTGGGTTCTGTGACTGCCGCCGAAGCCGAGTCTGACGACACTCCAAGCAGGAGATTGTATGCCTGCCGCGCCCAACCCACCACGGGTTCCGTCCCGTTCACCGTGATGACGATGGCCTGGCGCGGGTTCAGCCAGAACGGCCATTTGCCGTTGTAATGTTCGATTAGCAGCGCCATGAGCCGCTCGGCAGATCCCAGCACCGCGCGGTGGATGAGAACCGGCTGTACCGGCCCATACTCGCCGAGTAGTTGTGGATCTGTGGTGGTCTCACCACGCTTCTCGTACTCGGGCGCCGGCGCGTCATATGACAAGTCGAAACGCTTGGGTAGCTGAAAGTCGAGCTGGACCGTCGCTGTTTGGTGCTCTTTTCCATCTGAGTCCTTGAGGATAATGTCTATTTTGGGCCCGTAAAACGCCCCGTCGCCCTCGTTGATGGTGTACTCATGCCCGCTCTCGGTGAGAGCCGTCTTCAGGGCTTCCTCCGCCTGCGCCCAGTCCTCCGGTGAGCCGATATAATGGTCCGGCCGGGTCGACAACACCAGCCGGTAGGGTCCCAGCCCGAGGACCTTATAGGTAAGCCGGACAAAGTCCAGCGTCTTCGCAATCTCCTCGCGGATCTGCGACGGCCGGCAAAAGATGTGCCCGTCGTCCTGATGGAACCGGCGCACGCGCGTCAACCCGCTCAACGCGCCCTGGATCTCGTTCCGGTGCAGCGGACTGAAATCGGCATAGCGGAGTGGGAGGTCGCGGTAGCTGCGGGTTTGCGATCCGAAGATGAGGCAGTGGCCCGGGCAGTTCATCGGCTTGAGGCCGTACTCGGCTTCTTCGCCTGCTCCGACGGTGTCGGCGCGCGCCGGGGAGGTGCTTGTGACGGTGTACATGTCCTCTGCGTAGTTCTCGAGGTGGCCGGACTGCGCCCAGAGCGCCTTTTTGTAGATGGTGGGGGTGATGACTTCTTGGAAGCCATACCGGACGTATTGCTGGCGGAGAAAATCGACCAGGCGGTTGAAGATGCGCGCGCCGTTGGGGAGGAGAATCGGTGACCCGGGGCTGTAGATGGAGGTCATGAACAGCTCTTGCTGCAACCCGATTTGCCGGTGGTCAGGCGGGAGAGATTTTCTGGTTGAGGCATTGCCGCTGCTGTCACTGCTTCTGCTGTTACCGCTATCACAGGACGAGCAAGACCGGAACTGGATCTGGGAGAAGGGCAGTCGTGGGCGGATCCTCAATTGCCTCGCGAGAACCTGCGATGCACGGCCAGACGTCCGGAGGAAGGGCATCCTGCCGGTTTCCGTTTTCCGTCCACCTTCCACCTTCTGCTTTGCGCAGCCTGGTGTCGTGTTTGTTTTGTTTGATGTGTTTGGGCAGTTGCCCGTTGAAGTCGCACTCAGGTTGCGAGGCTCGGCCCCGAAACTGGAAACTTTTCAATCAAAGGCTGTTTCGATTTTCCATCCAATGAGCGAGACAAGCTGCACCCATGCCTTGTCCTTCCCGAAAGCTTGGCTGCAAGGAAACCCCCATGTCATGTCATCACCAGGGGCCCTTGTCACCTCGTGCCGAACTTGTGCACCAGCTCCCGCGGACCTTGCGGACCTCGACTCTTCTATGATACACTACACACCGAAATCCGTGTCCATGGTTTCAATGTTCAAACTTTCTCCGCACGGGCCGCCTGGACCCCTTTGTCGCGGCCGACACAGTGCGCTGCTGCTCGCTTTGTACCAAGAACAAGTTGCTCCAAAACTACCTAGGCTGCAGCTGCGACTCCAAATTGGCCGAAGCAAATGGCCACGGACAGCGCACTAGCAACTTTCGGCAATACCACGGTTGCCTGGCGTTCCGGTCGCCTGCCGTTTCGGTCATCGGATAGCCAACCACCTACCCGCTGTAAGATGTTGGCCATGGGTAGTGTACGCTCCGGCCTGCTAATTCGAACGGCGTCGGCGCCCGTCAGTTTCAGCGAGCACCTGCGTGGCGGCATCAACCCAGAACATCAATGTGTCAGGCTGCCTTACAACAATCTCAGCGAGCATAGCTAATCGACGACCAGCTGTACACAGCTTGCCGACACCACCCAGGTCAACGAGAAACGCCTCGGGCAGCTGGCTCAGGACATCCTCGTCTCTGCAGTCGAGGGAATTGCGGTCGCGCAAGAAAGGGATGGTCGCGAATGGCGGCGATCGTTTTCTTGGTCGCCCTGAGCCGGTTAGCGGTGTCGGCGCGGGGATGGTATCTGCGCCATGGCTCACAGCCCAAGTCAATTGTCCGAGCGAAGGACGACTGGCCGCTGCTCAACCATCTAAGGGGGTGGCGCGAATGCTTTATCCGACCTGGCCCGCCCTCTGTCCTGAGGGTGATGATATGGCGGCGTGGTGCGAGTGCTCGGCCTTTTTCGGTCGTTTGGACTAACTCACGCAGACTAAAATGCAGGGGTCTGCTTCTATACAACCTCCTCGCAAAGAGCAAGATACTCCCTTGTTATCGTCTAAAATAGAAAATGCTGTTCCTAGAAGTGATGCTGCCTCCAACATAGAGGATTGTGGAGGAGGAAGGAGATTGTGTTAGGCGCCGACTAGGACATGTCCCGTTTAGGAGAGCCAAGTTCACCGGTCGCCCCGCTCAGATCTCGCTCAGTGAAGACCCCAGGTTAATGAGTGCTTCCCCGGACTGCGAAGCCCGCCAAGAATGGGCTAATGAGGGCTGGAAACGGGCGCACCGGACACGAGCTAAGAGCCACAGAGCTAAGCGAACTCTATTTTGTGGAGATTGATTAAGCTGGGGTATTGTGGGGCCTGGGCTAGGCTACCGCTGGCAGTTCACGGTCGATCACTAGCATGAGACATTGGGAAGCAAAGGTCTTTCGATGTGTCAACAGGAGGTCTGCCACCAGCATCCCTACCGGCCGGCGGATGCCATAACTGGCGCCGGCAGGGCTCGCGCTGTGACCGTTGCGTACATAAGTGCAGTAGTGTACAGCTCCGGCGGCCAACCGCGCAGTCTCTCGAATCGACCGGAAGAAAGCATTGGTGCATTAGCGTCGCATTGAAAGTTCCTTTTCGGCTTGCCTTACACACCTATACAAGTTTGTTTATCCAAAGCGGTTAGTCGAATTAACATCCATACGCTCGCGCGTGTCCCGAGTCCGTGGAATCTATCAGTGTACAAGAACATAGGGTTGCCGCCGGTTGATTAAAAGTTTGAGCAGGCGTTTGTCCCAACTTTCGTTGCCTTCTTTCACACCGGCTCTCATCGTGATTGCCCGGAAACCGTTGCCAACCCCAACTTCTGCGTCCGTCCTCACGCCTGCTAGAGCGGCGCTCGGATGATCGCCGACGCCGGGCCTAAGCCCGCTCCCCCAGAACACTGAACCGACCTCACCCCTCCGCCGCCACGATGCCTATCTCCGGTCCCACGCTCAGTCCCGAGGAGTATGCCCACGCCGACCACTCCTCTCGCGCGAATATGCTCCTCTCCGCCCAGTGGTCGCTAGTCAGCTTCGCAGCCGCCTTCCTCGCCTTGCGCATCCACGTCAAAATAAGCTTCAAGAAGGGGCTTTGGTGGGACGACTGGCTGCTCATCGCCTCCTGGATAGTCTGTGTCGTCGTATGCATCCTTACAACCATCCTCATCAAGGAATTCAGCTTGGGCCACCACACCTACGACATCGTTGTCCCCAATATCCCCAAGTGGATCAACATCCTCGACTCCCGTGCCACATGCGTCAACACGGCGTTTGCGTGGACGAAGACGGCCTTTGCTGTGACCTTATTGAGGCTGACGATGGGAAAGACGAAGGCGTTTGTGTGGTTTCTGATTATTACGCTGAATATCGCTCTGGGGTTTAGTGCGATGGCGCCATGGATTCAGTGTCAGCCGGTGGCGAAGAGATGGCATATCGAGTTAGAGGGGCAGTGTTGGTCGCCGGATGTGGTGATTCACACTTTTATGGTGACCAGCGCGCTGAGCTCGTTGTATGATTTCATTTTGGCATTGTTGCCCTGGACTTTTCTCTACACGCTTACGCTGAGGAAGAAGGAGAAGGTGGGCATTTTGGTGGCGATGAGTATGGGTGCTGTGTGAGTTTCCCGGTCTGGATGGAGGGGTTGGGAGGAGAGGGAAGCTAACGAGCGGCAGGGCTGGCGCTTTGGGCATCGTTAAGTGTGTGAAAACGCCCGCTCTGGGGACTGAAGATGACTGTAGGTTCTCTCTATTCTTTCGCCTGATTCATCCTCTAGACATCCCCTTAAACCCGTCTTGTTAAAGATAATCTGGCCCCCCTATTCATCTGGGATATTGCCGAGGCCTGTGTCACTCTCATCGCCGCCTGCATTCCGACCCTCCGCGTCTTACTCCGCGACAAGACCTCTTCTGGGACCTCCGACGAGCGCACCACCCGCTTCTCTCAGTTCTCGCTCTCATTCCGCACTGTCAACCGCGGTCGCCTCATGTTTGACACCCAGAACATCGAAGTCATACGGGAGCATAGCCTCGAGAAGGGCGAGGCCTTCACAGTGAGCAGGACAAGCAGAGACGGGAGTGCGGCCGGGAGTGGGAGACCTGCGGTTGCGGAGAAAACAGGATAGTTCGTCTTCCACGGACGAAGGGAGGGGCTGGAAGAGGGAAAGCAAAGGCGAAAGAACGCATGATACCTGAACATTAGTACTTTGGTTTCGGTCCGTTGTTTAGTCACAACTCCGGTTACTTTTCCGCGGTACTCATACCACTGCAAATTTACCTACCTAGGTTCCACTGCCTATGTTATTCTTTCCACGGTGCCTGCTGTTGTGCTGTGACGTCACAGCGCATGATTCCGGGTACCCGTTCCGCTACCCATGTACTGTTTTGAGGCACCCATACATGCCATACCGCTGCAAAATTACCTGGGTTCCCCATGTTACTCTTCCGCCGTAGGGCTCTCAAACCGACCGTCGGATTGCGCGCGGGCCTCGCGTTGCAAGGAGGGCTCCAACCGACCATCGAACTGCCTAGGTTTCCAACCGACTATCGAACCGCCCAGGGCTCCAACCGACCATCGAAACCTAGGGGCTAGATACTCTACCAATTGGTATAATATCGTTTCCAAATTCGAGGTGGAGGATCTTATTGGTAGCTTGATGGTCCTGGCCAAATTTGATGGAATTTGAACTGGTGGTTGTAAAGTTGTTCTAGGGTAGGGCATCGAGAGGAGAGGGTCTCGACCGGCAATCGAACCCTATAAGCTCGGTACTCTACCAACTAATACAGGATCGGTCCCAAAATACAGGTGGAGGATCTCCTTGGTAGCCCGATTGTCCTTGTTAAATTTGATGGAGTTTTAAGTAGTAGTTGTGAAGTTGTTCTAGGGTAGGCCATTCGAGAGGAAAAACTCGGTGACAGAAACCCCCTGTCGACCGCCATCCGTCCACAGACTGTTTTCTGACGGAAAGTCGGTAGACCCACATGCTACATGTGCACGGGCATCGGAGCACAAAAGCCACACTGTGGCGCAGCGACCGTCAGGAAAAACAGGCTGTGATCCACAGATAAAGCCCCTCCCCCCCCCTAGATCTGAAAATGCTCTCAGGCCCCTCTCTTCAGCATTCTAGTTAAAAAAGTGGGTACTATAGGTCTCTAGTATAAAAATGACTAGTACAACGAATTTACATATAAATTACGTGTATTTATGTCTTGCGCCTGCCGTGCATGCTGAAAAAACAAGAGGTTCTGAGCACTGAGATAAGTGATCGGGATGGTTCCCACGTGGTTCCCTCGCGGTTGTTGTGGGCGTGTCATTGATATGATTGGCTGAAAGGGGCTGAGCAATGGGTGTCCCCTTCTGCAATGGACCCCAATAAATCCCGGTCCCCAACGCCCTCCAACAGCCGCCCACCCTCCTCCACCTTTGTGTTGTATTCAAACATCTTCACCAGACAACTGTTGCTCTGTGAAATCATGCATTTCTTTGACGCCCGGGCAAACAACATCATCCCCAGCCGCTGGCGTAAATCCTCCCTTGCTGCCTACGGTGACTCATTTGAGCTTCCACCTTTGCGCGGATCCTGAAGAAACCCCTGGCCTCAGGCACAGGGAAAGCGATCAAACCCCCACTTTTGCTTAACGCAGGGCCTATAAGACGCCGCTGCTGCCTTCATCACCTGCGTTCGCCACCAAACGAAACAGACACGCGACGACGCGTGACCTCGCGACATTTCGGACTTGCTTGTCGGCGGAAGACGGAAGATTCCAGAAATAAATAAGGCTTCTCGACCCCGGTTCCCAAGTCCTCGATCTCGAACCTCTTACGGACACGCGGTTCCGGAACCGCGACAACTCGTCCAAGCGCAACACCATGGCGAGAACCACACGATCATCCGCGAAGCGGGACATCCAGCCGGAGAGCTCATGGCGCATGGTCGAGGGCGGCGAGAACGACAGTTTCGACACCTCGATCCTGAACGATGAAGAGATCTTCATCCCCTCGAGCGGCTCCCAGGCCTTCGGCTCGCAACCCATCGGCTCGCAATCCTTCAGCATCGGCGGGTCGCAACCGTGGAGCATCGGTGGGTCGCAGGACGACAACATCGAGAATTTTCTGAGTAAAGCCGAGGAAGACGAGCAGGTCCTCCTGCGTACGCCGTTCCGCCCGTCCGTTCCGAAATCCGTGCGCCAGAGCTCTCGTGATAACTTGAGGCGGCCGTTCTCGCCTGAGCCGCAGTTCTACATGCCCAAGATCGATATTGATAGCCCGAGGAATTCGGTCTCGGAGTCGTCTACGACGGTTCGGCCTACTGATCCACCACAAACGTCGCCGAAACTCAGGCGTCGTCAAGTCGGGGTACCAGAGAGTCCTGTTAGCAAGCAAACGAAGAAGTCGACAGCGGCTCGGCAACCAACACTGGACAACGAAGCATCGGGAGCCCCTTTATCTGCCGGGATATTCGGCGCACTCGGCTGGGTGTTGGAGGTGGTTGGGATGGCGTTGCGCTATGCGCAAAAGCCACTGGCCGTCTTGTTATCGCTTTATATCACGTTTGGCGGCATCATAATGCTGCAGAACATGGCGAGCAAGTCAATCACAACTTCACTCTCCCCCATCTGCCGCATCCCCGGCGCGTCGTTGATCGACCTGCCATTCTGCCCGGATTCCAAGCCATCCGGGAACAAGAAAAAAGGGGGGAAAGGCGGCAGCGCGCCGGTGCAGTTCGACAGCCTGATGGACGCCCAAGACAATTTCCAGCGGGTAGCAGAGATGGCCGCAGACGGCATGTCGCTGCCTATGGAGATGAAGCGGTCCGAATCATCCATCCGCGACCTGCGCACTGTAGTGCGCCACAGCTCGCTGATTTCCAAAGAGGAACTGATCCTCGAATTCGACGGGTTCATCGACACGGCCCAGGCCGCCACGAGCAGCCTGCAACGGTTCAACACACGCGTCAGCTCCACAGTCGACTGGGTCATCAGCATCACCCGATGGACGTCACGCAACCTCGAGCCCTTCAGCCAGGAACTGGGGCCCGACGGCGACCACGGCGGCCGTAGCACCGGCCGTGTCGCGGGCTACCTCGGCGCTTGGACAGACTGGTTCTTCTCCCCGTTCCAGCCGACCCTACTCTCGGAACAGTACCTCCTCAACCGGTACATCGAGCACACCGAGCTAGTATCCGACAAAGTCGGCCAACTAATCAGCGAAGCCCGCGCCGTGCTGCACACCCTAACGCGCGCCGAAGAGCATCTCGACGCCGTATACAGCTTCGTCACGCGCACGCACAAAACGGTCCAAGGCCGCAAAGACGACATCCTCTGGACACTGTGGACGCTAGTCGGCGCCAACAACCGCCGTTTAGCTAATTACAACGGCCAGCTGGCGCTGCTGCGGCAGGTGGAGGGCCAGCGGACGCGGGCGGTGCGGTTGGTGAATGAGTTGGTGCTGGAGCTGGAGAAGATTCAGGCGAGTTTGGGGGATTTGAAGGAGAGGGTGTCGGAGGTTGGGCTGGTGCAGGCGCAGGCGGAGGTGCCGTTGAGTGTGCATATTGAGACAATTAATATGGGCGTGGAGAGGTTGGAGGCGGCGAGGAGTCGGATCAGGTCGATTGAGGATGAGAGGATTCAGGAGGTTTTGGCTAGGGGTGGGAGGGGAGGGGAGGATCGGTTGATTGATGCATAGAGGCAGGCGTGTGTGTTTTTTTTTTTTTGGTTTTTTTTTTTCTGATTTCGTTGGGTTGGGACTGGATACGAGCATTTACTCGGCGTTGGATTCATTGATACCTTCGGAATATTGGACTACGTACATACCATACGGTCTTTATGGGCTTTTCTTTTGGTTGACTTTTTCTGGGGGTTTTGGCAAGCTTATTATTCACTCGGCTCTCTCTCATTTGTACATCCTGTATTGTACGTACATCTTTCCAGATTTGGGTTATTCTTGCGGGATACAAAGGACAATTACGGAATACAACGGGGCGTCGGTCCATTGGGACTGTGATGTAATTGATATTTAGACAAGAGCACACGTTCCCGACTCGCTTCGTCGTTGGCTTATGTCCAGACAGTAAACTGCATATCACAAGTTTATTTGGGGGATCAACCAAAGACGTCCTGAAACGGCCCTGATCTCGCCGTCAATTGTTAGAGATAATGGGATGGCTATCTAGCCAGCCCCTCGTTTTCGGCGGCGCGGTTGGCATCTGCTGCGGCCAGGTCAAAGAAACTAGGCCCTCTCTCTCATCCACCACCGCACGTTGAAGTTGTTGGACAGGATCCCGGAACCCACGATCTGGACGAGGAAGGATACGAGGTTCGGAGACGACAGGCAAAATGTGGGTATGTACCTACCTTAACAATGCAACACAGGCCATACAATCGTGGGTGGTAAAACTGGTTGAGGAGACACGGCAGGCCGGTGCCCTTAAATATAGCCCAGCTCTTTGAGGACTTCTTGCTCCAGATTGATGTTGTCCTCCTTTGTGAAGCAAGGGAGATGGTCGGCGCCGTCTTCTCGGACCCAGCCACACCTCACGTCCGACGACATCCTGAGTCGCTCTCTCTTGATCCACTTTCCCCGAACCCGAACCCCTACGTTCTTAGGCCTCGTTGACTCCTTGGACCCCTCGATGATCCCCGGCGCTTTGATCAGCTTCTCATGGGCCTCCTGCTTGGGAAGCAGCGTGGCGGTTTGCTCTTTGAACACAGAGTACCAGCTGAACCACAGGTTGGACGAGCCGAGCAGCGTATCCTTGAGCCCGAATTCGTAGGCAAAAGGAAAGAAGCCCGCCAGCTCCCAGTCGATGATAGCAGCGAGTTCGTACCATCCGCCGCCGTTGTTGCCGCCAATCCGCTTGACGAGAATGTTGCGGGGCTCCAAGTCATTGTGACAGAACACGGTGAGGCTCATGAGGACGTCGAGATCAGACTTGCTGAGCTCAATTGCGCCAATTCCGTCGACGGCCGACCGGACGGCAATCCCGTCACCTGTGTCGAGGATCTCACACGCCTGCAAGTCCGCCGCCCTCTGGCCAAGAAATGCCTCCAACAGTGGCTTGACACCGGAATGAAAACCGACGTCCGGCCCCCCGACGAAGGCCGCCTTGCTCGAGGGCTGAGACTCTGCAGTTGTCTTGCCATGCCGCTGGAGGATCTGGCGGACATCGGGACTTTGGACAGGAACTTCCTGGAGCTTCCGCATTGCAACGACAATGGATCCTACCAGGGACCGCTGGTTGTGCTGATCGAGTCCTGCCCAGACCTCCTCGAGAACCGTAGTTCCATCCAAGAATGGTGTGATGGAGTATTCCACCTGTCTGCGACTTGCGTCAATGGCGGACCCCACGGCTAGCGTTGCGGGAACGAGATCGGGGATCTGGAGATGCGCCAGCTGTTGCAACTCGGCTACGGCCGCGAGATGATGATTGCGGGAAGCCTCAGGTCGAATGAGCAGGTCTGCGGGGAAGCCCGGCCGTGGTTCGGCGGCAAGCAGGAGTCGGAACGTACACGTATCGAACGTGTTGGAGATGACCGTACAAAGGCCATCGGCGATGTCGGGGACGTCGGGAAAGATACCGGAGAGGATGTGCTGATCCGGCACAAGCTCCCTGTCGTCGGCCACGATTGAAGCTCCGACCAAAACATGGGCTTCTGATCACTGCTCGCGAATGCAACGCTGTTTCCCTACCGGTTCGTCACCACTTCAACTTACACGCGAAGATCCCGTCGGCTCGAGCCCCGCCCGCCACTTGCCGTTTGGGTATCTGATTTCCTTATCGCTGGCCGCCGATTAGTGTACCGTCGTCGTGTGGTGACCACACGCGGGTTGTTGGCTTATCAGCAACTTTATGGAGGTGGATGCGGGGTAGAATTCCAAGTCCTTAGTTTTCCACTCAGTGGAACGATTCCAACCCCACCTCCACCCCTCATCGAACGCGGTTCTCGCCCTCGCTCTCGCGGCCGTCGGGCCCAGCGGATGGAAAGAACCTAAAAACTTGTTCAGAGGTCCTTTTTCAGGGGGTACTTTGGGTTCCAGAAGATCCATTCTCAGGGCCACCTCGCCCACCTCGGAGAGTTGGCCCGTTCCACCTTACCTTTTAGTGTATCCCCCCATGCCTTTCAAGAAAAATTTACTACCGTTTGCCGAATCTTTTTGAAGTGTCTCTCCCCAAAATTACTTTGTCTGCTGTGTTTCCGAGTCTTTTATCAAGAGACAAAATCTCGACATTCCCTTCTCGGCTACTTATACTGGTGAGAGAGCGTTGACGACACAATGCATCTCGTTCCCAAGGAGGTTAGTGCTTGGCAGCATTGGCACTGCTGTTTGGGTTGTTCATTTAGCAGCCAAGGCAGTCGATCCCGGTCTGGTCTTCAAACCTCACGATTCAGTTCTCATCCACTCTGGTCAACACACAATGCAATGGGGGCTCAGAGTGGTGAGAATGAGGAATTGAGTGAGATATGAGGCAGATATGGATTTGAATTTGCCAATTGGACCTTATTTACTTTGTTTGTTTGTTTATCCCGGACTTCATCTCTGAGAACAAATGTTGACTTATTTCCTCCGATTCAGATCGACAAGGTCGTCATCTCGCAGCTGGGGTTTCTGGCCCAGCGGCGACTGGCCCGTGGTGTACGGCTGAATCATCTCGAAGCCACTGTGAGTGACCCCCCATCTTCCTTGGCCCGTTGAACTTGACGAAAAAAAAAAAGACCCAAAGCTAACTCCTCCAGGCCCTCATCGCGTCCAACCTCCACGAGCTGATCCGCGATGGCAACCACACAGTGGCCGATCTCATGTCGCTGGGTGCCACCATGCTCGGCCGGCGCCACGTCCTACCCGAGGTCTGCTCAACGCTACACGACATACAGGTCGAAGGCACCTTTCCCTCGGGCACCTTTCTCGTGACGGTCCAGAACCCAATCGCCACAGAGGACGGCGACTTCGCCCGCGCGCTGTACGGCAGCTTCATCCCGGTGCCAGCCGACGCAGACGAACTGTTCCCGCCGCATCCGGACGAAGCCTTCGCTCAAGAGAACCAACCAGGCGCCGTGGTGTGCGTCAAGAACGAGGTGATCAAACTCAACGAGGGCAAGAAGCGCATCAAGCTCAAGGTCACCAGCAAAGGCGACCGCCCCATCCAAGTCGGCAGCCACTACCACTTTATCGAAGTCAACCCGGCCCTCGAGTTCGACCGCCTGCGCTCGTACGGCTACCGCCTCGACCTCCCGTCGGGAAGCTCAGTACGCTTCGAGCCCGGCGACACCAAGACGGTCACGCTCGTCGAGATCGGCGGACTCAAGTCCATCCGCGGTGGCAACGGCATCGCCTCGGGCCGGGTCGATTTCGGCCGGCTCAAGGAAATCCAAGACCGGCTACAAGAGGCCGGGTTCGCGCACGTCACGGACCCGGCGGGCGACGCCGCGCTGCTGTCGGACGGCGGGGGCCATATCATCGAAGGCGCCACGATCGACCGCGACACCTACGCGACCATGTTCGGGCCGACGACAGGCGACCGCGTGCGGCTCGGCAAGACGGACTTGTGGATCCAGGTCGAGAAGGACTATACCGTCTACGGCGACGAGTGCAAGTTTGGCGGCGGCAAGACGCTGCGTGATGGCATGGGGTCGGCTACGGGCCGCACCAGCGCTGAGTCGCTTGATTTGGTGGTTACCAATGCGTTGATTGTTGACTGGACGGGGATTTTCAAGGCGGATATCGGTGTTAAGGACGGGTATGTGGTGGGGATTGGTAAGGCGGGTAACCCGGATGTTATGAACGGTGTGACGCCGGGGATGATTGTGGGTAGCTGTACGGATGTGATTGCGGGAGAGGGCAAGATTGTGACGGCTGGGGGAATCGATACGCATATTCACTTTATCTGCCCGCAGCAGGCTGAGGATGCGATTGCTTCGGGGATTACGACCATGGTGGGCGGTGGTACTGGGCCGGGGTATGTATATGAATTATATGGATCACCAGAAAGCAAGAAGCAGATGACAACTAACAAGATTCTAGAGCCAATACAGCGGCCACAACTTGCACACCCGGACCGTACTTCATCCGCGAGATCTTGCGCGGCGCCGACAAGCTCCCCGTCAACATCGGCATCACAGCCAAGGGCAACGACAGCGACCCGGTGGCCCTCCGCGAGATGGTCAAGGCCGGCGCGTGCGGGCTCAAGCTGCACGAGGACTGGGGCTGCACGCCCGCAGCCATCGACAGCTGCCTGACGGTGTGCGACGAGCTAGACGTGCAGTGCATGATCCATACTGACACCCTCAACGAGTCCGGCTACGTCGAGCAGACCCTCAAAGCCGTCGGCGACCGCACCCTGCACGCCTACCACACCGAGGGTGCCGGCGGCGGCCACGCCCCCGACATCATCCGTATCGCCGAGTACCCCAACATCCTCCCCTCCTCCACCAACCCAACCCGCCCTTACACCCGCAACACCCTGGAAGAACACCTCGACATGCTGATGGTCTGCCACCACCTGACCAAGGACATCCCCGAGGACGTGGCCTTCGCCGAGAGCCGCATCCGCGCCGAGACCATCGCCGCCGAGGACGTGCTGCACGACCTGGGCGCCATCAGCATGATGAGTTCCGACAGCCAGGCCATGGGCCGCTGCGGCGAGGTCATCTTGCGCACCTGGCATACCGCTCACAAGAACAAGATCCAGCGCGGGCCTTTGCCCGAGGATGTTGGTACGGGTGCCGACAACTTCCGCGTCAAGCGCTATATTAGCAAGTACACCATCAACCCGGCTATTGCCCAGGGCATGTCGCATATGATTGGGAGTATTGAAAAGAACAAGCTGGCTGATTTTGTGATTTGGGACCCGGCTTGGTTTGGTACCAAGCCCACTTGGGTCGTGAAATGCGGCATGGTTGCTTACTCTCAGATGGTATCCCCCCCCTTTTTTTTTTCCTTTTCTTTATCACATCCCACTTCCTCAAACTCTCCCACTAACATCCACCAGGGCGACGCCAACGCCTCGATCCCCTCCGTCCAGCCCAAGATAATGCGCCCCATGTGGTCCACCTACATCCCGCAAACCAGCGTGGCCTTCGTCTCCCAGTCAAGCATCGACAACGGCGTGGTCGGTACGTATGGTCTGCTCAAACGTATCGTGCCCGTCCGCGGGTGCCGTACCGTAGGCAAGCGGGATCTGAAATTCAACGATGCCACGCCGCGGATGAGGGTTGATCCGGAGAGTTATGTGGTGGAGGCTGATGGGGTGGTGATGGATTCCGAGCCGATGAGTGAGTTGCCTTTGGCGCAGACGGCGTATTTTTACTAGGGAGCTTGCTGCTCGAGGAGGGATGGAGATGCTTCTCTGTGTTGGTCAAGGTGATTCCCTGGGGCTCTTAGTTGACGAGGCGGATGCGGGAGGTTTTTACCGATGGAAAGGGGCAGGTGGGAAAGTTGATATGTCGCTATTATTCAGAGCGATACAATGTGAATGTGTATATATCCTCTACCATGAGATGTGTGATGTTTGAATGGTCCTAACCCAGCAGTGGCTTAGCCTACACAGCCGTCCTAGTTTACATCTTAGGCCTGTTGATGTTCTGCGTTTTCGAAGAAATATGCCGATTCATCCCTGTCCGAGTTTTAAAGAACGGGGTTCATCCATCCGTCAAAGCTCGCGTGGTTATGGTGCAGGAACTGATACTAACTAGTCTAGGGGAAGAAATTTTTTATAAAAGGACGATTCAGACACTTGGTGAACCACCCCCGGGTAATTTAGCTTCCAGCTTTATTTGACCCGGACTTCTCACGGCGGAGTCCCGGGGAACACACAGGAGACAGCTTAGTAACTAGAAACGAAAATGAGTAAACATCAACACCCCGTACAAGAACCGTTCTTGTAATTTTTTAAGATAACATATAGGGAAGATTTGCTCCTTAGAACTTAGAGCCTCACTGCTCCAGCCTCGTTGTAGCAAGCAATCTTCCCGTTTCCAGCTCTTGCAACCTGAAATTTGATGTCTTCCTATGTTGTGGCGGCTATGTTGTTGCTCTAAGAGGAAGTCCTACCCCAACAACTCCCCCCTGAAACGCTGCGGGAGACGGCAGCAAGCGTTTTGACTTAGACCACTCCGCTGGCTGCAGCTTAATACCCACCCAGTAAAAAGTGGCTTATACAAACTATACCTTGAATACTAGTTCTTCTTACAAATAGGTAATATGTGCAACATAAACACCAAGAGGAGGAGAAGGGCCTACCTACCGTTCAGTCTTTAACTGATAGAAAATGTACACGACGCAGATCTTCTCTTTATCTCGTGGTCAGACAATATGAAGGGCATGATTGTATGTATGGGTTGGTCCACACAAGAGTCAGATACGGCCGGGGGTTGAATAATACCACCAGGTAGAAGATAGGGAGAGAACCATAGGTGAGCTAGACTCCTTGGATGATGTGTGGGTTGTCTGAGAGTTCGTTCTCTGTCCTGTGGTGAGGTGATGTCTCTGTCTGTATTTATGGAACTAAACCCGTGGAGATAGGTGTCTAATTCAGCGAGCCCTGACGGGTCCCTTCAGTTGACCCTGCTAGATAACAACCACACATGTCACAGGATAGATCACAAAAACTCAAAAGGAAGCTACGGCGTAAACTTAAATTCTTCGCTATCTCGACCACACCCCCCTCCGACTCCCCCATCAGGACGTGTGCAAAACAAAGATGTCAAAAACGCCGGCCGATACATAGGTACGTACAAATAACGGTATGGACTCTGCATACCTCTGGCAGGTAGGTATGGATGTATGTTTGTGAGAAGCACGCCTGTCCGCACCCCCTCGGTCCATTCCTCGGATGGATTACCTTTTCCGGGTAGTTTACCTTCTGAGCCATACACGTAACAATATATCTCACAACACAGCTATGTCCCTCCTCCCCTCCCCGAGCAGTGCGGCAAAAAAAAAAAAAAGGTTACCTCCGCGCGAATGCTGTCGAAACTTCGCGTCCGACTGACCCACCAAGACACACGTCCTTTGCCTTTGATGTTCTCCCGTGTCTCTCCCGTCTCCTGCAAGACAGCATGCCATGACGGCAAGTTCTGCGTGGTGATCACTGTTCCCTCCCAACGCGCGCCCACTCTTCATCTCATAAATCAAGACGATAGAAGGAACCACGCAGTGACCTTACTTAGCCCTCCTCCCAAAGGTATCGTCAAGAGGAAATCTTAAAAGAAAAGACCAAGCATGCATAAAACCAAGCCAACCAGCCGACGTGGACCAAAAGCAATGAAAAAAAAGGGAAGCGCAAAGACTGAGAGAGGGAAAAAAGGTGGCGTCGGGGCAAGCCTAGCCGGTCTTGGTCTTCTTACGACCAGACTTTTTAGGCTCCTCGGCCACCACCTGATCCGCCGCCTTGGACGTGCGCTTCCGCTTCTTGATCTCGGGGCTGGCGGGTGTCGCCGCGGGCTTGACCGGCTCGGGCTCGGTCGCGGCCGCTGGGGTGGCAGCAGCCGTGCTCTTGCGCTTGCGGGCCGCGGGCGCCTTCTTGGGGGTCTTAGCCACCGGGGCGGCGGGCTCGGCCTCAGACGGTTCCGAGGGCGCGGGCTCTGGGACGTGCTGCTGCAGTTGCTCGGCAATGGCCTCCTGGTCGTTGGCCGGAGCCTCCTCGCCCTGGTTGAGGGGAGGGACGCCGATGCCGTACTGGTCGGCGTAGGCGCGGGCGTCCTCGTCCGACATGTTCTTGGCCTCTGGGTTGCCGTTCTTGTACGAGTGGACACGCGCGTTGTAGAGGCGCAGATTGTACTGGTAGGCCTGGTTCCAGCCGAGCTTCTCGGCCGGGGTCATGACGGACCACCGACGCTGGCCCTCATCTTGGACGGCGCCCTTGGGCACTTGGTCACCTAGATCGTTGGCGATGATGGGGCGAGCGGTCTGCATGTACAAGAAGTACGGAGTCAGGGGACGCTTGGGCGCATTGGGGTCGTGAGTGCGCTTCTTGCGCTCCTTCTTCTCCTCAACAGGCGGGGGAGGGGCCGCAGCAAGAGCAGCGGGGATCAAGTTGGTGAAAGTGCCTGCGACGCGCTCCAGCTCAGCGCCATTCTCAAGGCTAGTGCCCTCGCCGATGAGAAGGTTGGTTTGGCGCAGATAATCCTGGGAGAAGCTCCTAATCAAGTCCTGGATAGTCTGAAGCCTTTGGTAGACCTATGAGACGCGTTAGCCGGGATGAATGCACATGAGAGAGTTTAAAAATTGGGTGTTGTGCGAATTGAGTGCGATGAGTCCCAGGCGCACGGAATTGCGATCAATAATGAGGGCATCAGTCCTATCATTTTGCGTTGCGCCCGAAAATGATACATTTGGGGTCATGTAAACAACTCTGGGCGGAGTTGGTGGTAGACATGTGAGAACGCGTTGAGCGCGTTGTTTTTGTTTTCGCTTTCTTTCCTGCAACGGGGCAGCGCGGGACTGCGGAGGCCGTTGCGGGGGATTGATGGTGATGCGATTCCATGTTGCGAAGTGATGTGCGGGGAAAACAAAAGAAAACGCGAATTGCCTTACCGAGTCTCTGACGCGGACGAACTGGTCGACATCAATAACGGGGGGCGCCTTGAAGGTGAGCGCCTGAGGGGGGATGGCAGCCGGGAGGACGTTGGGCGGCGCAACAACCGGGAGCACAGCAGGCTCGGGGATGGCCTTGTTCTTGGGCGGGCGCGGCATGGTTAATGCGATGGTGCTGGGTGTTGAGTGGTGGAGGTTGTGTTTGCCGTTTTTGGCGGAGATCCGATAGTGGGATGATGGCGCTGAAGTTAATGCCGCGATGGTGGAGTGGGCGGTGCGTTCCAGGGAATCCGGCGAAGGCCAAGCGCTGTGGGATGGAAATGAACAGAGAGTTTGAGAGGAAAAATTCGCGGCGAATTTTGGGGGGGATGGCGGGGTTGCCGAAAATATAGGTGGGGCACTGCGAGAGGGGTGCCAGCGCTGATTTCACCTGCTGAAAATTGGTGGGCGAAAATTGCGCGCTGGGCACGACGCCCAATTTTGGCCCAGAAAATCGAATCACAGCCCAGCCCACGTTGATTCAGCGATTGAGCCGCCGGGACCCGCTGTTCCAGGTGGCCACCAAGCTTCCATTTTAGAACAGAAGCACTTGTTGGATTAAAAGTTACAGCCCTGGCGGCCAGGCAGTGCCTAAAGAATGAAGCGCATCGGTTTCTTAATGAGGAGGACCCAGCACTCCAGCTGTATTTCTGTCCTTTAACCCTACAGAGCCCACTCACATTTCATTCTCCCACTGCAGGTGGTTTTCATACACAATAAGTTACCTTGCACACCATACCAAAAGAAAAATGGTGTTGGAATGCTACCGAGGTACCTTGTCCGAGGGACAGCAGGAGCACCCTCGACGTGTGCAAGGCGATTGATTGATTTCGTCAAGCTGGTGCAACAAGCTCCAGGACGGCCGGGGCCTGGGCCCAGCCTAACAATCGGCATGCCGACCTCCACCCCGCTCCTGCACTTGCATCCAGGCCTCCACTGCACAACACTGGACATCCGGTCGCGGAATCTTCCCTCGTGTCCAGGTGTCGCACTCTATCGTGTTGACGAAGTAACTGTCGCGCAATTGCCGCAGTTTATCGAGGACAGTATTCAAAATGTACTGATTTTAGCTACCCGTAATTTTGCCAGCTTATGTGTGTTGTTTCCACCCGACGGGCTGCTCGCGCCTTCCTGATCAGGGCTCCAAACTTGCCGCCGAGTTTCAGAGCTACACTCTATTTCCAGGGGAGCGCTACCCGTCGGTACAAAACGAGTTGTTTCGAGCTTCCATGGGGTGGGAGCCATCGCAGTGCGTTGCACAATAAGCCTGCGGAACCGGAGCCGCTGGGCCACGGGACCTCCCTATCCAATAGGCGGTCGATTAGCGTGTCAGCGAGTCACGCCCGAGGGCGCTGCGAAAAGCCATGACCAGGGGGGACAGGCGATGCTGATTTGTGCCAGAGGGGGCGCACTCGTTTCCTCGACCCCCAGGGCAGCGAGTTCCCGTTCCCCCGCTTGTCGGCAGAGGTTGGGCTTGGGCCAAAGCCCTCAGCATTGCCCAAACCAACCGCCTAATGTTGCGGGATGCCAACTTGCGATGGAGGTTCCAAGTTAGGTCCCCAGAGCGCACTGCACCGCCACTGCAATCTCCAACCGAGAGAAGAATCGCTGCAGTGCTTGTCTTTCCCAGCGGATTAATTGCTCCTTGGGATGATGTCCCTCTGAAAACGGGAGCCTAGACGCATCCCCCAACAGGACAACAGTTCTGCACCCTGCGGCGTCTTTGATGCCCCCTTCAGCTGTCCCGGCTATGGGGCCCAATGCCCCAAGTCACCAGCGTTCCTTCGAACATAAACAGTCCCTTCGGGTGTAAATAGAGGCAACTTCTCCCACTGAAAAGCTCAGTCACAACCCATCTTCCCCTAAATCCCAACCTCATTTCCATACCACAAACACGCGCACCACCTAGTTAAGTCACAAGACCAGAATCTCCCGCCAAACTTACAGAGAAGACGTAAACATCCGAAGCCGCCGGCAGTATTCCATACACATTCATAGAAGTAACATGTACGGATAGCTTCCTTAACAACTCAGTGACCCAAAATGGAATAGTCGCAGCCCGCAACGTGTTGGGAAGAGGAAGCTGCCCCCCAGAGCGCCAGGGCGTTGCCGACGAGCGTGCCTGCCCGTTTCCCACCTGAGCCCAGGTCGGCAACAGTGGAGGCCCGCAGCCACGATGTCCGCGAAGCTCCGAGCGGGGTCATGCAAACACACAAAAGCCTCCCGGCAGCTTGTCACGGCACGGCTCTGCTCGCGTCGGGAGTTCCCTTAATACGCCCAGTGCCTAGGTAGGTTTAATTGTTGGGTGGCAGTGGGCGGCTGCATTTCAGGTTCTAGGTTTTGAGAGACCTGAGGTAGGATGGCCAGTGAGTCCAGATTGAGTTCAGTGCCCCTTCTGTCGCTCCTGGACTTGAGGCTTGATGTGATGTTGGGTGCACCTAAAACCCGCCGTCCACGAAACTCTTCCAATCGACTGCTTGGTCGCAAACCCTTCCACGGGGTCGCGACACATAAATGGCGAGATCATTCGATCAATTCAAAACATAAACAAATTTCTGTATCCCAGTTCCATAGTGGAGAAGGTTCAAAGAACGTCGAAGCAAAAGTCGCAAGACTCAATTCCTTTCTTTACCTTCACCTTACCTGTCAGGCTGTCTGGGTCTCAGGGCTGTGTTTTGATGTGTGTGGGTGGACGCGTCTCCTCGTGGAGGTGGCCAGCAATTGGATGGCTTGGCTTCCACAGGTCTTGGCTTTCATCACAAGTCGAATGGAAAGTCGAACGAGTTCTGGGTCGGCCCCTCACAAAAGCCGAGCTTCAGCAAGGGTTTGATGCCGGCGTTGCCCCGCTTTCCATCACACCTTGCATCACAGCTTTGCTTTGTGGTCTCAATCGCAAGCCAGGCGAGCCAGGGTCCAAGTCGTCCAACAAGGAACCCCGCTCCGCCAAAAAGAACCCCTCCCCCCCTCGCTATGGCCAAAAAAAGCGGCACACCAAGTCCCTGGATAACTTACTTTGCTAGAAAGGTGAAAAAAGACCAAAAAGAATAAACCAAGAAATGGGAAAGAAGACAAAACAGAATAAATCCAGAAAGTGAAAAAAGACAAAAAAGAGTATATCAATCAAAATTTATTGAGATTTGATCGAATGTTAATGGATTAGACTTGAGCTATCTGTTTTAGTGTGTGTCGCTTTTTTTGGCCATAGCGAGCCCCCGTACCCCGCGACGAAGGCCCCCAGGACAGCTGAATCGCTGCCGCTGGCGTGTGTTTCCGATCGCTGAAACCTGGCTTTTTGGAGTGTGGGCGGCATTCCTGGGTTAGCGGCGCATGAAGGACGGGAAAGTGGGAGAATCGAGTTGGTTGTTGCTGTGGAAGGTTGGACGATGTGTGCATCGTTGTCACCCATTGCGAGGAGTAAAAACGAAGCTCTCAACATAGTATAGTACACATCTAACTGAATATCATTCTCCACCTGTTGAAGCAATCTGATTTCTCTCCTCTTCGCATGGAGCTCTGGAAATCGAGAACGGAGCTGCTTCTAAACCCAATCCAGCCTTTGTACGTAAAACAAGGGGCAAGTTGGCGTCCTTGCCGTCCCATATTCTCACCAGCCGAAGCGGCCTCCTGAACAAGGTAGACCCGTATTCCTGAAGTTCCCTCCCCTCAACTTGCCCCGCACCTGAACTTTGAAAGGGGGGACTATTTCTTGTTTTTGTGACCGCCGCAATCCACCCCCCTCTCACCCCTCTCTTCAATAAACTACATACACTTACTCTCCCGTCGTCAAACACGAATTGACTCTCCGCAGTCAATACCGCAATCATGGCGACTTTCAAACCTTTCCCGTTCGTGCTGGGGGCCATTATCCTCTTCTGCTTCGTGCAGCCTACGCTCGCCTTTGGCGCCGGCAACATTGCTGGGATTTCCAAGGTCGAGGGCCAGAACTGTGAGTTGTTCCGCTACATCTCTGGGGATTCGTCAATTTCCCCTCTACGCTTCCCGTCATTCTCGGTTTGAGCTCCAGCTCAAACCGCATCTTGAGAAACCCACTGACCAACAATCACGTTCTCTAGGGCGTCACGGTGATATCGAAGATGCGCTACTCAGAATTGCCATGGCCCGGCTCGCCGGCGGCAAGAAGTTCGACAAGCTGATGGTATCCCGCGTCTACTTCGGCAACTGGCTGCGCGACTACTCGCAAGCCATCGACGTCGGCACGGTCAAGGCGGTCTCAGCCGAGGCCATCCGCCTGCTTCTCTGCGTCCTCGGCTTCCTGACCTTCGGCTACGGCAGCCGCGAGTTCGAGGTCACCGCCGAGCGCCTCGGCTGCTACCGTCCTGAGGACCACATCGACAACCCCAAGAACTACGCCGACAATTTGGATGCGACGGACTACGACCGCCGTCTGCGCGGTCCTGTGGATGAGCGGGTTGAGCTGGCTATTGATGAGGAGACGGGCATGAAGAACTATATTGCCAATGAGAACGCCAACATCATGACTTCGGCGCTGCACATCCGCCGTCTGTTTACTAAGAGTATCGAGCTGGGCCGGTCGTATGGCCGTTCTAAGAGGAAGGCTGACCTCTACGAAGCCCTGCGCCTGCTGGGCACTGGTCTACACTGTCTCGAAGGTGAGAACTCTGGAGCTTTCTTGAATTTCCCCAACGGAAAAGCGAGGTTGCTAACTGCCCATGATCCGCAGATTTCTTTGCCCACAGCAACTACACCGAGCTGGCCCTGATCGAGATGGGCGAGCGCGACGTCTTCCCGCATGTGGGCCGGAACACCAAGCTTAGGATCCCTGGTGCTCGCGGCAGTGTTTACCCCATTGTCACCGGTACCTTTGGCGGTGTCGACTTTTTGCACTCCGTGACCGGTGAAGGTAAGCAAATCGCCTCGCGACGACTTAGCTCCTCGTCATGAAGACTAACGTATCGGATGTGTGTAGTGTCCGACAAGATGACGCAGAACGAGATCGAGGCGCTTGAGGGGACCCTGCAGCAGAGCAGCCACAGCGACACTAGCCTTCTGCGAGACCTGCTTGACAAGATCCCCGACGGCCTTCTCGGTGGTAGCGACAAGAGTAAGGTGGACGAGATCCAGAGCAACGCCCAGGCCGCGCAGATGGAGAACGTCAGCGTGTCACCGCGTGACCCCGAGGAGTTCACCGTCTACATCCGGAACATCTACCAGCAGATTATGCCCGCGATCGAGTTCCACGACGAGATCCTGAAGAACATCACAGAGGCCATCGAAAAGATCCCCGTGCTGCCCAAGATTGTGGAGCAGCTCGAGGAGCAGATGTCTGTCTTTGTGTTCCAGATCATGGCGCCGTTTATCGTGCCTGTGATCGATCAGGTCAAGAACGAGCTCGCGACCGGCTCGTCTGAGATCATTCAGAGCAGCAAGGCCGAGCAGCTCAACATCTTTAACGACGACGACGCGACTGACCCTACCCACTCGATGTTGTCCAAGGACCACTTTACCAACGTGAGCCAGCATTTACTCATTTTTGATGACCAGGAGCCAGCCCGCTAACAGTTCTTACCTCCAGATCCTCAATGAGATCGCCGGCCGCACCGCCTCCAAGGTGGTGTCGTGGGTTGTGCCCCAGCTGATGGACGCCTGGGACGACGAAGGCACCGACGTCGACGAACTGCTCAACAAGATCATCTACGGCGTGTTGCACCACCCGGCCCAGCGCAACGAGGGCCCCCGCGGCGCGTCCGAAGGCCGCCGCATGTGCTATGAAATGGTCCAGGAGTGGTGGAACGACATGGACGACCGCCAGCGCGAGGAGTACCGGCGCAAGCTGAGCCGCGACGGCGTCGAACAGGGCCAGAACCACCGCGAGGGCCAGAGCGACTGCGGCCACGGCTGCGGCGGCAAGCTGAAGATGCATAAGAACTTCCGCAACGAGGCCGACCCCACACTGGAGGACAAGATCGCCGGCGCCGCAGCGGACGCGATCATGGGTGGCGTCAAGCAGGGTCTGACCGAGGCCGTCGGCGGCGCGGCTGCCGGTAGCGGCTTTGGCGGCGGTGGTGGTGGCGGGTCTGAGGGCGGCCTGGGCGGCTTCCTCAGCAGCGTTGCCGGCGGTATTCTCGGCGGCGGGTTCAAGAAGGAGGAGACGGAGACGTACCACTCCAGCGGGCGCACCGAGGATGGCGGCTACTCGCAAACCACGACCGAGTACGGACACTCGGGCAACACCTACGGCCAAGCGCAGTACACCGAGACGCAGTACGGCAGCGGCGGACGCAGCGAGTACCAACGCTACGAGCAGCGCGAGGATAACGACGGCCGCGGCGCGAGCTACGAGTACTCGGAGCAGCGCACCGAGACGCACCATGGCGGCCGTCACCATGGCCGTCGTGATGAGGAGGAGGAGCAGCAGCAGAGCAGCTATGGTGGCGGTGGTGCTCGTGATGAGTACCTTCGTGGCTCGGAGCAGCAGAGCAGCTATGGTGGTGGCAGTGGCTACGGTCGCCGTGAGGAGGAGAGCAGCTACAGCAGCGGCGGCGGCGGTTATGGCCGACGCGAAGAGGAGAGCAGCTATGGTAGTGGCGGTGGTGGCTATGGCAGCAGCGGTGGTTACGGTCGCCGTGAAGAGGAAAGCAGCTACGGGAGCGGTGGCGGATACGGGGATAACAGCGGTGGTTATGGCCGCCGTGAGGAGGAAAGCAGCTACGGCAGTGGTGGTGGTTATGGTCGCCGTGAAGAGGAAAGCAGCTATGGTAGCGGTGGTGGCTACGGCCGTCGCGAAGAGGAGGGCAGCTACGGTAGCGGTGGCGGGTACGAACGCCGCGACAACGATGACGACGAAAATCGTAGCGAGAGGCACCACGGGCACGGCCGTCGGCACCACCAGGAGGAGGAAGAGGAGGAGGATCGCGGTGAGGGTCGCGGGTGGGGGTTCTAGATCAGTTCTCTCCTTGAACTCGGATTTCCTAGACGCAAGCAAGCAAGCCAGTAGCCGCGCGGTCGATGAGTCCCGGGATTAACGTCTCAGGCAATCTATCGGCGCGCAAGGTAGCTTTCGTTCGCTCGTCCATTTCTGCTTGACGAGAGAGGATTTCCCCCTTTCTTGATGGTGGTAGTTCGGTCCTGCTTTTAGCTCTCTACCCTACTTCAGGGGCATACATTACATCTGCCCGGAGGATGTACGTTGATAGAAACTCGCTCGCCTGTTTTTTCCCACGCTCTCTCTTTTCCCCTGCTTCTGCAACTCTATTTCTGCGCGGTTCCCCTCCTCTCGTGTGAAATTTCGATGACACGGTGGGTTGCAACTGGGCGGCCATGACGACGCAGAGTATCAAGTATCGTAAGTAGTCACGTAGTGTAGCGGCGCGTCGGACCTGAGACAACTGAGAAGGTTGTTCACTTCCAGAAATTCGGAAACAAAACTTCCTTGACCTTTGTCAGCCATTGGAAGCCAAAGCTCCGCCAAGCCTTATTCGATAGGAACCGGGGGCAGCCATGAGAGCGGCTATTGGGCAGTCGTGGAAAGTGGGGAACTTCCCAATGGCAGGAGCTGCTACTGCCACAGCTTCGAGCGCCTGTGAGCGAGTTGTCCCTGCCTTGATTAACTGATTAACGAGGGCCGGCGGCAACTGGGTCCCAAATATATTAAACCCGGGGGCTTGCTGGGTTGGCCCGGGCACTTGGAAGCCACTGCATCGCAACTGCCATGAGCTAACTCACTGCAGTCGAGAGATGGCTTGGCTCTTGCTCCATATCTGTTGTGGAAGGTGGCGTTCGGTAGATCTGCCCGTAATGCGGGGGGAATGGTGGGTTGTTTGGACGCTAAACCAGGGCGAGGTTGGTTTGGATTCACCCGGTTTCCCGGTGTTGTCTGCTTTGCTTTCACACTCTAAGTGGGATGTGAGCTTTCAATTCTTCGATTTTTATTTATTTCTGCTCTTGGGAGAGGGGTTCCCAGAGTGCTCCGCCGAGCTTGCACGTTCGTGGAAGTCTGGAAGGACGGAGGCTTCCGAGCAGTGCTGATCTTCTCTGGGCTGGGAATCGGCGGCTGGGGAAGCTCGGAAGTTAACAGGGGTTGTTAAGAGGCGGGGCGTTGATGATCCTTTGGTGTATGGACCTGAGAAACAACAGGAGGCTTGATGCTACAGACAAGGAGGTAATTGCAACAGCTATGGCGCGATGAGAACATCAACGGTTGAGTCGGATTCTTCTCTCAATTCTCTCTTGTTTGTAAAGATCCGAGAAAGGAACTTCGGTACTTACACTATCCAGGCACTATCTCTTAATCTCTCTCGCTCGAGGCAACGCGTCAGAATAACAAGAACCCCTGGCTTCCCGAAGGGGAAAGCGGACTTAAACAAGGTTCCCTCTCCAGGTCGCGGCTCATCGGGATGGCTCCCCCTTCGTTCGCACTCGCTATCGGAGTGGCACCGGAAACGGGCCTGGGCTGAATTCATTTGGGTATTCGGTGTTCCTGGGAAGCACTCTCGAAGGGTTGGCCGCCGTGCCTGGTTCGGATGCAAAGATGCGTGCCGATCCTGCTTGAATATGAGGGGGGATTAAGGATGGGTATATTCTGGGTCATCTATATGGGTATATAAATGCCTGACAACATTCCTGTCCCCGTTGTGTTTTGTTTAGAGGTTTCTTGCATTCCTATCCCAATTATACCCCTTTGAAAACACCCACAACACAACACACCATGCATCTCTCAACCTCGGCCCTTCTGGCCATCCTCCCGGCCATGGCCCTCGCCCAGGCCTCCGGAACCGGCACCACCACGCGGTACTGGGACTGCTGCAAGCCGAGCTGCGCGTGGCCGGGCAAAGGGTCCTCATCGCCGGCGAAGACATGCGACAAGAGCGACAGCCCGCTCAACGACAACGGCAGCAGCAAGTCGGCGTGCGACTCGGGCGGCGGCACGGCGTACATGTGCACCGACCAGAGCCCGTGGGCCGTTAGCGACGACCTGGCGTACGGCTGGGCCGCCGTCAACATCGCCGGCAGCTCCGAGAGCCAGTGGTGCTGCGCCTGCTATGAGCTCACCTTCACCAGCGGGCCGGTCTCGGGCAAGAAGATGATTGTCCAGGCTACCAACACTGGTGGTGATCTTAACGGCAACCAGTTCGATCTTGCGGTGCGTTGTTTTCCTTACTCTTAGTGTTCCTGTTCCATAACAGAAGACTAACATGATAACCCCAACTAGATTCCGGGCGGTGGTGTCGGCATCTTCAACGGTAAGCATCTCTCCTCATCACGATATCCTCCCACCTCCCTGTAAAGAATACCCATGATGCTAACACCCACACCAGCCTGCACCGACCAGTGGGGTGCGCCCCCCAACGGCTGGGGCGACCAGTACGGCGGCATCCACTCCCAGAGCGACTGCGACAGCTTCCCTGAGTCCCTCAAGGCCGGCTGCAACTGGCGCTTCGAGTGGTACGTCTTCTTGTTTTCTCTTCTTCTGTGTGCCCTAGGCAAAACTGACTCTTCCACAGGTTCGGAGGCGCCGACAACCCGGGCGTCACCTTCACCGAGGTTACTTGCCCGTCCGAGCTCACGTCCAAGAGCGGTTGCTCCCGTTAAGGGAGATAAATTCCATTCCGCGGGAGTTCTTCTTCAACTGCTTCTGACCAGTTGACTCCTCTATGGGAAAAGAGAGGCGTTGAGAAAATGGGAATTTTCTCTGCCTGGTTGCTCCCGTCCGGGTAAAAGACACAAGCCCAAACTGGGACTTGAGCCGGGGGGAAGGGACGCAAATCATTGCTTATGTGTATATATTACCCCGGACCTTGGCGATAACCGGAATCCAAATCTGTGCATAACCGCTCAATTTCCAAGTAAAAAGGACTCAAAAGTGAAAAGTGATCTTGATTTATCAAAATGGGTTGTTTGTTTGACGCGGAAGTGATAGCGAGAAACCCCGTTCCTTAAAGGGGTTGTTGCACTTAAAGGGTTACATGCAGTTGATGTGATATGTTTGTTGAGTGAGCGAGCGGTGTCAATTGAGTGTACGAGTACGAGCAAGAGAGTGGGAGAGAGAGATAATGGCAATTCCCTAAATATGGACTCCGATCTCTATCCTGTTTCGATGTATTTCCGTATTGATTCCGTACCCATTCCGTACCGCTCACTGTTCATCGGGTCTGAGCCCCGACCAGCCGAGCCGTCCATTAACTTAATCCTCTCAGCTCTTCCAGGCTCCCTTTAAACTCGCCTCAAAACGCCAGTAACCCAGAAAAAAAGATAAAAGATCAACCCGTTACCCCGGAGAAGAAAGTAACCGTACCTTGATTGTACAAGGAGAGTAATGCTCGACGGAAGCATACCCGCTCGGGGAATAAAGTAACGTCATTTCCGTGTTTACGCAAGCCGTTAATGACAAGCCGTCCCAGATTTCCCCCAACTCCATGCATGCCAAGTCCGTTTTAATTCATCAATGTGCCTTTCCCCGCAGTCTGGCAGACCGGCCCTGAATTCAAGGTCGGCCACGTTTGTTTCAACCGTCTGCCCCCCGTCTCATCTCATACCATACCGTCCTAGTGTAGTTCAGTTCAGGTCCTACATAGTACACACCGATCATATCCCAACTCAACCCGTCAACGCCGCATTCACATTACTAGCATGCGCCAGCAAAAACTTGCAACACGTCAGCGTCATCTTGCAAGCCTTAGTCCACCCATCATCCTGCGCCACACCCAGCCGGATGCTGACATCGCCAATCTTGTCGGCCTCGATGCGGTACGGCAGGCTGAGCGGGCTGCCCTCGGCCGCCGTCTGGGCGTACACGTGTGCGCCCAGCTGCCGTACCAGCTCTAGAAAGGCCGTCATCGCGTTGTCGAATTTGCGGTGCATGAAGGTGAGCCCCAGTGGCATGTCGCCTGACGAGTAGAGGTCGAGGACGTGGCGTTTCGGGGGTGGTGGTGGGGCGCTGCGGGTTGTGGCTGGGGTGCGAGTGCTGTTGCTGGTACCGCCAGCGCCGGTGGCGCCAGCGGCGAGGCGGCTGGAGGAGGATGGGGAGGGTTGGTCGAAGCGGATGATGCGGGATGTTGAGCCCATGGGCTGGAGTTCGTAGCCTTCGAAGCGGAAGCCGAGTTTCTCCGCGACTGTGTAGAGGAGGAGTAAGGCGTGGCCCCATGCGGCGTTGATCTCGGGCCAGTCGACCGGGTTGTTGGACAGGCGCCCGAGGCGGAGGCCGTTGATGGTGGCGAAGGTGCCGTCGTGGCTGATCCAGAAGGTGTCGTTGTACACGTTGCTGCGCTCGAGTTTCTCGAGATGCCGCGAGTCGTGGTCGAATTTGCTGTTGATGCTGTCGCGCTCGTTTTGGAAGTCGGTGAGCCTGCTGGCAAAGGCGTTGCGCTCCCGCCAGAACCGGTCTTCTTGCGCATCTAGCTGCTTGCTCTCCCGCTCTAGGGCGAGAGACTCGGCATCGAGGGCCTCCTTTTCCCGTTCTAGGTTTCGAATCTCGTCCCGCGCTGCCGCCTCTTCCTTTTGCGCCTTACGAAGGGCTTCCTCTCGTGCTCGTAGTTCTTCATCGGTTGGTGCGCTGGCTTGTGTCTCTTTGAGGAACGCAATGAAGGCGTCCCGCTCCCGTATCGTGAGCTCGAGCTTCTTCTGCATCTCCTCCAGTAACACATCGGTACACTCTACGCAGACCGGGTGGTCGATATCCGACCGGGCGGAGAGAATCTCGAAAAGCTTGGTGATGCGCTCCATCTCGTACGATGTGTTGCTATCATCCTCTTCCGCGGTGTGATTCTCGTTCGCGGTCGCTAGTGATGGGGACGCGTCCAGCGCATGCTGGTTCCGTTGCAAAGCAGAGTTGGGCGGTGCCGCTATTTGCGATTCGGTCAGGTAGATAAACGACATGGCTGAACTATCTCGGCCGTGCCCGTCGGCCCGTCCAGGCACGCCATGACGACGGAATATTGGAGGTGGGGCGTTGCGTGAAGCTCGGTCGTATGTCGCCTTCCGGGCACGGTCTTGCGAGTGAAGGGTTCGGGGCGCCGAGGGCTTTTTCGGGGCTTGTTGTGAATGTGTTGCTGTAGATAGAGGTATCTAGTTAGCTTTCAAGGCTTCTGGACAAGCTGAGCTCCGAGCGCATCTCCACCCCCATGGTACTTACCTACGAGAAGGTCATAAGCTGCTGGGTTGAGGTCTTCAAGAGAGCTGTCTAGCCGGAGCGGAGTCCGGCATTTCTGGCAATACATGGCTGGGAATGCCGTACCCGGCTAAGAGGGCGATTTGTGCTGTACTATGATTATGGGAGTTATGCGCGTGCAGAAGGGCAAAAGTTCGCGGGGAAATGGCGCGGCATCGATCGCAGGCAGGTAGTTTGTCAGGGCAGGCTATCAACGTCACTGGGGCCCGTTGACCTGCAGAGAATCTACAGTGCGGTTTCGGCCCACCCACACACCCAACCCCTGTCCGCTGTGCCTGCCCCGTGTGATCGTCATGTGCTTGTAGCGTAACTCGCCTGGCCCGTGCGTCAGCGCCAGGTGCCCGCTAGCCGGCACAGGGAGGCAACGCAATCCGCAGCCTGCGACTTGCATCTTGGAACAACCAACCCCCCATCATCAACCAACGACGACACCTCGAGATCCCGCCGAATCCGCTGGCGCAACACCTCCGATCTGTAGCCCACACAACCAACGGAGGATTTCAAAAACCCAAGCCTACGGCTCGCATACGACTTACAACCAGCTTCGCAAACAGCCCAGGCAAACCTAAACTTGTTTGAAACACAAACCCGCCGCACGTTCCGGTCCCAGCGAACACCGAAAGCGACCAGCTGGGATTAAACAACAGCCATCAGCGCGCCCGAACACAGCCCGATACACCCCGTCACAATGGCGAACCTAATCGACAGCGAGGCCGGTACCGAGCTGTTCAAGCAGTATGAAGCCGATTTCCAGCTCGTCCAGGCAGACCTGGTGCAGAAACTGGACCAGATTGCGGAATTGTCGGGGGAGCCAAGGAAGGCGGCGCTGAGCTCGGCGGAGCGGGCGCTAGAGGAGACGGGCGAGCTGCTGGATCAAATGCAGATGGAGAAGCAAAACGTCCCCTCGGCGCAGCGCGCTGCGATCAATCGGCGGTTGCGCGACTACAAGACCGATGTCGACGGGTACCGGCGAAAGCTGCGGACGCTGGCTGATGACAGGAGCGCTTTGTTTGGCTCGCGGTACACCGACAACCCGAGCGGTCCATCAAGCGACCCCCACTATGAGCAAAGGCAGCAGTTGTTGTCTGGTACGACCCCCTTCTATCCGTGTTATCCAAGTCGGGAGTTGTTCGATGTTAACCGTGCTACCAGGGACGGACCGTTTGGACCGTAGCACACAACGGCTCAAGGCCAGCCAGGCGTTGGCGAACGACACGGAGGCGATCGGCGCCAGCACGCTTGCGCAACTGCAGCAGCAGCGTGAACAGATCGACCACACCACCAGGGTCCTGTATGAGAGCGAGGGTTACGTGGACCGTAGTCTCAAGAGCCTCAAAGGGATCGCTCGTAGGTATGACGTTGCTTGGCGCCCCGTCGGTTTCTTGTGAAACCCCCTGCTAACACAGCTCTTAGAATGGCTACGAATCGGGTGATCACCATCTCCATCATCACCGTCCTGGTGTTGCTTATCATCGCTGTCATCTTCAGCAAGTTCAGATGATGCGTTTTGTTGTCTTAGCAGACTTGCTGTTTTTAGTATCTATCTATGCGTGGAACCGAGCGGGCCGTTTGGGCTAGAAGGAGTTTTCGGGGTTCAATATTTGGGAATTGGATGGTGCCGAGGACCTCTTTGAGACCCCAACCGGAGACGGGCCTCGAGTACCAGTCTTGGCGCACTACCTAATAATGTACATGTTCAATTTTGAGACAACTGGGGACCACACGATGCGTGATACGATCCCTAGACGCTTTCATCTAAAGGTCTGCGGCTCAACTTTGCTTCTAACTATCTCCATTCGCAATGCGCCCACGTGCCACTCTCGCATTCTTGGGTTGACCCCACTGTGTGCTGAACACCGTACACACACTGTAGCAACCATCAACGCGGTTCACGTTCCCTAGACGCGACTTGCAATCTCGAAAAGTCCCCCCCACCAGATAAAACCAACAATTCGTCCACCACACCAACCCGCCGGCCAAAAAGCGGCCATGCACGCCCCAGCACCATGGAATCCCCAAGCAAGCGCCCACGATTCGGCCCCGCGCCCTTCGAAACAACCGAGCGCATCCCCATAAACAGCCCCCATTCTCACCACCATTCTTACCACCCCCACAACCACAACCCCTTTCCCACCAGCAGCCACCCAACCGACGACCTCTCCTCCGACGACCCAGAAGCCGACGAACTCACCGAGCGCCCGGAAACCATCAACGCCCGGCGCGACCCCAACGCCAAACTCGAACGGTCGCGCGCACGCGCCGCTTTTAAGCTGAAATCGGCGTTTGAGCGCATCTTTGATAAGTACGGGCGGGATTTCACCGGCGTGGGGGATGAGATTGATTTGAGGACAGGGGAGATTGTGGTGGATAATGGGCATTTAGAGGGGATGAGGGTGGGAAGGGGGGAGTTGGGGGGTTCTGTGGACGAGGATGAGGGGGAGGTTGAGGGGGGGAGTGATGGGGGGAGTGAAGGGGGGGATGATGCTGTGATGCCTTCGTCGCCGTCTGCTTATATCAGGGCTGCTCCCCCGCTGGGAGTTGGGGGAAGTGGGTTTGGTCATTGGGGGCCGGGGCCGGGGCCAATGCCGGGGGGACCACCACCGCTGGGATATCAGAGCATGATGTACCACCCGGACTACACCGTACCTGGCGATGGACCGATGCAGTACGGCACGCCAGCTCCCGCACCCGCGACGGACCCTGCCTGGCTCACCCCAGAGCTTCCTTTGTTGCCAGCTAGGAATACGCAGACATCCGGGGCCCGGTCCAGCACGGCCAGAAAAAAGACTGCGCGCCTCTCTCTGAGCGTCGCTGGGGCTGGAGATGGAACTGAAGAAGAGGACGACATGTTTCTGGACCTGGACCCGTCGTCTGTTGGTGGTGATAAGGAGAATGGGAATGGGATGGCTGTGAAGAAGCAGCTTCTTTTGCCGCGCCCCCCTCCGGAAAAGCAACCGCTCCCGGGGAAGCGGCCCCGTGGGAGGCCCCGTAAGCGGCCTCTGGGGCAGGATAAAGGCGTTTTGAAGCCTGGGGGAGTCAAGAAGACTGCTGCTATAACAACGCCACCCAAACCGAAAACATCCGCTGCGCCAACCAGTGCTAGCGTTAAGCAGAATAAAACCGGACGGCAGAGCACCCCAACAAATACCCAAAACTCCACCAGCCCGCCATCTAAGGACACCGCCGCGCTCGAGCGCGGCCGAAGAAGCCCCAGCTTATACCTGAGTGTCTCGGACGGAGAGCAGAAACACGCCGAGAAGCCACGGAACCAGACACTTTGTGTCGAAATAGCAGCTGGGAAGCTGCCTGATGCTCGCGCATTTCGACTCTTGACGCCCGAGTTGAGTGAGCAGGACTCACAGCCCTGTCTCGAAGCTGACGTGACAAGAGCAGAATCGGAAGAAGCACTGGAGAGCGGGCAACCAGCGACTGCGGCCATCCTGACCGCTAACGACCGGGCCGCGTCTGTTGGAACGGGGTACCGAGATGCTGCGGGCGAGGTCTTCTCTCGCAATTTCGTTGACCCGGCCTATGCCTTCTCGGATGACGAGGAGCCGGCGGTGTCACGTTTGTCGGCCCGTAAGCCAAAGAAAAACGACACGCCGAAACGCGTAGCAAAGGCTGTGGCTGCCGTATTGTCTCTAGCGCTAGCGGAGCCCTCTTCTGGACGAGCAGCTTCTCCAACCTTGAGTGTCGGGCTGGATACCGGCGCGGTAGATACGGCGAACGACTTACCAGAGCCCCCCGAGCATCAACAGGCGTCTACGCAGAAACAAACGAGTAAATCTCAACCACAGGAAACGCCGGCGAGACAATCTCTAGAACCTCGCACAACAAGTTCGGGGTTTCTCCGGCAGCCACAGAAGAACGAGATACCCGAAACGTCGCCCAACGTCCAGCTCACCGTCACACCATCCGTCTCAACTCATCAACCGCGTTTATACCCGGAGATCCAAGCCTCCGACCCTCCATTACCGGAGGACCAAGATGCTGCTCAACCCAACAGCCGCGTCAGGGAACCGTCACCCACGCTAACAGATCCGAACTCACGCCCTGAACCGTCTCCATCTCTAACCCAACAAACACAACCACAGCCGCCCACACCAAACCCTCACACACCAGTCAAAACCCCCACCCGCGGACGCCCCAAAGGTAGTCGCACAACCTCCACAGCACAAACTAAAACCAACCCAAAACCAACAACAGCCCCTTCCACCACCACCAAAACGACCACGGCCAAAAAACGCAAATCCGGCATCTTGTCCCTCCTTAAAACCACCAACACCACCACCGACGGTCTCAACCCCGATGACGACACAGACGACGACGACCTCTCCTTCCTGACCCCCGCCAAACCTATCCCCACAACCACCGTCCGGTCCACACCCGCCCAGCACCATGTCCGTCTCGGGTTGTATACGGGTCCACGGTCTGGGGCGGGGGGTCTTTTTGGGTCGCCGTCTGGGTCGGCAACATCGGTAGCCACGACGACAAAGAGACGGAGGAAATCCGGCGGCGTATCTGCCTCGGGTGGATCCGCACTGGGGAAGAAAGCCTCAGTGAGGAAGAACGGTCTAGCTGACGGTGGCCTATCCACCGGCACACCACAAACGCCACCGTCAAGGATTAGACACTGGCCGGCGCATTTGCGCGAGGCTGGGCCGGGGCCTGTCCGTGCGCCCGGCGGTGATGGTGGTGGAGACGGAGACGGGGATCTAGTCCAGACGCCTGGGGGTACGATGAGGCGGTGTGGGGAGGGCGGGTTTAGATGTGAGAGGGAGTTTTGTTTTAGTTGTTTGTGATTTGCCTGCCTGCCTACTTGGAGGGGGAAGTAAGTAAGTGAAGGCAAAGATGGGCGAGAGAGCAGTAGCGGGCTTCCTGATAGCTAGCCAGCGAGCTGTGTGAGGGGGTACGGTACAGTAAGGAATCGTCGTGCTTGGCCAGTTGCTTAGGGTTCGATGAGGCCAATAAATAGCTTGGATGGCAAAGGAGAAGAGGGAGGAAGGGAAACAGCTATGCACTGAGCTACTCTCCATAGCTTCACAATAACGATAGCAATAGCATCATATCAAGCCACATCACTTTCACACAAAAAACACGGAGAAAATATGAGCAGGGGGGATATATAAAACACCAGTGCGTAAACACACAAACAACGCCGGTGCACCCTCAACCGCATGACAACAACTCCCACAGCGTTGCGCCATGATCCGGAATGGTAGGTAGCCCCTCAACCCAAAAAGAAAAGCGGAAAAAAGAGAAAAAAATATGCACAATGCGACTTGACTGCTGCCTTGCTCGTTCATCATCGATTCACCAACCCACCAGATCATTCCACCACACCTCTGCACTCCTCTTCTCTCCCACTTCTCTGTTCCCTCTTCTCTTCTCCCACTACTCCAGCTCTTCCCCATAGTGATGAACGCCCCAAGCCCCAGCTTCCCCGATGCCAGTCCGATGCCAGTAGGTATGCAGCCAGCCAAGGTAACCAAAACCGTATAATCCGTATTGTCAGGCACAACGAACAACCAGCCCGTTTTCTCCCTCCTGCCTTTTCCTTTCCCTTTCTCTTTACCACTCCCAGGCCCTCCCCAACCCCCCCACCCCCCGAATTTTCCTGCCCATACCCCCTGCAATGATGCTCCGAACCCCCTGGGTTACATATCACGTCTCTCGGGTATGTACTTGGGATCCCATTTGTTGTTTAGAGCACGGATATCACGGGCCATTGGGAAGGTAATCGATACACAAAAAATCATGTGGGGATTCGGTAGGTAGATAGGTAGACAGCTTCGGGTTCGGAAGTGTCCCGAGGTGTAATGAGGTAGAGGTAAACGTATAATGCGGTAGGGACGTCACCGTGTGAGGGGGCAGGGGAATCTCGTTTGGTATTTTAGGAAAAGGACGGTGTGTCTAATGCGGGCGAGATGACCGACAAACCATATGCTGATTGCGTGCGGGGGAAAGACATGGAGGCCACGTTCGCCTCTCATGACCCTTTGATTTTCTCAAGATTGCGTGTCGCCAGAGAGATACTGCTGGAGAGTTTCTGGGTCGCGGATGGGGGCGAAGTACGGGTGTGCCATGGCTTCTTTGGCCGTGAGACGTTCCTACAGGGAGTTTAAATTAGTTTTTGGGAGAAACCCCGGGAGGCTTTTTATGGTAGGGAGGGACATACTGCGTGGTCGTAGCGCAGGAGCTTGTCGAGAAAGTCGATCGATTCGTTGCTGACAAAACGCTGGTTCTCCGAATTGACGAAACTGTGCCAAGGCTTCTTCTGGAAGCGGCCCAGGATGTCGTCGTACTGGGCGTCGAGCTCGATCTCGTACTTGTCGATGTAGTCAAAGAGGTCGTCGGTGCCGAGGACCTTGGCGATCTTAACGAGCTGGTCGGCGTTGCTGTTGCCGTGGAAGAATGGCTCCTTACGGAAGATCATCGAGGCAAACATGGCGCCGAGACTCCACAGGTCCAGGCTGTAGTCGTACTCCTGGAAATCAACCAACAATTCCGGACCCTTGAAGTAGCGGGAGGCCACGCGGACGTTATACTCGGTGCCGGGGTGGTAGAACTCGGCGAGACCCCAATCGATGAGACGTAACTACGTGTGTTAGACGCGATGTTGACTAATAATAATAATAAAAAAAAGAAAGAAAATACCTTCTTGGTGTCATGGTCGATCATAACGTTGTGGGGCTTGACATCGCGGTGCATGATGCCCTTGCTGTGGCAGTAGTCGAGGGCCTTGAGCAGCTCGTAGATGTAGTACCGCACATCGATGTCGTTGAACTTTGGGTAGAGGGTGCGAAAGTCGATGTTGTTGACGTATTCGAAGATGAGCGAGGGCGTCTTACTCTGTGAATCCCGCACCACATCGAGCAACTCGACAATGTTGGGCCCACCAGCCAAATTCTGCAGAATCTTGATCTCACGCTTTATCTTCTTCTTCTTAACGGGCTTGAGCACCTTGATTACGCATTTTTGGTAGTTGACCACGTTGATCCCCTCGAACACCTCGGAATATTTGCCGCGGCCTGCGCGTTGTTGTCAGTTACGCGCGGCGAGCGAAAAGGGGGGGGACAATCGACCGGAACGCACCAATTTTCCTAACGACCTCGTAGTTTTCCAGGACTCCCCAACCTGCAGGATCGAAACGTTAGCTAAAGACACAAGCCAAAAGATAAAGGTTTGGACGGGAAGCGCGCAAGAACGGAGCGCGCATTGCGCCCGGCAGACGATCAATTGTCGAGGCCAAAAACGCGAAAACCCCCAGGGTTAGGAAGAAAAAAAAACATCAACAAAGGCACACCAACCGATGTTAACGCTGTCATAGTCCCAGTAGCTCCGAGGCATGTTCTGGTTGACGTCGGCGTATACTCGAGCCATGGTTGCGGCGAGGGCGCTACGTTGCGCGCAGCCTCTTAGGTACGGTCGATGTTGCCGGTTGGCGGCGATGGCGGTGGTGATAGTGGTGATAGTAATGGGTGCAGGTCCCACGGGTTGTCGTGGACAGGATCGCCAGGTTGGACCGAAGTGGTGGAGTCGGTTCAGCGGGGCCGCCAGGCGGTAGTGAGGGGCACATGGGCAGCATCTTTTTCGGGCTAACCTGCCCAGAGCGCAGCGCCGGGCCTCGAGGGAAGCGCCTCAGCGCCCGCGCCAGCGGGCCAGCGGCGAGCCGCGCCCGTTTGCGTGCGGCCGCTCGCCTGCACCCTAGGTTTTTTTTCGACAGGGATTCCAGGCCTGGTCTGTGGGCCCGGTGTTCGATAAGGGCTTATCGGATCGGGGCTCGGCCGAAAGTTTGCTGGGAGTTGTCGGCCGATCTCAGCTGCACGACACTCCACTTGCTGCTTGCTGTGCCGGCTGCAGCTTCTTGTTTCATCGCCTGCAACTCAAAGACAGCAGGAGCTTCCAGTGAATTGCAGCTGGAAATGTGGAAACTGGTATGGGAAATTCTCAATATGGAGATCTGGAAGAATATACCTTTCCCCTTTCCCACACACCCCCCGAAGCATCTTGTTGTGATTGCAAACGACCATGATGATGCAAATCATGCGGGCCCTTTTTTGCCTCGTGCTCACTCACTGACAAACAACAGACGCGCTAGGTTAACATTTCCACTCGAGTTCCACATCCAAGTACCGGATTGTTGTAAGTCCACAGCCGGTAACTTACTCTCCATTTTGTGGATATCCCCAACCTCCCTCAGTTGAATTCCCGGATTTTGGTGTATATCTGGAATCTCTGACTGGCTTGACTGGCAGACTAGGCATTGTCATTCCCCCTCCCCCTCCTCGTGCCCCTCCTTTGCGATGCGGGGCTCTTCTGTCCCGCTTTGCCCGCCCTCCATCGCACAGCGTCGCACTTGGATATTGTCCCGTTCTGGCCCGTGGCGGCGTGCGCATAATGGCGATTCCGACCAACGGGAAGGCGGTGTGGACATGGCGTGGCCCGAAACTCACCTTGTGGTAGTGGGCGTTTGTGAGTGGGCTAAGTAGTAGTGGGCTAAGGTAGTGGGATGCACGGCAGACCGGCTTTTCCAGGTTTTTTCGTCTTAATTCTCTCATTCCCGTTTCCCTTCTAAGCCTTTCCTCATGCAACAACATGCACCATACCTAGTCCCACAGTAACATTAGCTCGCGCCCCCGGCCACGGCACTGCAAGATGGGGTCGAAATCCAAAGACAAGTCTTCATCATCGTCGTCGTCGTCGCGCCGGTCTAAGCGTTCGGGCGGCGGCGGTGGTGATGACACGGCCTCGATCAGATCGCGGGCCTCTCATCGCTCGTCCCGGCCGAGCCAGCCGCAGCTGCGTGCGCCGTCGCCGACGAGCACCATCGGGTCGCGCTATTCGCTGCGCGAGCAGTTTGCCATGACCCGCTCCGAATTTGAGTTTGGCTTCGACGACGCTTCGGTTATTGAACCGGCCGAGTCCATCGCCGAGACCATTGTGCGCGACGACGACTCCGAGGGCACCGTCATGGACGAGTCGCACCACCCCCACGATTTCTCGGCCAGCATCGTCGTGCCCCGCGATTACTATGAGTTACTGTGTCTGCCCAAGGGTGCCGACCTGTCCGAGGACGAGCTGCGCGAGGCCGCGTACCGCTTCCTCCAGATCGTCGCCATCAACAAGCAGCCGTCGCATCTGCGGAGCACGGCCGCTTTTTATTTGGGTATGGCCCATTCCGCCGTCGAGACGCTGCGTGAGCCGACCCGGCGGCTGGGCTACGACCTCTCGGAGGTGGTCGACGACGACTCGGACTCGGAGGAAGCTATCCGGCGAAAGGCGCTGCAGGACCCCGCCGACGGCGAGAGCTACGAGAGCAGGCTGCACGAGCAGTATCTCCTGCTCACCAACCGGGAGTCTCGGACCGCTACCGATCTCAGCTTCCGGGTGGACGCCTCGCCCTTGATCGCTTCGGGGTCCGACCCCGTCTCCCAGGACCACCAGCCGAATTCCAGTGTCGTGGATGTGTTCCTGCGCAAGACGGCCACCATCACCGTGCCTGCACTGCGGGACTATGCCGACCAGGCCGCCGTGCGTGTGTGGAAGCTCTGTCGGCAGCAGGGCTACGGCAAATTCACCCGCCGTCCCGAGCTGACCACCCCGACCTTGACCATCACCGGCTCGGCCTACGGGTTGTTGGATGAGCCGTTCCAGATTGCGCCGTTGTTTCTCGGCCGTTATCAACCGCCCAGTCCGTCTACTCATGGCCGCAGGCGGATCGACCAGTTGCTGGCATCCCGCTTTGTTCCCCTCCTGAGCTTGAACCTCCGTCAGGAGCTTTCCTTCAAGGAGACCGCCGAGTTCAGCCCGGGTCAGGACCTTGTTGTGGAACAGGAAATCGCACTCCTCCCTCAGCCCTCTGCCACAACCCGAGTCGGCTACTCCCTAGATCTAGAGAATGGCGACCCGCCCTTGAACGTAGAAGTGTCAGTCCGAAAGCTCTTCACGAGCCGGGCCAGTCTTATCCCGAGCCTCGGCCTCGCAGCCCACCAGCGGATCGGCCACGGAATCGCCTTCTTCGTGGCCGACGTAGGCGACTGGGGTCCGCGAACACCTAAGGACGGCCTCACTCCCGTAGCCGACGTCTTCCGTAACCCGGCCACCATCGAAGTCGGCTACGCCTTCGGCCGCGACGATCTCGGCATGCAGTTCGGCCAAGCCTTCACCAAACCGGCCGAACGCGGCCTCGCAAGCCTTGACTACGACCTCGACGAGCGAAAACCCGGCTCCTGGACCGTCTCCACGGGCTTCACCCTCGGCGTCGCCGCAGCCTACCTCCGCTACGGCCTCGACATCCTCCCCACCCTGACACCCGCAACTCTGACCCCTACCCCCCGACCCCAACGCCGCGCGGCCCTCCGCGGCGAAGCCGAACTCGCAGCAACCACATACCACGGCCTCTCCCTCTCCCTGCGCGCCCTCAAACCCCTCGGCCGCTTCTCCAAAGCCGGCCTCGAAGTCAGTTTCTCCCCGAGCAACACCCATCTCGCCTTCTACTGGTCCCGTCTCGGCCAGCGCATCTCCCTGCCCTTCCTCGTCGCCCCAGCCCTCGGCAGTGCCGCCACCACCGCTGTCCTCTCCGCCCGTGTCCTCTTCTACACCGCTATCCTCCCCTTCACTGCCCTCGCCGGCTGGGAGATGTACCAGCACCGTCGGCGCATCAACGCCACTACGATGGCACAAAAGCGCCGCGCCGCGCAACAAAAACAGCAGCAACAACAACAACAACAAAAGCGCTCCAACAAGGAAAAAGACAGAGAAGCGCTAGCCCTCGCCAATCAAGAAAAACGTCTCCAAGCCAGCATAGCGCGCCGTCGCGCCGAAGCCGACGAACTCACCGTCGTGTTGGCCACAGGGGTCGAGCCGAGGCAGATTGCTGAGCGCAAGCGCGGTGGGCTGGTCATTCTCAGTGCCAAGTATGGCGCGCCAGGGGGTATGGGGATGGGGAGGCGGCTGCCGAAGCAGCCGACGCTGCCGTCGGCGGGGACGGTGAAGACGGAGAAGAATAAGGCGAGGATGCTACAGTGGGGTGGGAAACAGAACGCGAACAGTGATGATGATAGCTCGGAGGATGACGACGACGAAAACAAAGGGAAGCAAATCGCCAAGGTACGACCGCCAGGAGAGGATGATGACGACAACGAAAACGACGACGACGAAGACCAGGAAGTGGCCGATGTCACGGTTGCTATCGCGGCGTTGGTGGACGATAGGAGTCGGCTGTATATCCCCGCTGGGCTGAGGAAGAGCAGGCTGCCGGGGTTTTGGGACCCGAGTCCCGGGCGGAAGAAGGTGTTGCGGGTGAGGTATTTGTGGCAGGGAAGGGAGGGGGAGGTGGAGGTTAGTGGACGGGAGGAGTTGAGGTTGCCTTGATGGTTTTACCTACCTTGGTGGTGGACATGAGAAATGAAAGTAAAATAAAATATGAGTAAAAAAAGTTGAAAAGGGTAACATGGAAAAAAAGAAGGAAAGGAAAAAAATGAAAATGAAATGAAATACGAGGGGAGGTTGAAGGTAAGTGAATAAGGGGGGGTGGGCTCAAATACCCAGGATGATCACGGACATGAACTGGATATGGATATGGAATGAATATGAAACAGCTGATGAATGATGATAAGGACGGATGTTGATACCGAGCAGTAGCGAGCAGTAGCGGGCGGATATGATTTGGACATGATGAATATGATGGTACACGTTTGAATACATCACTACTCAAAAATTATTGCTACCTTAAGTTATCAGTCTTCTTTTCGGTTGGGTCAGGGTGGCTGTCTCTGTGTATGAACGAGTTATAAGACGCCTGGCTATTCAGCCCAATTCCCATTGATAATAACTACTGAAACAAAAAGTGATTTGGTTGCTGGAGCGAAATAGAAACAACACCGAGCAAGAAAGAAATGAACCACTCAATACGTCCCCTCTCGGAGCAAACTGCCCCCCTATTTCTTGCAAAAAACACGATGAACCAAGAAACCTCGGTCCCAACCAACCAACCAAACTTACCACCTCGAAAACAAATAACGCCTGACGGAAGGACAGGAACAGTACACGCGAGATTCGACCTTATCGGGACCATACCTTGAAAAAGCTCAAGCCCCATCCAAACCCGAATAAGCAAGTCTTACGGTGATAATGGAATGGGAGACACCAACAACAACACTAGCCATAATTTGAACTGCATAGAGTGCAGTACATCCCCCCTGTTAGTTATCTCCGTCCATGAACAATAAACCATACCCCGTGGGACTTTTTCCAGGGGCACCTAATTACTCTCCCACCCGCTTTGGAAAGTTCTCCGTGCCATGGCATGATTTTTCTATTTACTTACCGACCACCTCGCAAACTGGTGCCTTCCCGGTATGTATATACCAGGGCCTCATCCCCAATAGTTACATTTTTCTTTTCTCTTTTTGGGTGAGGCAGGAAACGGGTGGAGGGAGAAAAGGCTTGCGTGCTCATAACTTACCTACCTAAATTATCTTCTCGGTCTCGCTCGTAAATCAGGGTTGGAATTGCTGACGTGTGTTTTGGGATGAGAGATAAAATTGCTTACGTTTTCTTCGTTTCCACCCCCTTTCTCCGTGCGTCCTAGGGTATGAGATGCGAATTCGTTTTCTCAAGGCGTACATATGTGTATGTTTGCTTTACACCTACTTGGGTTAGATCCCTTTTCTGAGTGGGATGAGATCACTCCATGTAAAAGCTGAAAGTCCCGGGCAGGAAGATGGCGGGGGTGCCGCCCTGGGACTGTGCTCGATTAAAGATGGCATCGATGGTGAGAATACAGAGTGTGATTTCCTGATGAGTGAGTTATTGGGGTTGTGGTTGGTGATGGATGGGGGGATGTTGTTGGATTTGGCCAGGTCTCTGTTCAGCCTGGTTGGACACGGGAACACTGTTGAGTTGGTATGCGGTTAGGTCAGCCTCTCACTCACCGAGCTCAGGAAATGAATTCTGTAAAGGAGATCAAACCACAATAACGTAAATATTGGAATTATCATATATTGAAACCGCATCAGATACGCCCGCTATGTATTGGGTATGCAAGCCAAATCGTTTCGTCGTGCCGATACAACCCCGCTCTCTCATATATCCGTCCGGCCTCACGCAATGCTTATTCCATCACCTGTGATCACCCAGTGTTACTTCTTGCCGTAGACAACCCCGCCCTCATATCCTCGTCTCATCCCATGCCCCCCTTCACCCGCTTCCCACGTCAGATCACCCAGCAGAAGACCTCGTAGAGATAGGCGACGCCACGCTCGGCTCAGCAGACGACGCCAACGACAGCGAGGCCATGGTAGTCTCGAGCGTGGTAGCCAGCGTCTTGCCCTGGCGCAGCTGGTCAGCCTTGTTCTCGAGCCCGACCATGTAAGTCGGCCAGTCGGTCAGCATGGTCTGCTCGAGCGGCCCGTAGACGACCTGGTCCGGGTCGAGCTCGACAAACTGGCGCAGCAGCTCGACGTCCTCGGGCCGCATCTGGCCGATCTGCAGGCGCAGCACGGTGCGCGCCACGTACGAGCTGCGGCTCTGGTCGTGGATGCCCTTGATCATGAGGAGGAGGGTCGAGCGCCGGGCCGCGAGGAAGGACGAGCCTTGGCTGGTCTCGACGGCGTGCATGGTGATGTGGTTGAGGAAGCCGAGGAAGTGGAGGAGGAGGCTGTCGTGGGCGTCGTAGCCGTGGCGGAGGTAGTAGAGCCGCAGGAGCGTCTCGAGGTGGTTGATCGCCTCGTGGTAGACGTCTTGCGGCGTGTAGGTCATCGGGGGCATTCCCGGCGGTCCGGTGTAATCGAGGATCGGAGTTACGAGGTCGGCAAGCATCTGGTTGTAATGCATGTGCAGCTTGAGTTGATGGGGCATCACAATCTTCCTCGGGGTCAGGGGCTCAGGGAGGTTGTGAAACCACGCTCGAAGCCGGGCCAGGAAGTCCAGAATCTGGGTCTCCGGCAACTTGGCGTACGCGTGGGGACGGGAGAAGGTAGCCACTAGAATCTCGTTGACGATGACCCATAGATCGGCGATGGCCTTGAAGAGGAGCCCGTGGTAGGTCGGGAAACGGGCATCGCTCATGGGGTATCGCACCCATAGCTCGCCGTACCATTGTGGCTGTTCTTGAGGATCGGGGAGTGGTGTCTGCGGGGGTTTTTGGATAGGCGGGGCCTGTAAGTAAAGATAGCTGCTAATACTGTTGACATCAAACGTTAGTCAAAGTCCCAAGGTCCCAATATGCCAAGTCCCTCAAAGCGTGCCCTACTTTTGCCAGTAAAACAAGTGCCATGCAGTGTACGTCCTGACACAGCGCGTGTCGGCGTCGTGGTGATCCAGCGGCGGCCCGAGCAAGTTGATTTCTTCGGCCAGTTCCAAGGCCTTCTTCGTGTAGCGCCAGCCGATCTTGTCCGAGCCATTGAGGTCGTAGATAATCGTCAGGATGAGCCCGGATTGGAGCGTGGTCAGCCTGCTCTGCTCCCACTCCTTGTCTCGCGTCTCCCAATTCGGGTCCGCCGGGTTGCGAAACGGCCTCGGGATTTCCGACTCGGTTTCGAATAACCGTTTGGCCTCGGCGAGGAACTGGTACCCGAGGCTCTTTGGATTCCACGATTCCGTGCGGCCTCGGAGACCACGGTGACAGAGCTTTAGAATTAAGTTAGCTAATCGACTGTATGTATGTATACCTGGTGGGCGCAACGGCAACTCACGCATCCAAAGCCTAGTATGCTGTTGACCAGAAGCGGCGAGCAGAAGCGCATGTTGTTGGTTCCCATGTCCTCAAGAAAGAAGTCCTTGTGGAAGAAGGGGAACCAGTCGTACTCGAAGAGGAGATAGTCGTGGATCAGCTTCCGCATTAGTACATCGTCGTCGCAAACATTGGTCCATTTCGACGGCTTCACCGAGTCCAACCACGGGTGGACAACCGTTGCGAACTGGTACGGTTTCGAGTACGGATCCCGCGGTCCAGCCCCGTAGACGGAATCCGCGTCAGAGACCGGTGACTGCTCTTTCTCGGGGGTTGGCGGTGAGCCCACCGGCTGGTGAGGCTCGTTCGTGAGCTGGCGGAGGGAGTAGTCGTACACTTCCGAGTCCAGGTACGGGTTGTCCAGGTTTCGTAGAAAAGGAGGCATGTCCGGGAGATACGGGAAGTCGAAGCGGTACCGGGATTCCGGGACGAGAGCGAGCTGGACGAGCACGTCGCCGTAGCTGACATGGCGGAGGATGGAACCGGCGTCGCTGCCCCGGCGAATCCTGCGGAACACCGACCCGGCTTCCTCCTCGGACCGCGTCTGTAGGACCTCGTAGACCTGCTCGAACGCCGACTTCTGGCTCTGCAACTCGTTGAATTTGCGCTTGAGTGCCTGCGTGTGTGTCTCCGCGGCATTGGTTTCGAACTTGCAGGCGGTGCCGCGATCTCGACAGATGGAGCACATGGGACGCCCGCCATCGCACTAGACAAGGGAACATGATCAGACTACTAATACAACGCGGCCGCACTCTCAATGGGATATGCTCCGGGTGCCATTCTCGGTCGGCTATCTTTTCGTACACACCTTGGACTTGCGCTTCCTGCACGCACCGCAGGCCGCTGTGGTCGCCTGGGCCCTTTTCCGCCGGGCAGGCACTACGGCAGACGAAGAACTGGGACCCGGTCCTGGGCCTGACATTGGTGAGCGACGTGGTGTCGGCGGCCCTTGGAACCCTCCTGCTTCTTCGATATTCCTGCTCGCCGGGAGCAAGCGTCGCAGCGGCCCGCCCCCGTCTTGAGGCGAGGCCGACTTCGATCTGGATGATTTCATGGCGGGCGGGGAGTACGGCGAAGCAGGCGCGGAGAGAGCTCCTCCCCGAGGAGCAACAACAGCTTGTACGTCGGGTGTGCTGTTGCGGAACCTAGGTTGTCCATATAATACCTCGAGCGATACCCCAGATTTCGGGGGGTTTTTCCTTTTTCTTTGCTGCCGCAGGCAGGCGTGTGGCATGGAGACAGGGACCCTTGGAGCCTTTATGAAAGCCCCAGTTCTTTGTTAGCGGCCCTCTCAAGCGGCCCTCCCCGGCCTTCTTGGGGCCATCGAGAGCCTGGTACCCTGGGGGGGGAAGCAGACAACGGAGAAATGCCCCCCTGGCCCCAACTCGCCTTAGCTCCGACCCCCCTGAGCGTGGAATCTTGCATTCCCATTCGGTAGCATGGAAATCACACCCGGAACGCAGTCCGCTCTGCCCTTCATTCGTTCGCTGCCAAACGGCCGAAACCCGCACCGACGGCCGCGTCGTGCAGCGGTTCCCATCCTTTGAAACCGAGAGAGAGACCCACTTCGAGCCACTCTCTCAGACCCGGCTGTCCACTGCAGCGGGTCTCCCAGCAACTTGTTTCCTGTGTCTCAGCTCGTGATTGCTGGTAATCCTTTTGCCGACCGAGAACAACAGGGGGTGCCGTCCCAGGGCTTGCCAGGCTTCCATATTCGGCTTCCCGCGGAGGGGAAATACTGCATAGCGTCGCCCGGAAGCGTGTTGTTGTGGTCGTCCCATTGACTGCCCTGTCTTGCCTGTCTTGCCTTGTGTCTGTCTGGTGTCTCATCTTCACAGCACCCAAGCTGGAAAGGCCCCGAGTCCCCCGAAGGTGTTCTGCGCTTCCCGTTCCAACTCTCCCGGTTTTCGTGCCCCGCACAGCATCGCCCAAGCACCTTCGTTAGGTGTTGCCATTAGCCAACTTTTAAAAAGAGGGTCGTCCGTTCCGCCAACACTAACTTGGATTTCGGGACCGAATTGGCGAATCATGCGCGGGATCTCATCCCATGTTTGTTCTGCTGCTGTTTGGATCCTTCGCTTATCAACGATCATCGCCGGCATTGCCCACGGCTAACGTAAAGACCACCGTACTTCGTACCGTACCTGGTGGGTTTGGCGAAAGCGATTGAAGCGAAGAAGGATATTGGTAGGTGCACAGAATCAGATTCAAACCAATTGCTGGCTTCTGCGGATACGAAACCAATTCTGAGAATTCGCGAATCTCCATATTTTCATATTTTGCATCTCTAGAGAGGGGCAATTTCCAAAATCGCCGGAGCACGACATGTGTAGAAACCCTTTTGTGCGTGGCGTCACTGGCGTGACTGCGGGCATCTCTGCTTGGAAGGCGCGAATTGCCCCTTCGGGCGCCCAAAAATTCACTCGGCCAGTAAGTGGCTGGCGCAGGTCCGGGCGTTTTGGTTCCAGGAGGCCGCTGTCGGCGCCAGAAGTGCTCTCGGTGACTCAGGCAGCGCAACTTTTCTAATCGATAAGGATGGAGGGGCCCAACGTTTGTAAATCATAAACCACATTCACACCCAGCCCATCATCTCGAACTTTTTCAACCCAAACTTGCACTTTCTCTCTTGTTTTTGATTGCAAAACTTACCCTAAAGTCCAATCCACCATGGCCCCCACCGTACTACACCTCCGCAGCGAGACCAAGGCCCTCGAGCACCGCTCGGCCCTGACGCCGACGACGACTGCGGCCCTGATCAAGGCCGGTTACGTTGTCAATGTTGAGCGCTCGCCCGTGAGGATATTCGACGATGCTGAGTTTGAGGCGGCCGGTGCCACCTTGGTCCCCGAGTTCAGCTGGGTTGATGCTCCCAAGGAGCACATCATTGTCGGCCTGAAGGAGCTGGAGGAGAAGGACTGCAAGTGGTGACTCGTCCCAGGGGTGGTGTATGACTGTTTACTGACTTTTCTTGGCGGTGAAACAGTCCCTCTTAAGCATGTGCATGTTCAGTTTGCCCACTGCTGTATGTTATCCCCACTTTAGAACTAAGTCTCATGACTGTTGCTAACTATGATTGATTAGACAAGCAGCAGGCTGGGTGGGACACAGTTCTCGCCAGGTTCCCCAGGGGTGGTGGCACCCTCCTTGATCTCGAATTTCTTGTTGATGAGCGTGGCCGCCGTGTTGCCGTATGGTTCCCTAACCCAACAATACCCACCCAAGCTCGATTATCACTAATGACTCACCCAGGCCTTTGGCTTCCACGCCGGTTTCGCCGGTGCTGCCCTCGCCCTAGAGGTTTGGGCCTGGCAGCAACAGCATAGCGAGCCCTTCCCCGGCGTTGAGAGCTACCCCAACGAGGACGCCCTCGTGACCAACGTCAAGAAGGCGCTTGCCGACGGCGAGAAGAAGGCCGGCCGTCTGCCCCGCGTCATTGTCATCGGCGCCCTCGGCCGCTGCGGTTCGGGAGCCGTTGATGCCCTGCGCAAGGCCGGCCTGCCTGAGGAGAACATCCTCAAGTGGGATATGGCGGAGACTGCCAAGGGGGGACCCTTCAGTAGGTCTTCAACTCCGGCATCTGGAGATCTTGGGGTCCTGTGCAGTGCTAATATATTCTGCAGAGGAGATTACCGACAGCGACATCTTTGTGAACTGCATTTACCTCACCAGCAAGATCCCCAACTTCGGTATGTTCCCTTGCCAGTGTACTAAACCACCCGCCATGGTGCTAACCTAACACCATTTAGTCAACAAGGAATCCCTCCAGGTCGCCGACCGCCAGCTCTCCGTCGTGTGCGACGTCTCCGCTGTATGTGTCCCCCACACCTCGCCTCCCTCCCCGCTTCCGACTTGATTGAGTCCATAGACTGACCCTCCTTCAGGACACCACCTCCCCCTTTACCCCGGTTCCTATCTACACCGTCGCAACAACTTTCGACAAGCCCACCGTCCCCGTCGACGGTCTGCAGAGCGGGCCCCCGCTTTCTGTCATCTCTATCGACCACCTCCCGTCTCTGCTGCCGCGTGAGGCGTCGGAGGCTTTCAGCCGTATGTCCCCGCTTCTCTAACACACTCCCATCTGCCGAACCATGAGTCACCTTTTTTTCTTTTTTTGAAAGAGAAAAGAAAGAATTGTTGTGAGAACCTTACCATGCTAACGCAACCACTACTAGACGACCTCCTCCCATCGCTTCTCACCCTCAACGACTGGCAGAACTCGGCCGTCTGGGCGAGAGCTGACAAGCTCTTTAAGGACAAGGTCGCCACCCTCCCCGCGAGTGCGTTGAAGAAGTAAGGAGTTCTCTCCCCTTGAGGGGGGAATGGATAGATAGATAGATGAGATACCTTGGGAAAGACGGGAAGAAAGAAAGGAAGAAAAATTGCTCCATAGATGCGTGCAAGTGCGTGAAGGGAAGAAGTGGATATGGACGGGTGGTGATACAATACAAGTCCTGTTGTGAGTTGTCATAGACAAAACGTACTTGATGAGTCAGTCCAGTCGTTCCTTTGTTAGAGTACACATTTACGGATGACGTCGGGTTTAACATGAAAAAGATGTCTCGCGTAACCGAGTTCGCAGTTCAAACAATGCGGCACACGATGATTCAGGAAAACACTGGCACTCCCATGCGTGTTATTTATAGTGTAGATTGTTGTGCCAAGGATATGGATTGTGCACTGCAAGCTGAGCTCGACCTCCCTTGTCACCAGAAGATCACCAACCAACCAACCCAGTCAACCACTCGCCGTCAACTCCGTAATCTCACAACAGCCCATCCCATATATCGTGTCAATTTTTTGGTCCCCGGTCCCATGCGCCAATTTTTGTGTCCTCATCTCTCATGCAATGCCCGAAGTCATAAAAAGAAAACTCTGGTAAAAAGCTAATTTTAAGCGTAGAGCTTCTTCTCGTAGGACTCCATGTTCACACCGCCCTCCAGCTGGGCGCTGGCGGTGCGGATCTCGAACCGGACGGTACCGTTGGCGACACACTCGTGCAGCTCCTTGAGGCTGGTCATACCACAGTCCTGCATGGAGTGCTTGAGACCGGCGGCAAGGTAGGGGACAAAGCGGGAAATGGAACTATCATTAGGGTTAGTATGTTTTGTTGTGCACGGATCAGAGAGAAGTTTAGAATAGTAATCTTACCCTCTGTGGGCCACGGCGCCGGAAACACCCTGAGCAACCAGGACGCTGTCGCCTTCGGAGAAGTACCGAGCCGTGCCGGCATTGCTCTTCTGGCTGTCCTTGCCGCCTCCACCGGCCTTCTTGTCCTGCATGGCGTCGATGCTGCCCATGCCACGGTAGGCCTTGACGAGTTTACCCTCCCGGGACACGAACGAGGTACCGGGAGACTCGGTGGTGCCGGCCAGCAGACCGCCCATCATGACAGTCGAGGCGCCGAGAGCAAGGCCCTTGACGATGTGGCCGACGTTCTGGATGCCACCGTCGGCAATGCAGGGCACGCCGAACCTCGCGGCGAAGGCGCTGACGCTGTGAACGGCAGTAGCCTGGGGACGGCCAACGGCCATAACCTCTTGGGTGATGCAGGCACTGCCGCTACCCATGCCGATACGAAGGCCGTCAACACCGGCGGCGATCAGGGACGCGGCCTGCTCGCGAGTCACGACGTTACCGCCAATGACCTCGATGTTGGGGAATTCTTGTTTGATCCACTTGATCATCTCGATCTGATACATGCTGTTGCCTTGGCTGCTGTCGAGGATGACAATGTCCAGGCCGGCGTCCGCCAGCTTGCCAAGGCGAACCTTGTCTTCGGGGCGAGTACCGATCGCCGCGGCGCAAATGAGCTGCTTGGAGTCCGCGGTCTTGGACGCAAGAGGGAAGTCAAGGTTCTTGGTCAAATCGGAGCGAGAGATCATGGAGACAAAGTTTCCATCCTGGTCGACGATGGGGAGCTTGCCCTTCTTGGACTGCGCAAGAATCTTGTTCGCCTCCTGCAGCGTGACGCCAGCCGGGGCAGTAATGAGGTCGGTAACCATGACATCTGACACGGGCTTGGACAGGTTGTCCTCGAACTGGATGTCACGGTTCGTGACAATGCCCAGAAGTTTAGATCCCAGCTTGCCGGACTCTATTTCAAGCAACCCCGTTAGCGCTCAGTCGCATCAATCAAAAGGCGCAGACAGAATGATCTCGAGGTGTGATTGAGTGGCATCATAATTTTCAGTGATACAGTCCCCATGACACATAGGTCGATACGGTGGAACGAAAGTTATAATAAAGGTTTGTAATCATAGCAATCCGGTGGTAGAGAGGCAGGTGGGCGCATTAAGAGAGAGGGGTAAGAACTAACCTGTGACGGGGAACCCGCCAAAACCCCACTTCTCCTTCAGCGCGATGGCCTCGCCGACAGTCGTCTCCCGCGTGATGACGACGGGATCCAGGATAAAACCGTTCTCGTACCGCTTCACCTTCCGCACCATGTCGGCCTGCGCCTCGGGGGAGCAGTTGTGATGAATCACACCCAGACCTCCCTGGAGCGCCATGTGGATCGCCATGTCATGCTCAGTGACAGTGTCCATGGGCGACGAAACCAGAGGCGTCTTCAGGGAAATCTTTTTAGTGATGGGCGATTCGAGCGCGACAGCCGAGGCCGGGAACCCAATGTAGCCAGGGAGCACAAGGAAGTCATTGTACGTGAGACCGCCATGGACGGTGGAGTCCATGAGCTCGTCGACGCTGAGACCATCGCGGCTCTTGTACTCCTGGAGCAGCTCGACAGCGTTCCGGAAGTCGAGCGCACCCGCGCTGGTGTTGGGATCGTTTGTCGCTGGCATTTCTGCGCAACAACAAAAACCAATTGGCAAGAAGTAAATCGGTAGGGTAAAGCGGAAGAATAACGGGTTGTCGGCGGGGGGAGACAGCGACGAGTTCTTTGGCTAGGTCGACCGACTGTTCCCCCCCAAAAGAAAAGAAAAAGAAAAATTTGGAGTTCGCCCTCGAAATTTTTTTTTATGCCCGTCCCTCGAGTCCCGCTACGGGGCAGATGCGGGCGGTGAGAGGCCCGAGCTTTCTCCCCACCTCCAGTAGAGCTGTTCCAAGGGGCGCCCACTAGATCCACGGGTCCGTGGCAGTTACGTAAGCACAACGATTATGTAAGCACCAAAATTCCAAGTGCCCGCGCCCGCCCGCGCCCCTGAACTGCGTGCCCCTGAACCCCTGAATGCCATCACCAATACCACTACTCTGGCCAACTACAGTACATCTGAATACCGCAAAGGGCATGCCCTGGAGGTCCTTGTATGGCCAACTGCGTAGCACTTCGTACACTTGCTCGGAGCCCGCCGGGGCCGTGCCTGAGCCTGAGCCTGGGCCTGGGCCTGGGCCTGGGCCTGGGCCTGGGCCTGGGCCTCAACCACTTCAAATTGACTGGGCTCCCGCTTGGTACTCGACCTTGGGAGTGAACTTCGAACCTGAACTGGCTCAATAAGCTGGCGAGGCTCAAGGAGCAGTTGCGGGGCTCCTTCGCGCCTTAAATGCCAGTGTGGATGGAAGTGGCTAAGAAGAAGAGCCTCGCCTTGTAAACTCTCAAGCGTATGTAAGCATGGTAGCCTATATACTCGAGAGAAGGTGCCTGTACAAGTAGGAGAGGGAGGAGGATCGGTCCTTATAAGCAACTTCCGTTGTTCCTCTACCTTCCTCATTGCCTCGTGTGATACCCAGCCTCGTACTGCTCCATAGAGTACCCCTGAGAGCTCAAGAGGAGTACAGATTTGTTGCTTTGCCTGGTGTGCTTGTAACTCGGAAAGCTGGTTCTGGAGAGCGAGTTGGATAGCTTTCCAAGCATCAAAAAGATCGAATGTCGACCTCCTCAAGTACAACTTAAGGAGTGCATAAATCCCTTCAACCCGCGAGGTAGCTCTATTACCAAAGTGAGCTGACTGATCAACCCAAGCACGAACAAGCTTCTCTTTAAATGGAAGAAGCCACGTTGTCTTAATATATCCAACCTCATCAAGATACTGAGGAACGTATTTCCCCTGCATCTCTGCGAGGCGTTTAGTATAGGCCTCCTGAGTTGGCGAGTTGATGATCGAGTGCCAGAAGCTGTAGAACTCCTTCCATGCCTCAGCCTCTTGGAATGCGGGTTGACAACGTGTAAGGACCGCCTTATTCGCATGCCAAATGCAAATGAGGGTTGCAGCCGAAGGGAAGAGAGCTGAAGCTGCATTTATTACTGCAAGGCAGCGGTCTATAAGAATAACAGATAGGAGAGATGTATGACATTGCTCATAGAGTGCCTTCAACCGCTCTAGTGCCCAGAGATAGTCTTCCTCTGCTTCACCACTTAAGAACGCAAATGCGATACAAAAGGACCGCTGGGCTGCATCAACCCCAATCATATCGAGGAGAGGCATTCTATACTTATTGGTCTTATATGTACAATCAAGAAGGAGAAGCTCAGGGTAAGCCTGGAGGTAGGTAAGCGAGTTAGGGTGAGCAAAAAGAACAGCTGTAACTCGACCATCTGGTGCAAACTGAATCCGGCTCCAGAAACCCTCTTTGTCGAGCTGGTTGGCGAGCGCTTGAATAGGACTTTGGCCTTTGCAAGCATCACGACGAACGTCTGCAATACGGTTGTAGATATCTTGCCGAGTAGCTAACGAGCTACTTTGTCGTACAAGGGTCTGAATCTCCTTTGGCGCAAGGCCCGCATTCGAAAGGGTCGCAAGCTGTGAGGTGCCTTGAGAGAGCTGTCGGTGGATTGGGTGGGCAACTGGGTATTGGCTTGGTTCGTGGTTATATATCGAGAATCGAGTATCAGGACGGTGTTTTAGAGCCCAACTACCGTCGGGCGACTCCTTGGCTAGTACCGAGAAGGGGCAGCTTGTTACTCGACTGGTCGTTCTTCTCTGGCGGTTGCTTAATGCCTTAGGTGGATAGTAGCTCCGATCGCATGCGTAGATAGCTGTAATATGACCGTTCTTCTCTCGCGTCGATCTCTGGGTTGTGAAGGCGTAACCTCTTGGCTTAGCCCACGCGTTGATCGCCCTGAATAAGGCATCTCGGGAGTCATGTATAGCCTCGGGAGGGAGGCAGTCGACTGGGAAGGTAGCCATAGCGATGGCGATGGCGATGGCGATGTCGTTGGTGGTGGCATTCAGGGGCACGCAGTTCAGGGGCGCGGGCGGGCGCGGGCACTTGGAATTTTGGTGCTTACATAATCGTTGTGCTTACGTAACTGCCACGGACCCGTGGATCTAGTGGGCGCCGTTCCAAGGCAGTGGATGACCTAATCAGAGAGCCCCCGGTCAAATTACGGGTATTGGTAACGCCGGGGCCGAAGGGCGTGACAGCCCCACCTTCAGAACCGGGTTGTGGCGGGCTAGTGTGGGGTCAGGTGGTCGAGGCGGGTGGGCAGCAGAGGGGCTTGTTTTGGTTGCTGGGGAGCCGAGTCTGCATGTAAACAAGACGCATCGGGCGTCTCTTGTCAAACGCCAACCACTAACGTGAGGGCGCTTTAAACTGCCGGCCCACCCCGGTCACTCCCGATCTTGTTGCGACCCAATGCTGCCGACGACTTGGGCAGAATGAGGCCATTGCCGTGCATTTCGGACTTCTTGCATTCTTGCAACCCTTTTTCGTGATATTTGCTTTTGGAATTGCGCTGCGCGCCGGCGTTTTGCAGGGAGAGTTTCCAAGCGAAGGACGACGGACGACGGACAATCGACAACCCATGCCACCTGCTCGAGCTCCTTCCCCCTCTCCAGTCCTTACCCAGCCACGATCCGATTCCTGTTTTTCTGGATTGAACTTCCCATTTTCCGCCGCTAGAACGACTGCCTAGGAGAACCACGGCCCCGCAGGTGCGTTCTCCCACTTTCTCGAATTGCAGGAAAGAAAAGAAGAAATATACAATGCACATGGCGCAGCATTTGATCTAATGTTTTTTTATCGTCATCTGTGCAGCCGTGCGACCAACCAAAAGTTTGCGCCAATCTACAGAAAATGTCTTCTTCCTCTTACCGGCCGCACCCCTTGCGGCAAACACAAACGGCCGACTATGAATCATCCGTCTACCGACAACCCTCGACCGCATCCTCTTCCGCATCTTCAGGGTATTCCAATGCATCATCCGGGGCGTACGACTTCGGCCGAGCCTCAATGACATCCTCGCCATCCAGCACCTACTCCAGTTACGGGCATAAACGTGGTCTAAGTGAGGTCACCCGTCGACCTCCCCCGCTGCACGCACCGCAAAGCCAGGCCACGACGACGACAGCCTCGGAAAACATCTACTCCGCAGCGCGGCAATCGCTTCGACCGCTGCCACAAGTCCCGCGTCCGACAACACCACCGAGCGCCCCAATTCGCCATGACCGCGGACAGAGTCTGGACATTGGGAAACTGTCGATTGCTGATCGCGGTGCGACATCTCCAACACCCGCTGGGCCTCCGACCCCGCCACACCATCGTTCGCCCAATTCCCGTCCCACATCGATGCTTCTAACCCGCGCGGACTCAGTACGCCGTGGTAGCGATCCTGGAATGGCCCCTAATCTGGCTCTTGTACATGCCCACACGGCTCCTCTTACGACACCCGACCTTGAGAGGCTTGGTCGCTCGTCGACAAATCAACTCCGCACCTTGTCCAAACTAGCACAATCCGGATCTGCCGATGAATTTGCCCTTACCGCGCCCGCGCAAGAGGTGGTGGGTCTCAAGGGCCGGCGGAGACTGCAAAGGACGGACAAGACCGGGGGCAATCGTGTAGCGCAGCGGACGGGCGGTTATGGCTGGGAGGGGAGGAACTGGATGGATAAGCAGCGCCAGTTTCTCCAAGCCTATGAATACCTTTGCCATATAGGTGAAGCGAAGGAGTGGATCGAGGATGTCATCCAGCGCACGATCCCGCCTATCGTGGAGCTGGAAGAGGCCCTGAGAGATGGTGTCACGCTTGCTGAAGTGGTCGAATCGCTCAACCCTCAACGGCGTTTCAAGATTTTCCACCATCCACGGCTCCAGTACCGGCACTCGGACAATATCGCCATATTCTTTCGCTATCTGGACGAGGTCGAGCTACCAGATCTCTTCCGGTTCGAGCTCATCGATTTGTACGAGAAGAAAAACATTCCCAAGGTCATCCACTGCATTCACGCGCTGAGTTGGTTGCTTTTCCGGAAAGGCATAGTGGACTTCCGGATCGGCAATCTCGTCGGGCAGTTGGAGTTCGAACACCATGAGTTGGAGGCAATGCAGAAGGGTCTCGATAAGTTGGGGGCCAATATGCCGAGCTTCGGCAACATGGGAGCCGACTTTGGGGTGGAAGAGCCGCCGGAGCCGGAAGAAACGGAGGAGGAGAGAATCGACAGGGAGCTCGCCGAGAACGAAGGCGCCATTGTGGATCTCCAGGCGCAGATTCGCGGCGCTGTGCTCCGGATGCATCTCGGAGATGTGATGCAGAACCTCTGGGACTCGGAAGACTGGCTGATCGAGCTCCAGGCGCGGATTCGCGGCGACTTTACGCGCCAGATCATGGACTATCGGCTCCAGATGAGGCGCTTCGCCGTTAGTCTCCAGAGTGCGGCCCGCGGGTTCCTGATCCGTCGTCGCCAAGAAGGGACGCAGCAGGTGTGGAAGAGCGTGGAGAAGGATATCCTGAAGCTCCAGAGTCTGGTCCGGGCAAACAAGGCGCGCCGCCATATTCAGGAAGAGCAGTCGCAATTGATGGTTGCGGCGGCCCCTATCCGGGATATCCAAGCCACATTCCGCGGCTTCCTGCTCCGCAAGAAGATGGATGCGCAAGAGGAGGAAGTAAAGCATACGACTGCCCCTGTCGCTGGCCTTCAGGCTGCAGTCCGCGGTCTGCTCGTTCGCAAGAAACTCGAGGGGGAGCAGATCGAGCTGCAGTCACAGACCGAGGCCGTGACAGGTCTTCAGGCCGCCGTACGGGCTGCGATAGAAAGAAACCGGGTCTCGATGCAGATGGAGGCCCTCGAAGAGCTAACTCCCATGTGGGAAACGCTGCAAGCGGCTTGCCGCGCGAACCTTGCTAGAAGCGCGGTGAACGGCGTCAAGGCGGAGCTTGGAAAGCACACGTCCGAGATTGGGCAGCTCCAGTCGCACATCCGGGCCGCAGCGGTGCGTCGGGAAACTTCTGAAACGCTCGAGAGTTTGGGCGATGCGGAGGAGGAGGTTCTGGCCCTGCAAGCCACTATCAGGGGCATGCTGGAGCGGAACCGGGTGTCCGACCTTCTCGAGGCATTGGATCAGGAGGAAGAGTCGATTATCCAACTGCAGTCTCAAATGCGCGGCGCCCTCTTCCGCCAACAGCAAAACGACGTCTTGGACGACCTGCAGACCAACGAGGAGGAAGTCTGCGCCCTGCAATCTCTTGCCAGGGCGATGCTTCTCCGGGACAACGTCGCGACGGTCCTCGACGAGCTGGAGGAGAACGAAGAAGTTGTTGGCGAGGTCCAAGCTGCCGCCAAGGCGTTCATTGTTCGGGCCAAGTATGAGGAGAAGAAGCGGCACTACAACGAGAACATGCAGAAGGTGGTCAAGATCCAGAGCTTCGTGCGCGCCAAGCTCCAGGGCGAGGCGTACAAGAGCCTGACGTCCGGCAAGAACCCGCCGGTCAACGCGGTCAAGAACTTTGTCCACCTGCTCAACGACAGCGACTTTGACTTCAACGAGGAGGTCGAGTTTGAGCGGATGCGCAAGACGGTGGTACAGCAAGTCCGACAGAACGAGATGCTGGAGCAGTACATCGACCAGCTGGACATCAAGATCGCGCTGCTAGTGAAGAACAAGATCACCCTCGACGAAGTCGTCCGGCATCAAAGCAACTTTGGCGGCCACGCCCACACACTGCTCGCCAACAGCACCATGGCCAGCATCAACCAGTTCGACCTGAAGGCGCTCAACAAGGGCTCGAGGAAGAAACTCGAGTCGTACCAGCAGCTCTTCTTCTTGCTCCAGACACAGCCGCAGTACCTCGCCCGGCTGTTCAAGCGGCTGCGGGAACAGGGCACGGGTGAGAAGGAGTGCAAGCGGATCGAGCACCTTATGATGGGCCTGTTCGGATACGCGCAGAAGCGGAGAGAGGAGTACTACTTGCTCAAGCTCATCGGGCGGGCTATCCGGGAGGAAGTCGAGGGCTGTAAGACAATCCAAGATTACCTCCGCGGTAATTTCTTTTGGTCTCGGATGCTGCAGAACTACACGCGGTCCCCCCGCGACAGAAAATATCTCCGGGACCTGCTCGGCCCCCTGATCCGGGACAACATCATCGAGGATCCCGAGCTTGATCTGGAGAGCGACCCCATGCAGATCTACCGGTCGGCCATTAACAACGAGGAGCTGAGGACAGGCCAGGCGAGCAACCGGCCGCTAGACATCCCGCGCGAGCTTGCCATCAAAGACCCGGAGACGAAGGCCGTCTTCATCGACCATCTGCGCGACCTCCGAGAGATCTGCGACCAGTTCCTCGCGGCGCTGGAGGATCTGCTCCCGCGCATGCCGTACGGGCTTCGATTCGTGTGTCGCCAGGCTTTTGATGCGCTTTGCCAGCGCTTCCAGCGCGAACCCCGGCCGCGCATGCTGCAGCTAATCACCAACTGGCTGTGGAAATTCTACCTCCAGCCCGCGGTGACCACGCCCGAGAACGTCGGCGTGATGGACAAGCAGTTGAGCCCCCTGCAAAAGCGGAACCTGGGAGAGGTAGCCAAGGTGTTGGGTCAGATCACGTCTGGCAAGCAGTTTGGTGGTGACAACATCTACCTCCAGCCCCTCAACGCGTTTGTCGCGGACGCGATCGAGCGGTTGGCCGAGTTCACCGAGAACCTCATCAACGTGCCCGACGCGGAGAGCACGTTTGACATTGACGAGTTCAACGACCTGTACGCCAAGAACAAGCCGACGCTGTACATCAAGCTGACCGACATCTTTGCCATCCACAACCTCATCGCCTCGGAGCTGCCGCACCTGGTCCCCAACCGCGACGACATGCTCCGCGAGATCATGCAGGACCTCGGCAGCGCGAAGAGCAACGAGAGCGAGATGACGGCAGCCGGGTCATCAGACATCCAGATGTTCCTAACCCCCAAACTGCACGAGCTGGAAGACCCGGACGCGGACATCAAGACGCTCTTCATGGAGACCAAGCGCTGCATCCTGTACATTATTCGCGTACAGACGGGCGCCAACCTCCTGGAGATCCTCGTGAAGCCCATCTCGCCCGAGGACGACTACAAGTGGGCAACGCTGCTGCGCGACGACTTTGCCAGCGGCTCCAACACCCGGGGCGCCTACTCTGACGCCAACATGGTCGACGTCACGCGCATGTCGTACTCAGACCTCAAGCGTATCGCGCTGGAGAATGTGATGCGGCTTGAGCAGATGGGCCGCCTCTCGCGGCACAACCATTACCAGGATGTGCTTAATGCCATTGCGGTTGATATCCGTACCAAGAGCCGTCGGCGGGTGCAGCGGCAGCGCGAGCTGGAGGGCGTCCGGTTGACGCTGGGGAACTTGCATGAGAAGGCCAAGTACCTTGAGCAGCAGCGAAGGAGTTATGATGATTATATTGAGCAGGCTATGGCTACGTTGCAGAACAAGAAGGGGTACGTTTTTTTTCTCTTTGTCTATCACGTCAAAACCCCGTCAAGGTATAAAATTATGCTAACGTCCAAGCAGCAAAAAACGTTTCCTCCTCCCCTTCACCAAACAATACAACCACCAACGCGAACTCGAACGCTCCGGCCGCGTCCCCAAATTCGGCTCCTACAAATACAGCCTGCGCGCCCTCTCCGACAAAGGCGTCGTCGTTTCCTGGCAAGGCATGCCCGAGCGCGAATGGAACCAAATCAACCTGACCATCTCGTGTGACGAAGTAGGCGTGTTCAGCATCGAGGGGAGTCGCGGACATATCCAGATGCCCGGGGCGAGTGCGCTGGTGCCGATTGAGGATTTGTTGCAGGCGCAGTTTGAGGCGCATCAGTTTATGAATCTTTTTGAGGGGGGCGGGTTGAGGTTGAATGTGAATTTGTTGTTGCATTTGTTGTATAAGAAGTTTTATCGGACGCAGTAGTTGGCCAGTGGAGGTGGGATGGAGGTGGAGGGGGGTTGGTAGATAGACTTTTTCTTCTTCATTTTCCCCCTTTTTTTCTTCTCGCTTTTAGTCCTGTTTTGTTGTCGCGTATCAGTTGGGCTTTTTGTCGCCTGTTGGACCTGTGGATGAGCGAGGCGTGTGGGGAGGAAGGGTGGATGGGATTGGGTTGTTTGTTCTTTTTGATGGGGTTGCCTTAAGGGTGGGTGATGGATGATGGATGAAGACGACAGACGATGGATGAGAGATGATGGGAGGCTTGGTTTGTCAGTTTGGGACGGGCTGGTTGGTTGGTTGGGTTGGTTTGGTTTGGTGGATTAGGGTGGATTCTTGGGAGTGAGTGGGCGGCTGCTATTATTCGGAATGGGCGGGATAAGTTGTGATGGTTGGGCTGGGTTGGGAAGGATAAGTTGAGCGGTAGTGTGTTATGTGTGTTCTGTGGCTGCTGTTGCGGTTTGGTGGTTGTGGGGTGAGACAGAATAAGAGAGAGGTGAGAAGGAAGAGAGAGAGGGAGAGCAACATACCGGTCGTTTTTTACAGTGTTATTTAGTTTATGGGAATGCGTGAATGATACCTTTTAGTTTCTTTGTACTTGGAAAGTTGTGTGCGTCTTCGCCTTGTGTGTGTCCTTCTGGATGTTTTATGTTGGGATGTGAGAGATGTCCCCGTTTTAACCTGTATGATCCGAAGAAAAACTGGGTGTCCTGAAATAGTTCAATGTTCGTCGTAGATATTCGTAAATATCATCTCATTATAATGACCATTAGGTACCATTTTCCTGTCCGCTCATTTTTAAGTTCTCAGCCTAACTCCGTAGATGCGAAATATGCAAGCCGGTCCATCAACGTCGTCCTCATCGTCCGCTTTCGTTTATCCTGCTGTTTGACGTTCGCTCGTCTTTTTCTTTCTCCTTTCTCCCAACGTTAAATATCCAAAATAATTCCATCCAATCTTTGCTGATCTCTGGCTGTCTTTCTCTTCTCCCCCCATCTCATTATTCTTCCACCCATTACGCCCTACCGCCCATTCACCGTCCCATACCCCACCGCCGTCCCCCTCTTCTTCACAACCCCCAACCCATCACTCTCATCCTCCCCATCCTCATCCTCCTCACTACCCACCGTCTCCTCACTCAACAAACTCTCCCTCTCCGACCCACTCACCACAGGACTACTACTCCCACTCTCCCCCGTATACGGCCCCTCCCCCTCAACAATAAACCAAGGCACCACCGCCCCGACCACCCCAATAACAGCCAACATCGCCCACGGCGCAACCGCATACCCATTCCTCATCCCCCAACTAAACACGGCGCCAGCACCCGCGGGGCCGACGGCCCGCCCTAATCCGCTGAAGGTGGTTGCGAACCCGTTGAGGGTGCCGAGGATGCGCAGGGAGGAGGCGGAGTTGGTTACTAGGATGGTGGTGCAGGGGAAACCGATTATGACGACGAAACCTTTGATGAGGAGGAGGGTGAGGAAGATGGTGTAGCGGAGGGTGTCGGATTGGATTAGGGCTGTGTAGGGGGTGAGGATGTAGATTATGGGGAAGACCATGGCTAATTCCTTAGTTAGTTCGCTGTTTGTTTTGGATGAGAGACAAAAAAGGGGGGGGACGTACTGGCTGCGCGGAAACAGGTAAGCACGCCGAAGCGGCTGCAGAGCGTGGGGAATAAGAGGAACTGCACCACACCGCAGCAGATGCCGTAGATAGTGTAGATGGTGCCGATGCGATCCGAGCCGAGCCCGAACCCGCCGGTGAATTTGAACGGCAGGCTGGTGTTGGACTCGTCGGGGACGACGCGCGGGTAGTTGAGGAAGACGGGGAGGATCTGGTCGTAGGCGACGGCGTGGAGGGCGAGGAAGGTGTAGGCTAGCAGGTTGATGCTCGTCTGTGAGGTGAAGATCTCGCTGTAGGTGATGGGTTGTTGCTGTTCCTGCTGCTGCGCGGCGAGCTGGTCGGTGCTGGACATGGCGGAGTCGGCGAGTAGAGGGGCGGAGGCTTCGTCGTCGACGAAGGAGAGGCGGCGGCGTTTGGGGTTGGCCTTGGAGCGGCGCTTGAAGGTTCCCGTGAGCTTCTCGCCGAGGACTAGGCCCCAGTCGCGTTGGTTGCGTTTGGTGTGGAGGGTTTCCTGGGGATATGAGTTAGTTTTCTTCGTCTTATTTTTGATAGTACCAACGCCCCTTCAGATGCAGACGACTCACCTTAAGAAACAGTAACCCCGTCATGAAGGAGACGAAGAATACGCAGCATGCCATGAGATTCGGCAGAACGAAGGGGTACTGCTTGAAGAAGGCCGAGTCCCCAAACAGACTGGGGTATTGGTCAACAGGCCGGGCAAAGAACCCCCCAAAGGCGGGGCCAAACACGGAACCGATGCTCCAGACGAGGGGCATGATCGAAAAGGCCTTGGGCTGAAGAGACCGTTCCGGCACCATCTCGGCGACCATGGTTCGGATAATACCGACTATCCACGGTGTCAGTTACGGCATATGGCAAATTCATGAAAATTCAGGGGCGCAAAGGGGGCAAAGGAGAAAAAGGGAAAAGGGGGCATACCATTGCCATTCCCACCGCCCATAATCGCGCGCGCAACGACGGCCATAGTCAAACTCGTCGACATGCCCCAAAGCAAAAAACAGATCATGGTACTCGCCAAGCCCATGAGAATGATAGGTTTCCGGCCGAACCGGTCAGACGCCCGCCCCCACGCGACGGCGGTGGTGCTCTGGGCGATGGAGAAGATGGCGCCGGTGAACCCGGCCCAGCGGGCTACTTCGTCCTTTTCGACGCCGAAGCTGGCGATCATCTCCGGGAGGTAGGGGAAGACGGAGGTTAGGGCGAGAGGTTCGGCGAAGCGAGCGACGGCTGGGTTGGAGGTGGCATGTTAGCTTAGTTGGTTGGTGGAATTATATATTGGGGTGTGTTAAGGCGGGTTGGGTACCCGAGGGGTAAGGGGAGGTTCATGGTTTTTGTGTTGGTATCGTGGGGTCATGGTCATGGATGAGTGAGTTGAGTTCAAGTGTAGGCTCATAGAATTGAGGGGTATAGTTGTTGTTTGAGTCCACCATCGAGGTATATGATCCATGACGCCAACAATGTTCACTACCGAGATTTATATCAAGGTTGAATTGTAATGATGTTATGAGCTTACCGAGGATAGCCAGCTGCTGCGCGGGCAACTTGGGCCCGGGTTCCTTTTGATTGGCCATGGTGTGTGCATGAAACTGCGACAGACGGACGATACAGGAGACGCGCTGTGTTACAAGATCGACGGCGGTTTTTCGGGGTTCTACTCTGTGGTTGGAGTGAAACACTTCAGGAAGAAGGGCCTCTGAGACGCTGGAGTGGGCGGGCGGTAGGACACAAGCGAGGCTGATCCGCGTTCTCTCAAATAGCTAAGTGTATTTCTTCTTGGAGGCTGTACATGTATGTACATGTACCTATGCACGCAAGTACGAGCGAGAGAGATTATGAAATGAAATTGGAAAGAGGAAAGTGAAAAGTGGAAAGTAAAAGCTGGGGAGGAAGTGGATAACAGAGCTTGGGAGCCCGACAACGTGGGACGAGTGGCGAAGAGGAGAAAGACGTCTTGTTTTTGTATGGGATCGCACAGTCACGGGTCGGCGGCAAAAAGTCTGATTAGAAGGCTGACAAAAAGACGAACCTGGCAAAGCCTGGGCCTGTCGTGGAGCAGGCGTGGTGCGCAAGGTGCGGCAACGTTCGCAGGGCCGGCCGCAGAAAGTCCATGAAAGGCAACGGCAAAAGAAAAAAAAAAACACTGCAGGAAGAGCGGGGTTCACTGGCTCGATTGGGCCCGATTGGCTGGGGGGGGGCCACGGCCCGTGAAGAGGGGCTGTCGGATACGGACCCGGTCGCCAGTGCCAAGTCGGAGCGGCTTCGGATCCCATTGCTCGGCAACCCCCGGAGATTGGGGCCTATGGCCGACTGGGTTTGTTTGTTTAAGACGGCGTCCTTTGCGCTGTCGGTGTCGGTGTAGTGTAAAAGTTAGTTAGGTGATTTGTTCTCAATAAAGAGAATCAACAAACCGGATTTTGGGAAAATACCGTCAATCTCCGATTGTTTGGTTTCTGCATGTTTTACGTTTTACCAAGGACCCCCATCTTGATTTCGCGAGCCACAAAGTTAACCGCTTGAGGCGCATCAGCAGAGTTGTTTCAAAGGCTTCCTTCGGGTTGGGTCCGGCCACGGAGCAGCAACTGGCCGGGGTGGCCCCACCAAGACCTGGAAGGCCTGCTTGGAATCACCACACTTGTTGGAATCAGACCTCGCGGTGCTCCCTCAAAAACCCCCCACTTGCCCGTTCCCGTCACATTTCGGCGGGTGACCGGCTGCTGTAGCGAACGCCGGGCCGCAAGCACCGGGCTGTGCAGCGTCGCATCGTTGGGAATGTTTGGGAACTTGAGGGTGTCGTCGTTCGGGGACATTTGGGGTCAGTTTCTAGCGATAGGAAAAACCAGCCGGCTGGCAAGGCTCGTCTCGGGCTGGGTCCCAGGCTCGCTTGCTCGCGACCATGCATGTCTCACCTACACTTGACACGGGGGCCGCTGTCAGAATAACGCAACCGCTTTGTTTCCGGTAGCTCGGGGAATACAGCGCGGTTTCCGCGGTCCATTTGACAGGACGGGGGCTTCTTTGAAAGAGGTGGGCTGGAGGCTGCAAGACATTTGAACGGCTGCTGCCCGCTGCTGCAGAAAACCAGGTGCCGCCGAGCCAAGCCAGCCACCCCGGAAAAGAAGCCGGCCGAGCAGGTGGTACGTGCGCCCTTCCGTGGATTTCAATGTGGGGGAACATCCACTCCGGTTTGGGGAACGCTAGGCCCGAAACGGCAGATACTCCACTATCAGTCACCACAGAAGCTCCCGCGGTGGCGTCAGCGTCCCAGCCGCCTGTGAGTGAGTGAGCCTGTGACCGCTAGAGCTTTTTCACTTCACGACATCATCTCAAGCTCTGGAGTTCTGGCTGTGGACTTTCCTGCCAAGCCGTCTCGAAACACCGATTTCGCACATTAGCATCGGGAGGGGAATCCGACTACCGGCAGCCCAGTCCTGCTTTTTGGATAGAGCAAGATCGCATTTGACGCGAAGACTGCTCTAACTCGGTACCTGGCTCAAGTTAGCTGTACGTACTTACAGCTACTTGGTAGCTCTTTGTATTAACCGTGAGCTGCGTGGTATTCGTACGTGAGTGGCGGACGCCCATCCAACCACGCTCGTCGTCGGCGAATCACCGAATTGTTACACCTCCTGTCTCATCTCGCATTTACCGCGTAGTGTACTCACACCCCGCAGGCGATGCGAAAAACCCGACCACCTGCAGTCATGTCGCCGGAGCGCACGCCGCTCCTCGCCAAGGTCCGCGTGGCTGAACCGCGGCAGCGGTACCCGCATGGCGTGGTGCGCCGCTTCTGCACTATCGCCTTCGCCTCCGTCTTGATCTGGTTCTTCCTCGCCATCGCCGTGTCCGTGACCATCGGCCCGGATACGCACCATCACCACCCGCACCATGGCATCCCCGGGGACGACGGCGACGAGTGGACATGGCCCGGCTGGGGCCACAACCGGAAAGTCTCGTATGAGCAGCTCGAACAAATTCTCCTCGACACTCCCACCGCTGAGCACGCCGAGGAATGGAGCCGGTACTACACCGCCGGGCCGCACATAGCCGGTAAGAACTTCTCACAGGCGCAGTGGACCAAGGACAAGTGGGAGTCCTTCGGTGTCCCGTCCGACATTGTCCCATATGACGTCTACATCAACTACCACGTCGACCACCGTCTGGCCCTGCTGAAGGAAAAGAAGGGGAAGAAGGACCAGGACGGCGAGCGTGGTGGTTCGACCTGGAATGTCTCGTACGAGGCGTCCCTGGAGGAAGACATCATCGACGAGGACCCCTCGACCAGTCTGCCCGACCGAGTGCCCACCTACCACGGCTACTCAGCCTCCGGAAACGTGACCGGCCCCCTGGTCTACGTCAACTACGGCACGTTCCAGGACTACGAGGACCTCGTCAAGGCCAACGTTACTCTCAAGGGCAAGGTGGCCATCGCCCGTTACGGTGGTATCTTTCGCGGTCTCAAGGTCAAGCGCGCCCAGGAGCTCGGCATGCTCGGCGTGATTCTATACACCGACCCGGGCGATGACGGGGACAATACTGAGGAGAACGGCCATGCGGTTTACCCTGATGGCCCCGCTCGTCAGCCTAGCAGTGTGCAGCGAGGGAGCACGCAGTTCCTCAGCTTTTTGCCGGGCGATCCGTAAGGCTGTCTCATATATATATATATATATATCTCCCGGCCTTGGTCATGGCTTTCTCGCTAACATTTCCAGGACCACCCCCGGCTACCCCTCCAAACCCGGCGTCCCCCGCGAGCCCGTCGACGCGGCCATCCCCAGCATCCCGTCCGTCCCCATCTCCTACCAAGACGCCCTGCCCATCCTGAAGGCGCTCAACGGTCACGGCCCCAAGGCCGAGGAATTTGGCAAGTACTGGACCCGCAACGCCGGGCTCGGGTACAAGGGCGTGCACTACAACATCGGCCCTACCCCGGACGACGTGGTCGTGAACCTGTACAATGAGCAGGAGTATGTGACCACGCCGCTGTGGAACGTCATTGGCGTCATTAACGGGACGATTGCCGATGAGGTTGTCAGTAAGTAGCCACCACCCATCTTGTGTACACATGAGGAAGCCTCTGTATTGACCGTGTCGTTCTAGTCGTCGGCAACCACCGTGATGCCTGGGTGGCTGGCGGGGCTGGGGACCCCAACAGCGGCTCTGCCGTGCTGAACGAGATTATTCGCTCCTTCGGCGAGGCCCTCAAACAGGGTTGGAAGCCTCTCCGCACCATCGTCTTTGGTAGCTGGGACGGCGAAGAGTACGGCCTCGTTGGGTCGACTGAGTGGGTGGAAGAGTACTTGCCGTGGCTTGATAATGCCAACGTTGCTTACGTTGTATGTGCTCCTTTTTTTTCTTTCTGCCTCTATTAGTACATTATGACTGACGTCGAGTAGAACACCGACGTCGCAGTCCGAGGCACTTTCCTCAGGACCTCAGCAGCCCCCCTCCTCCACAACGTCATCCACGCCGCAACAGCCAAGGTCCTATCCCCCAACCAGACCGTCCCCGGCCAAACAGTCCACGACCTATGGGACAAAAAGATCCGAACCATGGGCAGCGGCAGCGACTTCACCGCCTTCCAAGATTTCGCCGGCGTCCCGTCGCTCGATCTTGGCTTCACCACCGATTGGGACTCTCCCGTCTACCACTACCACAGCAATTACGACAGCTTCTACTGGATGGAGAACTTCGGCGACCCGGGCTTCACCTACCACCGCGCGGCCGCCCAGGTCCTCGGCCTGATCACCGCTCAGCTAGCCGACCTGCCGGTGATCTCCTTCCGCGCCGCCGACTACGCCCACGCCCTGGACAGTTACGTGAAGCAGGTCGAGCACCAGCTGGAACGCGCCCTCTCACCGTCAGTAGACATCGACGCCTTCACCCTGCTCGATGACGACGCCTACTTCGAAATCCGCGGCTGCACCCGCAACTCCTCTACCTCCTCCGCCAAAACCACCACCATTTCCAAGACAGCCACCGCGGAAAGCTTCAAAACCTCCCTCGCCCGACTTCACAAATCCGTCGAGAAACTAACCAAACACGCCGTGCGCCTCGACCAGCGCGCCGATGATCTTTACCAAAAACTCACCGAGGGCATCCCCTGGTGGAAGTGGCCGGCCAAACTGAAGCTGGGGTTTGAGCTCCGCAAGGTGAATACTAAATACAAGTATTTTGAGCGCAGTTTCTTGTTTGAGTGGGGGTTGGATGAGCGGTCGTGGTTTAAGCACGTTGTTTTTGCGCCGGGACGGTGGACGGGGTATGCTGGTGGTGAGTTCCCCTTTTTTCTTTTTATTCTTGAATCTCCCTTTTTGAGCGCGCCGGGTTGGGTTTGAACTGTGGAAAATGCTGACTGGGATATTTTAGCTGTCTTCCCTGGGTTGGTGGAGAGTATTGAGGATGAGGACTGGACGAATGCGGAGAGGTGGGTGGATATTATTGAGAGTCGGTTGAAGAATGCTGCTCATCGGCTGTGAGAGCTGGGGAGTTTGTTTTGGATGCATTTGGACGCATTATCCATTTCGGATCTAGTTTGGAGAATACTTGTGTTGTTTAATATGGTAGTATGATATGATCTGGGTCATGTAACAACTAAATAGATTGTTGCGGGATCAAGGTTGGATAATTACAATTGAACGGTTCATGCACCGGCTGTGCGGCGGCTGTTTTATAATTGTACCGCTTATCTACACTGAGTATTCACTCCGAATTCCCTAGCAGCAGCAGCTGCTGCTGTCCCAAATCCAGCTTTCCCCCCTGGCCATCCAGTTCCGGTTGTCCATGTCCATTCAACGACAGACTCGACGGCACAAAATTACTGTTGGTGCCTGCCGACTGGGGGATCAATGGTGACTCAGGACCCCATATTGTTGTTGACTGTGTGGATTGTGGTTGGTGGTGTTGCAGCTCTTGGGGATATTGTTGAAAGGGTTGCTGTTGGTGTTGGTGTTGGTGTTGAGGGAACTGCTGCTGCCTCTGCTGTTGGGCTAGCGCATAGAATCCCTGCTGAGGCACCACGGCGTCGCCGTCCAACTGTGGGATGGGATAGTAGAGGTATGGTTGCTGTTGTTGAGGATGGGGATGGGGGTATGGTTGCGGTTTTTGGAAGTAAGCTGCCATGGGCTGCCGGGGAAAGGGCCGCTGGAGATAGGACAGCTGGGGATAGGACAGCTGGGGATAGGACAGCTGGGGATGGGACAGTTGGGGATAGGACTGCGCGTATGGGTAGCCATAGGGTGCCTCGGGCTTTTGGTTGGCATCGGCCATGTGTTTGGGCAAGAGACGTGCGACGGGGGTGCACTGGAAGCCGGCTGCGCGGTGGCGTTGCACGTAGACACGGTGGACCGCGAGGGAGATGATGTAAAGGGCGCTGGACAGAGACCACTGTCAGTCAAGTTTTATCTTGTCTCTCTTCTTCAAAGCGAAAAAGACAAGATAGAGAGAGAGAGAGAGAGAGAGAGAGAGAGACGTACAATTCTGTAGCACTCAGCCCTGCCGCGGCCTGCTGCGTCTGCTTCCAGAAGAATGTGTCCGCCGTCAGGTGGGCCGAGCACGTGAACGTGGACGTACAGTAGTAGCCCGCCGGCCCGACGCGGGCGACGAGCAAGCTAGAGGCGATGAACCATAGGGCCACATAGATGATGTCAAGCCCCATAATGACCCAGTAGTTGTAGGCGAGCGGCATGTCGGTCTCAGCGACGAAGTGGTAGATGGAGGTGAGCATCGTCATGATACCCTAGCTTGTGGTGTAAACTCTCATGTTCTCATGTTTCGCCAATAGGGAGAAAGGTTGGTCAGAACTTACCACAGATAAGACGAAGCAGCTGCCGTCCATGGGGATGCTGGAGATGCCTGAACCAATAATTAGCGGACATGTTTTGTCTCCTTAGTCCCCAATAACAACAACAGAACACCTACCATACGCCGCCAAGCCTATGATGGTGAGCGCCACGACGAGCTGCGCGACCCGAATGGCAATAAAACCCTTGGGGTAAACGGGAATGTGCTCCCGGCCGGGAGTTGGGCACCGAGCATTCTTGGTATACATTGTGGTGTACATTGTGGCTCGTTGATTACGCTTCGAAAATTAAGAAAAGCATGTATGGGTATATGGAGAAAAGAGCAAGTGAGAGGAACAAAAACAACAAAAACAACAAACGGTCACAGCAACAGCATGTCCCACGCTTTGCCCCGGGAAAACAACAAGGTGAAGAGGCCAGAGAGAAGGATAAACGGCTGTGCTCGCTGGAGTTACTCGAATAAATGCACAATTCCAAGCTTACCTTATGCCTCGGCCTATACCTCAGCCTCCCCCAGACACTTGTGCTCTTCAACTCAATTGGGCATGACGTGTTAGTATGTATCTTCCCGGCGTACACGGCTGGCATCAGGAGGGGTACTCTCATAGATGGGGGACATAACTGGTCAAAATACCCAGGGGTCGATCGCTCCACGAACCACTATGTACACGAAGGACACTACAAATCCCAATGTCTCATGTAATGCATATAAAAATAACCCGCGCCTACTGACGATGGAAGTAACGGTAACGTTCTGCGATTCCCATCACATTCAGGCTCGCGCATCTGCACCGCTAACATCCGACAGAACTAGACAAGATCCACAATACGCGTCAGACTTCCTACCGGGTGTATGCAGCTGCAAACCCTCCCGCCCCCAAGGTTGACTGAGGTGACAAGGATACATAGCTAGGAGTGTGGTGTGTACTACGGTATGTATATGGACGCTTTTCAGCTCAGTTTCGTGCCCCCAAGTTGTGATTCGTCCAAATCGTCCCCCCTGTGTTGCCCGCTCTCTGTTAACGTTATTGAGTCTCCGAGTGTTTGCACTGCCCTACACTACTGCCTTGCCTTGCCTTGCTCGCCTGCCTATCCCATAAACAATACGTACGTACACATTAAAATTCCTGACTTCACTCATCATTCGGCGCCTGATTACGCGTACGTTCATATCGTAGGATCCCGCGGCAAACCCCTTGCTCATTGGTTACCCCCTGACTGTTTCTGCCGGTTGCGACCCCAGCCGAGGTGTATTCGTACGCTATCACTGTCTGTGCCGTACACAGACCTACTATGCAAGTTATCACCATGTAGTGCGGCTGAACGTGGAACATCTCTGCGTGGGGGGGTGATGAACCGAGCCGAGGCATACACAGTACCGCAGAGTTAATCCCAGAGTTAATCCCGGGGTTCGTCCTCAATGGGTCGGAGTTGAAGCGGGCCGCTGAAGCCGCTGCATCTCGAGGGGACGAGGCTCAACTCATGTAATTCGACCCCAAATACTCACATCGTAGGCAGTCAACAAACAACCCAGATAACATCTCACAAAGTGGAACAATATTAGCCAAACAAGACAACCAAGTAAAACACAATAGCTTATTTTCATCTACACCCACCCACCCATCAGTCAAATAAATACAGACCAAACCCAAAACATCCCCCATCCTCCTAATCTGTACCTCTCTTTCCCACAAACACCACCATTTCCTTGTATATACAGCCTACCCGTCCCAAGTGCTTCAGATCGTGCAAACGTAATATAAACTCGACTATGGAAGATGCCTGTCGATAAGGCATGAAGAGAAAAGGTGTCGAGTCGAGAAAATGAGAAGGTCGAAAACATGAAGGAAGATAGGCAAAGCACAACTGACTCAACACCACAAACGAAAGATCCACGTCAAAATTAATCAGATAAAGAATCGAATCAAAAATCGAAGCGAAGTAAAAAGCGAAGAGAAAAGCAGAAACCAGCGGCCATGATGGGTATCAGAGCAAAGCCCAAGAATGCGAAAAAAGAGGAAACATGAACCACTTGTATCTTTCTCTCTCACTTCTCCAAGTCCCCCTATGCAGTCCAAAATCCCCTATGCTGCTCGCGCCCCCCGAAAACACCAAAATCAACTCCCCAAAGACTCCTGTAACCCCCAAATCAACCCTCCAAGTTCCCGTTAAAGGATAAAGGATCTCAACCATCCAACACCAACTGATCAACCCTCTGCACCAACTCCTTCGTCTCCCTGGCAATCTCAAACGCAATCGGCGGCAACGTCTGCGTCCACATCCGCCACTCCCTATCATCCCCGCTACCAGCCGTCGCAGCAATATCCACGCCTCTGTGCCCAGCCTCCATCAACCGCTCCCGACACGTCTCCAACCGCTGCACCATGGCGGCCCCACTACCGCCGGGGGCCGCGGCTTTCGTCTCGTCGGCGACTTGCCCGACTACTTCGGTGATGACGTTGATTTCCTCGGTCACGCGGCCGATGGCTGGGTCGTCGCGGACGAGTTGGACGAGGGCTTGGATGGTTTGCACGAGTACGGCGGTTTGGTCTTCGAGGTAAAGTTTGAGGTCTTCTGTGCGTCGGTTGTTGTTGGCATAAGGGTTGCCGCCGCCGTTGAGGTTGCCATTGGGGGCGATGGGTAGGGCTTTATCCAACCCTCCATACCCGCCATTGCCTTCCGCGATCGGCCCGTTGCGGGCCAGCGCGCCCTTGGCGAATGACTCGCGCGGGGAGCTGACGGGGCTGTAGGACGAGGAATCGACGCTCACATGGCTCCGGGGACCTAGCCCCTGAAACGGCGGGGGTGGTGGGAGCGCCTCCTGGATAGACGCGATGCTGGAGATCTGGCTCTGGCCGTTGCTCTGCGGGGAGAAGAAGCCCGAGGAATCGACGGGGGTTATCGTGCCCTCGTCCTCTTCTTCCAGTTCGTCCTCTGGCGTAGTGCGGATCTTGGCAGCGCGCAGCAGCTCGACCACCGCAGCAACCAAGTGGGAAGCCGCAGCGTCGAGAACAGACACCGGGGAGATGCCCGCGGAGCTCGCAAAGTTCTTGGACGCCGTGATCAGCGCGTTGGCAGTCGACGAGACCCGCGACTTGGGTTTCTGGAACTGCACAGCGGTCTCGCCGTTCTGCCCTTGCCCAGCCCCGTCGAGGTCCTTGGTGATCCGCCGGACGCTGACGACAACCGACTTCATGGCGTCCGTCACGCGGTCCGGGTGGTCGTCGCGGGCCCGCCGGAGAAGCTCGTCGATGGCCAGCTGGAACTTGGTGACGTGGATGTCCTTAACCAACCCGTTGTCCTCCACGAAGCCCTTCTCGCGCAGCGGCTTCGATGCGTCCTGGTCGATGGTGAGCCCGGCCGAAGAGCCGCGCATGTCGCGCAACTGCGTCTTTGCCCGCGCGTATCGGTTCTGCCACTCCCGCACATCATGCTCGAGCGACTCGATCGTCTTCTCCATCTGCGAGTGCTTCTCCCACGTTGCGCCGCTTTGCTGTGAAATCGACTTCATCTCCCGCAAAAACTCCTGCGCCTCTCGCCGTACTTCCTCCGTCACCTGTTCCTGCTCTTCCAACGCCGTGCGTAGCGCCTTGTTCTCTCGCTCCAGCTCGGGATCCGCATTGCCCAGACCGTTGCTTTGGACCTGCTCAATCTCATTCCTGAGCTCTCTCGTTTCGTTAAGGTGTTCTCCCCGGACCCTTTCAATTTCCCGTTGTAAGGAGTCGTTCAATTCTTGGGCTTCAGCCAGCTTGTTTTCAAGACTCGCGCGCGCGTCCTCCCACTCTTCCTTTGCTGATTCCGCCGCCGCGGCCCGAGACCGTTCGTCCTCCAGCTCCTCTTCCTTCTTTTTCAAGCTCTCCTCTGTGGACGCCAGCTTCTCCTGCAGATCCTTGACCTGCACCTCATACTCTTCAATGGCCCGCTTATCGGACTACGTAGTTTAGAGTCAGCAAAGCCCATCTTGCGGAGCATCATTACTCCTAGGGAAAAGAAAAGAAGGAAACCTACCTCTGATGGCCCAACCCGCTCATCTAAACTCCTCTGCATACCATACCCGCCGTTAGGATCCGGACTCGTGGGGCTGATAGCATCGTCATCCTCCTCCACCATCGTACTCTTGTTTGGCACAATGGTGTTGCTCTGGAACTGTTTCGGCATTGGGCGCCCGTACTCGCCATTCGCAAGACTTGGGGACGGCGGCATGGGGAACCCTTGCATCGGGCCGGGGGGCAGCCCGCGCCCGCTCCGGACAGAGCTCGCCTCGGAAGGACGCCTGCGGCTCTGGCCCCGTGGAGGGTACCCGTTCATCCCGTTCACCGGAGTCCCCGATCGACTTGGTGGCCCTCCGCGAGCCGACATCGGGCTACCGACGCGTGGGACGTCATTGCCCATAAAGCGCGGAAACCTCCGCTCTAACTCGCAGAAAATATCCATCGCCAGATCCCGAAACCGCGCGGACCCGAGCGATGAGAGCTTTTGGCGGGCCTGGTTCCGTTTGGGGTGGAAAGTGTTCTCAGGCAACAGGTACGCTGGGGCCCCAACGCCGGGCGGAGCATTTGGGGGTCGCCGGCTGGCGGCTTCGCGCCGCCTCAGTTCGTCGTAAACATCGGTGCTGAGCTCGAGAAACTGGACGCTCGTGAGGCGTTGGAGCTTGTCGCGGGCCTTGTTCGGCTGCGGTCGCGGATTGCCGTCGCGCGAGGTGGCGGAGAGAAAGCGCTTGAGAGAGACATAGTGCTCCGACAGCACAAACTCTGCGTTCTCCGACTGGCTCTGGCTCTGGCTCCGGCCACTTTCGCTCCGCGCATAGATGTTGGTGCCGGCGCTGGATCGGCCGACGGAGGGTGGTGGCGAGGGGCCGCCGACGCTCCGCGGCCCCGGTGGGAAATTGTTGTTCATCGGCGTCACTGGGCCGGCGGAGTCGGGTGGTGTGTTGAGTTGACCTTGATTATTATTATTATTCGGGTATTGGGGCCTGCTATCGGCCGCGGGATAAGACCATTCGCTAGCTCCTACTGAAATGGGGGACGAAGGAGTATCGGGTCCATTCATGGTCTTTCGTGTGGCTTGTCGGGGAACGCTGGGCGTCTCAACCAGGCGCTAGGCGCACCGCTGCGTAACGCCAAAAGTTGGAGAAATTAGCGTCGCTTAGGCGCCGTCAGAAACGCGCGCGCAGCGAGAATGCGAAATGCGAAGTGCGAGTCGCAAAGACACCGCACGTTACGTCGTTAAGGGCGGAGAGAGAAACGCAGACGCAGTCGTCGAATGCCTGTCACAGCATGAAACGCCTTCTAGTCTGGCCAACCAAGGGTCGCCAGGAGTGGCCGGTATGCACTTGTGCAAAAGGAGGCTCAAGTGGCGCGGGCCTGACCAGTCGGAAACAGCCAGGGAGCGAGAATGAGAGGGAGAGAAAAAGAATAAGATCCAAGTAACAGTAAAACTAATAACAAAGAACGCTCCGAGTTGGCAGTATGCAACACTGTTGGAGAGCGGTCCGATGTGAGGCGGCCTGGCCTATTCGTGGCACTTGTCTTGTGTCGTGGATTCGTGGCCCGGGGTGTCCCAGGTTGGCTGTCGTCAAAAGGCCGTTTCTTTCTCGTCGTCTGATCTCGTTCTTCTTGGATTGTGTTATCGTCTCGACCTAGGCTCGGCTTGGGTGCCACGAAGCTGCAAAGGAGTGGCGGGAAGAGAAAAGAATGGAGACTTGGAAAGCGAGCACGAGTCAAGCAGAGAAAAGGAAGCAAGCAAGCATCGGTCACAGAATTGAGAGCAGCAAGAAAAGAAGGAAGAGTTGAGAAGAGAAAAAAGAGGAGGATCGTCAGCGGAAAGCGCAGGCAAACGGCTCCGCGTCCTTTTGGGCCTGCGCGTAGAATTACAGATTACCAAGTGGATGGGGCTCTAAGGGTGCGGGTCGTGGGAATCACTGGGAATCACCGAGACGTGGGATTTGGGGGCCTCCCGCCAGCAGGAAAAATCACAAAAGGGCAATTCATCGACCAAGAGCCGCCCCCTGATGTGAGACCCCAGCGATTGGTGTGTGCTGCGCGCGCTGCTGGGGAAGGAGCCGGGGGTGCAATTTCCCTGGTCCAGTTAGTCGCGCGCGACGGCAACGGTTCGGTGAAAGAGAGAGGGCGGCAAGAAGGTGCGAAGCGGGGATTTGTGGCCGATCGGCCCTGCAAGTCGACGTGGGAATTTCGATGCTGGCCGCCGATGTTCCCTCCGGGTTGTTCTCCCTCGGACCCTCACACCGGGTTGAGAAGTTGGGCGCATGTCAAGCTGAGTCCGCTGGTCTAGACTTTTCGTCCAAAGGTGATCGATTCCTCTTCGTCTAACTATGGCCAAAGCCGAGAGTTACACCACTTCCCGAGAACGACGAGGCATCTCTCATCAAAGTCATCAAGGTGCTTCGTAACTACTTCGTTAACCTTTCTTTGTTGGACCTTTGTTTCCCGCAGCCCTCTTTGTATGCGAAATTGCTTCTTCCCGCCATGAGCGTTTGAGAGACGGACAGCGTAATCTCACCAACGCCCGCCCGTTGCTTCATTACCGCAGTCCTCGGCGGCGATACACTACCCTTGCAACAAGCCCATGTTCACGTTTCGGGAACCCCACGTGCGACGCCCAGTGTCCCCGTCTACCCGAAGAAATTGTGCATTCGGATCTGCCCGCCGTCAAACACAGAACCAGAAAAAAAAGAAGTGTCAAGAGCAACAACTTGCTGCATTGACTCCCGGGCCTCTCCGCATTCTCACCCCCAGACTTGGACGTTTGATACCCCGGGTAAAATCGAAAAGCTCCCATGTCCTCGTCTTGGTTGGAGGCAACGAAGGGAGCTCTCGAAGCCGAGTCAGCTGTTTGTTTCGTTGCGAGTCAAGAAGGCAAACGCCGTCAAGTTTGAAAAGAAAAAAAAGAGTTGTCCGTGCCCGGAAATCGACGCTGGCACATCCCTGCGAGATCTCATTTCTCACGTCATTCGGGTTTGTTGCTCAAACCAAGCGAGTTGAAGCGTCTTCAGTCCTTGCAAACAGGGTCTCGGAGCTCCCGGAAATGTCGACTATGCAATTCAATGCCAAGCATCAAGCCCCGGAAATCAATTTGCAAAGTGTGGTTTCTAACATGGTGTTCAGAGAGTCCCCTTTTATTATCATAAGTAGTGTACTGTGTAGTGGTAACATTAGTGACCGGTAACATTCGTGGCCTGGTGCCTGGTATCTCCGCAGCCTAATAATTCCAACGCCTTACTGTGTAGAAGCCCATATCCCTTATGTGTCTCCCAAATCCCCGAAACGCCTCAATGCAAGAGAAAGAGACACGCAAAAAGCAAACAACAACATGATGAGAACCTCTTAAAACCAGGACAGTGTCCACGTAGCGGGCAAGTTTGGCCACCTTTCTTGCCACTCGCCCAGCACCTCGGGCACGCGTTCATCAAAGCTCGCGCGGCTACCAGCGCCTCCAGCGTCAAACACAGCCGATCCCACCCTCTCGCGCTCTTCCATCGCGGCTCTATTGAGAGAGTCCGCTAGGTCGACAATCGCGCTGCCACCAACCGAAGCGTCCTGGTGGTTGTCCTTGATATCAATATTGATCACATGGACCGACCGATTGAGCGGGGAGCCACGGTTGAGGAGGTCATCCACCACGGCGTCCCAACACCGTTCCTCGCAGGTGATGACGATGTCCGGCACGCCGCCCTCCAAGCCGACCCTGCCTTGATCTGTTTCGTTCTTGACCCTCGGTAGCCCAACCTGCCAGTCCTGCCACCGCTCCGGGCCCCATTTGATGTCGCGGTTCCGGCCAAGCATATTCAGCAGGCCGTTCGCCCGGTACAGGCGGGGATCTTTGGCGTCCAGCTCGCGGTATATGCTGTCGTAGGAGGTCTCGTTGAACTTGTAGACGTTGGGTTGGGTGATCGTTGGTCCCGGTAGACGAACGAGGGACCCTGTACCGAATGATATCACCGGGTAGTGGGCTTGGGCGAGGCGGAGATGTCCCTCCATGGAGCTAGGTGTAATTGTTAGGTCCGTCTTGCTCAGGTACCAAGTTGGATGTGACTTACCGGTTCTGGTTGCTGGCGCATACTGTGCAGAACCTCAACTTGAAGTTTGAGTCGTCCTCCCGCTGGCCGTTCTGGGTCGTGGACGCGGACCCCGCGTCTCCATTGGCGGTGTCCATCACGGTGAGAGGTGCGCAAGGCGCCTACTCAACGCAACCTTGCAAGGGTTGCTCTATTGCCACAGTTAGCCAGTTGCAACTATTATATGGCAGCCATGAACGGTTCCCCAACTCCTTTGCTATCAGATAAAAAGCGTAATAAAAAATGTGTCATCAAACGCCTGCAAAAGCAGGTCTACAGACAGCTCCAATAAATGATCATCACATGCAAACAAGATCAAAATGCATTGCTCCTTCAGCTTCTTACCTTTGAGAAAGCTACCGAATCGCGATTGGGCTCTCATCGACGTCGCGAACACGTGTGGAGCGCCAGTGCAAAATTTTGACGAGGCTAGCGGAGGGTTTGAGTTTGGAGGTCGAAAGAAGCTTGCCCGTGCCCCTGCCAAAGACCCCGTTCGCTGAACGGTTACTGGTTAAAGCTGTCGCGCCCGGCTCAGCTGCACGCCGCCAATCAGAACACAAGATCGGAGATTCCGTGAAGCGAGTGTGGGGTTCCGAGAAGAGGGTTGTCGATGCAGAGAAAAACGACGGCCAACCAGCGAGCTTGCTGAGGCCGAAGGGATGAAAAAAAAGGGTTACTTGGTGGACTTGCCTTGTGCGCGTCCGCGTGCAAATTCTCAACTCAAGGCAAATGCAAACTGATGAGCCACTGAGTCGGGGACTCCTCACTCTAACAAATGGCTTCGACTTGTGGCCGGGTTCGGATAACTACGACTTGCACGGCGGTTGGCACAACGCGTCCTGTATGCCCTGGGCAGCTTGAATAGTTGAAGCTCACGAGTATTCGGCTGCCCCTTCTAAACTAATGTTAAGAACCTCGTTGATGAGACGTAAAGGAGAAGGTCACGTGCCACCTGCGAAGTCCTCGCCCTCAGATCACGGGACTCTTCGCAAAGTGCCAATGCACGCCATTTGCCCCACTGAGGGCAAGTGTTTCAGGTTCAACCCCTGGATGCATGCTAATATTCAGCTGCGCCTCAATATCGAATCCCTCTATCAATGAGCCAAACTTTGAACAAGTCGAGTGTGGCAAGCAAGGCTCCATGTCTCAGTGTCTTGCATGTTTGAGAACACAGGAATCGTCTCTCATCGACTTGAAGAGTTCTCTGAGACTTCGGTGCGATCTTGATGAGGTTTGCCTCAGGGCTCTGCATCGCTATGTTGTACGCATTGTGGAGGTTGAAGGTTTGCAGTCCGTTTTCTAAAAATAGGCGTTCGGTAACTTGTCATTGGTGGTGTTGATGTTGTTGGTTGGTGACGGACAGCAGTTCACCCCTCTTCTCGAGCCTCGGCCTTCCCTTCGTCAAATACAATGATGTGGGCAATTCGGTCGCCTGGAATTTTCCAGAGAACGAAAATCAACTTTTGTTTAGGAATATCTCGTCTAGCGGGTCCAAATTGCGTTATAACCTTCCCGCTGAGAGCCTCACAGACTTCCCGACGCCTGGGCATCAGGATTCAAGGAAGGGCGGTATGGAACTATGCGGCCTACGCCATCCCTTGTGCTTTTCTGGTCACACAGCATCTAGGTCCCACGGGAAGGCGCGGGAACCGCATGAGAGAGGAAGCGGTCGAGTGCTTTGGTCTTTGCCATATTTTGACATTCTGCAAGTGTCCCCGCAGCTCAGACCGGCCTCCTGGTCATCAGCACTTGTGAACTATGTTTGGGCCGTGAGTTCTGGATTCCATACGGGTTCTGAGACGATCTGGTGGAAGAGAGTTGGCCACCCAAAATCCTCAGGGCCAGAACCAGGGCTTGTCCACAGATTCGGCGGTTGCTGGGCGGGGGCTTGCCGTTTTGCTCAGCGCGCTTACAGAGGTGGAAGGTCCGACCTCTGCGGGCCAGCCGCTGCTCGCTGCCCACAGTACTAACGTTGCCCTACGGAGCGCCCGCCTTCCATTTGCTGTGCTGTGCTTCTCCACCTCGCAAGAGCCTCTCGGGCAGTTTTTCGATCTGCCATCGAACTTTCGTCAACTTCCCTTCCTTCACCTAAACCTCCCCTTCCCACCCACACAGTAATTTTTCTCGTCGCTCCTGGTGCCCGGATGCACTGGACCGCGTGCGCGATCTGCCGCTTCCCAAACGCCCAGCACCCGTTCTAATAATACAAAAACCCGACTGCAAGGCGCCGTTCGATCCTGGGACGACAAATGTGGAGAGCCTTCCCTTTTCCATCCTGCCATCGTTCCTTTCCCGTCCTGGCCTAGCATTGTCTGAGCGCAAAATCGGGCAGTCGGACGAAACACTCCTCCACGTTTCCTGGCGGCGCTGAGCGACCAGCCCCAGGTTTCCCGCCTGTCAAACACTCTCCCGTCCCTCCGCAGCGGGTCGGCTTTTGATACAGACACCATACAAATTACGGAGCCCCGAATACGGCAGCAAACCGCTGAGGACAAGTGCTTTCGACAGGCACACACGACAAGAGCTCGCTGGAGTTTTTCATTTCGGAGACTCCCTGTCTCGGCCGCCGACGAGCACCGGGGTAGCAGGTGGCGGTGGTCAGGGACCCCTTCGAGGCGCTGTTGCTAGGGGGTGGTTCCCGCCAAAGAACGCCCTACGGACTTCCCGAGAGCGAACAACCTGGGCAGCCTAGTGCCAGCGCGAGGCGCAAACCCCACACTCGCAATTCCAGAATCCCATTGTGATTCTTCCGCGCCGTCTTCCTTCCCTTCCGCCTTACTCTGAACCATGACGGCGGTCGTGTCGCCCGGCTCGTCTCCTGCGACCTCGCCGCCCGCCATCTCATCTCCAGCACCCAACTCGGCGCATCCCGCTCTTCCTCCGCTGATCACCTCGCCACCAGCTCGCAGGAGCAATCTTTCGCGCCCGATGTCGCACGTCTCTAAAAACCGCTTGTCGCAGTACTCGACGGCGAGCTCCATCCCTACTAGATCGCGCCCGGCATCACACGTCTTCCCTATCTACCCGTCAAGCCTACCTTACACACTCGTGCGAGACTTTGCCTACGCGGCGTCACATCCTTTGCATTATGGGCCCCCACCGGAAGCCTCGCGTCCGCCATCGGGCATGTTTGCTCTAGGCAGCGAGCAGCACGGACTGACCGATATACCAGCGTGGGACACTGGGACAAACTGGGACGCCCACTCGTGGGCCCCCAGCGGGTTTTCTAACCGACCGGCCGACCTGCCCGCGATTCAATTTGGCGACGGCCCACCCTGGAGCGAGGACGAAGACCTCCAGAGCCCCGTCGTCAGCTCGAGACACAGGAAGCACAAAAGCTCGGGAGGCGGCTCGTACACGAAGAGTCGGGCGAGCCGTGACGCCCAAGCCGTCCCGCAGACTTTCGATGGAGACAGAGGTTACTATGTTGGCACCAGCAACGATGGCGGCGAGCGGTACTATGTAAATCAGGGCACCGAGGCCAACGGGCCAGGCGGGGAGTATGTCACGTACCCACCGGACCAAGCGCGCCATGGGAATAGCGCATACCAGTTAGCTAGCCAGCAACCACGCCAATTCAACGAAGCTGCTGATTTCGGCTCGGACGATTCCAGCGCGTGCTCCTCACCAGGCTACCGCAACACGGATGAGTCACGGTACTCGCGGGACTACCAATTCATGATCACCTCGCCCGACGAAGAAATGCACGGGAAGGCCGTGGCACTCTTTGATTTCGAACGGGAAAACGAGAGCGAGTTGCCGCTGGTGGAGGGCCAGATTATCTGGGTGTCGTATCGGTATGGTCAAGGTTGGTTGGTGGCGGAGGACCCCAAGACTCAAGAGAGCGGGCTTGTCCCTGAGGAATATGTCCGTCTCCTGCGCGATATCGAAGGCGGCTTGACGAGTTTAGCCGGCAACTTGAACATGGGCGAAGTCAGCCCGTCCAGTCCCAGCAACGACGTGGGCACGCCCACTCAAGCGGAACATTCAGTTCCTGCGCAGCTGCCCCCCCACTCGCCTGCCGTAACTACAGCGAGCGGGTCATCAGCCGCGACGAACAACACGGCGTCGACTGCCAACACCGCAACCAATGGCTACCACCAGCCGGTTGTCTCTACCTTTTCGACGTCCAGCAAGGATCTCGATCCTTATCCACAACACCTCCTAGGCACCCAAGCCGGCCAACCACCACCACAGGTAGTCCACTATCATGGCCAGCGCGGTGGGAGCCAAGCCAACACCCCTACGTTGGCTATCCACCAAGGCTTTGGATCGAGGCGGGCCAGCCAGGACACTTTGTCTACGACTGGCGTGAAGAAGGGAGAGGGGTCACTTAGCGGTCTAGAAACGCTACCCGATGCGAAGTTGGAGAGGCCTGCGTCTGGGAGTGGGATTCCAAAGAAGAGGGAGTCGAGGTGACGACAGTCTGTGAGGTAGAAAAGGGGTTGAGAATTTCAAGGGATTGATGATTGATGCGGTGGAAGAGAAGGTAAAGACACGAAATACAAGAACACGGGTGGACGTGGCATTTCTGGGCGGAGTCTACGTACCGTTGGGGAGGTACACGGGTTGGGGGACCGGCTGACTCTGGATTTGGAAGAGGTGATTGATATCTAAATGTACCAATATTGAGACAGGGCCAGGCGATGACGAATGTCGACGCGTGCTGGTTCCTGGAAGTGGCCTGATGTTTTATGATGATGATGATGGGGGGAATATATCTCAGCGTTGGCTTGCTCTCCTGATAATTAGATATGCACAACGTGACATATTTCATAGGTGTGAGCGATGCACCGCTGGGATGTGGTACTCGATGCTGCTGACTCTGTCGTGACAGCTATGTTGTTGGGGTACGACGCGACGGAATCTGGGTGTTATCTCAGCTGAGGCTGGCTATGGCCGGACAGGATGGAGGTGTTTACAGGTCTCCCAGATTATTCTCACTTTTTCGGGTCGGTTAGTTGCTTGGTCGGCTTCGTCCTTGTCTCGGCGAATCATCTCCACCTAAGACGTTACCAGACTTCACTTCCGGGTCAAACCGAACAGCGGACTCCGGTGCAACTCCCATGATCCACGACCATTGAGAACAGACCGGATCCAATCTTCAAGATGCTGCTCAACGAGCAAGTTTCCGTGATAATCCCAACCCAAACAATCTATAAACGGCCTAGGTCCTTAAGCACATTCCCTTGGCCCCTCAAGCACCCCGCGTTAATATCGAGATACACCTCAGTGGTTAACACCGAGAATCTCGATTCCCCAGAGAACTGCCCTGGACCCCGCTATGTAAGGACATTCAGTTTCAGCGGGCTGAATGACGTAAACCGCCCGAACCTCCCGGTTGGTCAACCCACCCCCCCCACCAAAAAACAGCTCCCCGCCCCACCTCCTTACTGTACCTGTCCCCATCCTGTTACTGTTACACCCACTGCACTGTAGCAGCGGGAACAGCGGGCGGGAGCTCGGCTGCCCTGGCTGGGTCGGTCGGGTGTTTTCAAGGTATCCATTGGGGTGGAAGTGCCTTCCTCCGAATCCGACTCCGAGGAAATCGCACCATCGCATCTCCCTTCTCTCCCGTTCTGCCGGCGTTCGGTTACTTTTTTGTTGTTACCATTTCCTGGTTTTCTTTCTTTCGTGGCTAACGAGAGAGAAAGGACTCGGATCGGGTTAGAACACATACACATAAACATACACCTGGCACAGCGTTTTTCACGTCGGCATCATGAGTTTGTTTGTGGCTAGCCGGACTGCGTTCCGGGCTGCCGCGCCGTTGAAGCGGGTAGGTTTCCGTCTTTTTGCGTTTCTTTTTTAGTTTCCTGGGGTTTATATATGGGGGCCCGGTGTTTACATCGCAATCGGCTACCCCTCTTACTCCAATCGGGGTTTACTTCGTGTTAAAAGATATAATACAATTGCTGACAAACTCTCACAGCAGTTCCCAGTCCGCCGTTATGCGACCGAGCCCACCTCGGCCGACCCCAAGCCAGGCGCCCCCAGCGGTGGCAGCGGTGGTGGTAGCAACAACACGCTCGTCTACACCGCGATTGCGGCCGTGTTCGCCGGCGCAGGCTACTACTTCCTCGGCGGCACCAACATCGACAAGCCCGCGGCCGCCGCCAAGAAGGCCGAGGAGAAGGTCAAGGAAGCCACCAGCGCAGCAGCCGAGAAGGCTGCTGCCACCGTCGGCAGCACCTCTGCGGCCGTCAAGGCGGCGCTCACAGGCGGCGACCAGGGCTGGGTCAGCCTGAAGCTGGAAGAGTCCGAAATCATTAACCACAACTCCAAGCGGCTGCGCTTCAAACTCCCCGAGGACGACATGGTATCCGGCGTGCACATCGCCAGCGCCATCCTGACCAAATTCAAGCCCGAGACCGAAGGCGCAAAGCCCGTGATCCGCCCTTACACACCGATCAACGACGAAGACGCCAAGGGCTACCTAGACCTGCTGATCAAGAAGTACCCCGACGGACCGATGAGCACGCATCTGCACGATCTCGTCCCCGGCCAGCGTCTCGACGTCAAGGGCCCGCTGCCCAAGTACCCGTGGACGGCCAACAAGCACGAACACATCGCGCTGGTGGCCGGCGGCACGGGCATCACGCCCATGTTCCAGCTGCTGCGCGCCATCTTCAACAACCCGGCCGACAAGACCAAGGTGACCCTCGTGTTCGGCAACGTCACCGAGGAGGATATCCTGCTGAAGAAGGAGTTGTCCAAGCTGGAGAACGAGAACCCGCGCCGCTTCCGCGCGTTTTATGTGCTGGACAACCCACCCAAGCAGTGGACTGGTGGCCAGGGGTTTATTACCAAGGACCTGCTCAAGACGGTGCTGCCGGAGCCGAAGGAGGAGAATATCAAGGTGTTTGTGTGTGGGCCGCCGGGGCTGATGGATGCTATTTCCGGTAACAAGAAGAGCCCTAAGGACCAGGGCGAGTTGAAGGGGGTGTTGAAGGAGTTGGGGTATACGCCCGAGCAGGTGTATAAGTTTTAGGTCACTGAGACAGAGCCATTCTGATGATCCTGCGTTTTAGCTACCAGCCAGCCAGCCAGCCTTGTGTTGAGCGAGCGAGTTAGTGGAGCTTGTAACATAGACAAGACACACAGATAGACAGAACGCAAAGCAAGCCCGTGAGCCTTGTTATATCTGCTACTGAGATAGTCCGTGGCGTGTCCTTATACCCTCCATGACATGGCTGAATATTGAGGCAGTCGAGACACAGATATCACGGCACCCCCCAAAAATTATTTATCGCCATGGAGTATATTGGGTCGGTAAGGGGAATATCACGGAGGGTATATATCGTCTATCGCAAGGATTCTTGCGGTGGCATCATGGAGGTCATCGCCATCGCCATCGCTGGGGCAAGTCCAGAGAGACATACAGATCAAGTCACGTCACGTCACGTCACGTCACGTCACATCACGGCAGAGGATCAGAAGCACATCCAGTCAGTCAGTCAGCGCGCATAACCATTTCAATTTAAACTCCTAGCATGAACCCAGACACTGTCAACAAACTCGCAAATCGCGCGCGGCCAAAAAAAAAATAAACACTAAACTCCTGCTCCCAGACATAAAATTCGTTACAAAAACCATCACCAGCTCTTTCTCGTCTCATCTCTCAACATCAGCGTCAATTTATGACGAGAGGACCTCATTTTATGATTGTTATCCCCTTTTTACATCTCGAGGCCATTCCAGGCACAGCGTCAATTTATGACGCGGGTAAGGACCGTCAATTTATGAACTTGTCGTCCTCCCCCTTTTCTTTCCTGACATTGCCCATTCTCGATGCCCACGCCGGGTCGACCGAGTCTTTTTCTTCCTGTGTAAAAGGTAAAAGCGTCATTTTATGACGAAGGGACCTCATTTTATGATTGGTATCCTCTTGTACAGAACAAAACAGTGTCCATCCCCGGGTTCATGCTTTCTCTCTCTTTCGCTACAGTTTCTTCTTCGTTCTTCATCAATCATCAATCATGATCCATCAACATGTTGGGACCGTCAGTTTATGACGTGTTCCCCGTTCATTTTCTCGTCTCTCTCATCTCTCTCAACACCATCGTAAATTTATGACGTCCCACCATTTTGGCCATGTCAAATCAATCAAGTCTGTGCAGGGCACCGTCTCCAATCAGAGTTCTTGCGGAACAAATTTGCGGAAAATACAACCTAAACATAGCAAGCCTGTTAGTCACTGGGCAAAGCCGAGAAGATGCAAAAGACAGAGAATAATAGGCAAAGGCAGTTTCAGAGAGAAGATTAACTCGACATGTTCCAGCAGCGAAGCATGACGCGCGAACCTCCCTGAGAAGAAGGAGCCACGGCAGACTCGGCTGGATTTCCGGCTAAGGATGACGATAACGAAGATCTCATCATGCGAAGGCGATGTGGTGGAAGTGCAGGGGTAGCTGAGAAAACTTACACATTGTGTGTTTGTGTTGTGTGTGTGATGTTTGTTATGTTTGTGGCTCGGAGAGCGAGGAGCGGAGGCCAGACAATCAAGCATAGAGTTAGTGGAGGACCAACCAGGCATTCATCCAGATATGTGAGATGTGATGTTTGTTAGATGCGTAGTTGCATGGATGGTTGGATGTGCTTTGGTGGTCCTCAGTCGTCATAGGAAATGCGACGACGCTGTATTGTGCTGGCGGCGACCGGCTCCTGCTCTTCCTCGCCGTAGTCTAGACTCGACAGACCGGTGTCGACGACGTCCCACGTTCGCTTGCGTAGATCGATCGGCTCTTCCCCGGCGTTGGCCTTATTCTTTTTGACCTTGCCGCGCTTCCGCTTTTTGTTTTTCTTTGTGGTGGCGGTAGCAGCAGACGGCGTCGGTGACGAGACTTCGCCTTCCTCCTCCGACTCGTGCTCGTGCGCCGCATCTTCCTGAGCCGTGTTTTTTGTAGTGTTTTTCTTGGTCTCGGAAGATTCCCGGGTGCGGCGCAGAGCTTCGAGTTCGGAGTGTCGGAAGATGGCGATTTGTTCGTCTGTCAGGGTTCGTTTGACGCCGTCGGGGTAGTAGCCGAGCCCATCATCCTCCTCTTCGTAGTATTCCCCGTCGTCGGTGATGTGAGTGTTAGTTTCTGTGACATGGTATGTGGTGTCGTGTGACGGATGGTCGGGGCGGAGGAAGTGGGCTTGGAAATTGTTTGTCGCGAGCTGGGAGAAATGTGTGTCGTGAAATGTGGTCATGTCGGCCTGGGAACGAGCGTTAGTATCTCTGCAAAAGTGAAATACGCCGCATCAAAGAGTAATCCTGCAGAGCTTACCTGACTGATTTGTGGCACGCTGAATGATGTACCAGCCATTTTGGCTGAGCGACGTGACGCGACGGGCCGGGGTTCGGTGGAGAGATGGCCGAAGTTTTGATGGGGAGTTGTATTGGCGTCGGTCACGTGCTCTAGCCAGATCCGATGGTGATGATGGATCTGAGTTGGCGTTTCCCGAAGCAGCCGTTGTGATGTTGGTTTGAGTTTTTTTTTTGTTCGGAGGTTAGGTATGATGGCTGCTTCGGGATTTCTGTTCTTGTTTGATTTGTTGGTGAAATTTGATTTTGCTGTCGTTGAAGAGAGAAAAGAAGCGCGCTTTCGCAGAGGGCGGCAGGTCGCTCACAAGTTGGTAGAAGGTGAGAAGTTGAAGGCGGTCGGCGGCTTGCAGCAAGCGGGTGATTTTGTTTGGTTGTTCTCCGCTGGGCTCGAGAGGCTTTTTTTTTTTATTTGTGATTGGAGAAGGGCGTTTTCTTGTGTAGTTTGCCCGAAGCCTTAAGCCCAGCGGTCGGCTTGAGAGTTTGCCAGGATGATGTGTGCTGCTTGTGCCGCTGCCACCGACCAGAACTTGTATAATTTGTGCAACTTGTGAGCTGACCCGCGGCGAGTGATAATAATTGCGAGACGCCCTGAGCCGAGATGTTTTGTGTGAGTGATTGTAATAACTAATGCCAGTCCAAACCACCAATTGTTTTCGTGGATGGAGGCTAGTTTTGGCTCAGGAGCGCCAGGGCACTTTGAAAAGCGCGGACAACCTCGGAGACTGAATGTGTTAGTCAACCAACTACGAGACCGGAGAAGAGAAGAGTCTTACGATGCTTCTTTTTCTGCGACAGGCTCTGTTCCGCAATTTTGACGTATCGTTCTCTGGTTTGGAGACGTTTGACCCCGCGCTCGGTGTCGTTGACCGAAGCGGCTGAGGCCCAGACATTGAAAAACTAAACAAGTTAGCGAGGTCCTTTGACAACCGTGAGATGACTAGTAACGCACCTTGACAAGATCCTCAAACTCCTTCAACAACTCCTGTTCCTGCAGATCAGCATCTGCCAACGCTTCTTCATATCGTGCCTCGAAATCCTCCCAGTCGAAGGGCGCCAGGTGGCCCGGAGTGCTAGGCGAGCGGTCGGAGCCGTCCCCTCTGTGGCCATTGATGATGCGGTCCTTGGACTGGCGTGGCTCTGGGGTTCTGACTTGGGGACGGCCGTTGTTACCGGTACCGCTGCCGTTGTTTTGGGGTTGTTGTTTTTGAGTTTGTTGTTGCTGTTGCTGGGCCTTTGGCGCGGGCGCCGGCTGGGAGGATGAAGAGGGCTGGTTTGTCATGGTGGTGTTTTTTTGATTGTTTTGATGTTTAGGGTCGGGCAGCAGTTGTCTTTTCTGGGGACTGCTGCTTGTGGTTCTTCGGACGGAGGCTAGCTGGGTAGCGGGAAGAATGGGAGACTCGGGGGACTCGGGTGTCTTGGCCGGCGATCTGGACTTGCGGCCGCGCGAGTGGGAGGAAGGTTGGGAGTGGGGAGATGCGCTAGCCATGGAGTCGATTGAAAGGTTCTTGGAGGGTTGTGTGTTTTGGTGATCTGTTGCCGCAGACAGTTTTGTTTCCGAGTCGATTGAGAGGTTTTTGTTTAGTTGCTTTTGTTTTTGCTCTGAGATTGAGTCCGATTGGGACTTGAAATTTTGTGCTTGAGAGTGAGATGCGCCTTCCGATTGAGGTTCAAGGTGAGGTGTTCCGCCAATGTGTGGACCTGATTGTGTCCGTTGTTTAAGGCAAAGACCAATTTCGCAGCACAATTGACCGCCAGAGATGTTGCTGCAGAGTCTTTAAAGAACCCAAATGGAAAACTTTTGTTATTTGTTCCCCAGAAGTGCTCTCACTCAGATTTGTTCTTGTTTGTATTTGTTTTTTGTTTAAGGCTGACCCGCCTCTACAGCCTTGAGAAAGATGCCCGAGGTTGATGCCCAAGGACGGTACCCCGCGACGGCTCTCCTTCGTTACACCGGCTGATTGGTGATTGGCGTGTGCCTTGCGACTCTGCCCGCAGTTTTAAGTTTCTGGAAGGGTGTGGTTGATGAGTTGTCAACGGTTTGGAGCAGAGCGCGGCGCGAATGAGAGCGCGTGGGGGTGACCGGCTGGAGATGGAGTCTTGGTGGTGTCGCAGGGGTGTTAGCGTTAGCGGACAGCCTGCATGTGGCAGTGGAGATCCCGCTGTCGGTGCCGCCAAGCGGACAGCGGGGAGCTCCAAGCTTTGGTGGACTGGTGGGACAGGGACCGAGTCTCAGTGCCCACGCAGAGGTCCAGTTCAGTGAATGATAGAAGAAATAAGGTGGAGATGTACCCGTGCGGCTGGTTGCTCACAGCCCGCCAGGTGCTATCTTCGAACTGAACTGAACCTCCACAAATGAGACTCTACAACAGGTGACGTCGACTTTTGAGAGTTGTCTGTGTGTCACCCGGACTCCCCGCTAGTCCTGTGAGTTTGTATTAAGGCGGAAACCGATTTTGTTTGGTTTGTTTCCGCCCCAGAACCAGAAGAGAAGTCCGCCTGATGTGTGTGGTGTTGCGTTTGCCTGCCACCTGCCACCTAGTGTACCACCTGCCACGGCTGCCTGCAGATTGACGCAAGGTCATGTGCCTGCCGCATTGCCTTCCCAACGACCTCCAAGATAACTTTCACCAAGATAACATCTCCAGAAAGAGCATGAGCATCAAGCCAAGATGAACTGCAGCATCTGCCACCGGCCACACAGCGCCTCCAAGCGACCCTTCCTCTGTGCCGTCGACGCCCGCAACTGCGTCTACGAAGCTAGGATCGAGTATGTCAAGGCCCTGATGGAGAGCGAGGCCGCCGAGCGCCAGGTCGATGCCGTCGCCACCACTCCCACTTCTGAGAAGAAGCGAGACAGACAGACCAAAGAAGAAGAAATCATGGCCTCCCGCGCCCGTCTCGACCACCTCCGCTCCATGGAATCCGCCTCGCGCGACCGCACCGCCCAAATCATCTCCCAAGCCGACAGACTCCAGGCCGAGGTCGAGAGCGCGCGCGCCGCCATCGCAGAGAAGAATGCACGGCTGGCACGGCGCAGGACAGAACTCGCCTCGGTGTCGGCTGGGACCGGGCCGCGCCGGACAAGACAGTTGGGGGAAGCGGAGATGGGACTGCAGAGGCTGAGGTATAAGTGGAATCGGTGTGCGGATAGCGTGGCGGAGACGAGGGGGTTTCTGTGTGAGGGGGCTGCAAGGTTGTATGGGTTGAGGCAGGTGCGCAAGGGAGCTGGGGGAGGCAGTGGTGGAGGGAGCGGTGGTGGTGGCAAGCGGTATGAGATTGGGGGCGTGGAGATTTTTGATCTGCATGCCATGAATAGTGAGTGTTGCTTGTTGCCCACCGCTACTCCGATGTTTTTTTTTTGTGTTTTTTGTGTTTTGCTGCCTTGCCCTGCTTCACCTTGGACCTTGTGCTGTTGACTGACCACGATGACAACAGGCCTCTCGCCCGAAGTAATATCAACCGCACTCTCCCACATAGCCCATCTCTTGAGCCTCGCAGCGCGCTATCTAGGCATCCGCCTACCCGCTGAGATCACACCGCCACATGCCGACTACCCACGGCCGACCATTTTCTCTTTGACATGGTCATACCGACATGGCGAAGTAGCTTTCCCAGGTTCGCTAGCCTCCCAAATTCCAACGATTATCGAGGACGGCGAGACAGGACGAGACAGAACCAGAAAGTCAGACAAGCCAGGTAGACAAGCACACGAACACACCCCACGACCTCGTCCATTGTTTCTGGACAAACCGCTGCCCACGCTGGCGAAGGAGGATCCAGCGGGGTACAAGCTGTTTCTAGAGGGGGTGTCGCTGCTGGCATACGACGTAGCGTGGGCGTGCTGCTCGCAAGGTGTGTCAGTCGGCGGATCCGGAACCGGTGCAGGCGACAAAGACTCGTATGAAGACGTCTGCAACATCGGCCAGAACCTGTGGCGGCTGCTGATCGGCGACCAACTGCACCGGCGCTCTGTCGAGCCGACTTTCCGCGCGTCGCTCACCCCAAGTGGTGGAAGTCCTAAAGAGAGCGGGACCATGACTTCAAACACACCCAAACCCACGATCGGTCGCTGGTCGCACGGAACACTGCATAGTTTTTTAAGCAGTGCCGAAGGGACTGATTTTGTGCGGAGCTTTCCGATCTTGCCACCTCTGAAACTCGCGGACCGGTTGAAGAAACGGTTGTTGAGCGAGACGCCTCTGTTGGAGTGGGAGACGATTGAGGGCGATGAGGTGGATGAGGGGTATGGGGTCTTGAATGGAGGTGGAGGTGGAGCTGGGGCGAACAGCGGCGGTGCTAGCGGCGGCGGAAATGGCGGCAAGGGAACGAGTGGTTGGACAAGGCTGAAGAGCCGGTAGTCCTGACCTGACCTGACGAGACGAGATGTAAAGTAAGCTGGAGCAGAGTAGAGTAGAGTAGAGCAGAGCAGAGAACAGAGGACAAGAGAACCAAGAACAGAGGACAGAAGACAGAGGACAGAGGACTCCCAGAAAGCCAGCCTCAAAAATGCCAGACTTTCAGAAAGCACCAGACTCAAAACACCCACCAAAAAGCCCAACCTCAAAAGACTCCCAAGAATAGCCCACACAGAAAACATCAGAACTCCCAGGACCAGATCACACGAGAAACTCCGAATGAACAAGTTGACTGTGCGTACACGGCCGGGTTTCTAGACATCTCTGTTTCTCGGATTTGACCTGGCCTGTTAGAACTGATGTGACTGTGTGAAACAAACCTGGAGAGTCGGGGCCAGCAGATTCAGGGTCACGAAAAGAACTCCGACTGAATAAGTTGACTGTGCGTACACGGCCGAGCTTCAGATCATCTTTGTTCTTCGCGGGTTTGGACTGCTGGTGAGGATGGGGCATAGGGGTGGGTGTCGAGAGACTGGGTGTTGAGAGACTGGATGTTGAGTGGCGACAGATCGGCTGAGAGAGAAGATGATGCCGATGATGTCGATGATGCTGGGAGGATCATCATCTTGAGAAGGTGATGGATATCATGATGTTGAGGTGGGAAGGGAGAAGAAGCTGATCATCATGTTGGGAAGAGAAGATGATCATAATGTCGAGAAGAAGAAGATGATCCTGATCTTGAGGGGAGAAGAGAGACGACCATGCCGATGCTTATGATGTTGAGACAGGAGAGAAAACGAGAGAGGGAGAAAACAAGGGAAAACACCGGAGCGCTCTATCTGGCCCGCCCGCTAACCCTACCCAGAAGAGGCTGTGTGATACCCGGGTCCCTTGTTTTCTTGATGTTTTTTTGATGTGTTTTTGGTGTGTGTGTTTCTCGTTTCTCCCGTCTCTGTTGTGGTTTGTCGCTCTTTCGTAGCTTGTCTCAAGAAGATGTTGAGGATCATGATGTCGAAAAGAAGAAGAAGATACCGACGTTGAGAAGCAGAGAGCAAAGAGAAGAAGAGAGAGAGAAACAAGGGAAACGCCGGAGCTCTCTAGCTGGCCCGCCCGCTAACCCTACCCAGAAGAGGCTATTGTGACCCGGGTTCCCTTGTTTCTTGATGTTTTTTGATGTGTTTTTTGGTGTGTGTTTCTCTCTTGTCTCTTGTCTCTGCTGTGCCTCGTCTCAAGAAGATGCTGATGATGCCGATGCCGATACCGATGCCGATATTTTGAGAATTAGAGAGAGGAGAAACGAGAGAGAGAGAAAACAAGGGAAAGCACCGGAGCACTCTATCTGGCCCGCCCGCTAACCCTACCCAGAGAGGCTTGATACCCGGGTTCCCTTGTTTTTTTTGTGTTTTTTTTGTGTGTGTTTTTTGGTGTGTGTTTCTCTCGTTTCTCCTGTCTCTGTGGCTTATGTCTTGTATCGGTGTGGCTCGTCTCGAGAAAGATGCCGATGATGCGATGATGCTGATGATGAGAAGAGCGATGAGAAGAGCGACGAGATGAGAAAAGATCAATCTGATGATGTTGATGATCTTGAGAAGAGAGGAGAGAGGAGACTAGAGATGAGAGAGAGGGAGAAAACAAGGAAAACACCGGAGCGAACGGAGGAGCCCACCCGCTAACCCTGCTTAGAAGAGGCTGTCTGTTTTCCGGGTTCCCTTGTTTCTTTGGTGTTTTGTGTTTTGTGTTTTGTGTGTGTGTCTCTCTCGTCTCTTGTCTCTTTTTTTTTGGCTTGTTTCTCTTCTCTTTTTTTGATGTGTTCTTCTCGTCTCGTCGCTTTGGTGTGTTTTTGGTATTGTTTTTTGGATCCTCTCATCGCTCTTGTCGTTTTCGGTCCTTCTTGTTTATCTTCTCGTTGTTCTTCTTGTCGTTCTTCTTTTTTTTCTTCTTTTCCTTCTTCTTTTTCTTCCTTCCCTTCCACCTTGTGTCCTCTGTCCTTATGTCCTTGAATCTGTCCTTGGTCCTTATGTCCTTAGTCCTTGTGCTCGTGCTTACACTCAAAACTCGTACTCCTACTCCTACGTCGTCAGTCATCGTCACAAACTCGTTCCCCTAAAAGAAAAAACGACAAGGTAAGCAAGCAGCCCAACCGATCCCAAAACCCATCCCATCCCATGTCATCGCTGCCCAAACCCGTTGTAAGCAAGAATTGAATAAGTTGTCCGACACAACTTATTTCGGCCCCCTCCGCGGTTTCCTCTGGATGAAGATTGACGGGCCAGGAGGCGGTCGCCGCGGGAGTTGTGATTGAACTTGCTGGGGCCGTTGCTGGGCGGGTGCGGGCGACGGGTGATTTGTCGCTGCGGCGGGCGTGGATGAGGGAATTGTGGGCATGGGAATATCGGGAAGGGAAAGGGAGGGTGCTGCACCTCGTCGTTGACCCCTCTGCTGCTGCTGCTGCGTCTGCTGCTGTTGCGTCTGCTGCTGCTGTTGCGTCTGCTGCTGCTGTTGTTGTGATTGCGGCTGTTGTTGAACCAGCAAAGTCTGGAACTCGGTCTGAGCCGGCAACGGTAACTGACCGGCTGGATACTGGCCGGGCTGGGCGACCTGAGATGCCGCTGGCCGCGAGGCCGAGGGCGGGAGGAAGACACCAGCTTGTGCGGCGGTAGAGCCAGGACCGGGGGAGTTAGTAAAACCGTGGGCGGGACCGGAGAGACGGAGACCAGAAACAGCGGCAGAGCTAGGCAGTGAGCGGGCAGCAGCGGGACCTCCAACACCTGAACCACCAACACCAAGACCGAACAAACCTGAACCAGAACCAGAACCATTCCTCGCGGGTGTGAATCCCGAAGAAGGCACACCAGCAGAAGAGATCACAGCAGGCGAAGCAGAAGCGGCAGCATCGTGGTCGTCGTCTGGCCAAGCGAGGGCAGCGACGCGACGAGCCTCCTTCTCTTGGTCGATCTGCCTCTGGATCTCGTCGAGGGACGGGCCAGAGGGTGTATTGCGGACGGCAGTGCGCGCGGTGATGGTCCCACTCAGCGATGAGTTGGGCGTGCGCACTGCCGCCGGGGAGATCTTGAAGGCTGTGGCCTGGCTGGAGGGTTGGTTTGACTGGGACTGGTTCGTGGGCGGTTGGTTCGGTGGGGGTTGTTGTTGGCGTTGGGGCTGAGGTGTGGAGGGAGGGGGTAAAACGGAGGAGGGAAGGGGATGAGGGAAGGTAGAAGGCCGAGGGAGAGAAGAAGACGCAGCGGGCGTGGGCGCGTTGATGGGCGCGTTGGTGTTGGTGTTGATGACGGGCGCGGTCGGCGGCTGGCGATCAACGTCCATATCATCGGCATCGCTGCCATAGACGTGATCCTCGTCATCGTCACTGTTGATGTCGCTGTCTTTGTTGCTGGACCGGTCATCGTCAGACCCGAAAGTCTCACCACGCACATAGGCAGTGGCGCGCCGGAGCGCACGACGGTCGGCAGCGGACAGGGTCGACAGGACGCCGCTGGTTCTCTTTTCCTCGGGGAAGACGGTGCCCTGCGGTCGTTGGGCGCGCAGGGCAATGGCGGGGGGCATGGACGGGTCGAACATGTGGAGGGCGGTCGGGTCGTTGGTGGGCTTGTCGTCGTTGCCGTCCTTGTTGGCATCACCAGAGTGATCTTGGCTGCCTTGGCCATTCTCGGCGGAAGAGCGAGGCTCGGATCGGGCGAAGCGAGCGATGGGCCGGGCAATGGGGCGTGGGCCACCAATCCCGGCCATGTCATCGTCGTCGTCGTCGTCGTCGTCGTCGTCGTCGTCGTCGTCGTCGTCGTCGTCGTCGCTGAGGTCATCGCGACGACGCTTGGTTGGTCTGCAGGTTTGACGCTGCTTGGTCGACTCCGACTCTGATTCCGACTCCGAATCCTTGTCCTTGGCCTCTTCCTCGTTGTCGTCTTCCGCATTCTCGGGAACATCCTCTTGTTGGACATTCTCGGGAATGCCTTCTTCCTCCATTTCCTCATCCTCATCCTCCTCCACGTCCTCCCACTGCTCGTCTTCCTCTTCCTCTTCGTCATCCTCGACCTCAGCAGTATTGTCTTCGATGACACGCGATTCAAAAGCATGCCGAGCCTCCTCGGCAGTGCCCATCATCATAGCCATCGTGTGACGCAACCGTTCGGCCTTGTCGGATTCCGTCTCCCTCTCCGACTCCTCCTGCGAGGAGGAGTAGTCTTCGTCGCTGACGTCGTCACTATCGTCGGACCGCGGAACAGACTGTGCTGCACTGCTGTCTGTGGTTTGACGCACAAAAGCAGGGGGAGAGGGGTCGGCGAGTGTCAACCGTCCCCGCGGCATCGTGGGAAAGTCTGAGCCCATGTCAAAGGCTAGACGCGATGGCCGCGTGTTGTCACCGCTGTTGCGCGCACCAAATAATACGGGCGGAGCAGCAGCGGCATTGGGCGCGGTTGACGCCGAAGGGAAAAGCGAAGGGGAAGCTGCAACAAGTGCAGAAAAACGAGCAGTGGTGTAAGGCCCTCCGCGGACCTGAGAGCGCCCCTGCTGCCCCCAGGCCACGTTGGACCTCCTTGTCGACGATAGCGACGGCGACGGCGGCGCCGAACCAGCGAAACCGAAATCTCCCGCCAGAGAATCGTGGTCGTGGTCGTGGTCGTGGTCGTGGTCGTCGGAGAACTCCGCGTCGGAGAACTCCCCGTCCAGGTCGGACCGGTCCTCGAACCCAAAGTCCATCGCCATTTCTTCTTCCTCCTCTCCGTCCTCGTCCGCCAAAGCAGAGTCGGAGTCGGACTCGGAATCAGAAATGGCGTGGTGGGTGCCTGTCATTGTCATGTCGAGGCCGTTGGTGTTGTCCATGTCTGTGAACTCAAGCGACTGCATCAGCCTCGCGGCGCGCTCGTCGTCGGAGTCGAGTTCAGTCTCGATCTCTGTTGTTGATTGATGCTGTGCCGAAGAAGAAGACACAGGCAGAGACCGAGACCCCTGTTGGGGAGGTTCATCCTCCAGGGAGTAGAGAGGGTCCCATGGGTTGCCGTCTTGGGAGAGCGGCACCAGGGAAGCCTCGTCGTGGGCGGTGGTCGGGGGGTTTGTTGCGGCCGGGATGGGTGCCGCAGCGAAGGTGGTGGAGGAGCGCGGGGGGTGGTTGGGAGTGGTGGTGGTGGTGATGTCGTCGTCGTTGTCCTGGCCAAAACCAGGAGCGTCGATGACCGAGTCGTCGTCGTTGGAGGAAGTTGCCGCCGGGTACAAGTAGCCCGGAATCTCGCAGCCGGGGAAATGTAGGCGATAAGCCGCCACATACTCCCCAGCGTCGATCAGGCGGGCGACCTCGGGATCACAACGAAACCCAAAGTCGTGGCCCTCAACTTCCCCGTCGACTTCTTCGTCAACATCACCACCGGCGCCCACCAGATTGTCGCCCTCCTCCTCCGGGAAATCCTCCTCCGCCGCAAAAGCATCCTCCTCGGGTTCGCGCCCGAACTCACCGCCATACACCGCCGCCGGGTCGAACTCGGCGTCCTTGTCCTCGGGTGCTTCCACAGAGGGGAACACCGCATCTTGGCACTCGGACTCAGCCTCGTAGTCCTCCCCGGCAGCAGCAAACACCTCCTGGCGGACGTCCAGAGCCTGCTCTCCAACAGGATAAACGCCCCGGGGTGCGGGCAAGAGGTCGCCGGCCTCAGCATCCTGCTGGAATTGGTATAGGTCATAGTCCTCCTGTTGGGACTGTGACTGGTGCTGGTGCTCGGGCTCGAACTGGTCCATCACCACGACCTGGCTGGCCGCGGGAGCGGGAGAAGCAGAACGAGAAGAAACCCCAGAACGGAAACCACCAAAACCAGCGCCGAAACCGCGAAACTCACCCGGGAAAGAAGAAAGAGGGGCCTCAAAAGAGGGGACGGAAACGGGGAGAAGGGCAGAGGAAGACAGAGCAGGACGAGACAACAACACGCCAGAGTTCTCCGGTTCTTCAGTCGACAGCTGGGCCATTTGGTCCCAGAGCGCCTTCTCCAGTTCCTCGTCTGGCATGCTGAACAGTTGCACATCCAGCTCCATCTCCATGTTCTCATCTGCCCTCTTGGTAGGGCCCATTTCCATCATGTCCACGTCCTCCACATGGGGAAGGACGTCCACCTCCATCTCCTCCGACGCCTCGCCCATGGCCGTGTCAACCTGCTCCCCAGCAGAGACCACATACCCACGGGGCCGAGACCGCTCGACGCCCACAGCACCCATACCGGACATGTACGAGTCGCCATTGTCGTCCTCGTCGTTGTCGTCATCATCCTCATCATCATCATCGTAAAAGTCGCCCCCAAAGAGGGACGCCGTCTCCGAGTCAGAATTAGACTCTTCCAACTTTGAGTCCTCCATGGCGACATCACTATCTTCGTCGCGGTCCAGGACGTCGAGACTTTGTTGTTGCTGCTGGGCCTTCTCCGGTTCCTCAGCAGCCGGCGCAGTCTGGCTGTTAGGGCCCAACTCCGTAGAGAAGGGAACCTCCTGCTCCTTCGCCTTCACCAGTTCTTCGGCTTGGTGGCTTGGGCTAACCACCACCAGCGTCACCGCACCGCGAGCCGCAACACACTGCTCCCCATCGCGGTTCAGACCATCTCCTGTTGGACGGTCGACCTTGTCGGCAGTGTGCGGCGGGGTGGGCCGCTCGGGCACATTTTCCTGTGCCTCCTGCTCCTCAACCAAAAGACCTTCGTCCTCGGACTCGGGCCACGGGAGAGAAGCGACAGAGGCGGCGGCAGGCAACGTGTCACCGAGACTTTCGGAAATCGCGGTGGTCTCCTGTGGTTCAGGAGCCACGGGACGAACAATCGCGGGAATGGCCTCGAGGGCTGCGATGTTGTCGCCTTCGTCGTCGTTGTTGTTATTGTCACCGTCGTTAGGGCCCACGGCGTCGTCGTGGTCTTCATTGTCTAGGCTGTCGTGTTGCATAGCGACAGCCTCCTCAGCCTCGCCCATAAAAACGGGGTCCTCGGAAGAAGAGATACTGTCAACAACACAGTCGCTGTTGACGAAAGAAGCGATCGACGCGGGGGACGAGACAAACGGAGACGAAGGGAGGGAAAGGTTGTAGGTAGAAACGTCGGAGCTGAAACCCGACTGCGCACTCTCCTCCTCTTCGTCGCGAGGGAGACCAGAGAAAACACCAGAGAAAGAAGAAGGGGCAGAAGAGCCAGCGAAAAGAAGCGCCTCCTCGGCACGAGCCGACTCGGCAGCAACCTCGCAGGCGGCCACATTGTCACGCGCAACCGACAACAAAGCCATCAACCGGCTTTCCTCTGCACGAGCAGATTCCAGCGCGGCCTCGGCAGAGTGTCGTCTGGCGATGGCTTCTTGGTACTGAGCCTCAGCTTCGGCGCGAGCCTCGGCTTTGGCGGCGGTGGTGGTGATCGTTGTCGTGGTGGTGGTCGTGGTGGTCTTGGTCGACTTGGTCGACGAGACGTTGGCGAGATCCGCCCGGGGTGCGGGCGACGAAGAAGAAGACACCACAGCAGACGAAACAGCAGGGGCCGAAGCCAGAGAACCCGAACCAGAAACCGCCGAAGCAGAAACAGGCGCCAGATTATCCCGGCGGTACGCAGCCCGCAACTCACGGTTGCGTTCGCGTCGCGCCGCCCGCCACATCTGGTAGCGCTCCCGCGCCTCAATCTCCCGCTGCCGGGCGAGCCGAGCCGATTCCTCGGGGGTCCTCCGCAAAATTGAAGAGGCCGGGAAGGTCAACGGCAGGGTGCGGGCTCCCAGGCCGTCCTCTTCCACCCAGCGCTCCACAACCGCCAGCTCTTGGCCTTGCTGTTCCTCACCGGACTGCTGCGCCTTCTAGACGACAACAGCGGAAGAGACAACAGAGGGGTCCTCTTGCTGGACGGCGGGGTTGGTGTGCTGGGCGGAGGAGGAGGACACGGACAGGGCAGACGAGAGGGGGATAAGAGAGGTCGCGGGGGGAGAGAGGGGGAGAACAGGGGCTGGTAGAGGGGAAAATGGGGATGTCGAGCTTGTTGTCGACAGAGCGTTGGTAGAGGTTGCCGGGGGGTCGGCGGCAACCGAGAGAGCTGAGGTGGGGGAAAGGACCAAGGCGAGGGAAGACGAAGATTCTGGGAGGACGGAGGGGTTGTTTGTTGTTGTTGTTGCTGTTGCCGTTGCTGCTGTTGTTGATGTTGTCGACGACGTCGCCGGAGCTTCGCCGCGTCGGAACAGCCGAACGGGGGAACCAAGGAGCATGACGGGCTCCATGACTGCCTGCTGGTAGCCACGAGCGCCGGTGGTTTTCCGACGCCGTGCCTCTTGCACGCGAGCTGCGTGCAAGACGACCCAACGATCATTGACCTCGGAGTCAATGGCCGTGATCTCCCGCAGCCGAGACGCGATATCGCGCTCCAGACGGTCAATGCCCGTCTGGTTCGCCGCCACCGCCGCGGAAACGCGAGCGATGACGGCGTCGACCCGGAGAACTCCTTCATCCTGGAGACGGAGAAGGCGGGACCACCAAGCGCCACCCAAACGACCGGAAACAGAAGACGAAACAACAAACGGAGTGGTGGTGTCAGGCACCGTGACCGGAACCACACCAGCAAAACCAACCGGGCGCAAGTGCTCAACCGGAGTGAAGGGACCCAACGTCACGGGTTCGCAGCTAAAATAGTGCGACACCGCGTCACGCCAGACCTTCGCTGCCTTTTGAGCCAGGCGCTCGGCTTCCAGGTTCAGCCGGCGCAGCCTATCAACTTGCCCGCCGTGCTGTCGCTCCCAGGCCGCAAGGACCCGGCGCCGCTCTTCCCGACGCGCCTCGTCGACGAGGACAGAGTCCACGAAGTCCTCCAGCCAGGCAGGCGACAGCGTGCACCACCGCGAGGCGGAGACACGAGCCACGGCCCAGACAAGAGGCAGGCACGAAAGGGAGACGAAGCAGCAGAGCACCCAGATGAGGGCACCAGCGACAGGGGAAGAAGACCGGATCGCCGCGAGACGAGACCGGGAGGCGTTGATGACCGCGTCACGAGCCGCGAGGCCACGAGATACGGCACCGGCAAAAAGACACATCCAGGCCCGATGGACCCGGGTGGCGGCCACGGGGAGGCTTGCTCGAAACCACGAGCCCAAGAAGATTAGCGCTCTTCCTGCAAGGTACACTAGTTTAGGTGTGTCAGTTTAGTTTCTTTCTCAAGTTTCGAATTGAAGAAGGAGGGATAAACAAATGTCGCGATGATGACAGAATTGAACATGACTGGACATGATAATACACAACAGAAAATAGAGAGAAATAGAGAGAGTCAAACAAAAGAAATAGACAGAAAACTCACGGAAGAGAAACACGCGGACCCAATCCGCAAACTCGCGCTCCTCTGCAAGGAAGTCGCCAATCTCCAAACACACGTCCATCCCAGTCTTGGCTTCCAAGACGGCAAGGAGGGAAATGACCAGAATGGTCATGCAAGACACTGTCGTGAGCATCTTGACTCTTGAAAATAACAAGCGAAAAAAATCGTCTTGTTCTTCGCCGGGGGGCGGTCGTTGTCGATTGTCAGTTTGAAAACTGACGCGAATCGAGAAAAAAGAAAGGCTGGAGCCGAGGGAAAAGAGATGCGCGAGCCGAGAACAAAGAAGGCCGAGGGCCGAGAGAGGAAAACGGGCGAGCCGAGAGCAGAGAACAGCTAAAAACGCGAAAAATGCGGGCGGCGGGCGAGCGAGAACCGAAGACGAAAGGCTTTCTGTGGTGTGGAAGAAGAGAAGAGAGGATCGTTTGGAGGGGCAGAAGATTATCAAATCTATACTATCTATACTCTCCCCCGCGGTGGGGCTGCGCACAGGGCAGACCGGGAAGATCAAGGCAGCGAGGCAGTTAGGGTAGGGCAGTTAGGGCTCGGTGTTGGCGGCGGGGAGGTCGGTGATGGGGAGGGCAGGAGGGCAGGCGGGTAGTACTCCTCCCACATGGCCGGTGGGACCAACACAGACCTTCCGCCAAATCCTTGAAATCCAACTCATAAAATCGCATGCCTTCCCCCCTCCCAGATGCCAAAGAGGACTCACTCTTCTTGCCCACCCACCCAGCAACAGAGCAGAGCGCGACGGCGACGCGGCGGACAATGCGATGGCAACGCGACAGACCACGCGAAGACAACTCCATGGACAACGCCCTAAACAACACGAGAAACACCGCAAAGATAACGTGACAAGAAACGCAAAAATCACAAAGACAATGTGACCAGCAACCGGCGAACTACCGGCCTGGTTTCTCCAAAGAGTTGACTTCATCTCCTGCCTTTGTCTCGCGTGACTCCCCAGTGAGAGAACCACACTTAGGGTTGTCAAACCAGGTCTTGGGGTTGACTTTTCCGCTGGAAAATGGACGGTTAAAGGGTGTTTATAATAGTTTATAATCAAGTTTATGATAGAGTATTTACAACGAGACGGAGAACTACCAAAGCAATTACCTTGCATGACTTGCTGGCTTATATCTTTATTGTCCTCTCTGCTTGCCGTTTTACCGTGACTTTCATGTTCCCGCTGTGTTGTCCATTTGCGGGTATCTGACTCAATCGTCTACATTCGTTTGCGAAAAGCGAGTGTCAGATAGTTTGCAGGCCGTGTCAGCCAGTTTGCAGTGTGACGTGAGGACACACGTCAGACTGCCAACAAATAGAGCCAACAGTAGATGACCATCAATCCTATCTCTTCGTTCCAGAACCGTACTTGTGACTGTTGACCTTGCTTAAATGTGTTATTCTCGCCTAATTTACCAACTCGGAGGAGGACAACAGCAACATTGCTTGCATCCCTCGGGGGGCTTTACCCTATATTAATTAGTGTTAATCCCGAGAAGCCGCAGAGAAGATCAAATAATATTTCTATGGAATGTACGGATGCAATAGTGAGATGTTGTCGATAATATTATACCACGGAGTGTTGTGTGAGGTATTAGAAGTTTATTAAATGATATCGAAGAACATCAAATTATAATTCCGCAACACAAGACCACAACAATCAAGTAAAACTTCATATTCCTAATTATTCACTGGCAAAGGAACAAGCAAAACCATTAAATAAACCAAACATCAACACCCACACCCAAATTTTACCCGTTTGTTGTACCGCAATCGAAATCTCATCGCCTTCATTCCAACATGCGGAATTCAGGGGCAAGTCTTGGCATTGTTTTCGCCCGCCAAAAACACACACAAAACGCTCGCAATAACCTGTTTGCCCTCGAACCAGAAGTAAATAAAAAGCCACAAAAGCGAAGTTTAATTATATGACTATTGTCTAGTTGACAGCTCCAAATTACCAGTCTATTTCATGTTTCGCTACCAGACCCATCAACACTTGACGTTGAATTTGTTGTCACGGCAACGCAGAGCCTCACGCTCAGCACCCCACAACCCCACACCCCGCATCGCAGTTTCCCCAGACTGCAAGTGCACCGACCCGACTGCACATTTCATTGGAATGAACTATTGGAATTGAAATTGGTATACGCCGCAACTGAATTAACATGATGGCCCGGAGGTCTAAAAAGTCCATTGACTAGCAAACGAAAAGATTCATCGTTCAGAAACGCAGGGCGTGTATTTGCATGTAATATTTAGGCACGATCCCGAAGTAGAGGCTGCTGCACCGTTGATGGATGATTTCTGTGCCAATATTTGTACATTGGCTCCAAATCGGGGCATGAACGCGCTGGTTTATAGTGTCGGGTGGGATGAGCGATAACCCCACTGTGGGTGCCCGCGGCAATAATCCAGGCATCAAGGGCAGATGTGGTGTGGGAAGTCGCCAAACCAACCAGTCGTCGCGGATATTCCCAGTTGAGCCAGCTTCTTTTTTTCCTTTCTGGCTGCAAGACGCCGTTCGCCGAGTTTGCTCTGTTGGTCATGTGACCTCATGACAACTCGCCTTTGCAAGTGACCTTCTGCGATTAACCTTACTGGAAGTGACCTGCAATTGCCCAACTTCATTCAGCGACTGTAGCACAATAAACAAAACAAACCAGTCAGATCATATTGCTACCATAGCCCAATGCACTCGTCGGGTATCGCATCCAGTCCACCAGCCCAGCACAAAATAAAGAAGGAAAAAAGAACACCGCCAACCTCAATACAAAACCAAGTCATTCATTCCCCATCCAACATATCCACCCACCCATCTCAAGTCCTTCGTGCAGTATTACGCCCTCTCCCCCCTCCGCCTCCCCAACCGCTTCAACAACCCCAGCACCACCTCATCCCACCCAACCCCGGCATCTTTACCCAACCGTCCCACCACAAACTCCGTCATCTTCTCCGGCTGGAACGGCTCACCGTAAACCACCTTTGCCTCGGGCCGGATATTCATTGCTAGACCATCTTTACCTTTTTCGGGCTCATCTGCCCAGGAGCCCAAAGTCACGTGGAACGTGACTTCGACTCGGGTTTGTAGCGGTCCGAGGAGGAGGGAGGATGTCACTTGTAGCGTGCCCTCTGATCCATCTGCTTCGGATCCGTTGGAGTTAGAGTTGGACTCCGGCACAACCGTAGTAGGAAACGACAGCCTCAACCGGCGGATCTGCTCCGTCACAGACCCCGCTTGGTCCCACGCCGTGGAGACTGTGGTGAGTAGCGCACGGGGTGAACCGGTCTTGATCGTGAATTTCGGCGATTGGAGATATGTGCGTAGATGGCGGAGGAAGAAGAACTTTTCTGGTGGGCATTCGGTGCCGGTGTAGTTGACTTTGATGGGGATGGGTTTGGTTTTCTTGGGGGTTTTTGGCTGGAAAGATGCCAAGTCAAAGGTGAGCTCGACTTCGCGGCGGTAGCGCATGGTGATGGTGGTTTGGGCGATGGAGACGATCGCCCAGCCGTGGTGTTTCTCGATCGCGTCGGTTTGTGCTGCGGGCGTTCGTTAGTATACCTATTCTTGTCCAAGAGAGGGATGCTGCCTGAGAAACTCACCCCGATGCTTATTGATCTCCTCCGACGACCACCCGCGATACGCCTCCCGCATCTGTTCCGCCTCCCGAATCTCCTCCAAACACCGCTGTTTCCTCTCCGCCAACTGCTCCCCCTCCCGCACAACCTCCTCCATCTCCCCCTTCAACTCCTCCCACATCCTAGTCTTCTCCGCCAGCCCGTTTTCGACCTCCTCCAACTCGGCCCTAGCATCCGCCAACTCGGCCGGATCACAATCCTCCATCTCTCTCACCACAACCTCCAACTCCTCCACCTCCCTCTCCAACGCCTCTCGCCGCGCCAGCAAATCCGGCAACACCACCTCCGCCAGCATCCGCTCCCGCTGCTTCAGCCGCGCATCGTCCGCATCCATCCCCTCCGCCGTCTGGCGTAGCCCCTCGCGGAGTCCGTCCTGGAGCAGTTTCATGCGCCACTCGTACCACATGGCTTTGCTGAGCAGGCGGGCGTGGGTTTTGACATTTTTGAATTGGGTGTCCATGAGGCCGCGGAACTCGGGGGTGGCGGTCAGGTATTCGCGGAAGAGGGGCGGGTTCTCCTCGAAGGTTTCGGTTTCGATTTCGCGGACTATGCGTCGGCCTTCGGAGATGTATTTTTTGAGTTCGCGGCAGGACTGTGTTGTTAGTATATGCCACACACTCAATGCTAGATAGATGAGAAGAAAAAGAGAAAAGAAAAGAGACATACATGCTGATACAACTCCAACATGGGCACCGTACACGCCCCCGCAACCACACACCGCTCCAGCGACATATCATCCGCCGCATCAGCCGCCGCACTCTCCCGCGAGCCAGACTGTCCCCCCGGCGCAATCGTGTGCCGCCGTTTCGTCGTCGTCAGCTCCATGAACCGGATACTCGTCATGTTGAGGAAGTCCTGCAGATGCATGCGCTCGCCGTCGTCTTCGTCTTCTTCTTGGACATCCACTTCGGCCACCTCGACTGTCCCCATCAGAGTGTCATGGTCCTGCCCACGAGGGGTAGTCGCCCGCTGGTGCGGCGAACTCGCCAGGTCTGGCACGGCCAGTCTATCCACTGACCGCAAACTCGGCCTGGTTTTCCGGCCCGTGGTCGTCTCAGCCTTAGACGGCGGTGACCGCAGCCGGATATTCTTCACCGGACTTCCCTGGTGTCCCTTCAGCCGCTTCACCCCATCTTCATCCCCGTATCCGGACCCATACCCGTCCTGATCCTCGTCCTCATCCAGCTCATGCGGCCGTTTCCCAAGTAGACCCAGCGCGCTACCGACGTGCAGACTCTTCCGCCCGCGAAGCGGGTTTGTGGCTTTTTTCTTTTGCGGACTCATACCCTGGATCATGTCCATCAGGTTGTTGACTGATCCTTCACGGTGTTCTTGATCTTGGTCTTCTTCTTCTTCATCATCATGCTCTGCTTGTTCCCGCTCAATCTCAGCCTCCAACACCCTCGGATCAGCAAACACCACATTCCGCTTCTTCTGTCCCGCCGTAGCCTGCGCAGAACTCGTCAGCACAAACTCCCCGGCCGCTTTCCCAATCGATTCCCGTCGGTCAAACACCTCTGCCACCCGCGGCGAGCCTAGCCCTGGCCGGTCGACACCGACTCCCGACAGCCGTCGGCCCTGGGGGGTGAGGACGACCTGGGGCGTGTTGATGCCCGTGCTGGGATCTTGCTGGAAGAGCCGGGGTTTTGTTGGGGAACGGGGTGTGGATTTCTTGGTGGGGGATGACAGGTTGCGCATGGGGGAACTTGACGCGGTGCCGAAGATGGAGGGGGGTGTTTTGGCGCGGCGTTGTTGCTGCTGCTGGGCCCGGGGCGTGGTCCTTACTGGGGAAGGCGTCCGCCGCATGGGAGAGCTGCTGGGCGGGATGGGCGAGCCGATGAATGGAGACTCGAAACGAGGTGGGCTCTCGAAACGAGGTGGACTCCGGCGTAATCCCCGTCCCTGAAAGGGAGACGGCTCGGGGTCGGTGTTCTCGTTGTTGGGATGCTGGAGACGGAGAGGGGACCGCTTGGGAAATGCAGCCGCAGCTGCTGCCGGGGCTAAGGCTGGAGGTGCAGGGATTGGAGTGAATGACAGAAGCGGCTCGTCGGCTTCCTGCTCCATGATTTTTCGACCGGCAGATCGGGCTTCTGGAGTTGCCGCGGCCGGCTTGATGATGCCCCCGACCGCCATCGTCATGTCCATGCCCGTGGTCTGTTCGTCCTCGACTTCAGCTTCTTCCGCAGGCAGGATGCGCCCCACACCCATCGTCATGTCCATGGCCCCATCGTCGTCTTCGTCGTTGGTCACTATTGTTCGCCGTCGGTTGTTCTGCTGGCCGCTCTTCGACAGGCCACCCGGTAGCAGACCGCCTACAGCCGTGGTAAACTCCATCGACATGTCCTCGTTGATCTCCGTGTTGTCGTGGTCGTGGCGATCAACTGCTCGACCGCTTTGAATACCGCCCACCGCAGTTGTGAAATCCATCGTCTGCTCCTCCGGCTCCTCAGGTTCCTGCTGAGGGGTCGGATTGACAGATTTACGGCGCAGGAAAGCCTTGGCTTTGGAAAGAATCCCCCCAAGGGCCGTAGTGACGTCCATCGACAGCTCCTCGTTGACGTCGTCGTCGTCCTTCTCAGGAGACGGGAGCTTGGGATACACAATCCCGCCCACCGCCTTGGTCATGTCCATGTCCATATCCATATCTTCATCCGCGTCCGCATCTGCATCGGAGCCATCACCTTCTGGAATATGGCTCTCCTTTGCGGCCCCCTGCCCAATACTCCCCTGCGACGAGCGCTGTGACGAGCCCTGCGACGACGGATTCTTCTTCCCCCACCCCGCAAACCCCGCAATAACCTCCTCATCCTCATCAATACTTTGCGTGACCGCCCGGCGCGCCGCAAGCCGCAGATTCTCGTCCAGACTGCCCGTGGTATCATTCTCGTACGCCGAGCGTGGCGACCGCGGCGACGCCGTCGACGCCGAAGTCATCTCCTCCGCGTCCACCGTCATGATCGTCCCGTCCTCGTCGCTGGACCCTTCCATCTCCACCGCTTGGATGTCTGCTACGCCGTCTGCATTCTCAAAGTCTGAGTCGTACACAGTCGACGCCATCGTGTCGTCTGATCCATACGTCGAGGAGGCGGCGGAACTGCGTCGGCGCTTTCGCTGGTGTAGGTCTCCTTGATGAGCGGGGGACTCGGCAACTTCTTCCTCGATCGCATCGGGGGGTGTGGATGGCGGGTCGGAATCGGGCGCTGGCGGTGGCTGTGGTTGTTCTTCTTCCTCCTGCTGCTGTTGTTGCTGCTGCTGGGATGCGCGGCGTGTGGAATCAGTCGACGTTGTCGAATCCTGCATTTCTTCGAGATCGTGAAAGGTATGTAGTGTCGCCTCGGCCGCGAACGAGACGCGCCGGTTAGCCAGCGACTTCCGCCGCGCATCCCGTCTGTCCTTGATTTCCCGTGCCAGCTGTGCGCGCTCCTGCTCCTCTCGCTTGCGCGCCGCTGCCTGCTGTTCCTCCTCTGTCCGCAAGAGGACCCTGGTTCCGGAAGGTTCATTGCTCCCTTGTTGTTTCGGCTTGAAGGACGGGATATCTTGGATCGGCGGCATCGTCGGCTTTAGGATCGATCGTGGTGTTGGAACGGCAATGGACTAAGCCGATTAGCATCACGGACAGTTGCGCAGTAAAACAATCCCAACAGGACAAGAACCTACTGCTCTGCGATTCCCCGTCCCCGACTTAAGGAGATCGAATCCGCCAGGCCCCATGCTCTTGCTCCGCGACTTCTTCCGCGTGCCACCCGTAGCGCTGCCCACATCGAGTGTCGCATTCTCCTTATCCAGTGTTCGTTTCGTCGGAGGACCCCCTCCAATTGATTTGCGCGTTCGACGCGTCGGGGGGACCGTCGTTTCCCCTGATGGTGCCATCTTCACATCCGCACCATATGCTGTCCGAATTCTGTGTTTGCTCTGTCGTGGATCAATTTAGGGGTGGTGGTGGGCAAAAAGTAACTTTGGACGCGACGCGGAACCCTGAAAGTTCGCGACACCGAGGCCGTTTTCCCGGTGACGGCAGAGGGGCAACTTGTTGACACGTCCTGCGGCGTCTGATTGGCTTGCGCCGTTGAAAGTCAACAATTGCAACTTGGCCCGTGCGTGCCATGGCATTTGCCAAGACCCAACCCTGTGGATGCGATGGACGGGACTTGCATCTTTGCGACTTCCGTTGTCAGCACTCTGCGAGGCGCCCGGTCCGTGCACTCTCAGCCACACTTGCAGCGTGGCCCGGGCTCCTCACCAACCCCAACCGCCACACACACATTTCCACACCCGGCAAAATTAGTTGCGAATTCGAACTTTTTGAGACCATCCCGATCCCACGACCAAAGCACATCTTGGCCCACGCCCAACCGACAAGATGGCTACCGAACTGACCGTCCAGAGCGAGCGTGCTTTCCAGAAGCAGCCGCATAGTAAGTTTTTTTATTTTCTTCGACGACGACATTGGCCGCGGTTTCGATGGCTGGCGGCCGAGGGGTGGTGGGAAATTGATGATGACATGGGCAAAACACTAATGACGATATCTCCACGCAGTCTTTCTCAACAGCAAGACCAAGGTCAAGTCCGCCCGTCCGGGTAAGGGTGGCCGGAGATGGTACAAGGACGTTGGCCTGGGTTTCCGTACCCCCAAGACTGCCATTGAGGGCCAGTACATCGGTACGTAAACACAAACGAAAGCGACGCGCCCGCTCCCATCCGATTCGAATCGCATCCCGAATTCGCGCGACGACAACATCTCTGTGTGCCGAGCAAAAGAGGATGCTGCGATTACGAGAAGGGGAATGAGGAGGCTGGGCTTGTGGAAATCTGGGTTCAAGGACAGCGATTGACTGAATATGTGCTCTACAGACAAGAAGTGCCCCTTCACCGGCCTCGTCTCGATCCGTGGCCGTATCCTGACCGGCACCGTCGTGTCGACCAAGATGCACCGCACCATCATCATCCGCCGCGAGTACCTCCACTACATCCCCAAGTACAACCGGTACGAGAAGCGCCACAAGAACCTCGCTGCGCACGTGTCGCCGGCGTTCCGTGTTGAGGAGGGTGACCAGGTCACCGTTGGCCAGTGCAGGCCCCTGAGCAAGACTGTACGTTTTCCCCGATGCGACTTTCTACACCCAACGGCCATAGACCCTTGGAGCGGTTCCTCAAGCAAGAGAGAAAGGATCTAACATACAGCAGGTGCGTTTCAACGTTCTCCGTGTGCTTCCCCGGACCGGCAAGGCGGTCAAGAAGTTCAGCAAGTTCTAAAGGGTCGATGTACGGGGGTTCTTTTCCATTGGGCATTTCTGGCGTGGTTTTGCTTTGAGGGACTTGAGCTATTTTATCAGGAACGGGACGGCCAAAGCCAGGCAAAGGGAGGGAAAATGAGAGGACGACGGGAGAAGAAGAGAAAGTCCTTTTTTGCTCCAGAAGACATGCGCGCATATGTATGCACTCATGTCATTCATAGTGGCAGTTCTGAAATGAAAAACCGCCCAAGTGAACTTGACAGGCATTTACGATACCCCCTACGTGTGGACGTTTGCCTGTGGGCTCGCAAGATAGACAGCCGGGGCAAACCTCAGCCCTCAATCAACCACCCGGTCATGTTCTTGATCCAGTTTCCCTCAAGCTAATGGCTGTCGTTTATTGTGTATGCGTGAAGTGTCGATGGGCTGGAATCGGATGCTCTTTTCTTACCAAGTCTAGCAACACAGCTCTTAGTTTAGGTCTTCTAATATTTTCCTTCGTTAAGTTACTATATTCCGCCTTAGCTGCGGGACTTGGTGTAGAATCATGACCCCTCAGGATACAATGGTTCAATATTTAGAGCGTAAGACGGGATGGTAAATTAATTCTCGCGGTTGTTTTTCGGTGTGGTTTTCTTATTTAAACGCGGGGAAGTCTATGTAAAATCGTCAAACCACGAAACGTAACAGTCTAAAATTCGACGAACTAATATACTGCTCTAAACATACCGAGAATAAGGAACTGTTAGTGATACAGCCTAAACGCAAAGTATCTCCGACGTTAACATGATAATCTTAAGCTTCGAGAACAACACATCACCTGAAACTTGACAGCAATCTAAGACCCGAGTAACTGTAGAAACAGATAAATAAGCATTATCACATATCAAGCATAAAACTGACTTAACCACAATCTTTCTAACGCCGTTCAGTCTAGTCCACCCAGAAGACTACTCAGATAGACTACTAACATAACTAACACCCCCCAGATCCAGCCCACACCGACAATTTGACCGATCAAAACAGAGTTTAACATACAGACAACCGCCGTTCCATAGCCTTCCCCCGCAACATCTCACATCTCACCACCCACTACACAAACTTATGTATCGCCCCCTACAACCCCTCTCCCGCAGGAGTATCCCCCTCCAACCCCCCACCAGCCTGCTCAACCCCATGAAACGCATCCCCAAAAGCAGAATCATCCAAATCCAGCCCGCCCAGCCCATCATCACCATCATGGTCCCCAACCCCATGGTGATCATGACCACCAATAATTCCATCGTCATCATGTCCACCCGACGGATCATAGTTCGCCAATGCGTCACCCGCCGTGTCGAGATCACCTAGTGAGCTGAAGTCGTTGGTGTCATCTGCGTCTAGGCCGCTGCCGCCGCCGCCGGGGGTTGGCGCTGCGGAGACGGGCTTGCTGTTGTTGGGGTTAGGGTTGCCGGGAGCGGGAGTGGGTGCTCCTGAGCCGGGGTTGTTGCTGGTGGTGTCGGCTGGCGGGGCAGTGGCTGTGGACGCACCGCTGGGGCCGGCGGTTGTAGTGGTTGTTGCGGTGGTCGGAGCAGCAGCCGTTGTAGCAGGTGCAGGTGCGGTAGTAGTGGGCGCGGCATCGTCCTTGGGAACAACCACCCAGTCGCCGCTCTCAGTCCCTTGGTCCGGAGCGGTGTCTCTGGGCTCGGCATCAGCCATTTGAACGTCTTGCTGTTCTTGTGCCGGGGGCTGGGGACCGGCGGCCGGGGCAGGCGACGGCGAGGGGATGTTGAAGTTTGAGGGCGTCGCAGCGTTGGAGTGGATGCCAGAGAGGTGAGCCTGCGGGGTCGGGAAGTTGTTGAGAGGCGTGGAGGTGTTGGAGAAACCGGTGTGGATGTCCAGCAGGCCGGCAGCGGTACCGCCCATGTCAATGTCGTGGTCGCCGATCAGAACACCAGACCCAGCCTGGGAAGGCTGCCGAGACAGGTCGGCAGCTTCGGACGTAGGAGGCTGAGGCTGAGGCTGCAATTGTGATTGCGGCTGGGGCGGCTCTGGCTCGGGGGCTGGCTCCTGATAGCCTCCGTCTTGGACCCGCTGGACATCGCTCACGGCAACGGCACGCTTGCTGACCAGCTCCTCAACGCGGGCCACGACCTCGTCCAGCGACTGGGACGTGCCCTGATTCCACTGGCCCCCGTTTTCCTCATCATCCTCCAACCTGCCCTCGAGTCTCCAGAACTCGGTCCCGGTGCTCTCCGTGGAAGCGCGCAGTTCCCGTTCGGCCGTCTTGATAGCGGCATTTCCCCTGAACTTGGCCATGATCGCCTCATGCTGCGCCTTGAGCTGCTCATTCTCGGCTTTGGCGAGCGCATTCTGCTCTTCCACGCGCTTGCGGAACTGTTGCGCCAGGCCCTCATCGAGGTGTCCGGTGTACGGCTTCTTGGCACCCGAGCGCAGCGCCTCGATCCCCGGTGCCTCAAAGATACCCTCCGTAAGCTTCGCCAGCGCACCCTTACGACCCAAACCAAGGTCCGCAGGCTCAATCTGGTTGATGCGGTATGGCGAAGACAGAATCTCCTCCATCCATTCATGGTTCTGCTGGTACCGCGCCATGCTCAACTCGCGCGGGCTCATGTGATCAAACATATCACCACGGGAGCTGTCCTCCTCATCGTCAAACGCCGTCTCATTTCCCGGGAACCCGGGTCCCATCGGCTGGCCCTGATGACCAGCAGCAGCCGCAGCAGCCGCCGCGGCAGCATGCCCACCACGCCGCTTAGGCGTAGGGCCGACTGCGGGGCCGCCATGCGGGGGGTAGGCCATCACCTGCGGCACATGGCGTTGCGGCATGGGCGGAGCATACATCGACTGGCCGCGCTGGGGGAACGGGATCTGGGGCCAGTTAACGCGGTCGGAGAGCATAAACTCCTTCCTGACGATCTGGCCCATTTGGAAGAGGTGCTGGCGGTAGCTGATGAGGTTTTGAATCGGGGGCGGTACGCCAATTGCGTTGACAGGCACCCTCTCGTTCTTCTCGGCCGGCCCGTAGTGCACGATCCACAGGTTGGGGTCGACCTGGGGCAGGTTCGGCATGGGCACCGGGGGAGGGCAAAGTCGGAAGCGGCGTCTCGAGTGAATCGCAACGTGTTCGCCCATGCGGTATCCGGTTCGTTGAACGTAAATCTCGAGCATCTATTATCCACAAAGTTAGCCCCCAGTCACACCCGATATCTACCCCCAAACCCAGGGAGAAGGAAGGGAAGGGAGGGGTCCGTACCAGGCCATTACCCGCGCTATGCTGAAACGAAACTTCCGGCCCCGCCCACACATATCCATCGCTCGCAAACTCATTGCCCCGGCGCGCGGTCGGCTGCCAGGTTAAAAAGATCGACCCGTCCTGCGGCGAGTCGAGGTAGGTCCAGTAGAAGGGAGCCGTGTCGCGGGCGATCTTGGGCGCCTGGAGAAGCCATTTTGTGACTTCCGGCAGGTCGACTCTCGGCATCGAGGCATAGCGGAACGTCGACAGCAAGTGCACATGTGGGAGCTGATTTTATGGTGCGGTGAATGGTTAGCACATCTGCGATAGCGACGGCGACGGCGAGGTGCAAAGCTGTAGGTTGGGTCACGGTTGCGCAAACGTACCAAGTCCCCATGGACGTTCTGGCTCGGATCAACAGCCATGGTTGATTCCACACCTGAATTGACTCGCTCGGTGGGTGTCGATGGCCTAAACCCGACAAAAAAGTGGAAAATCACTGGCCCGTGGCTGAATGGGATGTATCGCAATGATGCAGTCCCCGATTCTGGAACAATGGATGGGTGTCTGGTCGCGAATCAACTTTGGAGTTTGATGCAGTCGCGCTTTTCGCGAATCGTAAAGCGCTTCCAGCTGGCAGGCCCGGCAGAACGCCAAGCCAGATGTCGCGCGGTCATATCACGTGACTTAGTGCTGCAAACAAAAGCTCCCCACTTTGAGCCGGCTCTCCGAGCAATGATCTATCAGAGCAACGAACCTGAGCACTGTGTATGTACGCAGTACGTACAGCAGACAGTCCGTGACCGGGATAACTAATCAACACCTCCAAAGAAACATGTCATTAACTGTGCAAAATTTAATTTGTTTTGTTTTCCCTCTACGTAATTCAATAAGCTATCCACTTAAATGCAACCGGTTCCCAATCATTAAACCACCGCCAGATTTGCTGGCTCCTTTTTAGGCCTGGTATGTCGAGGCCGAAACGTTGCCACCACGCCCGGTCCAGTTGACGTGGATGTCCTTGCCCACCTGGTACTTCTCGGTCGCCGCCTCCGGCTTGATGCGGAAGGTGTGGGCACCGAAGTAATCACGCTGCGCCTGCAGGAGGTTGGCGGGCAGATCCTTGGTGCGGTAGCCGTCGAACCACGACAGGGCCGTGGAGAAGGCGGGAGTCGGGATACCGATGAGAGCGGCCTTGGCAACCACATCTCTCCAGCCGGGCTGAGCCTTGTGGATGGCCTTGTTGAAGAAGTCGTCAAACAGAAGGTTCTCGAGATCCGGGTTGTTGCGGTACGCGGCCGTGATGTCCTTGAGGAACACGGAGCGAATGATGCACCCGCCGCGCCACATGAGCGCAATCGACGGCTTGTTGAGCTTCCAGTTGTACTCCTTGGCAGCCTCCTGCATGAGCATGAAGCCCTGGGCGTACGAGATGATCTTGGACGCGTAGAGAGCCTGCTCGAGGTCCTCGAGGAACTGCTCCTTGTTGCCCTCGAAGGTGGCGGTGCGACCGACAAACTCGAGCTTGGTAGACGCCTTGACACGCTCATCCTTGATGCCAGACAGGCAACGGGCAAGCACGGCTTCGGCGATCAGGGTAACGGGCATGCCCAGGTCGAGCGCGTTGACCGCAGTCCACTTGCCGGTACCCTTCTGGCCGGCCTTGTCAAGGATCTTCTCGACGAGGGGAGTGCCGTCATCATCGTTGAAGTACATGATGTCGCGGGTAATCTCGATCAGGAAAGAGTCGAGAACGCCCTTGTTCCACTTGGTGAAAACGTCACCAATCTCCTTGTTCTTCAGGCCGAGACCGCGCTTCATGATGTCGTACGCCTATTCCAAAATCGGTGTTTGTCAGTTATTACACGTCACGTCGTGGACGACCCAGCAGGAGCCTGGGACGGCATTTCAACCCCACATACCTCGCAGATGAGCTGCATGTCACCGTACTCAATACCGTTGTGCACCATCTTGACGTAGTGGCCAGCGCCCTCGTCACCGACCCACTCGCAGCATGCCTCGCCGTCGCTCTTGGCAGCGATGCTCTGGAAGATGTCCTTGATGTGGGGCCAGGCCTCCTCGTGGCCACCGGGCATCAGCGAGGGGCCGTAGCGGGCACCCTCCTCACCACCAGAGACACCGGATCCGACGAAGCGGAGGCCCTTGGAAGAAAGGTACTTTGTCCTCCTGTTAGAGTCGGGGAAGTGAGAGTTACCACCGTCGATGATGATGTCGCCAGCGCTAAGGAGGGGGAGCAGAGTCTCGATCCAGTCGTCAACGGGCTTGCCGGCCTGCACGAGGAGTACGATACGGCGAGGGCTCTTCAGCTTGGAGACGAACTCCTGCACGGACTGAGCGCCAACAATCGACTTGCCCTTGGCCTCGTTGGCAAGGAAGGCGTCGACCTTGGACACGGTGCGGTTGAAAGCGCAGACGGTGTACCCGTGATCGGCAATGTTCAAGATCAAGTTCTGGCCCCTGTGTGCCCCAAAGTGTTAGCAAGCCATTGCCCGCCGTAGCCCAAGGCCTAGAGTGAGGTATGATGGGGGGAAAGGGGATTTACTTACATGACGGCCAGGCCGATGAGGCCGATATCAGCGCTTGCACCATTGTCAGCATTTTTCTGAGATTGCAGCAAGGAGGTGCCAGCATTCGGAGCCCCGCCAACGTTGATGTTCGCTAGGCGGGCGCTGGAGGTTGAGGGAACTCAGTAGGTGGTATGAGGAAAGCTCCCCGCGTCAACCGGGGCAGTCAAGCGTCCAACCACGCGTCCTGCAGACGCAATGCGAGAGCCATGTGTATGTGGCCCGCAAATGCGCCTGTAGGTGCGGAACGCACGACGTGCTCGCAAAATGACTCCGGAGACCGGTTTGGAGCAGTCGCGGGGAGGTGAGGCGGGGTTGTTGTTTAAAACTTACACTGCGCCAGACATTGTGAGAGTAGGCAATCAAGGTGTTTTGGTATGTGTATGTGACGAAAGCGTAGTAGCTGCGAGCTTCTCTGCTTTGCAAGAGCTCGACAGATCAGAAAATGGTGGATGGTGGATGGTGTTGGGAATGGAAAAGTCCTCAACCAAGAATGTCAACGGGAGAATGGAAGGAGGAAGAATGGGACCGTGGGGTGGGCGAGTGCATGACGAAAGTTTTAATAGCAAGCGAGCTTCGATGTCGGAGGGGTCAATCGCGGGCCAGCTCACCTACCAGGCAAGGGACTGCCACCCTCCCACCGAACAAGGCCGCTTTGACTGCGGGTAATTGCCGCGGGGGGCTTACTCAGTCGTCCGGTCTTGCCTTCACTGGACGTCCCGTTACGAAACATTCAAAGGCAACCCCCCCTCCCGCGGAGTTGGCCCCAAGCCACTTCGCCTATCGTTGGATTCTGCGGTTACTCAACCCACCATGCCACCCTCATGGTTAGCCCCGGATTTGTGGCCATGGTGGGTTTATTTGGTTTGCTTAGATCTTGATTACCGGATAGCTGCAAGGCTACGCAGTCAGCAAGAGCTGGGCAGAGCCGTGAGGTCATGGACTCAGCATGGGCTACCCCAGAAGTGCCGTTGTTTGAGCAACCGGGCTTTGTCTGAAGTTTCGATTTTGCCGCCAAGAACTGGTTGCGACCAAACCCCCAAGGATGGAGTTCCGTGACAAAAAGCAGGCTAGACTTCCTGTCACACGGTGTGTCTGTTACCGGGGGCCCGATAAAACACAAAAGATTGGTGCTAGTTACGAGAAACCCCTTACGTCCCAATACTATGCAAGTTACGGAATGCCTCAGTTTGATGTTGGTTTCGAAACACAAACACGCCGCGCGCAAGGAAGAACGGCACAAAACGGCGGGTTGCGGACAGGGCTGCCCACTGCGATTCGGGACGCGGACCGCCATGCAAGTTTTGGGCAGCTTACAAAACATTTGTCGTTCCAACGCTGGCCGATTTGGCAGCTGTGTTTGTCCTTGCTGCTTGGCAGAATTCCTCGCCTGCCCGTGAATGCTGGTTGCTGGACGGCCCGATATATATTGCTCGTTCGCCGTCGACAAGTCAATTCGGCCCTTCCAGCTGGCAGACATAGGCCGCACCGCGGATCATTCGGAATGACACTGCCACAATAGGAGCTAAATCCACGAGAGCCCGGTCTCGACAACCTTGTGGACGGTCAGGCTGCACCCGATGAGCCGGATTGCGCAGTGGGTGTGCGAGGTTCTCTTCTCGATAATATGCCCCCCACTGTCCCAGAGTTCCACGGACCTTGATAACCCCACCAAGCAGGAACGCGGCGGCGCAATTGCCTCCCCAAATTCCCGCACTCGGTCCATTGCATCTGGGGCTAACGATTTCAGGCTCTTTTGCGCTGACCAATGAGAGGATTGTCGTGCGCAAAAAGGTCCAACAAGGAATTCTCTGACTCCGATGCTGTCCGTCACCGATTTCGCCGACATCCTGGATTTCTGTCAAGAAATGTTGAGTTCAAAATTGGAAAACAGGAGGGGTTAGTTGCCCCTCGATCAGGTGGGGGTTTCCACCTTGCATGGGTGGCGGCCGTTGGAGTTACAGTGCGGGTCGCTAAATGCACAGGTTAGTAACACACAAAGCAACCCAGCAACCAACCCGCAATCCGCAACAGGAAACGAGGATGCAATTGAGCGTTGTGCGGGGATCGATGCATGAAGATGAAAACAGTAAAACGGGTACACTAATGGCCGCCGTACGTCGGACGAAACCCTTCATAGTGCCCATGTGGTCCGGAGAAGCGCAGTTCCATGTCAAGTCCATCTTCTTCCGCGGGCCCGCGGCTTGGGCTGACTGTGTGACCAATGCGCACGAGCCATGCGCTGTAAGCCACGTGAGCGCCACAAACCGCCATCAGCCACAGGCTTGGCAAATTTATTCGTCTGCCCAGCAACGTCTGCCAGCACAGCGCGCGTCGATTCTTGAGCGTGTCGCATTGCAAGTTCCATCCACGACTCTTCCGTGAGCCAGACAACTCGGTCGAAAGGTTGAGGAGCGTAGCCGTAACCGGATCGGGCTCACAGGTACGTCAAAAACTTTACAGCGCACCGCCGCGATTACTTCTTTTTCCCCGTATCGGGCGCAAAGAAACAAGAAATATTCATCATGTCGTACCCGGGTCCTCCAGGTTCGAAGCCATCCCACCATCCATCATCGCTCCCTCCGCGCCCGCCCGCCAGCAAGCTCTCCAGCTTCAAGCCCGCATTCACCCCGGCGCAGGTATCTTCCGCACCCGTCTCGCGCCCCGGGTACACAACATCCACACCATCCTACCCCATCTACAGCCCGACAGCAGCCGCCGCGAACTATGGCGCACCTCCCGGTCTATCACCCTACGCGGGCGGTGGCGGCGGCCCTTCAGTACCCGCGATAGGCGCCGGCCGAGGGAGCAGCTATGGACAACCCGCCGTATCATACAACAACTATGCGCCAGCGCATACCTACGGACAACAGCCCTCTTACCACGGTGCGCCCGCGACCGGCAGCTACTCCACACCGCCGAGCATCCGCAACCCTTTCCCCGCGCCGGAGATCGCTCAGCAAAGCGCCGCCCCCGCAGCCGACTACGAGCAGGACATGGCGGCGCAAATAGCCCAGTGGCAGAGCGCGTACATGCCCAAAGACCCCAACGACCCAGCCAACAATCCAGCCGCTGCTGGCCCCGGTCGGGCGGGCGGTGCCGGCGGCGGTAGTGGTGGTGGCGCCAACACCCCAGGGTTAGTAGGGCAAGGCGCAACCGAGACCCCCCCGGGCGAGGTCGACCCCAACGAGAAGAAGAAGACCGTCTACCGCGAAGGCGGCGGCAAGAAATGGCAAGACGACTCGCTTCTCGAGTGGGACCCGGCACACCTGCGCTTGTTCGTCGGCAACTTGGCCGGCGAAACAACCGACGATTCCCTGCTCAAGGCCTTTGCGCGATGGAAGAGCGTGCAAAAGGCCAAAGTCGTCCGCGACAAGCGCACGACCAAGAGCAAAGGGTTTGGGTTTGTCAGTTTCAGTGACCCGGAGGATTTCTTCCAGGCGGCTAAGGAGATGAACGGCAAGTACATTCAGAGTCATCCTGTTGTGGTGCGCAAGGCGAAGACGGAGATCAAACCGACTGTGATGAAAGAGGAGAGGAAGGGGAAGAATAATAGGAAGAATAATGGTGGCGGGAACAAGAGTGGGAATGGGAGTGGGACAGGCGGTGGTGTGGCGGATGGTACTGCGTATGAACCACATTTGGGACCGGCGAGAGGCAGCGGTATAACCAAGCCGGGACAGAAGACTAAGGGCGGTCTTAAATTGCTGGGTTGAGAGGGGTGGTGAGGTTGGGAGTCAGGGAGTTAACCCATACGGGTCAGTAAGGGGGAGAGGGAGCTTATAGGATGAAGACACCTTGGTACTAGCAAACAAACATTAGGACCACGCTCTACACAGTATCCCATCTTGTGCATTACCAAAGATTGCGTGACAAACTCCAAACATATGTGGGAAGACGCTAGTCTAAACAAAAAACGAAAGTGTGATGATACATTGTTGCAGGGGTATCATAAGACCTCAGCGCTCTATTCACAAATATACCGAAAACCCTTTAACCAGTCCATATTTAATCAGTTCTCCCTTCCCTCGATACAGGCAGCGTCCCAGTCGCCGTCGACAATTCTGGGCCCGGCCCTTGGTCGCCTGCGAGCAGCCCCCGATCACTCTCTCCACTCCTCCTCAACAACCCCGCATCCTCCCATTGATCATCGTCTCTATCACTATTGCTCCCGCTCCCACTGCTGCTCGGGAACCCATCATCATCCTCGTCCACCAAGTGACCCCGATGCACGTCCGTCTGCGCCTCGTTCCGCATCTTGCTGATTTTGATCCAGTTGTATGCAGCAATCGCCGCGATCGTGATGACCAAGCCGACAACGTTGATGGCGGTCATGGTATCGCCGAACACGATGGCCGCGGCCGAGATGGTGACGGCCTCCTTGAAGATGCCGGCGATGGACAGCGTGACGACAGAGGTGCGCTTGAGCAGTGCGAACTCGGAGACTGTCATCAAGAAGGCGATCATACCGGGGAAGAGGATGATGAGCGGGGCGACCAAAGCGCCCTTTTCGTGGGCCACGCCCTTGAGCCCCTCGATGAGGGCACCGGCACCCTCGACGGGAATGGCGATGCTGATGAGGGTGATAAACATGACGGGGGCCAGGAAGAAGATGCTGGAGAACGGGTTCGAGGTAGCTGGGTTGCGGAGAAGTAGGATCTGGGTCAGGGCCCAGCGGAAACCGGAGAAGAAAGCGGCCGCGATGACGAGGATGAAGCCGCCAAGTTTGAACTCGACTTCGCCGGCCACCATCATGACGACACCGAGGGTCATGGTGGCGATGATGCCGACGAGTTTCCACGTCACAGATTCGAGGCGGAAGAGGAAGGCGAAGATCAGGACAAAGGCGAGGGAGGAGGATTTACACATGGCTACAAGGAAGAAACACGTTAGGTTGGGCGAGGAGGAATGGGGATTTGGCAGCGGCCTGGCTTACTGTAAAAGGTGAGGGTGATGAATTGTAGCGAGGTGTTACCCAAGCCAATGTCAAGCCCGGTTGCCACACCGCAAGGCCCAATTCTCGTGATATAGAACATCTTGGTCATGAGGGGTCGTTCTGGCTCTGCTTCATGCCTTGACTGGCCCAAGTCGGACTTGTGGCCGTTGTTCGGTCGTAATGACGGGAATACCCACAGAACAAGGGACGCGAGCGAAAATTGCACAAGAAAATGCATGGCGGTTGTAAACATAGGGAAACGGAAGTTGAGTTTGTCGGGTGAAAACATCCATTTGTTGTACTAAAACGGTAAGTTAGTAACCTCACGGGCAGAGTTTAGGAAACGGGTGGTGTGGTCGTACCAAGGATATCAATAAGGAAAACAGGTACCACAACCCGATCAACACAATGTTGATGATCAAATTCTTCAACACATTACGGTCCGCCTCTTTCTTCTCCTCCGGGGAGATGTCATCGCTCACGACCCGCTGGTCGAGCAATTGGTTCTTTCTCTTCTTCCGCCTCTTCCGCCGCTTATCTTTCCCCGTCAAACCCGCCTCTTCATCGTCGTGCAGGTCCTCATCTGACAAGCCGTCATCGTCCCCACCGCCGTTCCGAGGGGAATCATCGTCGCTGCTTTCCTCCACAATCTTGTCCTCGCCATCTCCATTCGGGGCTGTCCGAGTCGACAGAGACCTCGCCCCCGGCGAGCGATTGCGGTTGCTTGAGGAATTGGCAGGGTTGATGAGACTGCTCCGGCGTCGACGGTGGCCCGAAGGCGTCACAGCGTCCATCTCGATATCGTCGGGGTCGTGACCCACGGCGGGGGGTTGCTGTGGATTCGCCTTTGGTACCTCCGGTCGGTTGGTAGTCAATGTCGCGTGCGTCAATGAAGAGGGACGCGGAGGATTGGAGGTTTCGGGGTTTTGACCGTCGACAAGGTCTCCTGAATTGGTCGAACCGGCGGTCGAGGAGGAAGGGAAACCGGAGGCAGAGGAGGAGGAGGCGTGATCCGAAGGGTATGCAGCTGGCATAGTTTAGATGGGGTCATTCATGGAGGACGAGCCCTCTTCCGCATCGTGGTCCAATTGCACGGGCGTTCGGCAGGCACTGTTCGGCAAGGTCAAGCCGGTCACCGTCGAGAACGCAGAGGAGGCAGATGAGCAGTGGAGCTGCCGCGCCGCACACGCGATGAGGATTGGTTTACGGATCAGAAGGGGTTGTCGGATGACCGGGGTGCCGGGGCATCTCGCCCACCAGCCAGCTGAGAACAGCTGAGATTTGCGCACGCCAAGACCGTCTAGCCACGGCTTACCTTACATAATCCGAACCACAATCCGGGGAAGGCCTTCAGCACGTCGGAAAGCCCTGTCCAGCAAACAGCCCAAAATGGAAATACTTGAGCAGCTCGGGCTCCGGCACGCGAGTTGATGATCAAACAATTGGACGGTCTTGACGGTCAAACAGCCATCTTTTTCCTCCTCTTTTGAGGTTCACATCTTTCAAGATAAACTATATTTTCTGAAAGACGATTTTTCAGTGTTTCGCTTGCTTTTCTGGGGGTCCACCAGTGGCGATCGACCTACCTCGAAAAGCACCACACCGATTCCCCGCTCCTGTCATGCGTCCCGGAACTCCGATTTAGCTGAGTTGACCGAGTCGTCAGGTGGTTGGGAAGTTCGGCACATGTGCTGTCCTTCAAAAAGAGGTAACTCCGATCGAAGAAGAAAAGCACTCCGCAAAAAAATGACTAAAAATTGAAGACACACTTTGCAGCATGACCCTAGAAACCAGCACTCTGGGTGTCGATGAACAAAGGCCTGTCTCACTGGCCACCGGCTCGCCTTTTAACTCTTGCGAACAGCCCCAGACTGGATGGAGATAGCCGAATCCCGCTCGGAAATTTATGAGGGAAAACGACGTGCAAACCGGGGAAACCGCACGTTGCATTTCCGCTGAGCAGCGTCTGGACCTCTCAAGCATTTCCCCAAGCTGCGAGCCCCGCTCGAGATTACTCAGTACGTTAACGATCAACACTGCGTCATGGTCGATCAATTCCTCGTCTCCTGAGCCCGCCGTCCCCAAAGGAGCCATTACACATACGTCACGTAATTTGGACTCAGCAACTTTTGTTCACAAAACATACGTAGCGGGTTGGGCAACAATAGAATGGGCGGAGGAATTCATCGCATTTCGCATAGGCAAAGCGCTGACTCAGGCTTCAGGAAGACAGCTGCTGCACCCCGCAGGACCCTGAATCCAATCGTTCGGCATCGTAGTGTGGTAGATGCGGGGTGAAAGCCATTGACCAGTCCCAGCAGCCAGAGGGAGCGCGTTTTGCGTTTGGCTGGGCCTACGAAGGTTTGTTGATGGAGAATGTTATGTTCAAGACCGTGGCGTAGAATCTGTATATAAGTCCCCATCGGAAAGTCCCAAACCCCGCTTGAAATCAGGCTTGGGATCAGGGCCGAGACAGTGGGAATAAGAGGACCCCGAGTCTGCTTCTCCTTTGCTGCGTCATCATCTCATTTGATCTCAAGCTCAGTGCTCACTCACATCAGTGTTCATCTCAACACGCAAGGACTTGAGCCGAGCCTAACGAGGACCGGCTTTGCTCTTACTGTAACATCTTACCCTGAACTGACAGCATCCGACCCGGCGCCCGGGTTTCTCTCATCATGGCCGCCCAAGGCTCGACCCAAGAGGACAACCACATGCGGCGACGTAGCGCCGGGTATCTCCCCATCGAAAACTATGGCTTGATCGGTAACATGAGAACATGTGCCTTGGTGGGCATGGATGGGAGTGTCGATTTCATGTGCTGGTGAGTGCATCTTGCTCCTCTGTGTCATACACAGCACCCACTAACACACCATCTAGGCCCGAGTTCGACTCGCCCTCGGTCTTCTGCCGTCTGCTCGACAAAGACAAGGGCGGCTATTTCAGCATCCACCCAGCGGCTAACATTAGCTGCACCACCAAGCAGCAGTACCTTCCCTCGTCCAACATCTTGCAAACCCGGTACATCCACGAGGATGGCGTGGTTGATGTCGTCGACTTCTTCCCTCGGCCCAAGAATGCCAAGGTCATCTCCAAGGGACCCAAGCAGGGGGCCTACCGTGAGATGACGAGCGTCCAGGAGGAGCTCAAGCAGTGGCTAGTCCGTCGTGTTGAGTGTATCCGTGGTAGACTTCAACTGGGTGAGTATCCTAACCCTGATTCTCTGATCTATGTCAAGAGAAAAGAGCATCCAAGTTGATAAAAACTCCCCTTAGATGTGGAAATCTTTCCGGCTTTCGACTACGCTGCTGAACCGCACACTACCACTATCCTCCAGGAAAAGGGCTCTCCGCACAGTTCGCAGAGCAAGACAGCCACCTTCCACAGCAAAAACACAAAGCTCCAGCTCGACGTCAGCCTCGACCGGAGCGAGGATACCGACCAGAACTGGCCCAACGTCTGCTTCAAGAAGGCCTCGAAACCGGGCATGCTCGGCGAAGGGGTGGTGGCCAGCATCGACATCTGCGAGGGCCAGGCGGTGTCATTCGTCATCCGGAACGACGTGGAGAACCACATCACGGAAAACATCACCAGCGAGGTTCTGGACACGCAACAGCACGACACCCAGACGTACTGGTACAACTGGATCTCCAAGAGCAAGTACAAGGGCCGCTGGCGCGAGGTGGTCGCCCGAAGTCTCATGATCCTCAAGCTCATGACATACGAGCCCACGGGCGCCATCATTGCGGCCCCGACGTTCTCCATCCCCGAAGACATTGGGGGCGTCCGGTGAGATGCAGAGCATGAATTTTCCTAGCAACCCCCTTCCCTTCCTACCGTTCTAACGCAACGACGCTAATGCTCCAGATCAAGCAACTGGGATTACCGCTTTTCCTGGGTGCGCGACTCCAGCTTCACCATCTACATCCTGCTGCGGATGGGCTTCACCGAGGAAGCAGACGCATACATGGAGTTCATCAGCGAGCGGTTCCAAAAGTCGCGCGTGGCCGACGGCGGCTTACCCATCATGTTCACGATCCGGGGCGAGACGGACATCCCGGAGCGAGAGCTGACACACCTGGACGGGTACCGGGGCAGCAAGCCCGTGCGGATCGGCAACGGCGCGGCGTTCCATCAGCAGTTCGACATCTACGGCGAGCTCATGGACGGCATCTACCTGTACAACAAGTACGGCAAGCCGATCCACTGGGACCTGTGGTGCACGGTGCGTGAGATGCTCGACTACGTGCTCACCATCATGCACGACCCGGACATGTCCATCTGGGAGGTGCGCAACAACAAGCAGAACTTCACTTACTCCAAGATCATGCTGTGGGTGGCCTTTGACCGCGGCCTGCGGCTGTCTGAGAAGCGAAACTTCCCCTGTCCCAACCGTGCCAAGTGGCTTGCGGCCCGCGATGGGCTGTACGAGGAGATCATGGAGAAGGCCTACAACAAGGAGATGAAGTGCTTCGTGCAGAGCTATGAGAGCCAGACCATGCTCGACTCGTCCATCCTCATTGCGCCTTTGGTCTTCTTCATCGCCCCCAACGATCCGCGGTTTCTCAACACCCTCGACCGTATCATGCTGCCCCCTGACAAGGGCGGACTGACCAGCACCGGGTTGGTCTACCGGTATGACACCGAGCTGTCCGAAGATGGTGAGTTGTCTATTTTTCCCTCTCCAACCCCCCCTTCCCCTAAACAGCATCCTAGAGACCCAACCCAACTAACCCCGGATTCTCAGGCGTCGGTGGCCGCGAAGGCGCCTTCAGCATGTGCACCTTCTGGCTCGTCGAAGCGATGACACGCGCGTCGGTGTACGAGCCCAAGTACCTAGTCCGGGCCATCAACCTGTTCGAGAACATGCTCAGCTTCTCCAATCACCTGATGATGTTCTCCGAGGAGATCTCGAGCAGTGGCGAGCAGCTGGGCAACACGCCGCAGGCGTTCAGCCATCTGGCGCTGATTAGTGCGGCGTTTAACTTGGATCGGGTGTCGGAGTTTGGGAGACAGAGGTAGAGGGGAAGAGACATATAGGTCGATGAAAATAGTTGCCGGTTACGTGTTATGTATGGGAGCATTACTTACGCCAATAAATCACTTGCCCTTGTGTGCAGTACATATACCTCCATGCTATACCTCCCGTGGTTGGAATTGTTTGTCTTGTCGGTGTCGAAATGGATAGTAAAAAGGTCATTGTTTCATTATTGACGGGCCCGTCTCCTCGGCTCTAATACCTAAACGCCATTCGCTATGCTCACAATTCTTTACACCGTTTGCTCTCCCCCTTCACCCCGAGAATGATAATACCAAGAGCCGTCCTCAAGGCTTCTTCTGGCTTCGGGTTGCCCGAGTTGACCGAGTAGCCTTCGTCGTTCCAGTATCCTCCTTAGCCGCTTCAGCTGCCTCGACTATCTTGGTGGACTTGGTCGTCCGGGCCGTCTTTACCGTCTTAGTAGCCTTAGCTGCCCCATCAGTCTTAGTGACCTTGTCTGTCCCGGTTGTCTTAGTAACCTTAGCAGCCCCAGTCTTCTCAGTGACCCTGGCCGTTCCGGCCGTCTTCGTTGCCTTGGCCGCCTTGGTCGCCTTAGTCGCCTTGGTCGTCTTCGTTGCGTCAGCCGTCTTAACTGCCTCAGCGGTCTCAGTTACCTGAGCAATCTCAGCTATCTCGGGTGTCTCGACCGCCTCAGCTTCTTCAGCTATCTTAGCTGCCTTCGAGGTCTTGGATGTTTTAGTAGACCCGTTCGATTTCGCGGCTCTGGGCGTTCTCTTCGTGGTGGTGGTCTTAGGTGCCTTTGTGGCTCTGGTTGTTCTCGCCTTTTTGGCCGGCCTTGATTCCTCGGTCCCTTCAGCGTTCTCGGTCTCCTCGGTCCTAGCCTTTTTCGATCTTCTAGCCGGTTTCGATTCCTCAGCCTCTCCAGCCACCTCGGTCTTTTCAACCTCTTTGGTCTTTCTACCCCTGGCCCTTTTGGCAGGCCGCACTTCCTCGGTCTCTTCGACCGCCTGGCTCTCTTCGGCCTCTTCGGTCCTGGCTCTTTTCGACCTTCTGAGCGGCGGCGGTTCCTCAGTCTCCCCGGCCACTTCGGTTTCTTTGGCTTCCTTGATGTTTCTACCCCTCGACCTTCTGGTCGGTTTCACTTCCTCAGTTTCCTCGGCCTCCTGGCTCTCTTCGACCTCTCGGCTCTCTTCGACCTCCCGGCTCTTTTCGGCCTCCTTGATCTCTTGGGATCTGGCCCTTTTCGCCCTTCGAGCCCGCCTTACTTCCTCGATCTCTTCGGCTTCCTTGTTCGCTCTGGCCAACTTGATCTTTATGGTCCTCGTCCGCTTCGCCGGTATCGGCTCCCCGATCATTTCAGCCTCGTCCACTTCAGCTTCTTCCGTTTCTTGAGTCGCTTCCGTACCGTTAGCGTCTTCAGCGCCGTCAGGCCCTTCCGTCTCTAAGGTCATTTCCCTGCCCTTTCCCTTATCTGTTCGTCTGGCGGCCGGCACGCCATCATGCATTTCGGTCGTCGTAGTGTCCTGAACGTCCTTAACGGCCGCAGCCACTTCACCATTCCCGTTGGGTCGATGCAAGACGGTGGCGCCATTCTATGACAAATCCATCTCGTCTGCGATACTCCTGTCCCCGAGCGAACTAAGCCCGGAGCTCGGCGGTCGCGACTCCTCTCCATCTTCACCCCCTTCGTGCGTTCCGTTGATCCCTGCCAGAAGGTTCTCCAGGACGGGCGGCTCGGGCGCTTTCTGGCCCGCGGTGCGGAGTCGTTCCTCCCAGAGGGAAATACTGGGACACTCGCCTCCTTCCACGAGCACATCGCCGTGCTCGATGCTCTTGCCGAGGAGTGTGCCGAGAAACTTGGAGTCGTCGTCGTTTTTGCTGTGTTTCTTTTTGAGAGCTAGTAGTCATTTGTCAGTACTGTGTTTGTGGTGGGCTTTCGTAAGACGGAGGGAGCTTCACCATCCAAATAATCCCTCGCCTCATCATCCCCATCCAGCGCAATCCTCCCAATCTCTCGATTCAAAGCCCCCGTAGCCCACTCAATGAAATTCTCCACGCCACGCATGTCCTCCTCACCGAGATACTCCTGTTCCTCGGGGACCCTCTCCGGAAGAAGAGCGCCGGCGCGTTGGAGAGCCATGCGGACGTCAACAATGGTGGGCGCAGGAACACCCGGGGTCACGATAGCCCTGTCGGTGCTGGGGATGCCGTCATCTTCCTCGGTCGCGAGGTCTATTTGATCATTGTTGTGGGTCGCGTAGACTGCTGTGAGCTGGCAGAGGTGCAGCAAGTACCGCGCTGCGAGGTCGGTGACTGAGTCGAGGACCGATATTTTGGCGCCGTGGTAGCCCGTAGCACGGAGGATCTGGAGAATAGCGGGGCGCAGGAGGGCGTGAAAGAGGGGCGGTGGTGGTGTCATTTTCTTGGTGTTTGTCGGGAGGTTTGGTGATGGTCCTCGTTTGATGTTTGGTTGTGTGAAAAGACCCGGGGCGAGAAATAGGTTGAGCCGGCACCTAGTTGAGATGAGTGTAATTTCTGCTGCAGTAGGAAGTGGTGGAGGCCGCTTCTGTTTTTCGTTTGCGGGATTGTATTGTGGATGAAGGTTATTGTCTGTGAGTGAGCCGCGACCCTCCCGCGTTTCCTCTATTGTTGTTCAAGGCCAGCAATTGTTCATGGTCATCCCAATTCATAAAATAAACGGACGCGGCAACACCTGGCCTCCCTCCTTCTTCTCCACAAAGACCACTCCGGTACTGATGTTGATAGCCAATGCGCAAACTTTACCGATTTTCTTTGCCCCCAGGACATTCAGGCGCGTGGTTGTGCATGTTCAATTTTTGGACTGGAAGCTTCACCTGCAAGGCGGACGGGAAGGTTCGCACCCAGAGCCGCTGGAGAGTGGGTCTCTCTGATTCTGGCCAATGGTTGCAGCAAACGCACATGCTGGGAGCTACACAGTGAGGTCCTGACTATGTATTCTGAACCCAAGCTCCCCAAGGTGCGCACCTCTCACTGAACCTTAGCCGGGCCGGAATTTGTGTCTTGAGAACTATAAATCCCCGCTCCCCCCAGAATTCTGGATCGAACCATTCTTCTTCCGCACCCGCGTTTAAATCTTCCTACATCTGTTCGCTATTGTTCCCAACAATAGGTAACTCTTGAAGTACTAAGTACCCAGTACCGCACTTCCTTGTCAATACCCCACATTTCAGGTTTGGGTTACACGACCCACTCCAACTTGAACCTCTATTGCCAAGACTCCATTACAAGGGTTCTCGATCCCAACACCAGCGCATCGCGTCGCATTCTTAAATGCTTCAAGAATTCAATCCTCAATCTTCTGCATCCAAGCAGAATCATCTTCTGACTCTGTGATCCCGACTGTGGTTTGTTCCTTTCTCCCGACGGAAAACCTCAGTTCAACCCAATTGGAACGATCTCAGACTCGCTCTCGACAAACACGCCGAGTTGCGCCTGCCGAAAACCAACATCGCAACTGCCCCAAGCAGCCGCCGATTCTCCCCACCAAAGTTACCCGCCGTCGGAAAAATGGACGCTCCCCAGCAACCATCGGTCCCCAAGCGGCCCAGCTTGAAAATTACAAGCAGTGCCACCGCAATTGGTGGCTCTTCGATAATTACCCCAAACTCGTCCTTCCAACAGCCCACATCACCTGCTCCGGCAACGCCATCTCAGGGCCTTCCAAAGATTCGCCTGAAGTCCAAGTCGCAGCCCCCCACACCAGCGGACGTCCGCCCGCCAAATCTCGGGTCTCAGCAACCTGCCGCCACCAACGGGATGGGTACCGTGACGATTCCCGCGAAGACGACACAGACGAAGGCCGGCAGGATCAGCAAGCCGTCCGCGAAAAAGCGCATACGAGCGGATAGCGACGATGACGACGAGAACGCCACTCCCGCCAAAGGCGGTGCACATCCGACCAAGAAAACCAAGATCACCCTCAAGCCTACCACACCCAGCATATCCCGAGCGCCGACGCTCAAGGTCAAGGCCTTCGGCCGTGCGCCACAAAAACCAGTTGGCGAAGGCTACGATTCGGAAGCCGAGGACCGAGAGCCCGACCCGGTCACCGAGGAGCAGTTCCTGTTCCGCATGTTGCCGGGGGAGCACTGTGACTATCTGCGGTCCGCGATACAGTCAAAGCAAATCGGGCTCCCCAAATCACAAGGCGGCGCCGATTTCGAGGTCAAATGGTTGGATCACGACGAGGGACGCCGAGCTGCTGTGACTGTCAAGGGGCAGCTCTATGCGGCGATTCTCCTCGATCTACCCACTATCACGGAGGACATGAAGACCTGGGACAAGAAGTCCATGGTCAAGTCCGCCGACATCTGCCAGATGCTAATGGTCTTCGCCCAAGTGGAGAACGAGGAGCAGGTCAAAACGGCGCCACTGCCCTCGGCCGTCGAGCATGGCCACAGATGGCCACATGGCATCACACCCCCGATGCACGATGCGCGAAATCGTAGGTTCCGCAAACGCCTCAGTAAGCTGGAGATCAAGAATAAGGAAGCCGAGGTCGACCGGCTTATAACACTGGATGGCGAAGCGGAGACTACTCGAACGGAGTGGGTCGATAGCAAGCGGGACGAGTCCGGAGAGGAAGACGAGGAAGAGGAAGCATACGAAGAGGATGCCGAAGGCGAGGTGGACGACTACTTTGGCGACGGCACAATGGGCCAACAGGAAGAGGAAGACTTTGAAGTCGACGACGCCGCCCTCGAAGCCGAGTTTCTGGACACTATCGCAACACCATACGTCGAGACGCCTGGCGCCATGGCCGACGCCGTTACGCCCGGTACCGCAACTGCCCCCACGCCCATGCCACAAGGCGAAGGAGAAGCCGAAGCTGGCGAGGAAGAGATCTCGGACGAGGACGATGAAGATGATGAGGATGAGGAGGACGAGGAAGACGAAGAGGAGGACGGTGATGAGGATGAAGATGTGGCTGCTATTCGCAATGTGATTACCAATCTCAAGAAGCAGCTCAAGTTGTACGAGGACCAACTGGCGGCTTCGGTGCAGCCCATTGTGAGGAAACGACTCGAGGGGAATATCAAGAACGTCAAGGCGGAGATCCTCCTCAAAAAGTCGGCCATTGGCGAGACAGAGGAAGATTAGAGTCTGATGGTTGGTATTCTTACATCATGATAGCTATCGGCAACAGTGTATGGCGAATAAACCTGAGTTCAGGACAGCGAATTTATGTACAGTACAAATCAATGTCGTTAGCTCGTCTGCCGTTATGCAAGATCGCCGTGATTTGGTGACTTATTTTCGGAGAGCATCCAAGTCTATACCGCACTCTAGATGCCGTAAATACATACAATACAACATGTTCATACACATCGGGACGTCGTTTCTTATCCCGCCTTTATCCCCTGGTGTTTCACCCCCAGCATCGATATCATGCATCAATCAATCCCCCAAGTAACAACCATACATCCCCCCAAACCAACCCAACTAACCCCGACCCCAATCCCGTTTTACATAGCCTTCAAGAAATTCGTCTCCTTAATCTTCGCCCTTCTCTCTCGGCGCATCGCCTTCCGCAGCTCCTCCCGCTTATCCACCGCCTCAATCGCCTGCTGCAGGTTCCCCGGTTCCGCCGCCGGCAGGTTGATGGTCTGCTTCTGCAGCGGGATCTTGGGCGCAAGCGCCTCGAGGTCGCCGGAGGCGAGGAGGCGCGCTTCGTGTAGGCGTTGGCGCTTGAGGGCGAGGCGGCGCTGTTTCTTGGATTTGGCTGGGGGGGGGGGTTTGTTAGGATGGTTACTGTGGTTGTGGAAGGGGGGAGACAGAGAGGGAAGAGAAAGAGAGAAAAGAAAAAAAAACGTACAGAATTCATCCGCAGCGTCCGCATCCGCCGACGTGTCGGCCTTGGTCTGCGAATCCAGGCAAGTCCATAGCCAGGCAGGGTAGGCTTCGTCCGGGAGCGCCACGGGGTCGGTCTTGCCCTTGAAGATGTTGAGGCCGTTTAGCACGGTGCCTGCGGCGCAGGATGAGAGCGGCTTGGCTGCTGCGGCGTCGGCGGCAGCAGCACCGCCAGCGGGAGTTAGAGGGGTTAGGTCGGGCGTGGATGACGAGGCGGACTCTGTGGCGGGCGCGGCGGCTGGCGATGTGGGGGAGGCATTGCGGGTGGTGAGGGTGGTGGTGAAGGACCGGGTGGTGGTGGTCGCCGTGGCTGCGGCTGCTGGTGTTGCTCGTGTGAGGGGTTGTGCGGGGGTTATTTGGCGGGCGGAGAGCACTGCCGCCCGTCGGATACACGTTCGGCAGATCATGATTTGGGTTGGGTGTGTGGGTTGTGGTGTTTTGTTTCGTAAGTGTGAGGCTAGAGAAGGTGGGTTGCGGGATGCAGAAAGTTCCCCAGCTAAAAATTTCTATGGTGGTCGGGATGAGCCAGGTGCGCAATTCTGGCACCCGGATACAGGAGAGCGCCGCTTGAATTACAGCTTCAACAGGGACATGGAACAGCGTGCAGTGAACAAGTGAGACGGCAATCTTTACATCCCGGGAAAAACTGGACGGATTATTGAGGTTTAAAGATTTCAATTGCATATATGTACAACTGAGCTGGCCCACTCCCACCTCAAATCCCGGTGCCCTCAAACGACGGGCCTTCCCTAGGCGCTTCGATCAATCACGAGCTGAACCATTCCCGCTTCCTAACATATCTTCAACCCGTGGTATCTCATTTTTTTGCGTCTTGTTGTGTGTTTTGTCGTTCCAGTTGTTTTTTGTCGTAATAGTTTTGCTGCTCGAAGAGGTAGCCCCGGACCTTGGCAGTCTCGAGAAGCTGGATGTATCGCTCTGTGCAGTACAGTATTAGCATCAACCCAAAACCGAGACCCGAGGAGATATCTCGTTGGATGACCACCGTAATCCCTTTGTTTGAGATTCTCCCTCTCCACGCCTCCATCCACCAGGATCCATCTATCTATCGGGAGAGGGACTAACCTCTGAGGCGACCGCAGTTCTCAAGATGGTTGATACCCTCCCGGTAATAGCACTTGCTCAGCTCCTCGCGCACCAGACGCCCCATCATGACCTGGATCCATTGTTCGCGGATAATGGCGTCCTGGGCCGCCTTCAGGGCCTTCGTGTCATCGTAGTCGACGCCGTCGAAGGTGGGGGGGACCTTGGGCTTCTTAGCCAGGAACATCGCAGACTCAGGGGTCGGCATGGTGTTAGATTTGCTGCCGTGGCTTCGGCGGCGAGTCGAGGGAGGGTTGTGCGTATGTGTTGAGGTGCTGGACAACCTGGGCGGCGGGATCGGCTCGGTCAGGCCACGAAAGTGCAGCTGCGTTCAAGAGCTCAATGCACACTTGCTGCGTCGGGGGTTTGCCTAACTTCACAGGCCGAAAGAGAGGTGCAAGCGGAGTCGGCTTGGCGCGCAGACGCTCGCACGGATCACTTGCCCAAAAGGTTCCGGCACGCAATTCACCGCTTTTGGCCCCGCTTTCGCGCTTCTTTTTTTTCTGCCGATAAGAGTGTCCCAGACGATTTTTCTTGTTATCGGCCAGCCTTCCAGCCTTTTTCAAAGGTTCTTGCACCCGGAATTTTCTTCCTCTCTTCCTCCCACCTCCCACCTTCACCTTTCTTCACCCAACTGCCCATCCTTTGAAACCTGACTCCAAGTTTCTTTTCTCACCATCCGTTTCAATTCAATCCATCACATCCATTACAATGGGCAAGTCAAAGGAGATCAAGGCCGCCAAGGCCAAGAAGGTCGAGGCTGCCCCCGTCAAGGTCGCTGCCACCAAGGTCAAGGAGACCGCCAAGAAGGCTGTGAGCAAGAAGTCGAAGAAGGTCGAGTCTGAGTCCGAGAGCAGCGAGTCGGAGAGCGAGTCCGACTCGGAGGCCAGCGACAGCTCCGAGGAGGAGTCTGAGGAGGAGGACTCTGACGTCGAGATGGCCGAGGCTCCCAAGGCCGCTGTCACCAATGGCAAGGCCAAGGCTCAAGCGGCTGCTACCGACTCTGATGACTCCGAGGAGGATTCTGATGACTCTGATGACGAGTCTGATGAGGAGGAGAAGCCTGCTGCCAAGGTTGTGAAGACGAACGGCAAGGCTAAGCCAGCCGAGTCTGAGTCTGAGGACTCTGATGACGTAAGTTTCAGCAAACACCTCTTGTGCCCCGGCTGTTTACTGACCTCAATGGCTAGTCTGAGGATGATGACGAGGACTCGAGCGATTCTGATGACTCCGACGAATCCGAGGAGGAGTCCGAGTCTGCGGAGGAGAAGTCCGCTGTTGCTGACAAGTCCTCCAAGAAGAGGAAGGCCGAGGAGGAGCCCGAGGCTGCTGATGCTTCGGCCAAGAAGACCAAGTCGGATGGCGAGACCGAGACCTCTGAGAAGAGCGCGACCCTCTGGGTCGGCAACCTCGGCTGGGGCGTTGACGACAACGCGCTCTACGAGGAGTTCCAGAGCATCGAGGGCATCACCGGCGCCCGCGTCGTGTCCGACAAGGAGACGGGCCGCTCGCGTGGCTTCGGCTATGTCGACTTCGAGACCCCCGAGGCTGCCCAGAAGGCCTACGACGAGAAGAGCGGCGCTTTCCTCCAGGGCCGCGACCTCCGCCTCGACTTTGCTGCCAAGCCCAGCGGCGACTCGGCCCCCAACGCTCGCGCCGCCGACCGCGCCCGCAAGCATGGCGATGTCATCAGCCCGGCGAGCGACACCCTCTTCGTCGGCAACCTCCCCTTCAGCGCCGACGAGAGCTCCGTCTCCGCCTTCTTCAACGAGGTCGCTGAAGTCCAGAGCCTGCGCATCCCTACCGATATGTATGTCTTACCTGTCCTATTCACATGTGAAGAACCCCACATGACTGACAATTCCCAACCAGGGAGTCCGGCCGTCCCAAGGGCTTTGCCTACGTGACCTTCTCCTCGATCGAGGATGCCAAGTCCGCCTTCGACTCTCTCAACGGCGGCGACCTTGACGGCCGTCCCGTCCGTCTGGACTACGCCAAGCCCCGTGACAACAACGGCGGCGGTGGTGGTGGCCGTGGCGGGTTCGGCGGCGGCCGTGGTGGCGGTGGTTTCGGTGGTGGCCGCGGCGGTGGTCGTGGCGGTGGTCGTGGCGGCTTCGGCGGCCGTGGCGGTGGTGGACGCGGCGGTGGCCGTGGTGGGTTTGGCGGAGGCCGCGGTGGCGGCAGTGGTTTCCAGGGCAAGCGCACCACTTTCTAAAGGGAAGTGAGATGGATGTCTGAACAGCAGTCATCGACCGCACACGCACACACTGAGGGGATCTGAACAACGAGGGCTACGTTTTGCTTTTGCAGTTTTATGCATTGGCGAAACCCAGTACCATCCGAGGGCTTTGTGGGTTGTCGGCTTTTTGAACTCTAACTCCTCCCTCCCCCTTTTGCCAAGGGGCGAGGCGAGGAGTCGTGGGCTTTGAGAGGACAGCTTTCTCACACATGAGAAAAGCAGCGATACACCTGAGGGCTTTGATCTTTTGGACCTTGTGGGCCGCGGGCTGCTTTGGCTCTTTGGCAGCTTCTAAAACATGCATCTGCTACCCTTCACTCCTGTGAGGTGAGCACGATGCTAGTGGGCTTTTGTTGAACCTCCCGCCTTCCGTTGGGCGGTCAGTCGGATTTGATACCAAATAATGATGGGTTTCTACTGTTGCGTGTGTGTGTGTGTGTTCCTTGTGGGCTCGTGGGCTCGTGGGCTTTGTTGCATATTGGTCGCCGGTCAGGTCACTGGCTGGCTAAGCGGTTTGGGGATAAGGTTCTCAGGAACCGACTTCCCCGTCCGCTGAGAGAGAACGACTGCTGCACTACCCGAGGGTTTCGAGGGCATCGAGGGCTTTTACGTGTTAATGTGTGGGCCATCTAAAAAGTTCGGGTTGATATTTTGTACGGTACGGGTCACGGTGGCGGCGCTTTACGCCTTGCTATTTCTCTTTTAATTCTCTTTTTACCTTACTCGCAACGCAACGCGACGACGACTATTAAGGACTCGGGACGGTGTTACACGGCTTACTTTTTCTTCGAGAAACGAGGTATTGCCTGGTGAGTATCCATCCCGTCCCATACTCCTGTCCCCAGAAGCCTACTATGTCAGGGTATTCGATACCCCTTAGGTGCTAGCAATGTACGAGTAGTAGATAGATACAATTACGCGTTCTTGTGCCTCGCTTCTCGCCTCTGATATCTGTATGGTCCTCCTCCCCGTGACATTTTGTGTTCTTGCCCATGATGTTGACGTCCCCCAGCCCATGAGATCTGTGTCACCCCCCTTGATATCACCCACCGACTCAAGGCCTAACTAGCGCGTCTCAAACAACCAAGGCAAGCCCACGCAATTACACACCTTGCCCGCGCCCGCGCATCTCGCGGAACACAACACACAACACAACAACAATAAGGGGGGTGAGTGTGGCATTGCTACTACGGTTCCTGCTACGAAGGAACAACTAGGTAAACAAACGATCTGAGTGGACCTGGTGGTATTTCCCTTCCCATGTTGTCCCATGTATCCCCTCTTCCAAACTACCTAAGATCACTCCCAGACTGAGATCACTCTCAAACTCAAAAACACTCTCCCAGACTCAGAAACCTAACCCATAAAACAAGACAAACCCCGAAACTCGTAAGAAGCAATTCCTCGCAAACCAGAAACCCGACGCCAACATGAACCATTAAAACTGCATAAATAGGAGAAAAGGAGGAAGGAGCCCTGTCGTTGTTGGCAACGTGATAAATCCCTCCTAAACTAGGGTAATCGATCTGAACAGCTAACTGAGCTGTGTCAAGGGATATAACCGTATAATAAATCTCAGACGTGTAAGAAGAAGTGGGGGACGATGAAAGAAGGGGGTAGCTAAAACGAATGCATCGCATCGCATCGTACCATCGTACCGTAACCAAACTACTCTGAATCACCCGTCAGTAGTTAGATCAATAAATCATAGCCGTCCATCACACCCCGTCAGATCCATCGTGCCCGTCGTGTCCGTCAGGATCGTATCGTTCCATGATATCTTACTGCCCTTCAAGCAGTAACACTCCTCCCAACCCCACCCCACCTCATCCTCCTAAACGTCCCCGTCCCCCCTCCTCCAACCGCACTCGACCCAGCCCCCAACAACTCCCCCCCACACCCGGCCGATGCATTCGTCGCTATCCCTCCACCGCCGGTGCTAGTAGCACCAGCCCCAGTCAAAGACGAAACAACCCCCCCAGCACCACCCTCTTGCCGTCCCACTTCCCGACCAAGTACATACCCAGCCCCAAATCCAACAACAGACACCAGCACGACAACACCGGCGCTAACAACCCATGTTAAGAGGGTAGGGCTGAGGTTGAAGATCAGGGTTTCACTAGACGAGGAGGAGTCGCCTCCGTGTTGGAGGGAGCGCTTTTTCTTTGTGCTTGCGCCTGCTGCTCCTGATGGGGTCGTTCCTGCGGCGCGTTTGTTGTCACGGCCGTTGTGGGAAGAGGGACCACTGGGAGAGGAGGAGTTGGAGGGGGTTCGGGTGGTTGTTGTTGGTGGGGAGTGGGAGGTGTTTGTGGCTGTATTAGTGGTGGCAGCCTGCCGACGGGATGGACGTCGTGCTGGTGGTGGTGCGATGTTGTCGGTGGCCATGAGTTCGGATTCGGGGACCAAACGGAGTTCCATGGGCTGGGAGCCCGGGACGACACCGGCACCGACGCCGGCTGCGCCGGCCGTGGTGAGCCCGTCGTCGGTTTTGGGTAGACCGCGGGCGGCGGCTGCGCAGGAGAGGAGGGTGGTCAAAGAAGCGCGGAGGGCTGCGTCGTTGTCGGCTTGGTAGGAGGGCGACATGTAGTTTGGTGGGCCGCGATGGTGATGGGGGCGGGCGTGGGGCCGCGAGGAGTACGCACCAGAGTGTGGGTGGGAGTGTGGGGGCGCTGAGGCGGTGGAATGGCGGTGGGTGAGATGAGAAGGTGGGTGGGAGAAGGCGTTTGGTTGCGGTCGGAAGATGGGGGTGTGGTCGGACGGTCGGCGGCCGAGGGCTGTGGCATTCTCGTCGACATCGTCGTCGTCGGAATCACTCTCGACAGTAGCGGACGCCCGAACAGCGGTGTGCTGCCGGAGTACATGAGCAGAAGCAGGGTGTGCGGCTTCCGTTGAGCTCGTCATGACCCTATCCTCCTCGCTCTCCGTCTCGTCGTACTCCTCTTGGCTGCTCGTCGCGCCGGTCTGCGTTGCCGGATGACCGATGATGAACGAACCGGGCATCGGCTGCTGGTGTTGGTGTTGTTGTGCATGTGGCCGCCTCCGCCTGGGCGGATACGACGCACCAGCACCGGTTCCGACACGAAGACCTGTGGTGACGATCTCGTCTCCGATGGACGACAGCGACGACGACGACGGCTGCGAGGCGACCTCGATCCAAGACTCTGCTGTGGCAGGCATCAATTCTCTGTTCGGGCGCGACGAGGATGCACCCTCGTGCGACCACTGACCATCATGCCGACGCTGCGACGACGCGGGCATCCCAGCGTCCCTGTTCATCTGACCGCCGCCGCTGGTGTTGTTGCTGACACCGTGTTGTTGTTGGTGTTGTTGTTGGTGTTGGTTTTGCCCAGCGGCTCGGGCGCCGCGCTGCATCTCCGACGGCGCCATCGTCTCGAGGAGTAATCACGTCTTAGATTTCCGGGACTCTGAAGCGCTCAAAAAGTGATATGTTTTGTCCAATACTCCGTATCCCTTGCGTTATCGCTATCGCGGCGGTCGTCGTGTCTGCAGCACCCCGGATCCGGACCAGGGTGAGAGGTGGAGCCGGTGCGTGTCGTGGGAACGGCCACGACGGAGACGGTGTTTCTTTGGGGTGTTCGTTAACGTCGGGTTTTTAGTCATGCAGAACAAGTAGCGGTAAGATGCTTTTCCCGTTTGGCGGTTTGGCGCTGAGGTTGTATGTAAAAGCGAAAACCGAGGGAGCCAAACGGGAGAGGTTTCTTTGTCGTCGGTCTTTGTTTCTGAAGGAACGAATGGCTGACCACGATTTACGCAGTGCACTGGGGTACTTCGTGTAGGTTGTCGGACTGCGCAGCGAAACAGCGGAAAAGAGGGAGGGCGCCCGCCAAAAGGGAATGGAGGTCCTCGGTTGGTTTTGTTGAATCTTGGCAAGCAACACAGCGCGCAGCCAGTCCTCAGCACCTCATCATCCTCAGGCAATAAGCAAACCGCCCGCGCAAACAGTGAGAACAAGCCGGGCTGGGCTGGGCTGATGAGCTGATCCGTTCTGTGGGTGACGAAGTGTCCTTCCTGTCAGTGATCACTGCTAGTTAGTTAGCGGGCAAACCAAAAACGGCAGAAAGTGGGGATAACTTTGGGGGGATTCATCAAGGGCGCAGGCGCAAGGGTCTCTCAATGGTCTCTCTCAATGGGTGGGCGTCAGGGCGTCCAGGGTGTGGAGTCCAGCGTGATCCAGGTCACCCTGCCCCATTCAGCGCTTCCGATTGGTTCGTTTTATGTGAGACAGCGGGGGGTGGGCTTGTTCATGCTTTGACTTTGTTCCAGTTGGGTGGGCGCACAAGCCATGACGTTGTCCTGCAGTATCAGCGAGCGCAGCGCAGCGAGGCAGCGTATCGCAGGACTGCCTCACTGCGTACTGTGGCTTGTATGGGAAGGAAACGAAAGGTAAGTGCGAGGCGGTCCAGGTCTGACCAAGATTGCGGACGCCTTTTATTTTTGTTTTCTGCAGCGCACTGTGGGAAATGGATTCAGAAGATAGACACTACAGTTTCCGTTGGATGCATAAATGGATCGAGTTCCAGGGCTGTGTGACGAAATCGATATCTGCTCTCGTTCAAGCACCAAACTATACTGAGGATTCTGGTATTGTATGTAACATGGACATCGATGGTCTGTCTGTCTGGGTGGACTTAAGGCTCTAATTCAAAGTTCTAAACTCGGGAAGCAATAATTGGATAAAACAGCATCAACGTGTGACTTCTCAACAGCGTGACACCGGTCACGTTGTAGATACCTCTAACAACTTTAACTCTGATAGATGCACCTTGACTCGTATCCTGATCCTCTATTCGCTACCTATCGACCTCGCGACCTGGCGCAGACAGGTCCCAGTTCGTTCGCTATTCCTCCAACGTTTCTCAATCATCAATGGGATGCACAAAGGTAAAACCACGTATCCTGGCTCGCTTTGGCCAAAAAAAAAAAGCGGCAGACCAAAACATATAGCTTGAGCCCGATCCGACACCATTCGATCAAATCTTGACGGAGTTTGACGATTATAACTGGAATAGCTGGGTAAGTATAGAAGCATGATATCCGTACAGTCATAGTATTGCTGTCCAAAATCTTGTTTTAAAACTACGAATGTTTTATTCCTTTCGTTTTCTTTGACTTTTTTCATTCTTCGTTTTTCATCTTTTTTCATCTTGTATAAAAGTTGGGCATCCAGGTACACTTGGTCCGCCGCTTTTTTTGACAAGAGCAAGCCTGGGTGGTGTTGTAGTTGATATCGTGTACCGCGCCTAGCATATGACGCGTTCCTTCCAAATGATTCGGGCTTCGTTGATAGTTTTCTTCGGCTTTTCTGTGACTCGATCTGTATGCTTACTCTGCACTAGGAATTGTATGTGAAGGTGAACCTCCTACCCACACCCCCCGAAACATCTGATAAACCGTTGTGTGTCGTATCGTAGTGCCTGGGTAGTCCCACACTATCTTTCATCTATATAAGGCGCCTCCCCCGCCCTCTCAAATCTTCGTTGCTTCACAACCTCGCAATTACCAACCTCACAACCACCCACTTCGCAACCGCCCGCATCACAACCATCATCATAATTGCGCCGTACACCCACAGCCAAACACCCTACCCCTAATTGAACATCTACGCCATAGCGTTCATCGGCGGTCATGGAGTTTGCCAACTCCCCACAGCCTTCGCTCTCTACTCCCGCGACGTCAATTTCGTCATCAGACGAGCAGGTCCCGGTGGTCAAGTTCACCACAATAAAGGAGCTTTTCCAAGTGATCGACAAGACCCGTAGCGATGTTTTAATCGCTTCAGGCAAGTATTTTCCATTCCCGATAATTAATAGTACAGAATAATTTAACTAGCCAGGGATATAATTAGACATATCCCCGAAGGACGTAGATGAAATTCATTCTGCAAGGGATAAAGCCGGCCGGGGATTTCGGCTCTCCTACATCTCGCCCTTGACGGAAAAAATGCTTATCACTATCCCAAGCCGTCCGCATGAGGCTGCCCATGAAAATATTCATAAATTTATCATGTTCCGTATCTACGGTATGGGTCTTGATGATCGGTGGTCGACGGAAGGCGCCACTCGTTACAAGTCTAGCGAAATTCAAGGCAGTGGAAGTGAACCAGACAAGGCTGGAAAACCAATCCCAGAACGCCCTGAGGACGGCTGGCCTACCCTCGTCATTGAGGCTGGGTACTCCCAGTCTATGGCGAGCCTGAGGGCAACAATGGAATGGTGGTTTAGAGCCTCCAATCACGAGGTCAAGATTGTTCTCCTCATCAAAGTCAACCAGATTCAGCAATCCCTTGTGATCGAAAGATGGGAAGAGGTACATCCTACGGCTCGTCTAGGTGCAACAACTACACGATCCGTCTCACCCTTACGGCCAGACTGCCGACAAGAGATTACTATCACCAAGGATACGAGCAGCAATCCGGCCACATATCAAGTCAATAGCACTGATTTGGTACTACCGTTTCGCTTACTTTTTCTCCGCGAACCGGGTCCCCAGGAGGGGGATATCGTAGTAACGACTGCGGAGCTTCAGAGGTGTGCGGCGAAGGTCTGGTATCGTAGGGGTCAAGCTTAGTTTTCTTTTGATATTAGCCGAGAAGAGCGGGTGGGGGGAATCCGAGGGTCCGGGATGCCAAATATGGAGATTCAAGATGGGGGTTTGCCAGTCAGTCGCACGTTTGGGGGTAGCCATAGGCAGAGTAAATATATTTTGCGCTTAGTTTCTGCTTTTCCTCCTCCATCCCAAGATAGCTAGGCTCACCCCGACATGTGCGTTCCGTTATCTAGTCCCTGTCCGAATGGGCTAGCACAAGAAGTCGATGGGGGGTTGCAGACACCTCTCTCCATTCCCATCCACCCCTTACAAAGCCCCCAAATGCAACGGCACACTACTCCCCCTGCCAGCCCTATACTTCCTCGCCCCCCCGACAAAATTCCTCGGTTTTGGAAAATGTTCCTCCCCATGAAACCGCCACCTCGAATCCTGCACCACATACCTCTCACCCCCCCCAGTCCCAGTCCCCGACACAGACCCAAATCCAGACCCAGAAGCAGCAGACCCAGGTAACGAAGCAGACGACAACCCCGGTGAAGGACCCCGCCCTGGGCTAGGCGTCTTGGAACCTGCGCCGTTGGGAGCAAGCGTGAAGTTACTCGGGTCGAGCATGGAGAGCATGGAGGCGCGGCCAGAGGCGCTTGACGCGGAGTGGGAAAGGGCAGGCGGTGGAGGAGGAGCAGCAGGCGCGGAGGATGGCGGAGGCGGAGGCCCTGGGGGTGGTGCTGGGGGTGGTGCGGGTGCTGAGGCGGGCGGAGGTGGAGGGGGAGCGGGAGGTGGTGGTGCTGCGCCGGGGGGTGGCCCGACGTTGGATGCTGCGCGGATGGCGGCTTGGGCGGCGATGGTTTGGGAGATGTTGTTTGTGGATGCTGAGGGGGGTGGGGGAGGTGGG